ATATATATATATATAAGTACTTATCACATTGTATCAGTATATAGACTTTGCGTCTCCTATTTTATAAATTTTTCAAAAGTTATTAAACCTATAATTGTTTTTCATTATAACAAAATTATTTTACGAAATTGCTTATCTAGAATTTCCAAATTTAAAAATATTGTAGATTATCACATTTTATAAAAGACCAGCTATAAGAATATTACAATATTTTTAAGGCACTTTCTTATATTCAATATTTATTATTTAGTATTTCTAACTAAAAACTGTATTAAATATTAATTTTTATGGATAAATAATAAATGGCATATCTTCTATAAAGACTAAAATATGATATTGATATAATACTTAGAATGGACACAATTAACATAAAAATAAAACCCTTAATAATCTCTAACCATAATAAAAGATATGTAAACTTAACATCTACCTTAATTACATACAATCGATCAAGGTAGACGTAATTAATATTGAACTCTTAGATTGAACTTTAAAAGGTTAAAAATAGAATGGTATTAAATTGGTTACTTGCGTCCCTTTCTTGTGGTTTTTGCTTTTTCTTTAATCTGGAAATCTTCTGTGATGCGAGTAGATTTAAGACGCCTTTGTACATCCAAATGAAGGGCGATATTTCTGGGCACCTGTCTCGTATCCTTGCCGTGGTAGCAATTGTAATCATCACATAATTGCATATACATTCGCCACTTGACGTCCCTCTCCAAACAAGCCGGATTGCCTATAATTATTATCTTTGCCTTCGCTCTCGTCAACGCTACATTGAATCTCTGTAAATAAAAACAGGTGCATAAACAAACAAAGATAATCTGTCATCTAAATAAATAAAAATCATTTGGCGAATGTACGTGAGCAAATCATTTCAGAACAGCTGCAACTATTCGACTTATTCTATTTTCGTTAAGTTTGTAATAGTTAAAACAAGGTTTGTAGAAAAGAAAATATTTGAAAAACGTAATGAATATTGAAAAATTTGAATTTAAAATATACATATATAAAAGTGAGATTTCTAAAAAAAAAAAGTATGTATCTATCAAAATTATCCTCACGCCATTTTACTTGCAGAGTAGGTAACTCAATGACTTTAATAAATATATACCCAATGACGTTAAAACATTGTCTCCTATGTATACTTATGTATTTTTGTTAGAAATATATATGATATGACCATATTTTTGTTAGCATCAGTAAACCAAATTAATATTTCACTGTAATATTAATGGTTGTACATTATTTGTTATGCCAACTACACACTCACACACACACACACACACACATACAGCGATAAATTACTACGACATACAAACAATAAAAATAAACTGTAGAGAAAACTATACGAATATCCGCTGCAGAAAAGAAAAAGATGCTAAAGATTCATACTAACTTTGTCGTCCACTAAGAATCCAAGACTATATTTGGCATCGTAATCCAAGAGTTTGGAGTTAGCCCTCACGGTCGAAACCAATATTACTCTCTTCTCCTTCCCCTGAAATGCCTCCACTGTGCCCACTTCTATATCATCATATTTCTCGCTGTCCAACCAACTCCTCATCTTGTACACCTGTCAAATAATAAAGTGTTTTTTATACAAATATCAAGAAAGATACAAACATACAAGATAAAAAAATAATCTGCTATAATACTACTGTTGGATTACATGCTTTATGTCACTAGCAAGAAAATTTACTCAATCTGACATAACCACAATTTATCATGTAAACAGCTTTATGTACGTATTCACAGGTTTTTTTTTAATGCGTGTAATTGGAACAACCCTGCCTGCACTGCTGCAACGCTGGTAGGACACCAATGACAGATGATACATGAGGATGAAAGCAGGTCACTTCAAATCGTAACAAATTTTGTATCAATTAACAACGATGGTTTCCAGGGGAAACCGCGTAAGGCTCAACCAGATAGGACTAGCAACGGGGCTATTAAAGCCCATCACTAACAATCCCTTTCCCCCTTATTTGCAGTTTGTCATGGGCACATATTGTCACGATAAATTATATGTTATTTTTTTATTGTTCTGAAGAATCTTTTTTTTTTTCTTTCGATAATTAGGTATTTCCTTATTGAATGACAACTTCACCTCTTTTTATTTAAAATACTAATAAAACAAGTTTAAATCTTGCCAAAATTAGATGTTTATAAGTTTACCCTTGATATTTATATGGTAATCATTTGTTGAAAATACAAAAAATTACAATACAAGTTTATCACATATGAATTCGAAGTCAACATCCATTTGCAGTTTTAAAAAAAATATTTGTTACAACTTTTGTTTGTGACGAACTGAGTTTATAACGAACAGCGTTTCTGACATACTGCATTTACGCCAAACTGCGTTTATGGCAAAAAACAAGTATAATGAACGACCTTTTGAAATCACCTTAAAAATATCAAACCTGTCTTATATATGGTGTAATAATTCCGATGTCCTTCAGCGACACATTGTGGTTACTGACAAGGGCTTTTATGTACCTCTGAAGCATTTTCAGTTCCATTTCATTGAAGTAACTGTAAGTAAAACATATTTATTAAGTAAAGAGAAATTCAATAGAACTTAATGAAAACATGATTAAGTTTTATTAAAATTATCACAGAAACACTCTCCACATGAATAAAAAATCGAAATATTCATTCAATAAATATGAAGTTTTTTTTATTGTATTTTACTATTGTACATACTCAGGAATAGCAACGCATGGGGAGTATCACGGGCAAAACAGTATACTCTGTTATGTACATGTTTATAGACGACGGTTACCGCTTTCCATCAGGTGGTCCGTCAGCTATGTTCTATGTTTTAAAATCGATATACCAGTAATATAAGTTAGTAAATCTGACTTAAGTTCCTTATATCAAATGATAAATAAGTTTATATTCAAATTTAAGTATTTTCTTAAACATTAGATTTCTTGCACGAAAATGACAAAACAAAATATAAAAAAATACAGATAGAAATTTCGTTAGCATACCTGGGAGCTTTCCCTACTCTGAGCTCCTGGGATGCAATCGCGTGAAAGACGACAGCTTTGTCACCTCCAGGAAGCCCTAATATGCTGAGTTCACTCAAGGGATCCGGATTTGCAAGGTACTAAAAATTTTATAATTTTTAAGATTAATTAGATTAATTAAATTAATTGTAATTTAATCTTATAATCTACTTGTTTATACTCGGCAAAATTATTAAGCAATATTGAACAATTTTTTATTGCAATAATAGTGCATAGAATAAACAAATAACGAAAATAAAAACCGTGTTAAAAATTATAACGTACATACTATTGCATATTATTAATTTTTATTTTACTTTTGTATTATAGCTTTTTTTTAAATACTTCAAAAAAATATATACACCTCAACATTATAGACTACTTATGAGGATTATATGTGCGACGTCGCAAATATATCTAACTACAAACACCTCTGATCATGATACACATTTCGTCACAATCGCAGTTCATCACAAACACAAACAGTTACTAATTTTTTTTAACAAACTATAAGCCTGTATTGAGATTTATTTAATTGTCAATAAAATCAGACTTTAAGTAGACATCCTCCAATTTTTAAAAGAACTTGACAAATAGTTCTTTACTTGTATTTATAGTGTATCTATATGTTTCCCCTATTCTTTTTCTACTCTCCTGATCCCATGTCCTTGTTCCTAAATTATCATTATTTTGATTCACGTTGATTTCCTCGTTTTTATACTTGGAAATGGTTAATGGCAACCTAAAAAGTCGAAGCCAAATAGAAAAAAAAAATGTTTCCTGAAAAATAATTAAGAAATAACTGCTGTCACTTTTTTGGTATATGACATACTGCGATGTGCTTACCTGTAAGTTGTCTTCGTAGAATAAGTAGTTAGGTATTTTCAGTATATCCGGATCGGAACGGAAGTTCTTGACAAGCATCGTTATGAAGTTCGGGTTGTCGTTATAAATGTTGTCATACGACACTTTTAGACGCTCCATTAGAGATGTTCCTGTGGAAATATAAAAAAAAATTATAAGCTTCCAAACATACAAATCTACGACAAGAAACGAAAGCATATTATGTATATTTCAATCTGAAAATCGTTTTATGAAACGAATTATAGGTTATTAATATGAAAAATATATATTAAAAAAAATTAAATGGAATACATCTCGATTATGATATATTAATTTGCAACTGTGATAGCTAACAAGTAGTACGTTTTTATAACGATTGATTTCAATAGTTTATTGTTTTTAAACATTATAATTCACCTTAATATTTTAAACAAGAAATAAAGAGTAATAAAATTAATGATAATGAAATAATTTTTTTTTTTTTTATTATAGTCTCAGCATTATCTCCCAGTAAGTATTAATTTTAAAATGGCAAACAAGCTGACGGCCCACTTGATGGAAAGTGATAACCGTCGCCTATAAACATGGACAGTACCATGGACATAGAGTATACTGTTTCGCCCATGATTCCCCCGTGCATTGCCATTCCTGAGAACGAAGGTGTTATACCTCTGTACCCTGTAAATGCACTACCATATCCCATCCTTCCAATCGAAACACAGCCATGCAAACACAACTGCTTCACGGTAGAAACACGAATGGAACAGAGGTACCGAAACAAACGATTTTTGTAGTCTCCCTCTGGTGACATATCAAAATAATATTCCCCGAGGAAGAAAATGACTACTACTAACATTATAAATACTTAACCGACTTTATATAATTTATAAGTATTTTTGAATAAATAAGGTTTATCCATTATAAAATTGTTAGTTAAACCATTACAAAAAGGTTGTGAAAAAGATCACTGTTCAAAATCAGTTCAGAATTATCATAAAGATTGCGTAAGATACACAAAAAAAATACAATCAAATTAGGAAGGGGGGGGGGTGGAAGGGATTGTTAGTAATGGAGACTGAGAATCCTATTGCTAGCAATATACCCAACCAGGTCGACCTCCTCGCGGTTCTCCCTGGAAACTATCATGCTTAATTCCTGATGAATTCATCATGATGGGCTAACTGACCTGTTTTCATTCTCATCTATCACTCTTCACTGGTGCTCCGCCAGCGTATCCCGTTAGCGCAGGCGGGATTACCATACCATTTTCATCCATCAAAAAAAAAAATCAAATTAGGAATCTCCTAGTTTTCGAAGTAGCTTAAAAAAACTATTTATTTAACCCAAATAACTATTTATCATCATCATCATCATCATTTCAGCCATTATCCGTCCACTGCTGGACATAAGCCTTTCCCATAGACTTATGGCAATAAGAAACTATCCTGAGCCACTTGCATTCATTGATTTCCTGCAATGGATTTCAGGTAGTCACTCCATTAGTAGGAGAGGTCGTCCTACACTACGTTTGCCCATACGGTGTCGCCACTCAAGAACCTTTCTTCCCCATCGGTTGTCAGTTTTTCGAGCTATGTGACCAGCTCATTGATCTCCAAAAACCTATTGTTCTTTAGCAATTTGTTAATTTCATCAGCTTTTACTTTAGTAAAAAGATACGCCACCTAATCCTCTCCGTCTCGCTTCATGTGATATGCACACGGGTCCGAGTTGCTTAGGGTCCCCTGCGAGTACCACCCGGCCCGAGGGTGATAGCAGGCCACATATCGGGATCAACGTGGCGGGCTCGGACGCCTGTGCCGCTTCATCAATAAATAAATGTGTCATTTGAAGTTTATGTCCTGCTTGACTTCTTGGCCTGAAAAGAATTACATTATAAGATCTTCTCTGATATCAACTTAATGTATTCTTTTATATTAAGTTAAAATATTGTATTATTTAATACTATCAAATAGTAATCCCAAAGAGGGTTGACGTCAGGCAGGTGGCCGGTCGTAAAACTAAAAACCAAATCTTTCTGTAATATGGATAAAATCATATTATGCCGACCCCAAATGATTGAGATAAGGGTAGGAAGATGATGAATCCTATTAAATAGTAGCATTTTGAAAAGTAACTCTATAAACAATGTGTTTTAAGTTGTATACTTTTTTGTTTGGTTTAATTTAGCCGTCAGTATATTTGCTTTTGTCGCCGTGTGGTCCCGGCATAGAATGGGCCGCCCCTTCCTTTCCTGTGTGTGTCGTAAAAGGAGATTAAAGGAACTTAATGTCGAGGGATGAGCAGCAGCGTATTCTTAAAACATCACCCATGACTAACTGCGGTTGACAATCCACCTGCCAAGTGTGATAACTATTGGTAAAACTACATTTTTGGGAGAGGCCTATTATGTTCAACAGTAGATAATTACGTCCATAGTACTGTTCATGTCTATAGGCGATGGTTAGCATTTTCCGTCAGGTGGGCTATCAGCTTTTTGCCATTCTAAGTTGCATAAAAAAAAGTGGACAATAAATGGCTGGCTGATATGATAATGATGATATTTGCTGTTTTTTTTTTTTGATGGGTGAAATTGGTATGATAACCCCGCCTGCGCTAACGGGATACGCTGGCGGAGCACCAGTGAAGGGTGATAGATGAGAATGAAAACAGATGAGTTACCCCATCATGATGAATTCATCAGGAATTAACCATGATAGTTTCCAGGGGGAACCGCGAGGAGGTCAACCTAGTTGGGTATATTGCTAGCAATGGGATTCTCAGTCTCCATAACTAACAATCCCTTTCCCCCCTGATATTTGCTGTTATAAACCATATAAAAAAAGAACTCACGAGGCATATTTAGCAGCATGTGATAGTGTCGTTACCAATATCCTGTAATTGGCCGCTTGGACGTTGCTTAATGAGTAGAAGTTCTCGTAGGAAGTGCCGTTCGATATCGGCGCCAGGACCGGCGGCATCACGTTCCTGTTGTAAATAAATGCAAAAACAAAAGTTCACGACAAATTCATTAGAAAACCAACTGAATTACACGACCTATGTTACAAACGCGATTGTTAATTAACGTAGTAGGACCCAATACGCCACAATCGCAGTTCGTCCTAAACATAAAGATTTCATTCGTTTCTTAAACAATCTACAAACTCTGATTCTATCCTATATACAGAGTGAAATAAAAAATCGATAGCAATACGTAAAAATAAAAATTTGCTGATGGTATCAGAACAGAAATATCTTAAATCAAATTTTCAAAAACGTCAAATATTTTAAATCTCCCATACTAAGTTAACAGCTGCACACGCCCTGATAGTTCTTTTTTTCATGTTTCAAAAACTTTATCATTTTTCGACCCATGTTTCTTTAGTGAAAAGGTTCAATCTCACTAGTAAAACACTCCAATACAATTTTGGAATTTTCGTAACAATTTTGATTTTACCTAACATATATATATATATATGATAAATAAAAAGTGGATATATATAGAAAATACACCGTTTAAAGAAAATCATATACATAATGTAAAAAAAACACACACACACACACAATCCTTATTAAGAAAATCGATGTACCCTATTCATACTGGTAGAGCATGTGTGGCAAGATAATTGTTAACAGTAAATCCTACCTTTACGAGCTGCTTCTTTGTCAGCATAAAAATAATAAAAAGAAATTATTTATATATACGTATATTATATATGTATAATATATTCCCTTAAAATGCAGATAATTTGGTACTACATTATATATATATATATATATATATATATATATATATATATATATATATATATATATATATATATATATATATATATATATATATATAAATACCTAAAGTAATAAGAAATATATATTGGATTGAATATGGTTTGATGAAAACAATCTTAATCACAGAAATAGGCATATAAAGAATGACGTGAAAAATATAAATGGACAAAATTGTGTTCGTTATCTGTAAAATATTGTTTGGTTTACGAGACAGCTACAAACAATCCAATAATAAATGAGTTGAGACTTATCAAAAGAGAGAATCGAATTTCTCCTACTTAGTCGCACTCCAACTGTAATAAAACATACAAAAAAAAAACACAAACTTACCATTCCCTGGTCTGAGAGTTGGCGCGGAAAATAAAGTTGGCAATATTTAATTTTTTATTGTATTGTAACAGCATCACTGCGATGTGATCGGCCGCCATGTTCGAGTCCGTGCATACCATGATACGATGACGTGCGTTCATCACCACTAACTATAACAATAAAGAACAAGTGCTATGTATGATGAAACTGAAGATCTATTATTAATAGTATCTTAGGTTATGACTGTCATTTTACAATAACTTATCCAAATCACACACTCACAAATTGGACTGTCATGATTCACCAACAAAATATTATTTGAACAAATTGTATTATTTGCTAGTACCTTAAGTGTTACTGTTTCTTTTTTATTTATTTATATATTTTGTGTCATTATGCCGTATAGAGAAGAGCACTGCTTATCCATGTACAGGATTTAGGGAGCAGGTTTTCACCTATGTTTAAAGATATTTGTATCATTTAGTTTGAAATAAACTATTTATATTAATAATATAAAAACGAAAGATTTAATTAGTTTGTATGTAAGGGATAAACCCAAAGATGGTTGACGTCAGGCAGGCGACGGGTCGTAAAACTATAAGCCAAATCTTTTTGTAATATAGATAAAAACATTACGCCGACCCCATACAATAATTGGGATAAGGGTAGGAAGATGATGTATGTAAGGGATAAACCCGAAAAGTAGTCAACCAGTTTTAAAGATTCTTTCACCTATAGACTGTACGAGTAGATTATTTTCGAAAATTCCATCTACTCGTGCGAAGGCGAGCCGGATCTTTACTATTGTAATTTTTTTTTTACATTTATATACAAAGATTTATCTTCCGACAGCAGAATCCGACTGAGTTCGAACCCACATCTCTCTGCTATTCGATCTGAATATATTCCCAATCCACCAAAGAAGAAATATTGTAAACTAGCCAATCGATAAAAACGTTTCAATTAGCGCACATAAGAGAAAAAGACAGCGCACAACGCCATCTCTTTCTATCTCATAGATTTGCTAGATATAACGCTGCATACTTCGACACACCGACAGGGACACTACGAGCACAACAATAATTGTCGGTTAAATCCGGCTTTAAAAGATCAAGTATTACCTGCACTATAGCTTCTACAATGGTCATCGTCTTGCCCGTCCCCGGCGGACCGAACACCATGTAAGGAGCTCGACCCGACGTTCCGGACACGATGTGCTGCACCGCTGATCGCTGTTCTTCGTTCTTTTGTATTAATTTATTATAATATCTGAAAATGTTATTAAATAATTATTGAAGAGTAAATTTACCTGAACTAGCTTGGACATATGCATCGCAGGTAGCACCTCTTATAAAAAAATGAAACTTAGACTAAAGCTGATGAGTTGGCGAGAAAGAAATTAGAATAAAAAATAATAATAAATAACCATTTGTCGCGCTTGCATCAAGTGTCGTGTCGTTAACTATACCCTTGAGGAATGTGCAAGAATAACTTATGAAGAAAAACAGAAAAAATTATGGAGAAAAATGAAGGGTCGCAGGCATTGTAAAAGTTTTTAAACAACAAGCCTGAAGGATGGGATAAACTTATCTACAATGGAGGCAGACAAAAAGCAAGACTTATAATGGGTACCTTAACTGGAGACATGGCAGTAAAGGATATATTATACAAGATGGGTCTATCTTCAGACACCCTGAAGATTGTGGGGAGAGGAATCGGAATCCATAGAACATCAGATATAAAACTATGATTTCTTGAAAAGTATGCATATAAGTCTACTGGAAACGGATTATCCCGAGCCAGGAGACTATAGATATCTTAAATCACAGGATATTGTTTATTAATATTATTTTAAACTAGCTTTTGCCCGCGTCTCTGTATGTGTTGTGTAGTATTTATACATTAAGTTGAAATTTTTAAAAAATCTTTTTTAGCAAATGTTAAGGTAAATATTAAATAATATTTATATTCAAAATTTCAGCTTTCTAGAGATTTTTTTTTTATATACAACTTAGAATGGCAAACAAGCTAACGGCCCACCTGATGGAAAGTGGTCACCGTCGCCTATAGTCATGAGCAGTACCATGGACATAACAGAGTATACTGTTTCGCCCATGATACCCCCATGCGTTGCCATTCCTGAGGACTCAGGTGTTATTCCTCCGTACCCAGTAAATTCACGCCATATCCCACCCTTCAAACCGAAACACAGTCATGCAAACACAACTGCTTCACGGTTGAAACACGAATGGGACAGAGGTATCCAAGCAATCGACTTTTGTACAAAGTCTCCCTCTGGTAATAGAGTAGAACTAGTTCTTGGCTGTGCGTTAGAAATCAATCGAGACAAACTATCAGTACAGATTATCTGTTTTGAAAAAGATAATTTTTGCGTTGAGTTGGTTAAAATGGTTTTTTTTTTCATACTACGAAGGTGGCAAACATACGCCTGCAGCACTGTCGGTGCCCTGTGTGCGTTGCCGACTGTAAAGAATATAACCATTTTGAAAAATCAATACTGTAGTGTCTAGGGAAAAAGCTCAAGAGAACTCCTTCCATAGCCTGAGCGTTCGAATGAGAAAATTCCTTTGAAACCGCACTGTACATGACCATTTAAGTATAAGCGTATGAGGACGAATTCCCTGTTGATAGCAAGCAGTGCGATGATAAAAGAGCTGTAGGCATCGTTTTAAAAAATTCCTCAGAACACAATCGGTTGTACAAGCGGTAAAATACAAATAAAAAGGCAATAATAGACTTAAGGGCTTGATACCGCTTCATATATTCCTAATGATGTTTAATGTGTTATATATAATTGATGAAACAGCGTGTCCTACTAGCGTGTACACCGGCAATATTAATATAAACAGACTTACTGTGGGATCATCTTGAGCGCCACTTGTTTCTTGCTCGGCACGGGGAACACCCGGCTGTTTTGATTGCTGGTAAACACCTTCGAGATTGCGTTGTGCATGCGCTCCATCGGTACACGAGACATAATGAAGTGCACGTCGAACAAACTGTCTTCATTGTAGAGGTTGTTGAAACTGGCAGGTTAACCAATCAACATCAGAATAATGGCCTACTAATAACTTTATTTTATTTTATGCAATGGCAAACAATCTGAGGGCCCACCTGAAGGAAAGTGGTAACCTTCGCCTATAGATATGAGCAGTACCATGGACATAACAGAGTATACTGTTACCCCCCATGCGTTGCTATTCCTGAGGACTCAGGTGTTATTCCTCTGTATCCTGTAAATTCACTGCCATATTTCACCCTTCAAACCAAAACACAACCATGTAAACACAACTGCTTCACGGTAGAAACACGAATGAGACAGACGAAGCAAACAACTTTTTTTGTACAAAATCTACCCCTGGTAGTTATGGTAAAAGTCCACTAGGTGTAAATCTAGTATATAGTTTATAAATGTCGGTACGAAGGTACCAAAATTCAAATCTGTTTATTCGTTAAAACATAATTGAGTTACAAACATACGAATATGTTTATAAACTTTTACATTCATTTTTTTTATACTATCAATTAGGCCGTATGCTTATTTGCCACCCGTGTTACAAAAAAAAAGTTATATGTAAAATATATTTTTAAAATCAAACGTAAATACTAAACCATACCTTTCATCAATATCTGTTAATTGTATCTGACAATCCATTATATTCTTAACAAAACTTTCATATATAATGTTCTGATCCTCACTAGGGCGGATTAAAATTTTATCTCCTGCAATACAAAAAAATATATATATATATATATATAAATATTATGTACGATTCATGTCTATAGACAATGGCTATGATGGTATAGTGGATGATCAAATGTCGTTCCTTTATAATAGGACAATACCTAAAACGTATATACATGTATTGAGCTGTCTACCGCATTTTTTTTGTGGTCAAATATTAACAGTAATTCTAGCTTTTTAACATTCCAATGGGTATTACAACATAAAAAAAAACAGTGGAATTACCTGTCCTATTCCAAAGATAGATAATATCATTGAATACACACTAAATATTTTAATAATCCGTTATAATGTCAAGTAAGAGCTTAATATAAAATATTCTGTCTCTCTCTCTCTCTTAAAACAACTTAAATAATAAATAACAAATAACTTAAGACAAGCGCAAAAAATAGTCCATCTTTCGACAGCATTTCTCTTTGTGTAATTCGTTTATTTGCACCACACGGTCACGTTGCAACATTTAATCTATACTAATATATAATATTAGTATTAGTAGAGGAAAGATTTGAGTATTTGTATGTTTGTTCATAATGGATAACCCCAAAAACTTCTCAATTGATTTTAAAAGTTCGTCCACCTATATAAAGCTACATTCTCAACGAGTAATATAAGGGACGCATATATTTATTGCCAAAAATATACATTTAAAAAAAGTTTGAGTTTCTTATGAAAATTGCAGAATATAAACCAAATTTAATTTATCTTATTTTTCATTTTACTATATAATATATACATATACATTTTACATATATATAATATATACATTTTATATATATATATATATATATATATACGTACCTAATACTTTTATAAAGTTTCACCCAATTCAACAGATCGAATATTTTATAGCATTATATATGTAATTTTTTAGATGGATATAACTTTTATATTTAAGAACCGATTGAAATAATTGATGTGAAGTAAACCGCAACGCACTAGTGAAAATCGCGTTCAAATCGGATAAGCCGTTTCTAAGATTAGCGCGAATAAACCTACAGACAAACAGTCTAAAATTCTAAAAATCATTGTTTTGGGTTCTATTGCGTTTATAAAGCCCCCCTATAATAGATTTTCTTATATATCTTCTATGTACAGACAGCGACTAGCTACAATTTTATTATATATACATTGATTGATATAGTTAGTTAACTGATCTGTATTGTAGACTAATCTAAAATTGGTCTAAAATAAGTGATTGGTCAATGAAAGTATTGTTGTATTGAACAGCTTCTTACCACGCAACACAGATGGACGTTTTTCAGCTAACCCTTCAACTTCAAGGAGGTATCCATTATCGTTAGGCATTTTTTGCAATTTCACTTTAGCCATATTGTAATTCTAAAAAAATATTATATGTTATAAAAATAATAGACTTCGCTATTTTTGAAAGCTCATTAAAAATATCCAAATATTTACATTTATTTTGCACATGACTACTAAATAATCACAACCATAGGAAATAGGGGGGAAAGGAATTGTTAGCAATGGAGTTTGACAGCCCCATTGTTAGCAATATGCCCTATTAGGTCGACTTCCACGTGGTTCCCCCTGGGAAACATCGTGAACAATTCTTATTGAATTCGTCACGATGCCTTCACTGGTGCTCCGCCAGCGTATCCCGTCAGCGCAGGCAGAGTTACCATACCATTTTCACTCATCAAAAAAAAAAAACCATAGGAAATATTAAAGTTTAATTTCATAATTATTGAAAATAAACTGTCACACAAATCTTACAGGTGTAATAATAGATAATGAATTAGAAAAAGTAAAAAGGAAATAAATCGACTTACATATAACATACAAAATAAGAACTGTGTGAAAGCGTTTACTATTCGAGATGTTTCCTTAGTGTTTACAAAGAAAACATCTCAAATAGTAAACACTAAAATTTAGCCAACATTCAAATAAAAAATCCCACCTTAAGATTAATTCGGGCAATGACCTCTTCCCACCACAGTAAATGATGAAAATATATCATGTAATTTTCTTGCGTTATACCTTCTACGAATATTGACCTGAAAAAAATATTTGAAAATATTTAGGAAAAAAAGTAAAATGTTACGTCCAAAAATTTTTACTATTATACAATAAAAATATTTTTTTATGTGAATATGAAACAACGTTTAAAAAAATACATCATAAGGTAGAGTTACCTCGTAATTAGTAATTAATCTTTAACAAGGAGAGGGCAGGTGAAATATTTCAAAGTCTTTTTTTTATACAACTTAGAATAGCAAACAAGCTGACGGACCACCTGATGGAAAGTAGTAACCGTCGCCTATAGACATGAGCAGTACCATGGACATAACAGAGTATACTGTTTCGCCCATGATACCCCCCATGCGTTGTCATTCCTGAGGACTCAGGTGTTATGTCTCTGTACCCAGTAAATTCACGCCATATCCCACCCTTCAAACCGAAACACAGCCATGCAAACACAACTGCTTCACAGTTGAAACACGAATGGGACAGAGGTACCCAAGCAATCGATTATAAACTTTCATTCCTTTATTTATAAACTTAATCTAATTTGTAACTCCAAATCCACTCCGTTTAAAGCATTCGGTTCTCAATACTGTGTTAATCAAGAATCGAACTTGGGAATTAAATTGTTTTAATAACTTTATTGACTAAGAAAGTGTAGTAAAAAGAGCGCATTTATAACTCGTAGCATTTACTATCATCAACCCTTTTAGTACCATTGATTTTTACTCATATCTACTTAAAATTGCCAAAGAAATCTTTGTCGTGTTGTGTCATTTACCCTTGTCTCTATAAAAACTGTATCTTCTCCAAAAATTATCCAATTTTAATATTTTTTTTACAGCAAGCTAAACAGCGACTGATTTCACGAGCGCTATGACGCTCGTGGCACTTTCAGTTGCAATGCGCACGAGCGCGATGGCGCTCGTCGGCACTCAAAGGGTTAAAAAAAAAAAATTCCGATTACCCAAAAGTAAAAAGAGACACCGCGCCACAGAAATCACCAATATTCATCGATATTATAAATGTAAAAGTGAGTTATTTTGTTTGTCTGTTCTTTTATTATACCTTGGTAACTTAACGACTTAACTAATCGCTATTAAATTTGATATAATTAGTATTTAGGATAAAAGAACATAGAATACTTTTTATCCAAGTTAATTAACGTAACCCAGACGCGGGGCCAAGTCGCGAGTAAAAAGTACTGCATAATAAAACATACCTCGTATATATGAGCACCTGTTTTAATTTGTCCATTTCATCTGGTGGCATTTGCAAACCATCCAAAGCGTCTTCCTCGAGACCGCGGGGCAACAAGATTTTTAATAATTTCGGAACTTTATAAGTATCATCAAGAGTCCTGTAAATTACATATAAGAAAAAATAAAAAATATAATCATTGAAATATTAACTATCACAATTTATAAAAAGAAAATCAAACATGTTATTGAAAAATTAAACCTCCGATATGAATGACCACATGTTTTATTAATACAGACAGTGTATACCGATAGTGCAGGCGGAGTTACCATTCCATTTTCAACCATTTAAAAAAGGGGGAAAAGGGATTATTAGTAATGGAGACTGAGAATCCTATTGCTAGCAATATACCCAACCAGGTCGACCTCCTCGCGGTTCCCCCTGGAAACTATCATGGTTAATTCCTGATGAATTCATCATGATGGGCTAACTGGTCTGTTTTCATTCTCATCTATCACCCTTCACTGGTGCCCCGCCAGCGTATCCCGTTAGCACAGGCGGGGTTACCATACCATTTTCACCCATAAAAAAAACCATTTAAAAAAAAAACAAGTATCGTGGGCATCGTACTGCATACTGTGTTATCTATAATACTGTGCATGTCTTTGCAATGGTTACCACTTTCCATCAGGTGGGCCGATAATTTGTTTATGATTCTAATTGCCACAATAAGAGAAGTTATTAAAATAACACTAATATTAGTTAATAATAATAAAAAATGGTTATTAGAATAGACTGCCATAAAGTACGGTCCGGGGCCACCTGCATCCAACGACACCCTGCTATGCACTTGAGGTCGTTACTCCATCTAGTAGGGGATCTTCCTACACTACGTCATAATATGCGTTATAATATTATCTTGTAATAATTATTAACTCAATTACACTTAAACAAATTAACACATTTTTGCTCCTCATTTAATTTGATGTTATAGTTACTATCTCAATTTAAACATATTATACGTTATAGATTTACCATTAATAAAGATAAAAATAGACGTACACACGTGATGGTGACTTAATGTAGTGATCAGCTTTGCCCCAATGCTCACTTGTGTAGTGACTTTTGCTAAATTCGTTTTTATTAGATGGATTTTCCTCCACCGAGACCACCTGTGTATAGAAGAAATTAGATGATATTTGAACACCTTTTAACAATTATTACTGTGCGAGGGTAGTGCCCTCTAGTGTTCAGATGAAGACCTATAACGTGACTTATCGCATGACGGCTATACGTGACCTCCGAAGCGGAAAAGTGTATTTATAAATGTACCAAATATGCAATTAGGAATTTAAGGATTTGGACTGGCCTTTCGATTGTTTTTTTTTTTAATTTAATTTATATATAGGTATAGATTTAGTAAAAAATCTCTGCAATAAATATTGTAAAAAATATTACCATATTTTTACACATTTATTTTAGTGATATTTAAATACACAATACAAAATAATTACAAATAATAAAAATATTATTCTAAATATTCAAAAAAGGAAAACTTGGAGTACATAAAACCCTATACTAATCGCCCAGTTAACGATGATGCCCCATGATGGGACGTTCACAGATTGTTAAGGTACACGAAATTCATAAGACCAAAAATTTTATTCTTATGAATTGAATAGGAATAGGGATAAAAATGGCCATACCTTTCTCTATTCCTAATACTACGTTTATATCAAATGTTATTGCCGTTGATGTTAAAGCGCTAAGAATTAACAAACCCGCTTTGACATTTATAATATTCGTAAAGTTATGAAGAGCATTCATAAAGAAATGTAGCAACGTCGCAATTATCTGTCAATTTTCAAAAGAAAATGATCATTTTTAAATATTTTGAATTATTTAATAAATGCTCTGAGAGCGAAGTGGTAAGCAAAAGCTATGGCCGCTCTTAACATTGTAATAACAAAACTTACCAATTCTCGAAGAATAATCAAACTCTTCTCATCATTTTCCTTTTGGAAGGTAAATATTATTGGCATTTCATTATAGCCAATATCTGTTGATTCAAAACGAACTACCACTTTTCCCTTAAGTGATGTTTCTGTAATGCAAACAATCTGATTACCAACCTCATAAGTGTCTAAAACTCGTCGACTTCATATGCGTAAGAGCAAGTACTTGTTAGTTATGGGATCTAACAGGTCTATTGTTAGTAATTTACCCTGTCAGGACGACCTCCACAAGGTTTAATACGTGAATTCGTCACGATGTGCTAACTGCTTTCATCGTCACATACTATTCTCAATGGGGGAAAAGGATTGTTATTAATTGGGTTTAACAGGCCTATTGCTAGCAATATACTCTATCAGGTCGACTTTCACGCGATTCCCCATGGAAACCATCGTAATTAAATTCTTATGGTGTTCGTCACGATGGGCTAACCAATACGCTTTCATCCTCACCTATCATCTCTCACTGGTGCCTCGCCAGCGTATACCGATAGCGTAGATGAAGTCGCCATTTCAATTTCATCTATTAAAAAAACTTCATTGACTCTCCCTCTCTCTCCTCGCGCATACGTCGGCCTTCAAATACAATTTTAATTAAATATTATTATTTTTCAAAATACTTCGATCAATGTTTATGTTCTAATTAATGTGAGATGCGATGGAAATAGGATTCACAGTTCTAAAGGTGTCCAATATTAAATGACTAAATAGCTATCCAAATTAAATTCGATCACAGGACTTAGCAAATTAGTGTAATATAAATATATATAATATATATATTTATATTACACTAGCGTTTGCCCGCGGTTTCACTTGTGTGTGGTATTCGATTTCTTGTTCTATAAAATTTCACGTGTCTGATTTCTGAACTGACGAAATTCCACAACTAACTTTTAACCGTCTTTGCAATCAAACTCTAATGGGTTAACCATTAGAGTTTGATTTTCAAAATTATTTTCTTATTATTCACCTACGCTATATAAAGAACCTATATACAAAATTTCAAGATTATTCATTCGCGGTTTCAGCTGTGCTTTGACATATGGATCAATAAAGCAGCACCTACTTATATATATATATATATATATATATATATATATATATATATATATATATATATATATATATATATATATATATATATATAAAAAAAAATCTCTAAAAAAATATTAATAATCAAATAACCAGTAATATTATATACTCACTCTTTTCCAAAACATATGGATCTTGACCAAATACATAAGGATGATCATCCATTTGAAACTGATGTTGGGGGTGAGCCAGCAAAACCCCCACAAAAAATACATTTTCATTTCTCATATCATTAGAAATATTGAATGAAAATACAACTTGCTGTCTGGGCTTTACCTAAAAAAAAATATTTGCATATAAAATAAATTGGTTGAGACGCTTTAACAGCTCAACCAATCTTACAAGATTTGCCATTATAATATTTCGTATAGGGAAAGACATAAGAAAGTTTTTAGTCCGAACAATATATCCATGTCACGCATACGAAGTCGTGAATAAAGACTCATTATATGATCATACACACCTTTAACTGTCCACTGCTGAACATAAACCTCCCTATTGGGGGATTTTGCCAGTAGTTACCATGCTTGGCAGGCGGATCGGCAACCGCAGTTAGGCTTTGAATATATTCTAAGAAAGCTGCTGCCCATCCCTCGCCATAGCATAGTCGCCTCTATCGACACCCACTAGAAAGGAAGAGGTGGCCTATTCTATGCTGGGGCACACACGGCGGAATAATGACTAATCCTCTGAAATGTACCAGAGGGAGACTTTGTACAAAAGTCGATTGCTTGGGTACCTCTGTCCCATTCGCGTTTCTACCGTGAAGCAGTTGTTTGCATGGCTGTGTTTCGGTTTGAAGGGTGCGATATGGCAGTGAATTTACAAGGTACAGAGGAATAACACCTGAGTCCTCGGGAATGGCAACGCATGGGTATGGAAACAGTATACTCTGTTATGTCCATGGTACTGCTCATGTCTATAGGCGACGGTTACCACTTTATATCAGGTGGGCCGTCAGCTTGTTTGCCATTCTAAATTGTATAAAAAAAAAAGAAAAAAAATCCTCACTATTGTGTGAAAATAAGTTTTTTAACTCTTAGTCCCTTAAAAGCTCAACCATTATTTTTTCTGCCCTCGTCCCATATCATTGGCATTTATTATCAACACTATGAAATGATGGTATAAGGCAGGGGGAAACACAAAAGATTCTTATGGGTCGACGTGCAATGGCTTAATTGACCCCATATGCGAAAATAAGATATTATCAACACAGTAATGTAAAGGTACTAACACTACTAACTAGGTATTTAAGATTATTATACAGAAGAGACCGGATTCATTAAAAAAAAAAGCGTTTATGTACTCTCAAATATGTCTTTGCGGTACATACGGTTCAACCGAACCTATGGATATATGACTATGGATATAGTATTCCAAATTATATTGCATTTCACAGTGAAAGGTAGTCAAATTAAGTGTAAAAAGACAAGGAAAGGAATACTTACATTAACCCTAACTTTTCTTTTATTAGAATTTTCAATCGTGACGACCTCAGCGCCGTCTAGTGGCTCACTACGAACATCACATAGTACTATGATTCCATCTCTGTTTCCAGAATAGAATCCCCTGAAAAACGAAAAACATAAGTTATTAGGATAGATACCAAAGTTCCAATAAAAAAAAAAATACCTAACAAAGAATAGTTCCTCAGTGCAAGGTGCAGACTGAAAATTCAAACGCAGAGGTCATTAATAAACTCACGCGTAGCTTACTTAGTACTAAATTTAATTACTAAAAAGAAATGACAACGTTCATTTATACCTATTCAGTATCACTGCTCTATGGGGGGAAGGGATAGTTAGTAATGTGAACTACCAATCCCATTGTTAGCAATATACCCTGTCAGATCGACCTCCACGTAGCCCCCATGGAAACCATCGTGCTGGATTCCAGGTGTAGTATCATCACGATGGGCTACATGACATTTTTCATTCTTGCCTATCATCTCTCACTGCTGCCCCGCCGGCGTATACCGATAGCGCAGGGAGAGTTACCATTTCATTATCATCCATTAAAACACTGCTCTATGACGCGTTTATATATAATTAACATAATTATTAAATGATCTTGGCATGTGTTTTTGTTAAATTAATCTATACTCTATACTAATATTATTATATGAAAAGATTTTATTCTTTGTTTATCATAAACTCAAAAACTATTCAACAGATTTAGAAAAAAACATATATATATTTTTTTTAATTCTATTTAAATAGTACATAAAATAAACAAATACTTAAAAAGGTTTGTGTATTAATTGTATATCATTGCATACATGCATGTTCATATTATTTTTATATAATTGAATTCTATTTAAAAAGTAAGGCAACAAGTACAAACAAACAAATGAAAATGGTAAACAACGTATAATAGTAAGCAGATTCTTAAGAACAATTTTTACTTACTTGTTATTTTTGTAATTAGCAAGAATTACATTGCTAATGTGTTTTGGAGTAACTTCGTGAGCACACTCAGAATTTTCATTGTAATGTTCATCTACTATCCCACACACTTCACAATTCATTTTCTCTGCAATATCATGTGAAAATTATTAAATTTATAATATTTAAAAGTACACATAACCAGATTATGAAAACGAAAATTAGATAACATATGAAAAGAGGAATTTAAAGGAAACTTGTTAAAAATTCAATACGTATTTTCACTGAGTTATATAATTACATTTATAACAAATTATCGCCTGCGACTTCGAACACATGCATTTTAGAAGTAATGAAAGACCACTTCTAATTGATATATCTACACGTAAATAAAACATATAATTTTCTAGTTAGACCACAACTGTATAAACTGCATATAATTGTCACAGTAGTTTTATAATAGTGTGATGCAAAAAACAAACAAAGACTGGCAAATATTCTAAAAATTATTGTTTTAGTTCTTATAAGAAACTCTCTTATCAATTTTTTTTCACATATCTCCTATCATCATGCTATACATATTATATATAATATATATATCATGTTTATTTTATGACTCATCACCATTATCAATTTGTTTATCTAATAACACATAAACTTATTAGTCATTAATAGCTTTGCAAATCATAATGGAAAACTATACAAGATCCCAAATCCTTTCTTGGTTTACAATGTAACTCTTTAATTACAGCCCCATTAATTAAGTGGCAAACAAGTCTATCTATATATTTATGAGAATAAGGCTAGTAAAGAAATCTATTGATTTTATTGCTAATAATATACTTTGAAGATGTTCGGATACTTGTTACTCAACTAGACTTGAATGATTCGATGGATTTAATATTTAACCCTTATTGTAGATGTAATAATTATTTATTTTAAATGGAGATTGGTACATCGTTAGGTTATATCTATCCCAACTTAACACATAGGAATTTTACACAAGTTAATTTTAATAAAGATGATTTGATTTTACTTATTACTATTATAATAGAATTGTAAAAAAACAATGTCTGTACATGGAAAATATTTAAGAAAAAGTGATAGGAGAGATCTTAATAATAGCAATAGAAACCCAAATGATAATTTTTAGAAATTTTGTTTTCTGTATGTTTGTTCTAGCATCACAAAATTAAATATGGTTTACATAGTTGCAAAACAGTATTACAACATACACCAGTTTTTAAGTTACATTTTCAGATGGTATATGTATAAAACATACACCATGCTTAATATGCCATTTTCAAGTGGACGTTCATTGGATTTCCTACTTCTAAAATCCATATGTAGCAGGTGAAAAGCTAATACTTCACATAATAATTAACGTAAGTGTAGGCACAGGAAACTGTTAATAAAAAACTATTAAAATATTGAAATATACAATATATATACTAATAAAATGTTATAGACTGTTGAAAAATAAATACATACTTAATTCAACTTTTTTTTTATTTTCTTGCACATAACTAGGACATGTTCTCTAACTGCAATAAAAGCAGTAGTGTATGTGCTTTTCAATTTCATATAGTATATGTATACCCAATTTCTATGATTTAATAAGCTGGTAAGGCATGTTGAGGTATGAAATATTATAAAGAGGAAAGCTTAGAATGTTTGTTTTTAATGAATAAATTCAAAAACTACTCAACCAATTTTAAAAGTTGTTTCAGCTATAGAAAACTACATTAATAGTGTACATAAGCCATATATTATTTGCCAGGTCAGATTGCTAGTTTATAATATTAAAGATAAAATATAATAAAATTTGAATTTTTTAGAAATAGAGAATGGGAATTCAGCAAATGTGGCAGTGTAAATTTTTAACATCAACAACACAATACAAACAATTATATTCATGAATGTATTTATTTATTTTTAAAGCACAGTAAAATTCTATGTTCATTTTGAGGACTTAACGTCGGACGGTATCCTCTACCAGTCAACCATTGGACAAACCGAGAAATAAGTAAGCAGTGCATTATTAAATACAGAAAAAATAAAGCAATATTTGATATATTCATATGATATAACTATATAATACACATACCTAACTATACATACACATAACTTATTAAATAAATAAATATCTAAACAGAATACATACTAAATACATGCATAGAATATTACTGTATAAAACAAATAACTGTAATAGAAAATCTAATAGCAATCTATGACTCAAAGAGAGTAACCAGAATAAGTTCACAAGGAAGGTAATTTTTTTAAGAAATAAGTGTACCTGTTATCTTTGGTCTAACCTAGATTGTCTGGGTGTTTTCTATATACGATACGTATATTTTGATAAAAAATAAATAGATACTCTGTTTTGCATAATAAATTAAATTAAAACAGTAAAATTAGCAAAAACTAAATTTAACAAGAACAGAATACTTCACAAAATAATAAGTAGGTGGTCTTGGCGCTTAAAGGGATATCTAAAAAGTATTTAAAGTATTTGCCAATTAGACGAAATACCAAATGGTGAAAGAAGTTCCTAAATGGTGTTTTATATGTAGTGTTATAAAATTGTTAGAGACAATAACACTAGTCTAAAATTAATACAATGTCACTACTAAGTATATAAATAAGAAATATTAAATTCCTAAAACAATAATTCAAAGTAAACAAAAAATAATGAAAGAATGTAATTCTGTGCTTGAATTATGACGAAATAATATCTAAATATTAATAATATAGATAAATGTAATTAAATGAAAAGTTAAAAAAACAAATTACTGAAAAATAGTTTACTTACTGAAAAAATATTGTTCCAAACACTAATAAACACAAGAAACAAAGAAGTTTTTTTATTTTGGTTAAATACGAGAACAGAAAAGTAAAACTGCACCTATTATTATACGGCACCTAGTATTATATAGTTACAGATTATCTGTTTAAAAAATTAAAGAAAGAAAATATCACATTGTAATTCCCCGAATACAGTGAAGTTCTACGTTAGGCTTAAGTATTATAAAGTGTATATAGTTGCAATATATGTATATTCGTCCAAAATACTATATATTAGATATTATCTGTTACAAACAAAAAAAAAATCCTCGATAGCGTCCTGCAACTGACTGCGATTTAGCAGTGCAAACTGCAAATCAGACCGCCTAACATCCAAATATCCAATATCGTAATCAACGCGATACACTGAAACGTTTGGACTTATTCAGTAACCGATATGCCACGATAGATAATAGCCGGACCGATTTTGGACCAAACTTCAAACCGTAGCGGTTCAATTCATTTTAGGGTACATGCACAAAGACGATATCTACAAGATAGATATATCTAAAACAGATTCAAATCATATGAATAATGAACGCGTAAATAAATATGAAGCTACAATGCATGTATTTTAATATTTGGTTGAATGAATGGTTCATCTAAGCCAACAGTCGAGTAAAAGTAACATATATGACTACTTGTTTCTTTTTATTTATTAATTTTATAATACAGAATAAAGTGTTTTGTAAAGTTTTGTATTATGTTATTGTAACAAGTGTATGATTCTATAAATAACGTTAAACTACTAAAATGAAATAAAATCAAAAGGTGTATATAAAAGGGGCTGGGTAACCCGTTCCCAATCGAATATTGTTTGGACACCCAGCGCTGTCTTTTTTTATACCAAATACTGTAATATATAGTTTCAATATCTGATATTCAAATTACATAGCCAGTACCAATTCAACATTGCAAAAAAAGCGATATAACACCGGTACGCTACGGTTATTATTTTCCACGGATATATATTAATTACGGATGAATGAATACTGGACTAGCAAAAGTAGAAAAAAATTCGTATTCTCGAGCTTCATTACTTATCAGCGTCCTAGATGTCGCTACGAACAACAAAATCAAAATTCGATTTTAATATTGATAGATATTCAACTTAGTCGTGATCAGTCATGATTGACAGTGAGTCACATGAGTGATGACAGTACCAACTACTTACTCGTTATTAAATTGGATAGATGACACTGTTCTTAGATTATGAGTGATATAATGGATAATAATATATAATAATATTTTTTTGTACTTTCGTTCTTACACGTCTTTCGTTTATGACATGGACGAAAGTGTTTTTCGTTCACGATATTACTTGTTGGAAATGTAATTTAGCCTTTGTCTAAGAAGTTTGTGTTGTCAATGTCTGAAAGGTAAATGTGTATCTGTAAAAAGAAATGTCTGTTGTTACTACTTACTCTGTGAACTGTTACAAGAATGTACAAATGTCTATATTTTTTTTTAAGGATGAAAATGGTATCCCCGCCTACGCTAACGGGATACGCTGGTGGAACACCAGTGAAGGGTGATTGATGAGAATGAAAATATGCCAGTTAGCCCATCATGATGAACACATCAGGAATAAACCATGTTAGTTTCCAGGGAGAACCGCGAGGAGGTCGACCTGGTTGGGTATATTTCTAGCAATAGGATTCTCAGTCTCCATTACTAACAATCCCTTTCCCCCCAAATGTCTATATTTGTATTACTTTACTGTTCCTTGTATAAAATATATATTTTAAAACAAAGAAGATACGTTTAATTAATAGTGTTATTAAAAAGGCTTTATAAAGCATTTGGACCATATGGTCACATGTATTTTCATTACTACTATATTATTTCATGTACTTAAGATTTTTTTTCTATACAACTTAAAATGGCAAACAAGCTGACGGCCCACCCGATGGAAAGTGGTAACCGTCGCCTATAAACATTAGCAGTACCATGGACATAACAGAGTATACTGTTTCGCCCATGATACCCCCCATGCGTTGCCATTTCTGAGGACTCAGGTGTTATTCGTCTGTACCCTGTAAATTCACGCCATATCCCACTCTTTAAACAGAAACACATCCATGCAAATACAACTGCTTCACGGTAGAATCACGAATGGGACAGAGGTACCCAAGCAATCGACTTTTGTACAAAGTCTCCCTCTGGTAAAAGATAAGATGGATGATATCATAGATATAGAATATTAATTTACTATGTTTAATCGTATATTATAGATATGGATGATACACTAAACAATAGCGTGATGGAATTTTAAATTTTCTTATATATATTTTAAATCTTTAAATTCCATAAGAAAATACTTGCAAATTTTAAGACACGATCCCTTGACACATGTCATAATTAATAATCCCTGCCTTCTCAATACTGTTATCCAATAAATGTCGTCGACATCAAAGGTGTAATTAGCCATATAATATATATGGATAGTAAACTATGGTAAATTTCCTATCATAATATGCATAATACAAATTATTATTGCATAAAACAGTATGAGCTTCTTCAAAAAGAACCTCTATAGGTCCCATAACTATAGGACTATAACTCACAACTGTGATGCTGAAGTCGATCATCTATTTAGCCACATTCAGGGTATTATGGACATTATGCTTCAGCGATATACTGATGCTGTGGTGATTAAACTTGGTGATTACGCTTATCACAGTCATTGGATTCACACACGCTTCTTCATCTTACAATCAACTTTCTCCTTTGCTGTTTTATTTGAATTCTCACAACTTATTTCCCGTCCTACTTGTATACCCGGCATAGCGGATCACTCCCCACCACTGCTGGATCTTATGCTCATCACTCACCCAGGTGAATACAACATTTCCATTAACGCTCCTCTAGGATCATTAAAGCACTGCCTAGTGCGTTCAGTGGTGGCAATAATCAAACCCACTTAAATTATTCCACCGAGTCTTCGACGTGTTTGGCACTGTAAATCGGCAGACTGTGAAGGCTTGGCACGGCAGTTGTTACGGAAACAATTTTAATAGGCATGGAATACTTTATCTCCAGCCATACTAAACATATCGGTCATTCAAAATCATTATCATTCAAAATCGGTCATTCGAAAACTTGGTTTGATGCTTCTTGTATTGAACTCTGCAGAAAAAACGGGATATTTATAATACCTGGGTGGACGTGCGGACTGCGCGGGATTCCAAAGCATCGGATCTGAAAAAGCAATACAACGCGATACGGCAATGTGCTTCTTATTTGATTTGAAAGCAAATCAAATAAGAAGCACATTGCCGTAGCAACAGCAAAACATATCCGTAGAATTGGCCAGAGGCTGGTGAGTATTCCTTGTGGGAGGTGCGCCTACTTGTCTCTCAAAGCTGTGGCGTCAGTTGACGCGTTGGTCTACTTAGCCAAGGAGAAAGCTGACTTCATATGTGCACTTTTTGCGTCGAGTTCGAGTTATCTTGAGGAGAATCAGTTTATCAGTGACTATCAATATGATTTTCGTCACGGTTGTAGCGTTGATAATCTTGTTTACTTCACGCATCATTGGACAACCACCATTAAGAATAAAGATGAAGCAATGGCGGTTAGCTTAGATATCGGAAAAGCATTCGAACAGGTCTGACATAGGTCAGCGGGTCTACCATAAAATGAAATTTCGAAATTTCGGACTCAATTTCGTGATTTTGTTTATTACCAAAATCATAAATGGACCAATAAATGGAGTTTATTTCATTCGTCCTACATCCTATCATAAAAGTCCAAAGGAACAATATTTTAATATTTTTAATATTTCCAAACGGCATGTATTATGTAATTTTAACATCAAATTTCTGTTTCGTTTGGCTCCGAAATTTCGGAAAACATTTCATGATAGGCCCTCAGTTCTATCGAAGTTTTCATCATATGGTCTTCCTGAGGAATTGTGCAGATGGGTATCTAGATTTCTAACTAGGCGCAGCATTAACATCTATATAGACAGCGTATGCTCCGATACATTACGCGTTAACGCTGGATAACCCCAGGGCTATATACTGTCGCCCACATTGTTCATCCTGCATATTAACGGCATGCTACAAGTTAAGTTCATTGTTATTCAGATAACAGTAATTATGACTCCTATTATAAGAGTAGTACTAATATCCCACAAACTGTATTTGAAGAGAGTAGAAAATAGTTGGTCCCTGCCCTTGAGGCATCTCTGGAGTGTATCTCGGAGTGAATGAAACGTAATTTTGTGTTTTTTAACCCCTCAAAGACGCAAGTCTGTGCATTTACTGCAAAGAAGACTCCGTTTGTTGTGGCACCTAATTTCTTGGATACTCCTCTTAAAGTATTGGAATACTTGAACTTCATATTACGAACGACGTTTAATTCATTTAGAAGAGAAAGTGAAACTGGCTACTAAGAAACTTGGGATTCTGAACCAGGCCAAAAAGTATTTCACACCTCAATATATACACTCCTGCTTTATATAGCCTAAATTCGCCTACAGGAGTACTGTTTACATTTTTGGGCAGGAGTACCTCAATATAAACTCCATCCATTTGACTATATACAGCGTCGAGCGGTACGAGTTGTCGATTTAGTTTGGTTTAGATTCTCTGAGTTTGAGGTTGGATATTGCTTCATTATTAATTTTATATCGACTGTACAATGGGGAATGTTCCAAGGAATATAATTCTTAACGACCTGATGGCATCGTCACCCTTTTACCATCGTACCTCTCGTCATAAAGCTGAAGTTAACTCTGATTTCTTAGGTGCATGGCATAGTACTATAGTCTATACATCGTTCACTTTTACCTCGTACACTTGAATTGTCGAATGAGCTTCCGTCCACAGGTTTCCTTTTACGATATAATATGGGGAATTTTAAAAAACGTGCCTATAAACATTAAAAAGGCAGGAAACGCACGAGCAACTCTTCTCGTGTTGCAGGTGTTCATGGGCGACAATAGCCATTTTCTATCAGATCGACCTTTTGCTCGTTTATCTCCTTAACAATGAAAAAAAAAGTCGATTGATTTCTACGAAATCGATTTTTCAAATGTTAATTCTTTCGTGAATCCCCTGAGGAATCAAATCCTTATTAAATCCTTTACTTCCTCTTAGTGCCGTCGCGAAATTTAAGATTTGTGATTCTCGATGAAAATTGGAAATGGTTTAATCGATTATCTTGATCTGCTCTCTATATATCAACTCTCTCTACGTGTCCCAACTGAACCACTAAGATTAAAAGCCTTCTTTTTTCTTCCATTTGTTTTCACTAACTATAACAAATTCATATGTCTGATGTGCAAGCGATAATTTTAACAAAATATCTAGAGATCTCAATTTACATTTACTTAATTCTATTTAAGTAAAGTAAATGGTTCTTTGATGGTTCATCTTTGAACGTGTGAATTTAACATTTTATTTTATATTACTACCTACCTTTAATGTGCGTACTACTATAATGTTGTTATTCTAGTTGATTGTATTAGCGATGTCATGTGCATTTTTTAAATCCTATAATTGTTTTGTGAAAACCTGTAATTGGTTTGTTACCTTTACTGTTTTTTTTTATTATGAAATTTTTTAGCTTTTGGTTTTCTTTAATAAAAAATAAATAAAATTACATCAAGTTCGATCCTCAACGCATAAGTATCTTCAACATATAAATTTGATGTTGCGATTTAGTTTTTTTTTTTTTATATCTTTATTTTTTTACATTGACGAATTTTGTCCATGGGTATAAACTCATGTCTATACAGGATAAAATCGAATCCCCATGTATTATCCCCATGGAAATATAGGAGTAAATTCTGTTAAGAAACACAGTTATGAGTAAGAACATTTATTTCTTGTCATAATAAATACATTTGAGATCAAGTCGTTACTTTTTATAATATCACAGGGTCCAAATAATACTAAATATATTTAAAAATCAAATTAATAGGTACAATTTTCTCTTAAATAATACGTTTATATAAAGGTATGTATTTAATGTATTAGATACTCTTAATAATTACAATCATTTAATAATAACAAAAAGCAAGGATGAGATCTTGAGAAATTAATCTAAGTCTTTATAAACTACAAGTAAAAATTAAATAAAAACAATAACAAACTAGGTACCTACCTATCTAGCTACCTACCAATATTTTAGCAAAGACCTTACAGCAATTTTATTTTTCAAAGTAATACGAAGTAGATACTGCATCAAATTAATACTTTTTCAGTAGAAACGAATCAATATTAAAGGAAATTATTCTTGTGCTATATACCTACATACAGGTAATCAGCGGAAAAGTGTCAGTAGTAAATCGTTAGCACCATTTCAAAAATTTTCCAAAAAAAGAATTCGAAAAATCGTACAAAAAATATAAGTATTTGAATAAAAAATGTTATCACAAAGGTACCAAGACATCTACATATTTGTACTTACTTCAAGTAAGTACCTAGTTAGTTGTTTATGTTTAGTTTAGATTGACGAAATATACAGTAAATATATCACTTAAATTACAAAATATTAATAATAATAAATTATAAATAATATAGTTAATATATAATAGGAAAACAATCTGATTAGGTATAGGATATCAAAACTTCTCGAAAGGTAATTCTCAAAACTACGCATACTAATTATTCAAGTAACATGGGTATTATCATTATAAATAGATAAGTAATAGTACCTTTCTACGTCATTATATAATATCAAAAATTTTACATGTTGACTAGCTAAGCTGTGGATAATTTATTTAATATTATAATAAAGACATATACAACTTACATTTTCTATAATTTCACTGATACCGAAGTGACACGTCATATTTTATCGCATTTTACATTTATCTGCGTCACGTTATCCGAGAAACTTCTAGTAAGATAAGTACATGTCCATACATGTACTTACCAAAAGGATTATTCTAAAATTAAACCTTTTAGATTTTATACATCACGTTTTGCTCTTAGCGGGTACCGGCGGTTGGGATTAAGGAGCCATTGCGTTTTGCTCTCAACATTGTACTCCAGCCCCGTGCAAACACCCAGGTATTTGTTACAGTAATACCCGGGCGCGCACTTTTGGCCATAAATATCGAAGTCCATTTTTTCTGTGCACTGTTCCTTGGGTCCCTGAAAAGGTACAAAGTGTAATCATAAAACTCCACTCTACTCCACCGATATTCGCCGATGATTTTTCCTTCTAGAGTAAGCAACGACCAGAGAACGCCACCTGTTTCTACCTTGTTAGATTTACTTTCAATAAGTACTTCTCTACCTCTTCATCAAATAAACTTCTAGTCGTAAAACCATAAGCTTATGTAAAATGAATAAAATCATATTACGCCAACTCCACGTAATTAGGATACGAACAGAAAGATGATGAAGTGCTTATGCGGAAAGTGCGTACTGCGAGAAATGGCAAAGAAATTGATAGCCCATTTAATTTAAAATATTTATCAGGCCCTGTAGACATAATGTATACCATGAACTTGCAATAATATACATATCATGGCGAATGGATGTGTTGTTTACAAATAAATTCATCTTTATCTTTAATAGATCATACGATGCCCCTAATGGGGACAGAAGTTATGCCGCTTATGAGAGAAATTGCACTGAGTATATTTTTTGGAAACGATTGTAGTGAATTCCTCGTGATCGACTAACTGATCTACCTTTATCCTCTTTCACTCACTAGTACCCCGCTATTAATAGTAAACTAAGATTACATTTTTCATCAATAAAAAAATCTAATTTTTTCAACAATGTTTAGATATATCGCCACATTTATTCAAATACATGAATAAAATGTAAGATAATAATATACCAAATACCAGGAGCGCTAACTAAGTATCATGATCAGATTGACCATGTACTATGAGAAAATGTCCCCAACCGCGTCCTTTATTTATTTATTTATTTAAATAACTTTATTGATCAAAATAAAATAAGGTACAAAAGGCGGACTTAATCCTACTAGCATTCTCTCCCAGTCATCCATTATATGTATAATAATCGAGTCTCAAAAATAATATATTTTTAATTAGTCGTTTTATTTTATATGAAGCTATGATAAAAAAAATACAACAACGCACAACACACTTAGATTATCGCTGGCTTACCACAGATTAAATTAAAATAGATGATAGAAACAGATTAGATGTCATGTTTTAATATACCTTTGCAATATACACACATACACATATATGCAAAACAGGAATTATAAAAATGAATAAAACAAAAGATGTGTGTTAGTTTAAATGCGTCTGTCACATGATTAATTCTACCTTTCTATGAGGTATCTAGTATAAAAATTTTATATGAAGCCATGTATAAAAGTGATAGAAGCGTTATTTACCCTATAGCAGTCCAATCGGTTGTCGCAGACAGTGTTAACATAGGTACCGCGTTGACATCTCTTGTATCTTTTGTTACCTCTGACTATGGGGCACAATTCGTTGCTTGGTAACCAATCATTAGAACTAGATCCGACGCATACTGGACACTCGACAATTTCTCTGTCAATTTAATTTCCGCATTAATACTTAATTCAGTAATTTAAGAAATTGATCGGTTATTACTCTTATTATTATTCACTCTATCTATAACAGCGCTGACTAACTAAACTACCCTTATATATTTGATTTAAAAGTGGTAATCCTATCATCATCATCATATCTGCCGTTAACTGTCCACTGCTGAACATATGCCTCCCACATAGATTGATAAACAATATCATGGACCTCACAGAATTTACTGCAGCGCCCACGTAGTTTAATATACAATATATTACTTATACAGATTTATTAAACAGAAATCTTTACAGGTACCTGTAAATATAAGTATATTAGATACGTAAGTCTAGATTACAACATTAACATAATTATCAGAGTTTTTTATTATCTTTGTAGGTAGGTTACATAGACTTTTTCTTAGTACCACAGTATAGGTAATTTACACAACAAACCTTATTAAAAAAGGTTTTTTATCGCCTATAAAGTGGGGGAAATACTCGATTATAAAACTGATTTTTATTTATCCCTTTTTTGGAATAAGCATCCTAGAGTTATATATATATATATATATATATATATATATATATATATATATATATATATATATATATATATATATATATATATATATATATATATATATATATATATATATATATATATACATATATATATATATATATACAACTTAGAATGGCAAACAAGCTAACGGCCCACCTGATGGAAAGTGGTAACCGTTGCCTATGACATAACAGAGTATACTGTTTCGCCCATGATACCCCCCCATGCGCTGCCATTCCTGAGGACTCAGGTGTTATTCGTCTGTACATAGTAAATTCACGCCATATTCCACCCTTGAAACCGAAACACAACAATGCAAACACAACTGCTTCGCGGTTGAAATACGAATGGGACAGAGGTACCCAAGCAATCGACTTAATACTTATTCGATTAATGTTAAAAATTTGTTTTATAAAAATCATTATCACTGGATTCACTGAATATTACTGTCACCTATAAACACGAACGGCACCAAAAACGTCATATACTCGTAATACAATATGACGCCGACTGACGCCCTTAGTATTAGTCATATATCGTATTACTCATACATACATTTATGACTATAGTCGATGGTTACCACTTTCCATCCGATCCACTAGTAATAAAAATTTCTAGCAATTCTAAAAACTCTACAAGTGTTAATTGCTAAAAAGACTTTCCAAGATCAAGATTGTTAGTTATTACGTAATAACAATATTATTTACAGATTCATTTAAGATTATTTTTATACAACTATGATGGTAAATCATCATCATCATCAGTTCAGCTATTATCCGTCTAGTGCTGGACATAAGCCTCCCCCAAAGACTGCCATAAAGAATGGTTCTAAGCCACCTGTATCCACTGGCTCTCTGCTGGTGTATAATGGTAATTAGGGATAATAAAATTATAGTACACCTGTACAAAGCCAAAAAGATAAATGAAGATTATATGATTTTGTCTGTTTGTCTACTTAAATACCTCCGAGTTCTAAGTCACTCGTGTTTGTGCGTCCAACGTCCGCGAGATAAAAGTTCCTCTAACAGACTTCATAAGCCTTTTTAATTTTTCTAGCGCCTTCACAGATGCCCTACGTCATTTCTTATGGCTGGCGATCGGTTGTCTCTCGAATTAGGGAGCGGCAGACGGCGGTGGTCCCCAGATTAGAAGCCGGCTACTTACTCATTTGTTGCAGTTTCGGCTGCCCACCAACCTTTGTCATGCTCCTCAAACATTGCGCTTGAATTATTAATTAACACAACATGTACCCACTGCTACAGGCATTCTGTCACTCGTATCCAATAATGAGGACGAGTGCCTTAAATGCTGTACCCCAAACTATAAAAATATTACGTACCTACAGTTCAACTTACCCTTCAATATCATCCTGCGGCTCTTCTCTCTCGATGAGGTTACGTGCGTCATAACCTCCTCTGTAGTGCGCCAGGCACACGCCAATCGTCAACATCACGTACAACACAGGATGCATGTCCAATAATCTGAAGTCACAGAAACAATTACCTCATAATAATTTGAGGGGATAAGTAAAAAATTACATGATGCTGAGGCATAAAATCTTAATCCTCAGGAAAGGCGACGTATGAGGATTACTATGGACGTCGCTTAATAATCTGTAATGTCTATGCTGCTGTTCTATTCTATAGGCGATAGTTACCACTTTCCACCAGGTGGGCCAACAAATTGTTTGCCATATCAAGTTGTGTAAAAGAATTGCAAAATACTTCTATTTTTTTATTAATGGATGATAATGGCATAGTATGCCCGCCTGTGTTAACAATATACGCTGGCGGGACACCATTGATGATAGGTAAATGAAAGAACAAAATATGGAAAAAAGAATATAGTCTATGAGGGAGCACAGCTGTATAATAATACCTTTTACCTAGAAATATAAAAGATATAAACTCACCCGTACTGTTCAAGAAAGTATTAAAACACCAAAAATTGAGAGTCTACTAGTAATTAGTAATTTCATTTCAGTATTTGTGTATTTAATTCTAATATTAATTTAATTTTTGACTATAATATTTGAATACGTAATCTACATGTGTGTGTGTGTGTGTGTGTGTGTGTGTGTGGATTGCGTATTTAAGTGTATACAGAATGAGACAAATAATAAATAAAATAATAGTACAATAAATGTAAGTTAACCATCAGTTAACCGAAGATTATAGATATTGTCCTTACTTTATAAACAACCTGTTGTATGAGTTACATTGCGTTGTATAATTTTTATAAAATGAAGGTAGTTTCACATTATGTTTTATTATTAGTTGATGTTTAATAAATTACGCTCGCTAATGTAGATATTAAGTGCATGTTCATAGTTTTAAATTTCTCATTTAAGTGATTTATGTACAAATCTTTAAAGAAATAAATGTCTTAAACCGTAACCTATATATAAAAAAAGTTCCAAGTCGGTATCTAATCACTACGGTCATTGACAATCGTCAACAAGTCTTTTCAACCGACTTAAAAAAGAAGCAGGTTCTTAATTCGGTTGTATGTTTCTATATTTGTTACCTCATAACTCCGTCGCTTGTAAATTGATTTGAAAAATTGTTTTTTATCTGAAAGGATATACTTACTTGGTCCTATAGAAAAATTATCAAAATCGGTTCAGTAGTCTAGTTTTTAAATCAAAATCACTGGTTTTGCCACAATTGAAGTCAGTTTTTTTTATATGGAAGACAAACGTAAATATATAGAGTCTATATCTAAACCTCACTCCACCTCGCACGCACACATTCTCAATTAATACACGAGTAATGGTATCAAGTGTGTGTGCTGTCAAAATTAATACTTAAAAGCAGGTAGAATCACTGTAACACATATTTAAAATAATATTTGATTGTTATGTGACAGAGATATCCTTAGAAACATTTCATACATTTTATCTTTACGTAGGCGCAAATTGTGCATTGGAAGGTATCTATAACATATACATACAGATGAATCTATAAGCAAGTGTACGAGTATTTAGGCAATATATCTACCGACCATTCTTCGAATACACGGTAAAACTGAGCAATAGTAGTTTATGTTGTATCTGTGTTACGTATAACGATTATATAATAAATAAATAAACTTAATTATAATTAATCAAGGTGACTTATTTTTGAACACGTAAAAGTCGACCTTTTGAACCATTTTGTATAGTTTAGATTAGTGAACCTATCTATGGTCTATTTCAATAGAAATTAAATGAAAATGTAACCAATCTGGCTTTAATTGAAGTAGAAATATAATAGTCAGTTGTAATTTAAATAAAAATATTTTGATCACGTCAAATATTTACATAGATCTATAAATATAGCTGTGTGGTCCCGGAATAGAATGGTACACCCCTGACTTTCCCTTGGGTGTCGTAAGAAGTGACTAAGGGAGTGGTCGAAGGATAAACAACCTCCCTTTTTAAATATCACCAAAGTCTACTGCGGTTGCCATTCCGCTTGAAAAGCGTGGCAACTACTGGCAAAACCACCTAAAGGAGAGACCTATATTTAGCAGTAAGCAGTTAACAGCTGATATGATATGATGATGATAAATATAAAAAGATCCACTTTTCTTAACAGTTGGTTAAAATTAAACTCGACTTAATTACGTCAAAAGTGGAAAAAAAAACACCATAAAATTAAACGACTATTGGCTAAAAGGATGCCAGCAGGCGTCCGCGTCATCATCAAAGGAAGTCCGAGTACGTAGCACCCAGCACGTAGTATTGTTTGGTAGATGAATCACACAGACAGGTAAGTAGATAGTTAACGACTAAAATTAAAGCGACATTCGGCATTTTGATTTCACAAGTCACTGACATAGAATTAAATTTAAAAATAAACGTCATTGCATTTAGGCGGACGTCAAACAACGAACAGGAACTATGCCAATTTTCTGTATCGTTTACATTGCTGCAAATGTATTTGAGTAAAGGCAATACAAGCGTAACAATATCATCATTGGATTTTTAACATATCATAATTATCGTGGAAAATACGTCAATAATATATATCATAGTAAGTGCGCAAACATCGCTGCCCGCCCGCCCAAGCGTTCGCTCTCATAATACGCATTCATGTGATACACTTCGCCCATTTCGGAGGTATTGCTGTTTATAACAGTGCGATTAATTATCATAAATTAAACATTTTGTGATTATTTTGTGAAGAAACTTTCTGTGTTTGACAACTTGATTTTATAAATTTCATAATAAAATGGGTATGATTTCCCGTGTGCGTGGTCGTATTAGAAGTGACTCTTTCTCGAAGATTCAAACGATTAAATCGGAGGACAAAATCGCCAACATTGGTACGTTACGTACATTATTAAAATAATAATTAAAATATACATATACTTTGAATTTCAAATTGATATAATTTGTTGATAATTATATTATTACATTATACCTGTTTAATAAACATAGTATCTATTAATCAACTGTAATAATGTTAAAATTCATAACCAAGAAACCTGATAGAATTGAAAAAGAAAAAAAGATTCAAGATAAGAACTTATATTTTTAAATTTAGCTATAATTGATAAAAAATAGAATGTAGTTCAAATTCCGTTGAATGTCGATGCAGATTATTTTTAAAATGATTTGTTTGTCTGATGTTTCTACGAGTCATGTTTATACCCACGTTTCAATGAGGAATGTGTTTGTTTATAACATATATACATAGCTACACAATGGAAACTACAATGTTTTTCTAGTCAATGTAAAAATATTTTCATACATTTTAATAATAATATGAGTAGATAGGCTTCACATTTTTAACATAGAAGAAACAAAATTCTAAAAGAAATATTAAGTGAAAAAATAAAACATTAAGTATGGGTAATATAGAAGTTTGTAACAAATGTTCTAATTTTTGTTCAGAAATCCATTTAGTTGAATGAAAATAATATTCATATTAAAAATCAAATAAATTAATATAAATTCTAATTGTGGATTGATTTTGATGATTTTTATATTATCTTATATATTGGTCTTATACCATATTTTCATAATATATTTAAAGTAGAAAATTAAAAAAAAAATTAGTTACTAATTTTGTAATAAAAATAGTATTCTCTCTAGTATTAAGGTGTTAATAATTATTATGACAACATAATTGTTTATGATCTTGTACGAAGTATTCCTATAACATTAAGTTCACCTCTTGAACCAAATTTCATTCGTTTCAGGTCAATAACCTTTAAATAAATTAATATTTTCTTAAAATATTAGAAATATATCATGAAAGCTTATAAATAACATGTTGAATTTTGATATAAAAGACCTCGTTTCTCACTCACAATCCAATGGAATGTGGCTACGACGTTCTATATATTTTACAACTCCAACCTCATTTTTACTACTAATCTAGGACATCACAATAATGTATACTTATTTACCGAAACTATTTGTACCTCAGACGGATTTCTTAATTTGTATACTAGGAAATATTTTAAATCTTTAAATGACTGCTCCATTACGATTAAATAAATACAGTCAACATCAAACGTCGATGAAAGTGAAGCGATTTTTAAACAACTAAATACATACTTACATATATGACACTCTAGAAGATTAGCTTCAGAATTTTTCAAATGGACATTATAAAAGGTTAGCGTGTTTATAAGTTTCGAAAATCTTATAAAATATGTTGCTCGACCCATACGACGTAGTCGAGGTAAAGAAATATAAACTCAAATAAATACCTTCAACGTTTCTTTATCTGCTATAATAGATAGAATAAAATTGATATCGTTAACATTTTTATTAAAGATGCATTTCCATAGAAAATTTTAACCTCCCACACTGAAATTGCAAATCTTAATCGTACTGTACGTTAAACTTTTTTAGTGTTTTGTTCCATATGTATACTATTATGATCTTTTTATTAATGTTATTCATATTTAGTTGAATATAAGTCATCATTCGTTTTAACATCAAAGAGAGCGATGCCCACGACAAAGCACGTGAGGCGTTCATAAAAAGACGATAACCGACACTAAAAGTACCTACTGACTGACAAAGAACAGGATAATTCTTAATCAGAAATAACTCTTTATGAACAACTTTATTTTTATGGATGAAAGCTAAAAATCTATATAGAGTATTAATTTTTTATTAGGAAAATTTCGGATGTATTTTTCAACATATATATTTGTGCTATTTTGTATTCGTAACTCATACTATTTCCTAAACCTAAAAATTGCTTAAATTACTTAGATAAAAATTCGATAAACGAAGATAATAACTCGGGCACAATTCTGTCATGACAATTTAATTAATTATGTTTAATGAAATTATCTTTAGCCGTGTGGTCCTGGCACAGAATGGGCCACACCTTCCTTTTCCGTGGGTGTCGTAAGAGACGATAAGGAAGGGCGAAGGATGGGCAGCGTCCCTCTTAAAACATCTCCAAAGCCTAACTGCAGATGCCAATCCGCCTGACAAGCGTAGCAACTACTGGCACAACCCTCTAAAAGGGGAGGCTATGTTCAGCAGCGGACAGTTAATGGCTGATGGGATAGGAATGAAATTATCTCCATAAACTACAAGAGAAATATACTTTCTCATAATTTATACAGGCTATAAATCGCAGCATTCCAAATGTCAGTTAGAATAGTAAGTAGATAGTCTATGCGTTATAAACTACAAGCTATTTACTGCGAATCCCGCGTGAATCAGTAGGTACCTACATAAAGTATCTACTCCTCCTGCTAAGTTAGAATATAACGTAAGGATATAACCTACCAGTGTACCAAATTGCATTCAAATCCGTTCAATAATTTTAATGAATCAAATTCGTTTTATCTATTTAAAATTGGTACAGATAAAGTCCTAAATTAATACATAGGATGTTTTGTATTAACGCGGACAAAGTTGCAAGATATTAAATATATTATAGAACCAGTATAGCTAGTAGGTATAGTTTATTGATCCTATAATATATTTCTAATAACAACATTACAAATAAAATGCGACACGTGAATATTTTACGCATTTAAAATTGGCGATCCAACATGCGATGAACGGAAACAAACAAACGCATATATATTGTCGTCACTCGTAGAAATATAGTCTCCAAAATTTCCTTGGAACTCTTTTTGCAGAAACATTTCTTTAGAGAGCTTAATCTATGCCACTATGCTATGAAGGTTTATTTCTTATTTATTTTTTCATTTAAATGTATATCTAATATACTGTGATAGATTCTTCTTGGGGGAGAAAAGAGATCTGATTGAATATGATCCAACTTGAACAGAATACTCTGTCACGTCAATCTCCACACAGTCCCACCTGGAAACCATTGGTATTGTTGTTGAATTGGTCAACTGACATGAGTTTATCTTTACCTGCGATCTATCACTGGTACCTTACCAATGTATACGTTACATAAACATTTTCAATTTCATCCAGTGACCATTTTAAATAAAATGGTGAAAATCTAAACTTAATATTGGCAAAAAAGTGATTATTAATAAAAATAAAAAGATCCATAGAAATCAAATTATATGAACTTATTAAAAAACTTATAAAATAAATGTATTTGAAACAATAAAAGATTTCGTACTATTTTTCAGTATGGCTGTTGTCATTGGTGCTTCTTCTCCCCTACTGGGCTCCGAGGGGGCTGCTGGTGGCCCTGGGAGGAGCGTGGCTGATGGCAGCATACACGTGTTTGGTGGTACCAGTGCTAATATCTGCTAACTACAAATATCCAGCGAGATGGTACCCCGCAGTTGCTAGACTTGCGCAAGGTATGTTTTGTGTGATTGTCAGTCTAGTCCTGTTTATTTATCAGTCTAAAAATATAACCACACACGTGTTCAGTCGATTTGTCATCTAACAAAATTATTAGAGCATCTTACTCATGTTATAATTATACTTACTAATGATACAAATATCATACGTAAATGTAAAAAAATATAAGAATATTTGGAGGTTTCTTAATCAAACGGCTGAGTAGATTTGAATATTTGACACACAAGTGAATGTACCATGACCTAAATTGACTCAGTAGACTCTGTTTGTTGTTATTCACATGATCAAAATATTATTAAAATTGAATAATAACAAGTATCACTTTCAATACTGTAATTCCAAATATGTCCTAGATATAAGAAATCAATCTACCATGTGCAACTTATTATTAGCAAACTTATTATCTTTTGTTTGTTTCATCAACGAAAATTCGACCAAGAAATAAAAACAAAAAAATGTTTTGTTGTCGAACTTTACAGAAGTTTTTGTTTGCCTCGAAAATCCTAATAAATAACATAACGTTCACGCCAAACACAAGAAAAACGATTCATGACTGACTTTTCCATTATACTGTTATTGTATGATTGCATTGCATTAACTCACGAGTGTTTGACACGAAATTTGATTAAAGAAAACAAAGGTGATTCCAATTTTAAAGTAAGATTTTTTTATTCACAAACAAAACTGTATAAAGAAAAGTTAGTATGTATGTTAAATCAGTCTGTTTCAACAAAATTAGTGTTGATAAATGAAAATCGACGACGACGGAAAACAGGTTGCTAATGTCTAATAGTAATAAAAATAGAAAAAATGTAATGCCACTATAATTTAACAAACTTTTATTGTTAAAAAACTAAATTACTTAACCGATTTTAATAAAATCTTTATGGAATTAATCTAGAAGTATATTCTTTCTGATAAAATTTTCAAACATAAAAAATACAATCGAATTGAGAATATCCTCCTTTCTCAAAGTTGATTTAAAACGAATAGGTATATTTATTTTATTGTTCTAGGCCTAGACTAGAACGATACTAATAAACAAACTTCTCTATTTGCCAAAAACAGTGGGGCGTGCCAATCTCCTGACCTATGCGCCACCGCCCCCACTTGCTGCTACAATTTTAATAGTGACGTCATTGACTTTAAAATTAAACAAATTAAAAACCTATCACCTTTGATCGACTGTTGAAAGGTTGATTTTTTTATTTTTAATCCCAATATCAATAAAGAATTGATAGTCGTATATTATTTTATTAAGGTTTTCTATACAGCTTGGAATAGCAAACAAGTTTAAAAATGATGAAATTTCTGAACCAATGATGAAATTGGTAACTGTTACACATTTACAACACCATGGACGACAAATAATACTTTCTTATATCCATAGTACCCTCATAGGGTACCATCCATAGGCATATTTAAAGGAAACGGCGAGTGGACCGTGCTCATACCAGAATTATCTACTGTCTACAGAATTATCTGCCCCAGGATTACCATCCATAGGCATATTTAAGGGAAACGGCGAGTGGGCCGTGCTCATACCAGAATTATCTATTGCCTACAGAATTATCTACCCCAGGACGCGAGTGGAGCTTTAAATCATAGCCAAATGCATGTCTGAGAGTACAAAATGTGCCTTTTTAAATTATCTTAAATACGCTAATGATTTAATCTGTGGTGCTTCACAGAACATAAGACTTGTTTTGACTGACTGATTGATCTTTCAACATATAGTTTAAAAAGCTGGGATTAGAATTATAATATTTTCATTAAAGATTCTTTTTGTAACATCTAATATTGTAGGCATCTACTAAAAAGAATTTTCTCGAATTCTCACAGGAGATAACAGCTAGTTATTTTGATGATGTTGACAGCAGTCTCAAAATGTGTCACAGCTTTTTATAAATATTCGTAGTATAAATTAATCTGAATTAGAGTTCTTCACGTGACATATTTATTTTCACGACAAACATCCGTCTTATATCCTATATTTTCTCACCAAATACTTTAAAAGGATAGACAGATAATACAACTAATGCCGCCTCTAAAGTTAGATAAATTCTTTCCTCTAGTCTTTTATTTCCTCCGTCATATCCAAATATAAAATTTATAATACGTTGTCCAATAGGCGACTGTTGTAAATATAGCTAATAGGTTTTTTAAACTTACAAACAAAGAGACAGATTCACTTTCGCGTTTATAACATTAGTAAGGGCATATCTAATAATAGCCTAAGATTCCACTACGGGATAATATTATAAGTTCATTTGCGTTTTAATTAGCAGACTGTCTTATCGTCAGAACATTTATTAATTTGTTTACGTTTTCATGAGATTTTATCGAAATAAACCATAGATGACATTTTTTCAGAGGAAACTTAATATAAAATTTTATCGCCTATGTAATTTAAAAAAATGTGCTCAACTACAATAAGTACCCCCAGTTAACCCATGAAAAATGGGGGGAAGGGATTGTTAGTAATGGGGTCTAATGAAACAATTGCTAGCAATACACTATCAGGTCGATCTCCACGTGGTTCCCCCTGGAAACCATCGTGTACAATTCTTGTTGAATTCGTCACAATGGGCTTCGTCACAACTGACCTGCTTCATCCTCATCTATCATCCTTCACTGGTGCCCCGCCAGTATATACCGATAGCGCGGGCGGAGTTACCATTCCATTATCACCCATTAAAAAGAAAAAAAAACTACAGTAAGTATCATGAAAATTTTACGCAATGACACTAAAAGGCGTAAATTGCTAATCATTCAGTCACTGTTAGAAATTTACAGTAATAAAATTATTATGTTCTATAAAGTAATATATTAATTAATTAATTTATCTTACACCTGTTCTACACCATATTACAAACCGTAACTTTACCCACGTGGTTTAGAATAAAAAGATGGTATACCATGAGTTCGTCTGGGATGTGTTTCTTTTGTTCACAAACCTTCATAGTAATATTTATAGGATCATAATACTTGTAATAACTAACTAATTATGTGACTAAATTAAACTAGATATGTATCAAGAGGCATGCAACGATAAAATGGTCGGTGTTTAATGAATTAAAAACATTTTTAATTTAATGGTATTGCTTTATGGTTGCTATATTTTGACAAGTAATTCTCGTGCAATTAAAAAAAAAAAAACTTAATTCCTAGGTTGACTATTCTATTATCATTTATCAACCAACTATTTGTCGTCTAGACAAGCGACGTCGGTAGGTGGGCAGTGGTGGCCTGTACGTTGTTTGTTATTTATAAAGACATACAAACAAGTAGGTAGATACTATTTGTGTGGAAGTCAGGTCATTGTCGAGAGATAGCTGAATGGACCGACGGAACCGACGGAAGCTGGCGACTGGCGCCTCGCCAGCGCACTTGCGTCATCACCCGCACTTTTACTTGTGTTTTCCTGCTACTTGGAAACACATGGCTATCACACCAAATGTACGCCCCCAAAATTATTTTATATTGCCGATTAAAAAAGAAAAAGATTTTAACAATATTACACGAAGAGAGCATATTGCTCAGACAAAAAAAGAAGATAATATTTTTGTTTCCAAGTCGAAAGCTGTACAATACATATAGCGTAATACAAACATTTAAATAAATAAATCAAATCAAGCTATTTTTCAAAAATAATATTGGTACTAGGTACTTACAAAAATACATTTTTATTGTAACTACTTATTCATTAAAATAAATGCACTGTATGTATCGTAATGTTTATGAAACAAGATTGTTAAAAATCTTTTGAATACCTACCCAAAGAAATATGGGAAAATCTAGTAAGCTAAAAATGTAATAAAAATATAGCTTTATGGCTTATCATAGAAAATACGTTTTTAGGCAATCTATTATTTATATTAGATTCAGATACTACTTTTTTATTAGTGTGCCAATTAATGTTTCATCGCGCAAACAACAACATATGTACTAATATTACAACTAGCACATTTCTTTATGTAGTGTATCACAACATGTTATTACATACTAGCAAAGTTTTATATTTATTTTCGTATACTCGGTGTCGCGTAGGATCGAAAGAACTCTCAAATCTAATTGACGACTTTGTTTTCCGTTAAATCCGGTAAACACATTGTAGAAATATTGTTGTAAACAAATATTGAATGAAAAACGTAAACGCGACATCACGGCTTTTATGGTTCTATGAATGAAATAAACAAAACACCAACGATGTTTGTTTATTTATAACACTTTATGATACAATCAATCGCGGTCGAAATACTAGTATTAACGTCTAATTTTAGCATGTATCATTGTTGACCGGGATAAAAAATACTCTATTTCCTATACTATCCCAATTACTACATATTTACCTTTCATGACATTTAGTTGAGCTATTAAGGCGCCAAAATGTAACAAACTAATAAACAAACAAACTCAGTAAAACTATACAGAGAAAAAAAATATCTATTATTTATAGTGAACAAACTCAGAAAAATCCTAGCTGATTTTAAAAGTTCTTTCTCCTATAGAAAACTATTAGTTCGTATTTTATTTTTAAACAATTGTGTTCCACAAAAAGAACCTATTTCAATTATGGCAATACCAACAATATTTATACAATATTTTCATTTCAAAACTAACTTACTGAACCGATTTTGACAAAATTGCTAACGGTCTAATCTGTAAGTATATCCTTTCAGATAAAACAAGAATTTTCACAATTACATTTACTTTCGCGTTTACAACTGATAGAGTTACGAGGTAACAGACATTATATAACCAAATTGAGAACCTCCTTATTTTTAAAGTCGGTTAAAAAGTAAGATATCTTTTGCCTACCCGTGCGATGTCGAAGCGGATCACTGGTTTATAATTTTTGTAATAATTTACACAAATTTTGAAGTTTCTTCAATCCAATGGTATTTAGTAAATAAAGGACACGTTTATTACATATATATTACTAATGTTACAAAGGTATATATTATAATCTTATTGTAAAAAATCCACATCAACTACTTACCAAACTTTCTAGTGTTTTAATAGAACAACGTATACTACGAAGGGTTGCTGGTAACTGTTTACCCTTGACTTGGGATAGCTCTTTTATACTCAACATTTCTTTCAAATATTGGACGCTATTATGTAATCTGCACCACTGAATTGAAAAATAATAATTTATTACATACTAAGATCGACTATGAAAAAAAACTAACTTTCCAAAAGTATATATGCAAAATATTGAGCCTGATACTTTAATTTGTTTGAAGTACCAATCAATTCAGTACTAACACAAAAAAGAATAATTAAAAAATAAATATTTCATATAACTTGTTCTGTCTTGTATTGTGCTATCTCATTTTAATTGTTCTTATTTAAAAAAAATCAAGAAATATTATGCAAATGAGAAGAAACGCTGTGAGATGGAAAACGGAATGGACAATATGATGTGACACTCTGTGATCATCCACTATCGATATTGACAGACTATTGTTATTTATGAAAATAAAGCTTCTAAAATCTAATTGAGCATTAAGTCGTATATAAATTTATTTGTATCCAACACACTGTCACCACTACTAACCATCGACCATAGACCAAACTCATCTCAATGTAAATTGTGACACCTATGACACTTCGTTATACTGTACATACGTACATATATACGTGCCCTTCATACATCGTTATTAACTTCAAGATGGTAGAAATAAAATCCAGGGAGGATCCCGATTTTATTTGTACCAATCAAAACATTCATCTAGCCATCCAAAACAAGAATATAATCATTACGACAACATTAACCATAACTAACATCGGGAGTCCAAACAAAAAAGCTTTTGTTCGATCTCACATTCGCCAAGCCACCTAAAACAAAGAATATTTCTATGGAGCCATTAACCAATGCCTTATGGAGATTATATACCCATTCATCGTTATAATACCTACTTATATATATCGAATGACCTTTTATACCTCTTTAGCATGTTATATTAGTAAGTTAAAGTAGAAACGAGCTGCGAATAGCTTAAACAACCGCTAATAGATAGGGGCTTGGATGAGTTACAGGAAATCAGTGAATGCGGATGACTCAGAACCATTTGTCATAGACGTTTACAGTCTGTGTTCAACAGTAGAGAATGAACAGTTGCAATATTATGATGATGTTATAACTAAAAAATCACAATCTAATGTACGTATTCGTTACATTCCAGAAGCAGCAAGGCGACTGAAACGGCCTGGTGCGTGTGTGTTGGGTGTGTTGAAGACTGTATATGCTCCACTTGAACGCACCGAGCTGATGTTCCTGCAGATGAACAATCTCTCTACAATGATTAGTCAGGTAATAATTACTTCATTTGTACATATTTTATAAATAATAAAACATCTTATTTAAAAAAAACTAAAGTATCTATTTCTTTTTCCAGTTGCTGATTTTTACAGCGTGTGACCGTCTATTAGTATCACAGGGCAAACTGACGTGTTTGTATTCGCTCATGTTCTACAATGTTGTCACCTACTCCGTGAGTTACGTCCGCGAGATATGCACCAAAGAAGACTGGTCTCCATATGTAAACGTCACACGCCACTCCCGTGTCAAGCACCTAGCTATGTCAGCCACAAAAATCGTACTCGAATGGACCAAAGCAGTTACCTTCATAGTAACTATCACTTTTGTGCTCTTAACATTCGGACTAGAGCAAGGACTGGAACATTATCGTCCAAATACCCTATACACAACCATTACAGGCACATATTATGTTCTGACGGAAAAAATATTTCTGGAACTGTGGCCGATTGGTCTTTCAGCGATGAAAATAGAAAGATTAGAAGGAATGGAATCTTTGTATTTTGGAGCATGGGCTCGGGGTCTGACCACATTTATAGCTGTACCGTTAGTGCCCGCTCTAGCATGGTATGAGCGATGGAGACTAGCTTTGTTTGTATTTTATGTGTGCGTGTTTGTAAATGGACGACATCGTCTCGGTGAGGCACTGTTTAAATTAAATGAAGCTCGAGGTTCCCTCGCAAGGTTCCGTCGCGCGACGGCCGAAGAACTAGCCACCTTGGAGGATGTTTGTGCAGTGTGTTTAGGCAGTATGAGGTCAGCGAGAGTGACACCCTGTGCACACTTCTTCCATGCTGACTGCCTTAGGAAATGTTTGGCTGCGTCTGATAGATGTCCGATATGCGTTAGACCATATATCTTTTGCTGATCGTTGAGCAACGATTCGAGTTCGGATAAGACTGCTTTTAAAGAATTTCGACGACTTGAGATTTAGTAATCAAGTTGTAACGAAACTTATGTAATAAAATTCGGAAAAGTATCATTCGAGTTTGTGATAGCTTGTGATGTTTAAATTTTTTATTGCCAAATCGACGCAGTTTCGGCTTATTGTTATATTACACATAAAAAATGTCAAATACACCTACATGTAAGACTATGTACTCACGAAGATTTCTGTATTTGCTATTGCATAATCAAGTATTATTTTTTCCATAGTATATGTTTTCTATAGTATATATTAGAGTTAAAAAGATTGAAAGAAAGAATTTCATTTCACTAATGAAGATAGACCCAAATACATTATTGTAAAAATAAAGTATATTACTTTCATTACGAAACAATTTCTTGGGTATGTACAGGAATTAGCAATCTCTTTAATCTTTTGCAGATACAAAATTAAATGTTATCAAAATATACCTACACTGAGTACAAGTACGAGTACACGTAACATTATGGAAACTTATTTGCTTTTATACCTACTACATACCTGTATTTTGTACTTCTAATTCGCATCTAGCAATCAGTTAAAGAGCGTTTACTATAGCATTATTAGTATTAATATTACTATTTTGCAAATGTTTACTATAATAATATAGATGCTAAAATATATTCGCGAAATTATTTAAAGTAATAAAAACATTAAATACTTCGTTTTTGTGAAAGCTATAGAAATTAAACAAATAGGTTAGATACTCTAAATCAAATAATAGCACGCTGTATTTTGTCTATGCATATCATTTACTAAAATATTATATTTATAGTAGATATAGTCACCTGTATAAATGCATAAACTTATTTATAAATTGTTCCAATAACCATTTATTTAGACCTAATAACTTACGTCACAGTCCTTATCAAGGAACCCCTTCTTTTTAAGGATTGTGACGTCATAAAATGTCTTACCGAACGTTATAATTTTTTTAATATTAGGACTTACCTATAACACATTAAGGATACATAAGTGATTTTTAATAGCTAAGTGATAAAAATAACTTTTCTCTGCATGCAATTGTAACAAAATCATTGTAATCTTTGTCTACTTAGACAAAATGTTTTATTTACAAAATACATTGAGGTCGAGTCTAAGGAAACATGTCTAAAATTAAACCTATCTGCAAAAATTAAATTTTAATATTTTAGCAAAAGCATAATAAGATTAATTAATCCTTTGACAAAACTATGAGGTTACGAACCATTCAAAACTAGAAACATAGTCTTAATTGAAATTAGAATATTTTTATAATAAATCTTTAGAATAGAAATTTCACTATTGTGCAGTTTCACTAATGAAATTTTAATTTTAGACATATAGATCATGCTTCACTATCAATCCTATTATTTCAAAATTATGAATAAGTAATTGAAGCAAAGTTTATATACTTTACAAACTTAGCTTCTGTTACTACATTTATATACCTCAAGTAATTACAATTCACTTATTATCTAATTCGGTAAAGTCATTGTGATAAAAAATTAATGTATTTATATATTTATGACCGTGACTCTACTAACATTAAATATATTTGATTTTTTAAATATTTTTACCCATACCTTACTGGGTCCAACTATATTTAATAGAATTTTGTATTTAAAATGTGAAATAAATTATATGAACTACAATGTTTCGTTTTTTTTTATTATTACTATAGCAGTAGCGGCTGCCTGAAGAGAGGCCTCCATAAGGGGGTTTTGTCAGTAGCTGCCACGCTTAACCGGCGGATTGGCAACTGCAGTTAGGCTTTGGTGATATTTTAATAGGGACGCTGCAGCCCATCTTACGACCATTCCCTTAGTCACCTCTTGCGACACCCACGGAAAAAAGGCGTGGCCCATTCTATAACGAGACCATATCGCTGTTTCAATTTATTTTATCCAAATGCTTAGGTTACATATTTTTTAATGAATAACGATGAAATTATAATCCCGCCTACGCTACCGGTATATGACAGGATACAAGTAAAGGATGGTAAGTGAAAATGAAGTCAGTTTCCAGTGAGACGCTATTACTAACACCCCTTACCCAGGTACCCCTTAACCTACCAATAGGTAAAATAATAATTCAATAAATATAAAATATTTACAATATTGTTACTATTTACAGCCTACTACATTGGGGAAAGGGATTGTTAGTAATGTGGACTACCAGTCCCATTGCTAGCAATATACCCTGTCAGGTCGACCTCCACGTTTTGACAGATGCTTATAGTTGTTTAAGGATTGTACTTTAACCCTTAACAAAAATATTTAATTATTTAACTGGAATTATGTATCTTTATTAATTGAAGCTGTATAAATCTTAATTATTGTTCTCGTTTTCTTTAAGCTTGACACCAACTCCAAACAGCTTTTGTCCTTAAATTTAAATCCAATATCAGTTCAGTTTTCCCTTTTAAATAATTCAAAAGCAGTCAGTAAGAAAACTACATACTTACTCATATAATACAATCAAACTATAATATTATCTATATAATATCATAACAGAACTGTAAGTTAGTTTACAAATTAATTAACTTTATTATGAATTATAGTTTTTTTTTTTAACGTTTCAATGATAATACTACTCGTATTTGACAACAATTTTTTAATGTCGCTAATAGGATAACCCACTAGCCAATTGGATATCAACAAATTATAATGTACCTACGGATTTTGTTAACTGATACAGAGTCCTGTAGCTTCCATCACCAACTCCGCAGCCTACAATTATGACTTCCACACGCAATCACTTAAATAACTTGAAAGAACCTAAGACATGGTCTATATGTACTTATAATATTCAAGGAATTATCTCCTAACTCCTAAACATTGCGGAGTTCATTGAGAATCATTCTCTAACTCTTAACCATTGAGAAGTTGTACCTTCTGCCATCAGCACAATAACATGAGATGATAGTAGTCATCATTTAAAAAATAATACAATTAAAATAGTATATACAATGCAACATAGCATCCCCTTCTTTTTTGAAGTTAGTTAAGAGAAACACTTTCATATTCATTATATAAGTAAAGATGCATATATATTTCGAGATATATTTCAAAGTGTAAGGCAAAATTGAAGAGACACTTTGTTAAATTTGTTAATAAGTTATATTTTTTATATCCATATCAATAGTGGTAGTAGATAAGCAGTAGTATTTACATTAAGTAACTATAGGTATAAAAGGATAAAAAAGTTATTTATCATAGGTAGGTATTTATAAAGAATAGGAAAAATAAAAAAAGAAACATTCAAATGGATAAAAAATACAGAATAAAATGTCAGGAAAATTTCGGGAAAACTAAATTATTCAATGAACCTTCATTTTTAATAGATGTCAGAAATACCACTAGTTTTTTTAACCGATTTCATTATGTAGGTATATCTTATTCAAAGTTCGGACTCGAATCGATTTTGGTAATTCCTTTTTTTAACTTAGGGGTTTCTTCCGTGTTATTTACATAACGATTTTATTAAAATTTTAGTTGTTTATTTTTTATAGAACAAAATCTTACTCTATTTATAAGTTTTTATAATAAATAAATAGCGTAGCTTCTGTTTATTCTAAGTATTTCCAGTATCGGTTCAATAATTCTAGATATCATAATTTTTTTCGATAATTCTTTTAATTACTAGACTAAAAGTATCTCTGATGGTGAAATAAAATAGGTGTAAAGAATAACAAACTCTTGATTACATTTTTATCACCGAAATACGTGATTCTGTGTGATTTCAACACCACGGACGTATTTAAAAGAGGGGCCAGATGATCATGCTCGCCCCAGAAATTGTCTAATTCTCCACTTCAAGTCGCGAGTAAAGGTTCGCGGAGACATATCTGAGAGTATTTATATGCACCTTATTTAAAGGGCCTGGAAAATATTCTTAAATATCCCAATGAGCACCGTTACTCTGCACGGCGCACGATCTTTTTTTTTACATTTGTTGCACTGTATTGTAAAATCTTTTTTGTACATACTTTTCGTTGAACATATTTACCCCCTAAATTCATAAAAACTAAAACCTACTACAAACTTATTTAAGCTATTGAACTGTTTTATAATTTTCTTTCAAATTAGGAATGTCTCATTTCTGAATATCCTCCACCTAAGGGTTGCCTAGAAGAGATTGCTTAGCAATAAGGCCGATTTTTGTATCACTTTTCATTAAAATTAACTGTATTTATTATTTTATTATTGGTGCAATAAAGTGTTAAATAAATAAATAAAAAATGTAGCATAAAAAAAGAGACAAAACAGTTCAATATTATGAGACCTTTGACATTTTTATGAATACGAGCGTTAGTATACGAGTTCCTAAATTAAATTTAAAGACCTCATAAGGCATTATCTTTTGATAGTACCAATAAGTAATAGCCTTTCCGAGATATCGAATACTATCAAATTTATATTGTAATTGTAAAAAAAAACTTTTTCATGTTAGCTACCGAAGAAGACACTACGGTCACTTGTCTTCTCTCATGATCCCTCTAAATGACATTAATCGCTTTAACTTCAATGTAGGTAAGTAATAAAGGATAGACAGACAAATCAAATACCAACGATCTATCAATCTCATAGACGTAGTATAACTTACTTACGTATTTGTCCATAAATCTCACACTTTTTTTAATGGATAATAATGGAAATTGGAAATGAACCCAGGAACATCTGGTATACGCCGGCAAAGCACTAATGAAGGATGATAGGCAGGGATAGAATCAAGTCAGATAGCCCATCGTGGTGTATTTTTTTGTTTGATGGATGAAAATGGAATGGTAACCCCGCCTGCGCTAACGGGATACGCTGACGGAGCACCAGTGAAGGGTGATCGATGAGAATGAAAACAGGCCAGTTAGCCCATCATGATGAATTCATCAGGAATTAACCATGATAGTTTCCAGGGGGAACCACGAGGAGGTCGACCTGGTTGGGTATATTGCTAGCAATGGGATTTTTAGTCTCCATTACTAACAATCCCTTTCCCCCCAATCGTGATGTATTCAATAATAATAAGCCACTATGGTTTCCATATTACTAACAATTCCTTCTTCCCATCGCCTACCTCCTATTACCTATCCTAAGGTTTGTATGTGTACCTACCGGAGAAAATTGTCTCATGTCACATTACTAACATATAGACACACTGGTTTCGGGGACTCAGCTTCTTCCTCAGACTAATAATATAGTAGCTATTATATTATATTATCTGTGATCAAGCAATCCATCAGATATATGGTACAATACGACATACGATCTCGATTATTTTTATATTACTTTTTGTTTTCTAATTTTATAAAATGTAAGAATAAATATAATAGCAATTAACGATGTACCATTTTAAAACAATTACTTAGTTATAAAGCTTATTACAGTCAATATAATGTGCATTGTATTATTGTAGCTGTGCCTAAATAAATAATAAAAATATTAAATCTAATAATCTAGTAAAGAACTCACTATAGTTTAGAATCACTAGATTTTACCAGGTGTGCATCCATGGATGTGAACACTTGACGTTACTATGTTATTGTATTTGTAGAGAAGAGTCAGCAAGTCTTCACATTACTTATTTCTATATTTTTATTTTGTTTAATGATGTAGTTTGAAAGGCGCGAAATTCATGTTGTTCAAAATGGCCGCGTTAGCGTTACCATGACATCATGCGGTTACGTCATGTAAACAAAACGTACCGCAGCAGTGCGCAACACTCGGCGCACCACCGAATATTGAACGCAGAAGTTAGGAACATATAGGTATCCTTATCACATTCATTGCGATAACATAATGTTTTCTTGTCATCTCTTTCCAGTGTTGTCATTTATGTAATCATAATTAAATTCTATTCCAGTATTTCGAGTCAGTATTCGCGACATGCGTTACTGAGAAACTGTGTTATGTTTTTATTAGCTGGCGTATTTTCTGTCTAGTGGTTTGTCATTAATTAAAAATATATTTATATGAACTAATAAAATGTGAATAATACAGCCGTTGGCTTTATTAAAGTGACCGCCCTATCTTCTGAAAATTGGATTTTCTTTGTAGGTAAGAGTAAGCTCTAAGAGTAGACTGTAACTTCCTTACCTTATAATATATACACTTAATCATTTATACATCTCATTAAATCATTACATATTATTCTTAACAATGGACGTAAAATCAAATTTTGTCAACAGATAGCCATACTTGGTTATGTATTTTTTAATGTATAGTATAATGTAATGTATAGAACTGTCTGCGGTCTCTTTTCTCACCCTAAAGACGATCAACTATACAAGCTAAGCTCTAATTATTATGGTTGGGGGGAAAGGGATTGTTAGTAATGAGATTTAACAACCGCATTGCTAGTAATACATCCTATCAGGACGACCTCCACGCGGTTCCCCCTAGAAACCATAGTGGTTAATTCTTGTTCAATTGGTCACTATAGATCAATTGATCTGCCATCATTCTCACCTGTGTGCCCCGCCAGCGTAATTTTTTTCACCCATAAAAAAAATTATTATGGATATGAATATATGGATTATAGTAATATACAGCGTAGATAGAAACGAAATTTTAAAGTTTCCGTTTCAAATAAAAAAATAAATCTGGCATTCTACGGTGCCATTACACGGTCTATCTTCTAAGATCTGTATCCTATGAAAAAAACCGCACTTAACCTGCTTGACATCATCGATTAACGCCGAGTCAAGTGCTACTGAAATGCTAGTAACTAGCAGGTATATATATTATTACATATTTTCATATAATAAAAATATATATGGTATGACATGTGATGAAGATGTATTTTAATATTATAATTGTATCAATTCTAAATAAATACAGACTAAAAAATACTTAATCGGTAAAAGCTCAGCACAGTTAAAGCCAAAGTTCAAAAAAATCTAAGGAGGTTCTGTAATCTTGATGTTTAAAGTTAACCGACGCGCGGCGCTTCATTAATTTCTGTAAAATATGAATAACTAGCGACCTGCCCCAGCTTCGCACGGGTACAATACTGAACCCACACTTATTCCTAAGAGATAGACATATACCATTGCGAATTTTTTTGTTGACCTTTTTAAAGTATATAATACTGTAGTACATTATTTTGATCTATATCGTGTGGTTCAGCCAACGTTTGCAATATAAGCGAAAAAAAAATGTGTTTATTTACCACATCACATTAGGAACCTCTAAATTTATCAGTGTTTCTCTACAATATTATACATGTGTTATACATATATAAACCTTCCATTTGAATCACTATCCATTAAAAAAAACCGCTTCAAAATCCGTTACGTAGTTTTAAAGATTTAAGCATACATAGGGACGGACAGACAGCGACAGCGACTTTGTTTTATACTATGTAGTGATATAGAAATTTAGGAAATTTAATTCTTTTAATGAACACTAATGTAACGTGATTGCAAAAAAAAGAAAATATTAAAATCGGTTCAGAATTAGAGAAGAAATATCTTACGAGAACACGAAAACTATTTCTTTTGTTTTCATATTATGATATTTATTTTCTAATCTCAAAATGATAACCTACTCTTTTTTGAAGGTGCAAACACTGGATACGACAAATTAGTAGTACCTATTTAGATAAAGTATATAGAAGTTTAACCACTAAAAACGATGGTAATTTTATTTTATTAATTATAGCAATAGCCAATATGAATACAATTTTACTCTTGGCAGATTTTCAATGACTTATCTACATGCCTAGATATAACTTCATCGATCATTTTATACGAATCATCGATTTGTCCATGAAGAAGTCCTTGACCTAATGAATAGACGGCAACAACGCCAAGATGCGATTCCTGAGCTTTTACGTCAGTCGCTGCCAAATTAGAAGTCACATAAAGTTATAATATTCTAAAAAACACCGTGGGTGATTTTTAATAACAATTTAATAAAACGAAATTATACTAATATCATTGCACAGAAAAGGTTATCAGAAATGAATGAAAGCGATTAATCTTGACCTCGACTTCGTGTTCACCAAAACAAAAAATATGTCATTTTATGATATTAACTCTCGTCGTAACAAATATTGCACTTTCATTGCATTATCTCTATTTTTTCGCCCAAAAATACAATTTGTTCACTTGCATTTTTGAGACATCCGCAAAACTGAATAATAAATAACGTGATCGTAGTTTATAGCTACAGATTTTGCTATTGAACAAAAGAGCACTAGAACACGATTGTGTAGATAACAAGTCAACTGCGGACTGAATCCTTAAATTCTCCATTAAGTACAAAAATCTGAATCTAAACTTGAAAAAAACTTGTTGAGAGACAATTAAAGAGCAATATATAAATACATTTTGGCCAAAGAAACGTAGATAGGATATGGCGTGAATTTACTGGGTACAGAGAAATAACACCTGAGTCCTCAGGAATGACAACGCATGGGGGCTAACATGGGCGAAACAGTATACTTTGTTATATCCATGGTACTGCTCATGTCTATAGGCGACGGTTACCACTTTCCATCAGGTGGGCTGTCAGCTTGTTTGCCATTCTAAGTAGTATAAAAAAAAGATAGGTGGAAAAACGATAAAAATGACACTCAAGTTAGTATATAAGGTACTTTTTTTTCTTTAGGAAAAATATTTCACTGACGGATCCCTCGTTTAAAAAGATGCTAATTCGATTTCATCCTACTTATATAAACCAGAATTTGTAAATGTGTTTGGATGTTTCTTACCTAATAACACTTAAGCGCCTAGATTTGAATGTCAATAAGACATTCTAAACTAGGATATACATATATAATACGTGTATAAGGGCATACTATATCAAATATTTTTACCAAATTTACACGGGCGAAACTGTATGTTATAGTTATTACCTAATTAGTAAAAGTTTATCAAGATTTATTTATATTTAATTAGTTAATTAAATTAGATGAGATTTATTTATATATGTTTGGATATTTGGATTAAATTTTGCATAGGTGGTCCTGGATACTATTTATCCTAATTCAGTATAAAGCATTATTTACACATCCAACTGTGCAGACATCCTGTTTAATAAATCGAAATTGCAATTTTTGCTTAAACTGTTATCAAGATTACAATACATGACAGCCATTATGCGGCTATAAAAAACCGAATATAAAATAAGCGCATTACATCATACACAACAAGTACTCGTTAACGATATTACGAGCCGTGTACACCAGTTTTATTATTGGATGGTGCACTCATTATCTATACATATAAAATCGTGGTTTTTTTTATGAGTGAAAATGGTATGGTAATTGGTAACCCCGCCTGCGCTAACGGGATACGCTGGCGGAGCACCAGTGAAGGGTGATCGATGAGAATGAAAACAGTCCAGTTAGCCCATCTTGATGAATTCATCAGGAATTAACCATGATAGTTTCCAGGTCGACCTGGTTGGGTATATTGCTAGCAATGGGATTCTCAGTCTCCATTACTAACAATCCCTTTCCCCCCTATAAAATCGTGTACAGCATAAACCACACAGGGCTCAAATTTGAAATTTGGGCAGTTGATGCATTTTATGATATCAACATCTACTAAGGAAGGCTTTTTGAAAATTCCACCTTAAAGCGAAAATTTCTTATACAAGCATCATCTTGCTAGGTTTAAGAAATGCGTTTTTTAAAGCTTCTTATTTTGAAAATCAGAATCTTCTATACAAACATTTATCCTTTACTTTTATTTAAGCACGAGCGAAATTACGGGTAACAGCTTGTGGATAAATTTATTTAAAATTTAATGTTTCGTAGATAGAGAGCATTAAAATTTAGAACGCAGACATCTAAGGCAGAAATATAAGCATTGGTGTAATAAAAATTCATTTTTAGTGGCATAACCCGTAAAAAAGCGCATATGTACTTTCAAAAACGTCTTTGTGAAGTTTCGCTTGCATCCTGAGATGAGTACCAGACGATTCTAGGATGGGCACGGTCCTCCTCTAAATACGCATATAATAAGCAGAAATTAAAAATAATCAGTTAATGAACACAGAAAAATATGAGATCAAATCTAATTCAAAATTAATGACGTAAACGTAAATGGAGCAACAAATAAAACAAAAAAAGACGCTCTTACAAATCTTTCTTCTTTTGGAAAGAACTAAGTGACGCTTTTCTCGTAGTTACTGCTTCTAAAACAATATTATGTACTCATACATCTAAGATATAATTTATGATATTTATATGGACAAAATAACAATAATTTACTGTTTTAATTAATTAGTATGATATTATCTTGATTTAATTTACAATTATAGACGTTTAAACTTGAACTCTCTATTAACATCTCTACTTTAAGAAAATACCGTAGTCCCTGAGTACTCATTTAAAACATTAAAAATGTAATCAGCTGAATGGAACGAAAAGCATCATATTTTTCTATTTTTAGAATGATCTTTCGACATTATCGAATCGTTAATGCGATGTAATTAAATTTTCAAGTTTGATCACGTGATCAGAAACGTTCCGCCATTGCTCATAATTCTTGTCACTAATTGTGAGATCCTCAGGTGAGATCATATAGATGCAAACAAATTGTGCTAACTTCTGCCATGAAATTAGCAACAAAAAAGAAATTTTGACATTCGAAGTCGAAAATAAAATGAAATTCCAGAATAAATTAACTATAGTTACTAGTTTCTACCTGAGATTAAACATTGTCTTTCAATACCAAATTTTATTGAACAGTCTATTCATCGTTCGATCTTACCCTAAAAAAAAAAACAAATTCGTCACCTTAACTTAAAAATTATGCACTAACTCTAGCCACTGTTGAAGTACTTATCAAAATTGCTTCATACTTGAAAAAGATAGTGGCATAGCATTCATAATCACGAAAACAATAACAAAATTATACAAACAAATTGAAAACCTCTCCCTATTTACAATTGCTTAACAATTATAAAAATAGGCATGACATGACCCTTTTATATCATTGATTATACAGGTCGTGTGCCACTGTGTATGCCTCTTGCGTATTAGTTATTTTTTTTAAGTTATCTATATTTATTATATTTGTTCACTCATCATAAAAAAATAAATAAAAAGATTTAATAAACTTATAGGTTCTGTTGGGCACAATAATTAAGAAGAAGAGCATCTCATTTTGTTATTAAATATGTATATATATTTGTTAATAAAACTTTATAATATTAAGGTAATAACAAAAAAAAGTAAAAAATATGAGATATTTGGATGTTTTTTTTATATTTGGTAATGTCCTATCAACTATATTTTAAATAAACTGATAATGTTAATCCTTATCTTATTTTTCGCATATGGGCTCAGCCAAGCCGTTGCACGTTGACCCTTTTGTGCTTCCCCCTGCCTTATACTATCATTTCATAGATCCTATGTGTTACCCTAACGATATCCCGAGTTATATGCTAGTTACTATGAATGCTTTATCATTTCTAATTATTTATCGTCGTTTCCGAAATCTTTGTTCATACTCACCCAAATTAAAAAAGAGCACTTTTTTGATCTGTTTGACCTCAATCAGACAGTAGGTCGTCGGTAGGTCTGTCTGTCGTAAATAACATTTGTCTCTAGACTACTTATTATTATTTTCCGTAGATTTATTATCAACCGACCACACATGCGAGATGATGATTCAGTAGTCTTTAAAGATCTTAAACTTTTCAAGATCATAGAGATTGTTAACTTTGCTCTTTAAAGTGATGAAAAATTGGAAAAAGTCAGTCAGTTTTTTCTGGACAAGTTCACGTACTTTTTTTTATCTGGAAGCAATTATGCATTCAACAACTTGCTGCCACAAATCATATCTTTCCTTGATATATAAACGATATTGTAGGTAGTCACAAAGTCTGACAATAAACAAATAAAACCGCAAAGAAAGTTAAAAATATTTTTTCCTTTGATTTTTGGCTCCATCACAATTTCGGTGACGATAATAAGGTCTTTAAGGGGGGAAAGGGATTGTTAGTAATGGGGTCAAATCGCCCTATTACTAGCAATATACCCTGTCAGGTCGACCTCCACGTGGTTCCCCCTGGAAACCATCGTGACTAATTCTAGTTTAATTCGTCAGGATGGACTAACTGACCTACTTTCATCTTCATCTGTCATCCCTCACTGGTGCCCCGCCAGTGTATTTCCATCCATTACCAATAGCGCAGACGGGGTTACCATACCATTATCACCCATTAAAAAAAAAAAAGAAATAAGGTCTTTAAATTCGGTATATACATAGTCGAAACTCGACGTAACGCTCTTCACCTTGAAATCTAACAAAACCGGTTTACATTAATCAAATTGACATTTTAATTTTCTATCTATACATAGAAGAAGACACTGACAATTATATTTGCCAGATGCAGAAACATAAAATCTTGGTTCTAAGTTCCATATATATTTTAAATACATAACCGGGACTTAACGCGATATAACGTTTCGACGTGGATTGCACCACGTTGTGGTCACGAAATGTCGACAATAAAGAAGCAGGTATGTAGGTAGGTATACCACCACTAAAAGCTTTTACATCGTGTTAAGTTCCGATCGTGTATTTAAAGTATGTGTAAACAACGCGAAAGTTTAAAATTAACTAAGTTCTATATATTCTAATAACTATAAGTGATTCAACTAAGAAGGAATTTCCCGAAATTTCCACGTAAATTGATTTACGTGGGCGAAGCCGCGGGAACTGGTAGTGGATTAGTGTGATATTATTTTTGGAGTTTTTATACGATTTATACAAACTAAATGCCCGCCTGATAAATATAAATATGAACACACGATAGTAATAAAAAATGTGTGAATGTGTATGTGCTGTTCGTGCCTATAAACATGAGGTAGGTTAACATAGGTTTTTGTTTGTCTGAGATTATAGTCACTATGCGTATACTATGTATATACATCTATATATATAGTGTACGCTTGTAAGAGGAATGAAAGGATGATTAATTAAGAATGAAGTTAAGATGGGCACAATCGGCCACCAAAGTTATGTAGCCCTTGGTGGCCGATTGTGCCCATCTTATACCTACATATATTACATAATCATTGAATTGTATATATATATATATCTTACAAATCTTGTTTGTCACATTTGCCTGACCAAAACTTATCTAGAGACTAGTAATACCTATTGTATGTACATATGTATATAATGTATGTATATAATTACATCAGAATAATGTCATTTTTAACCTATGTTAAAAATGATACCTGCTCCGTTTCAACACCAAATGTTGCCTTCCTGACAGTAAATACAGTGACTAATAGGTAAGCTACCTGTAGGGCCCGATTAACCAGGTCGGGGCCCCTAGGCAATGCACGTCTTTCGCTAATATAATTTAATAAAAAAAGGCAATAATATTTTCATTGATGATTTGTTAGATACAAATTTTCGAATGTAACTTTCACTTAAAGAAACATTTTCCCTGTACAATACACTAATGCATGTTATATTTTAAGTTTAATATTGTAAACTTCTAATATATGCGGCAAATAAATAAAGATATAAGAAATAATTTCAAAAAAAAAATGTATGCCGGGAAGCGGGGCCTCCAGCCGATGAGGGGCCCCTAGGCAATCGCCTACTCTGCCTACAAGTCTATTTTTGCTATGACTGCGATGCGTGTAAAATGTAGAGAACGTCTCTAAAAACACTTTGTCAAAACAGTACAATTTGTTATAATTTTCTAAATAATTTATATCACACATACACTAACGCGAATTGTCAGTGTATTCTTAGAAATGTGAAAATAATATAGTTATATAAAATAATATAGTTCAACATCGAAAAATAACGCACTACATTATTACAAAAGTCGTTTGCTTGGGCACCTCTGTCCAATTCGTGTTTCTACCGTGAAGCAGTTATGTTTGCATGGCTGTGTTTCGGTTTGTAGGGTGGTATATGGCAGTGAATTTACAGGGTACAGAGTAATAAAACCTGAGTCCTCAGGAATGGCATCGCATGGAAGGTATCATGGGCGAAACAGTACACTCTGTTATGTCCATGGTATTGCTCATGTCTATAGACGACGGTTACCACTTTTCATTAGGTGGGTCGTCATCTTGTTTGCCATTCTAAGTTGCATAAAATATATATAAAAAATTACGCGTCAGCTGACAGATTATAGGGCAAACTAATTTAATAATCCGAAACCCGTAAAAATAAACAACGAATATTTATATTACATCTAGTAGCACTAATATATCTATTCGTTTATAATATTCTAATATATCTATTGGTGTTTGTTCAGAACATTACCGTGGTCAAAATAATAATAATAGCTCTTAACCCCATAAAACTATCTCTTAGGGAATATTTTATGGAATGTTCTATTTAGAAATTGTATTTGGAATATATGTCAATGTTTATTACCCTTTGTTATGGCCATGTTTACTTGGCTATTACTATTTCATAGTGCGTCTATCGTACAAGTAACTACTACAAAAGCGATTAAAGAGAGTTCCGTAGAAAAAGATACCGACTTCGATCGTCATAGGTTATTTTGATTTAAAAAATAAACTACTTAACCGATTTTAGTAAAATCTCTATAGGACAATTTTTTTGTATATACCATAAAGGTGTCGAACAAGTATACAGCCCGTTCGATGGTAAACGATCACTGTAGCTTAAAGACGCTTGCAACACCAGGGGTGTCACATGCGCGTTGCTGATTTTTACAGTACGGGCGGGGGGGGGGGGGGGGGAAGGGATTGTTAGTAATGCAAAATACCAGTCCACGACTCGACCCTGTAAACCAGCGTGCTGAATTCCAGGTATATTCATCACAATGTGCTAACCAACTCGTCTTTTCATTCTCACCTATCGTCCCTCACTGGTGTCCCGCCAACGTATACCATTAGCGCATGCGGGGTTACCGTCCCATTATCATCCATTAAAAAAAAGAACTTCATCAGGAAGTTCATTTCACAGCCTGAACGTTCGTGGAAGAATTTGAAAATATACCCTTTCAGTTAAAAAAAGAATTTTGCAAATCTGTTTATAAGTGACGGAGTTCTCAGATAACAAACAAAAAAAAACAACTGAATCGAAAACTTCTTTATTTAGGTCGGTTAATAAAGGAAACAATTATTATCTACTTGTTCTAATTTATATTACCGCAAGGAGCAACTTTACGATGTGTCTAGGGACAGTCAATTGGTAATTAGTTAATGAAAAATCGATATTACGAATTTTATAGGTCACATCCATACCTACCCGTGCTCAATTAGTTCCACTATAATTGAATATTCTCTATATTTTTTTTTATGGATGAAATTGGTATGGTAACCCCGCCTGCGCTAACGGGATACGCTGGTGGAGCACCAGTGAAGGGTGATAGATGAGAATGAAAACAGGCCAGTTAGCCTATCATGATGAATTCATCAGGAATTAACCATGATAGTTTCCAGGGGGAACCGCGAGGAGGTCGACCTGGTTGGGTATATTGCAAGCAATGGGATTCTGTCTCCATCACTAACAATCCCTTTCCCCCCAATATTCTCTATATTAACTATACTAATATTATTCCATCAGTTTATTCCAGTAAATTAAGACACAATTATGCAATTCAATTTAATTATAATTTAGACTAAACTATATCAAAACAGAATTTTAGAAAAAATTGAATACCAATCTACAAAATCCAAATCCTCTTTATGATACTTAGAATGCCAAAGCTAACAACCCTCCATCGAATAAAAAGTGGTGACCGTTGCCTATAGACAAAAATATATTTTGTACATCAGATTTTGCTCTCCATTATTCTGTTAACTTGTTTATCCGGTAATAAGTTACAGTCTTAGTATACTACGTACCTTGTAACATGATTGCTGAAAGGTACCTTTCGAGTTTATCGTTTCGAGTGCGTCAAACGCGGTAGTTTCAGAGTAATAATAATGGCATTTAGATGTGTTGATCTTAATAGAAAATTGTTGAAAATCTTCTACAGGAATATGCATTTTGTTACAGGATGAAAATGGATTAAGAAATAAAAGATGACAATCTTAATTTATGACCAATGCGAACTTGAGGAACGGTCGTCAAAAAGTCTGAAAGCTTGGAAAGGTAAATTAACATTTTATTAATAACACAAGTAATGCTTAAATATTATTATTAATAGCAAAAGTATTAATTAAATTATTTATTAACGTATTATTATTTACTACTTTAACAATTTTGTTTAATTAGTAGACATGATATTAAAAGGAAGAAAATATTTATCAATCTCGGTTCAATGAATTTTAATAAAATATGCTCTACATTATAGGCTATGTCCTGAATTAGCCCAACACATTTTACGTGGTCAAATCAGATTATAGCTAGTGCATAGTAAATATTATATTTCTGCTTGTGTTTCATATCGATACGAATTTACGACTGTACACTTTAGTTTTAGTGTACTGAGGTAAAACTTTAATATTGGATAATTGCCAAGCCGTGTACTTATGTGACCTGAATGGGTTAGTTTTCACCACAGCACGAGTAAAATATAAATGTTGAGTAACGATAAGGATATAGATAGACACCAACCGAGCAGGGAACTTGCAGCAATACTTGTTATCGTACTTACAATACCGCCGCAGTTATCGAGGTCAACATTTGATTGAACGTGTCTAAGCATATTTTTGGGTTTCCTCACTGCCGAGTGAAGCGGTGATTAACGGAAACTTCCAACCATAAAATATACACTGAGATCGATTCCAGATCTTATAGGTTATTCAATGGATTAAAGAATTGAGAAATTATCTCAATCTGTCTGGAACTCTGCATACAAGTTTCACAATGATTTATTCAATGAATATTAACCTTATTTATATTATGAATGTTTATTAATTGAGTAAATTAGGTATATAATAAATATACCTACTTACTATAAACGTGAAAAGAATCTCGTTTGTTTTTATAATGGCTTAGTTAATGTCCTTGATACTGCAGTTTGACCAAATATCACGAAATTTGATATAGGCTACTTTTTGTCTTGGTCAATCAATATGTTCCGATGGATAATACAAATAATAGTATGTGACGTATGTGAATACTATTAAAATAATATAAAATAGCAGAAAAATAGTAAAATAAAAAATAATATACAACGTGCTACAAAGACACAAGCCTATCTAAAACGTCTACGATTGCTCTGCCAAGAGGGAAAAAATTGTAAAGAGAATACAAAATAACCTGAACCGTTGATGATAAGATTTCGTAGATAAGATAGTCAATTGTATTTTCATATTGCCGTTGTATGCCGTTTGGATAATCTAGTTTTCTTTCTAGCATGGCATCTGATACTTTACACCTGCGCGGCCGTATTCGGCATCCTGAACTACGTTTTTTTACAAAACACAATGCAACTAGTGGACCATAATTGCGTAATCTATCCTCGATTACTGGAGTTTCATATGGTTCCACGACATAACATAACCGTAATTAAAGATGATCCTTCCAATAATACAACAAATGTGCCAGCGGCTGAAGAAACAACGATGGAACCGACCAAAATCATTGCTCAAACAACAGAAACCGTCCGAGATAATGTCACCGATGCCAAAACTATAACGAAAAGAGAAGCTCAATATACAGAGACTACTGACGAGTTTGAAACTTCAGTGGAAGTGGACAATATTACTGTAATTATAGGTGAGTAGCTGCCCATGTCCTTATCAAAAGAAAAAGTTAGAGTTTTTTTAATTAAGCTGTTTTTCGTATGCATTTTATATTTCGATAAAAAAATATTTAAGCATTAGAAACATTGTTTACTTAATAGATCGCAATGTTATGAAAAAAACAGAATATGCATTTGTTTGTAGATTACATTAATGTATAATTTGCATTATGTATGTTTCTGTGTTGGATATATTTCAGAGACTATTTTTCTTCTATAGGACGGGTAGAACGCGATCCAGATGATCCATCAGTTACTCGGTTCTCTCTGAATTTTTTAAAGAAACCATTTCGGGTTATGAAATCCAAGAGTTTGTTTGTTTTGATTGAATTAATTACAATTTTAATTATCACTTCACATGCTTCATTGTTCACTCTCAATGTTTTTATTACCACATCAAATAACGGTCATCGCAGTAAAAAAGGAAAAACTAATTTACTTTATAGTTCATAAAATGGAAGTCAAAAGACTTAAAGTACAGGAAAATATAATTTGACCTCCTACTTTTCCTGTTACCTACATACAATATCTTTGTGTTAAATCATGTGGGAGGAAATAAACATTAACTGTTATTATGATTTCATAAAGACCTTAGGAATAATAAGAACCACACCATTCTTAGGGACATATAGAAAAAATAAAAAAATGAGATTTTGTGTAGCTTTTGGTGTGTCGCTAAGTCACTATTGCAGTATACACAGCGATCATAGCATTAAGGAATATTATATAGCACATACTCATATGGTACATTATTTGCCTATTTTTCCCTCATAGATAATGTGTTTAATTTGTTTGTATGTGAGTGAGTGTGACTATTTGCACTTTCGTAGCCTGGACCGAATTTTGAGAATCAGAAATAATTTGTTGTTTTAATAACAATTACAAGCACTGAGTATATCATTTTAATTTATATAGTCTACTACTAAACTGTATACTCATACATAATTTGTTATATAGAATGAAGAGGCTCGTGCATCCATTTCCTCCCTATAATGTTTTCCTTTTTTTTATTGACCATTGATTCCTGATAAAACTACGAAAGACCAAGATAAATTGTTTTGTGTACATCCAGTTATCTACAATTAACATGTCTTTTTTTAGAAACTAGTAATTTAAAAATAAGATAGATGTTCTGGTTATATATTAATTTATGCACTGTAAAAAACATGATACGATTGTTTACTAAATGTGCCAAATATAAAATTTAATTATTTACTAACATTTAAGTACTTTGATTTGCTTTTTGTTGTTATTAATAACAAGTGCCACCAATCATGTCAATTGCCTGGCTCTAAAGTAATTTAATCACTATACATATATATTTTACTCTATACTAATATTTTTTATATTTATACATAGGGAATAGAAGCCATCACCTGGTGCTGGACACGTCACGATCCCTCTTCGGGAGAGAGACAGAATGCGAGTTCGTCGAATACATGCCCATCTTGTCAACAGTATTCGCTGCTGTCTGGGTCACCATGTTCACCATGTGTCCAGGTGGTGGACGCGTCAGAACTGGGTAAAACTAATATTTTTTCCTTATACTTACTCTTTTATATATATATATATATATATATATATATATATATATATATATATATATATATATATATATATATATATATATATATATATATATATATATATAAAAGAGCATTTTTACACCAAATTTAATGACATTTTTGCAATCGACAAAGTATACTGTCAAAGACAAACCAATATTTTTTTTTGTAAATATGACAAGTTTTTATTAAAAAAGAATGCTATTATAGTATAAAATATTACAAACTGCGACCTGGAGTCTATAAAAAACTTCAATTGACAAAAATATTTCTAGAGTATAATCTTAGGGTATAGTGTAATCAAAATTCAATGGGTGTTTAAGAAAAAATAAGCGGGGAAATAGACAGATACGGAAAACAACTTTTATATTATTTAAAAACATGGCGATTATAAACTGGACTCTGCAAATTCAGATATTTTGTGACCTTGTTTTTTTTATTAGTATAAACCGATGGTAAGTGATTACCGCCGCCCATAAACATCCGCAACGTGAAAATCACATCATCTTACCTTTTTATCTGTAACAAATAAGATTGTACATGTCTAAATGTTATTTATTGGCCGCAGACTACCGCAACCATGGCGTATTCTGACACCAGCGTTACTGTTCGCACTGGTGCTGGTCGGGCTCACTGGTCACAGCTTCACATCCACCAACGGAGGACTGCACGCGTTCTGTGCGGCCTTTCATAACATGACCAACTCAACAGCGTTAGTATCCTTAAATAATAAATAATATTTTTTACGCAACTGATACAAACTGATAGTCCATCTGATGGAAAATGAAAAAGGTAGATATAAATAGCACCATCACATGTTACTCCTGAACGTTTAGAAGGTATTTTATGGGATAATCTGAATTAAACCCAGTAATTTACGCAAATAAAGTTTTATTCCGCTGACCATGTTATAATGCAGGAAACAGAGATTTAAAAAAAAATACAATTTATCATAACCAATGCACATTAGTCTATATTATAAATCACAGATTAAGAATAGAATTCACAACTGACTCTTCTCTAAACTCCTCATAAGTTACCATTACTGAGTACGGTATGGTGTTATGCCTCCATACCTTGTAACTCCATTGCCATATTTTTATTAATAGATGATAATGGAATGGTAACTGCGCCTGCGTTATCGGTATCCACTGACGGAGTACCAGTGACGGATGATTGGCGAGGATGAAAAAACAAGCCAGTTAGTCCATCATAACGAATTCAACAATAAATTAATAACAATGGTGTCCAGGGGGAATCGTTTGGAAGTCGTCCTGATAGGATATATTGGTAGTAATGGGGCTAACCTACCCATTAATAATAATCCCTTCCGCCCTCCACTACCATATTAGGATTAGCTGTGAAATTACAGTGACGTTAAGGTATTACAAAAGCCCTTCAAACAGAAACACTTATATTCAGCTGCTTCGCGACAGAAACATATTCACATTCACACTTTTAATTTAGTTAGCAGCATATTTTGTACCCTATTTAGCTACTATCTCATTTATTCTATCCAAGTACAATTGTAAAAATCGTCTCAGTATAAATATAAATGCATATAATTAAATTAGGTACATTATTTAGATCGACGCCATTGTATCCAATCGCTACCGTGGCACGACCTTGGTACGTAATATCATGGTTTGTAACAAATAGATTTCCGGTATATTTTATATATATTATTCGAGTGGCGATAGTGTTGCAGTGGTAAGCACATTAGCTGCGTGATAAGTGTGGTACTGATTTCCAAAACAATTGACGTAACACTGAACACAAATTTTACTTCCTCGAAGCTAGTGCTCTAGATTGTATCTATTTATCCAGATATTCTAATATATATTTTTTACTAGTTATTACTGTTGTAAGATATATACTTCTTTTATACTTATGTACAAGAAATTACTATCATCATTTTATGTATTTAGGTATTTATTATTAACTATTATTTATAACGAAGTACCGCGTTTAGGATTCACTGTTCATCCCAAAGGTAGACTGCTAGAGAATACTGCTAGCATGAAGTCTGACTTTTGTACCATATTTTCTTTAATCAATAAAGTTATTTAAAAAAATAAAGCATGGAAGGCTCAAACTTTGTTCTCATTTTAGACCTAATATAGCTTTCCTTTCTTAAGACCTCTATAAAATTAATAATACTAAGTGAAGCAATTATCTAACTCCACAGTTGCTCGCCCGTTAATGAGTTCCTGGACGCCAGTTGGAATGCAACGTGGAGCTTCGGCGGGCGCGTGGCCGCCACGCGCGCCGCCAGCGCCGGCGTGTGGGCGAGCTGGGCGTGCGCCGCCGCCCTCCTCCTGGCGCGCTGCCTCGCCGCGCCCGACTTCGCCGTCAAGCACTCCGGGGTGCACCTGGTCAAGGATCCCCAACAAGTATAACTCACCATCTTCAATATTACAATCACATATCACAATGTATGTTACACACAATAAATTTTATATGTTTATTTATTTTATTTCATTTATTTCTCCATATATGTGTATACTATTATTAGTTCCGTATTTGTGCAGTACTATACATAATAATCATTCAGTATGTCAAATCAATTTGGAAAGCTCAGAATTATTTGTCATTTTAATATCCTTTATGACAAATATTCAGGTTCACTGGTCCAAATTACTTCAATTTCATTCTGTATAGTAAACTAGCTATAACTCACGTCTTTATCCGCGTGGGATTATCTCACTGACTGGGATATCCATCACCATAAGTGCACACCAAGTTTCATAATGATTGCTAAGAAGTAACAAACGAACACACACTTTTACATTTATAATATTATATATTGGAAAATAAAATACTTTTAAATTACAAACTTATTAAATTTACAAGGAATGAAATTATCTGGATCAAGATAATCTTACATATGCACCAATTTCAATAAAAAATAATATGCTGATAACTATATTTTCAAATAAGATAAGAGGCAATTGACAAGTGTTGCCGTTGCAAAAACGTAATAGTTCCATAATATTATTTCAGCTCGCAAAAGAACATGGTAGAAGGCGTATTAATCATACAATTTACCAAACAAGCAGACAGCGCACTTGATGAAATGTGGCAACCGTTTCCTTTAGACCGAACACAATAATTATACTTACCCGTTATTATATCTTTAAAGACTAAAGTGTTACTACACTTCCAAACCTACCGTCGAAACTAGTTAGGTCGTAATGTACTTTTATATCATGAGGAAGTTTTATTTTGAAGTAATTTAGCAGAGTATTTATTGTGATATTTATACACATTATTCATATTTATATATTTATTAATATCTTTAAGTTATACAATGAATTAGAGGGGACATATTTCTTTTCTTACAATTACCAGACAGCAACCAGAGAGCATCACTCTACAAACATCAAACATAGACTAATAAAGTTGCCATATTAAGAAATGTGTGGATTGCTTTCTCAACAGAAAGTTTTTTTTATGGGCCGAAAATATAATGGTAACTCCACATGCGGCATTATTATACTTCACATAAATAATAGTAATATAATATGTAGTAGTAGTATATATAATAATAAGAGATGACAGGTGATGATGATGATATAAGGAGACACCTATTGGCCAGTAATTCACTGGGAATTAACCACGATATTCTATAGGGAGAACCGCTTGGAGGTCAACATAATAGGGTAGGGAGGAGGTACTTAAGGGAGGGGGAGGAGCCCCCGTCCCAACTCTAAAATTTTGGCATAGCCCAAACTGCTCGTACATTTATATCTCATCAATTTTCTATTACTTGCAATGGAGTATTGGCGTTTTGTTCCCTTAATCGCTTCTTATAATATTCTCAGGGTGACTGACAACACCTTTCCGATGATCGAGAATTCGATCCCTATATGATACAAACATTTGTATTGATGATTATAACTGAATTATTTAGATACAAAAAAATATTTAACTATATCTATTTACTGCCTAGTACTCATAGTACATGCTCTATTTTATCATCAACATATCAGTCTTTAACTTTTTACTGCCGAACAAAAGCCTCCCCCTTGGGGGAAACTTTTCCAGTAGTTGCCACACTTAGCAGGTGGATTAGCAAATGCAATTAAACTTTGTAGGTGTTTAAGCGGGAAGCTGCTGCCTATCCCTCGTCTTCCCTTAATCGCCTCTTACGACACCCACAGGAAAGGAAGGGATGGCCTATTCTATATATATATATATATATATCCCGTGGTATTTATTAATATAAATTATTTGAAACTTAAAATTACAGAAAGTAACTCCCTTCCTGAGGAAGTCGACACGGCGATCGAATCGATCGAGCAGATCGAACCAGCCGTCTCCCTCTAAACAGGACAACGCATCACTGAGATCGGAGCCTACTGTGACCACGGAACTGGCTACGGTATCCATGGAACCAGGGCAGGACTCGGCGCCAACCTCACTCCTCGTCACCCCAGTGAAGAAGGAACGCAACAGTGAAATGATCGAGATGGCCTACACGCCACACGAGCGATATGAATAATATTATGCATTCACGTACAACAATAGTATTTATACACTGGCTTACCACAAATACTTCCTGACATCGTTTATTGGACGATAGGTTCGCGCTTTGCCTCACCACACCAGATGGAAAGCAACGGCCTAAGATAAAACGCGCTTACCCAGAACTTTAAGAGACAGATTTATAAAATTACTAGCTGACCCCGTAAACGTTGTATTACCACTTATTGCGAAATATAAAAATCACGATTAAAATACAGGGGTTGATCGTAAAACGATGAAAATTTAAAGGTGTATGTATTTTTCAATGCTAAATTATAATAAAATAAAAAATTTGTCAAAAAAATAAAAATATTTTTTTTAGGGGTGGGTCACCCTTATCATTGAGGGGTATAAAAAATAGATGTTGGCCGATTCTCAGACCTACCGAATATGCACACAAAATTTCATAAAAATTGGTAAAGCCATTTCGGAGGAGTTTGGTAACAAACACCGTGACACGAGAATTTTATATATAAGATTATAGAAATTTCTTCTATGTTACAATTAAATAAAATTTACATCAATATATTGAGAATTCATATCAAAACAAAGAACTATACGAGTACTTTTTGGTTTATCGCATCAAAAATAAATACAGAACTACCTTGATTTCTGTGTTTTCTGTAAAATTTTATCCGTATTATTTAGGATACATTCGTAGGACGCGCCGCATTAGTGTGGGAGGCTCAAAATTTTTGTCGTTTATCGACTCACATTTTTTTTAAAAAAAAAAAGTTTTGTTCATACAGAGATAATATTGTTTTCACCTATATATTATGTACTGTAACGTCGAAGTTACCGAGATATAAAAAAAAAGAAAGCTCAATATATAAGCTCAACCTATATATGTATACTTCTGTAGGAATGCGTTCAATAGATGCATGCGTATACTGGGGACTATTCTGAAGTGCTATTTCTCTAAACTTATCTCTTATCTTATCTGGTTTATGGTCCACCACAAATTAAAATTACAATAAATTTGACTTAAATTTATAAGATAATAAGATTACAAATTGATGCTTACAAGAAAGATTTCTCAGTGATTAAACAAACCCTTACTGGGTATGTTTTAACTTCGGTTTCAATAAATAAATATACACACACTTGAACTGTGCTAGGCTTGATTTTTTATTCAATATATTCCTGAGCTTATACACTTGCTAGAAAATTTTAACATCGCCTTATAGCACACACATACATATGTACAGAAATAATAATTCCATCATAAACCTGTGGAACTATTTTTTTTTTTTTGATGGATGGAAATGGTATGGTAATCCCGCCTGCGCTAACGGTATACGCTGGCGGAGCACCAGTGAAGGGTGATAGATGAGAATGAAAACAGGCCAGTTAGCCCATCATGATGAATTCATCAGGAATTAACCATGATAGTTTCCAGGGGGAACCGCGAGGAGGTCGACCTTGTTGGGTATATTACTAGCAATAGGATTCTCAGTCTCCATTACTAACTATCCCTTTCCCACCTGTGGAACTATATTTGTGTTGTTTCCATTGTTACGGACTTTTACTGAATACGGATTATACAGTGATATCGAATTCAAATTTTAATTTTAGAGATAGGTTAGAGGTGGCACCTCAAAATCGACCACCATCATTTGCTAATTTATATTTTAGTAGTTTTCAGCTCAAGTAATTAATGCATTGTATGTTTTTTTTTTTTTTATAAATGTATTAATTTCTTCAGTATAAAAAGTACTAGTATAGCTATGTGTCTACTATAATGAAAGCAAGGGTTAGGTATCTCTGTAAGTTGATCGATCATAACTGGTGATCAAACATGAAGAGAAACACGGGTTGATAAATTAAAATGCTTAATATTGTAGTTCTCTTTTAAGACGTCTTCATCGGTAGGAAAACAAAGACTAATAAATGACAGAATTGTAAAAACATAAGAACAATAGAAATATAAAAATATGACAAACGGAATATGATGACCAGTTATATAAAAGGCGTATTGTGATGGCCAGTAATACGCCACAAACACAAATACCAATCACTATAACTTAATCAAGTACTTATAATTTTACAAATAAAGGCAAGAAAAATTTTATATGAGAATTTAATTTGATGTACTTCGCAGTTATGTTTCGAATATCTTATTATTTCAACAAAAATATTGTCTATAGATACCTACAGGTACCTACTTACAAAATGTCCTATCTTTATACTTGTACCAGTGACTTATTTAATTATAAATTTATATTTTAAATAAGTACCTAAAGAGTAATCTATAACTATTACTGTTCATGGAAATAATAAAAATTAATATACGAAAACTTTACTTGCTACAAGTATAATATCTACTATAGTACTAGCTGTATCACGCGGCTTCTCCCGTGGTCGTATGGTGATGTTCCTATTAATATACATTTTAACTTACACAAGAAATGAGCTATTCAATGTAAAAAGATTTTTTTAGATCCGACTGTTAGTTTCAGAGATTAATGCGTTCAAATAAACAAACTCTTCCTCTTTATTATATTAATATAGAGTATAGATTTTTTATGCATGCACTACTGCCAAATAATTTTATGTCGCAGGTATACTGTGATTATTTCTTATAATTGTTTATGTCTAGAATTAGTTTACTGTTGTAATCTTTTGGAGGAAACAATAAAGAGTATTTATCTATCTATCTACCTATACCGTGTGATCCGCACAGAACAAAACCGAATTGTAATGTCTAATGGTTTACCCTCAATAGTTACTAGATGTACTCTTTATTTTTTTTTTTTATTCGCTAAGTGTAATGTGCTAAATGTATTTGTTCAATCTTATAAGAATAATAATTTACTAATTGTTAAAATAAATACCATTATTAATGGGCACAAGCATTGTGGCTACTTATATTACCATCTTTTATTGTCTCTCTAAAAAACCTACCTATCTTCATATGAAATCCCTCGCAAAGTAAGCGTAGAAAACCGGCTCAGAGAAAAAATTTTTTTTATGAAATTATTATTATATAGGCTAATGCCCAACCTAAAAATTCATGTTTTATTAGAATTGGTCGAGCATACCATAAAATAGCTACAAAGCAATTTGCAAATAATATAAAATAATTTAAAATTTAAATTTTGTAGCCAAAGTGGACACCAAGATTAGTCAGGGGTGTTCTTCTCTAGAAATCTGTCCGATTCTAGAATAAGCCGCTACAGTGTCCTAGTCCTTTCCGCAACTGCAGTCCCCCCCCCCCCTTCCTTTCCCATATAAGTCCCTTATTCCTCTCATTTACCAATTTCCTTCACGCATTTCCAACGTTCCCTTCCTTTTTTCCTCAATCCTTTCCCCCATACCATAGGCGGCGAAAACCACCAATAAATGCATTCCCAAAGTGGATTGACGTCAGGTCGGTCGTAAAACTACAAACCAAATCTTTTTGTTCTTTTTTAAATCATATTACGCCGACCCCAAATGATTGGAATAAGGGTAGGAAGATGATATATATATATATATATATATATATATATATATATATATATATATATATATATATATATATATATATATATATATATATATATATATATATATATGCGTTTTGTAAGAATCCCCTGTAAACTATAGAATCGAACAAAACACGATATCTACAGGAAAATTTTAGTATCAAAAAGAGTCATAAATTTTGATTTGATACTGACCAACATGAACTAGTTTGCCAATAGACTTAAGTCAAAATTATTATGATTTTAATCTATTAATGTCCAAAAATCAAGAAATTTTAAAAAATTTATCCCTAAGAGGATATAATTTTCAAAATACATGCATTCAAAGTCACGGTTCAAGAATAGCTAGTCTCGTATATATTATACGTATATTACACGTAGTCATCAATTCTTTAAATTGAATTCATAAGATGCAATGTAAATATATATATTAATTATCTATCTGTATCTAAAAACAAAAACTAAAGTCCAGTTTCTACTTCTGTTTATGTTTTTTGAAACTGTCACATCAGTCAGTGTCAAACTGTCAAATAAGTCCATATCAAAAAACAACCAATTTCATTTTCCAAAAATTGAAAATTAAGTTATGTAAAACATAGCTTTAGTAAATATTGCTAATTATGATATCATTTCAAAAGGTAAATAATCTTTTTTTCAAAACACAATTTAAAAAACGTTTTTTTCGGCATGTGCATTCGGAACAAAAATTACGGGTTCTATACCCATTGGAAAGTAAAAAAATATTAAAAATTAATGGTAAAGATGCACCAGTGTTTCTACAAGGACTCATCACTAATGACATGCGGCATTTTGAGGAAGGAGCAAAATCTATGTATGCCATGTTTTTGAATAACAAGGGTAGAGTACTCTATGACACCCTTATTCATAAATGGAATGACGACGCTTTCATGATAGAATGTGATAAGATAGTGCTGAGCATGCTACAGAGACATTTAAGAATATACAAATTAAAAAGGCTAGTTAATATAGAAGATGTAAGTGATCAGTTCAGGTTATGGGCTTTCATATCATCAAATGAAAAAGTTGACACCAAAATTGATTATAAAGATGAAATTGATATTTATAAAGATCCACGACTTTCAAATCTAGGTTATAGAGTGTTATCATCAATATCTATAAAGGAACCCCAAATAGCTGACATATTTGGCAATGATGTTACAGTTGACAAGAACGAGATTGGTTACAAGTATTTGAGACACAGGTTAGGTGTAAGTGAAGGGGCTGAAGACTTACCGCCTGGTACATGTTTTCCTTTGGAAGTCAATTGCGACTATCTTCATGGAGTAAGCTTTCATAAAGGCTGCTATATTGGACAAGAGCTGACAGCACGAGTTCACCATACTGGTGTGGTTCGTAAACGAATCATGCCATTAAAATTCCATGAAAAAATAAGTGAGAATTTGGAAAAAGATACTGTGATCTCAGTTAGTGGTCAAACTAAATCTAATATAGGAAAACTGAAAAGTTATAGCCAAGATTATGGACTAGGTTTAGTTAGGATAAAAGAGGCTCTTGATGCAAAAGCTTTAAGTGTTGGCAAGCACACAGCAGAAGTAATTAAACCTATTTGGTGGCCTATTGAAGCACCTAAAGAGAAAGTAATGGTTACCAAAATGGAATGATTTACTGTGAGATTCTAGTCCTTATAAATACTTACATGTAAAATAATAATTTTAAAATATAGTCTAATCAATAAAGACCTGCTAACATTTTAATATTCAAATTAAATCATTATTATTAATAAATAAACATGATTTTTTTATTAGTATAGTCATTATGTTCTTTCTATTCTTCTATCTATTTTATATAAATCTATATAAACAAAGTTGGTTATATTATTTGTAACTTCAGAATAGTAGGACATATTTTGATCATCTATGATTTTTTAGATTTGTCTCTACCCCAAACAGCAGAATAACTAGTAATATATTGGAAAGATTTACATAAAAAAAAATACAGGAAAAAATATTTTAAACAGTTAAGCAGTATGAAGTTCGCCAGATCAGCTAGTGTTTTATAAAGATTTATACTAATATATGTTTTTACCTGATGGATCTATATATAATTATTATTCATAAATTGTGTTTTTAGGATGCAAGATTCTAAGCATAAAGAGGACACAGCACCAGTAGTCTATAATTTTCAATGTGTAAATTGCAATATGAATGAAAAAGCAAATTACAAAGGGATAAAACCTCCTTTCTCACGCAATATAGTACTGAAATACCCAAGCTATGTTATGAAGGATCCCTTTAGCCCCCCAGGAACTGGAGAAATACTTGTACTGGGTGCTGATTGTGCTATGTGCAATAAAAGTGTTTGTATAAACAAAGATTGTAGTTTATTCTATCAAAAAACATATTGTTTAGATTGTGTTAATAATTCTTTAGATAAGTTTCCTGCAGAAGTTTGTAATAAAATTAGTCAACTGAAAAGAACTTAATATATACACTATTGTTACTACCATGGTTTTATTTCGTCTAGAATCTCAAATACCCAAACCATTAAGCTAGAAGAAAAACTGTTTTAAAAATGTTCAAGAATTTATCATATACTCCAAAACACTAAAAGCCTCTTAAAAAATAATTTGGTAAATTGTTTAAGACAATCTGTCTATATCTTTATCCTATACATATATTCAGATGTCTGTCTTCAAAATTTGATTGAGCCCCTTGTGCAACCTTACAGATTTATAAAAAAAAAAGTTAAGTAAATTTAGCCCTATTACTAAGACGTAAGGTTCACTTTAACTTTGATTGGATCGCAATCATAAAGCAGAATTTGAGCCATAAAATGTGGTAAATGTAAAATTAAGACACATTTCTTTATTATACAAGTAGTTGGGTGTTTGTTCATCAAGATCGTATGCAGCACTCCTTAAATAAGACATCAAACCCATAATATAATAACCTCGTACCGTGCGCCCAGTCCATCTGTCACCCTGTAAAATATTACTGTTATCTGTGTTATATATGCCATCCACAAAGATAAAAAAAAGAAATTTGGTTGTAAAATGAAAATAAAATTTTTATAAAATACTGTTTACTTTGGCTTTCCAGTCCGATTTACAGTATTTTTAATTCCACAAATTATGTTCAATAACACAGTTAAATTCGACTGAAACTCTCAGTAACATATAATACACAAATTGAAATTTTTATCATTACAAGCCGTACATCAAAATGGGGTACAATGTGATCATTCTACTGTGAGAATAATGCACACCATGCCTCACTTTCTTAAAACGTATCTTAAAAGTAATAAAAAATTACAGTATGGTAATTACATTAAGAAATATAATATATTAATAAGCTCTAAAATCAGGACAAAATTAAATACACTTGTATTATTTCCAGTCACTCAAATCAAGTTTGATAGCACCACATTACATCATAACCCTTTTACAAAATTGTCCAGTGACTGCCAGTTCCACCACATAAATACTACCAATAATATATTTATAACATAGTAGGTCAATTAATAACAATCATTAAGTTATAAAGTACGTACATATAATTATGAAATATTGAGACTTCATTTATGAATAATTCGTATTTAGTTGAAAATTATTGCTTTTTCTCTGTCCCAATAAAATGTACTTACATATAACTATTGACAGCTACGAACATGGTACACGTGTAATATTCGAGAAAAGTAGTACTACGACGAGTCTAAGTATAGTTACCATATTTTTCAACTAAACAGCTTTGTGATGTAAAAGCACAGATTAAACTACTATAAAGATATAAAATGGACATTTTATTCTTCATAAAAATCGGCAAATAAATTGTGATTAAAAAAATTATCAGTAACATTAATTAGTTAAAAATTACACAATGAGAGACATTATTGTTGTATCTTCATTATTTTTATACGGGCAGTGTGTAATTAAGATTTTACCTTAATAAAGTAGCATTTATCTACTTATTGTTAACATTAATGCTACTTATTGGTAGGTACAATCATTCACAAGCATTCGGACAAATACATGCGACTCAAAAAGTTTTGTATCACACAAGCTGTAAACTATATTATATTTGTTCATGTGTACATATTTAAAAGTGAACCTACTCTATTTAATGACTGAATTTTCAGTATTTTTCATAGAATGTATGTTATATTTCAATACCTATATGTTTTTCATACCAATACAAGTAAATATATCCCAAATACCTGGTTTCTATTGAATTCCTAAATAAAAAAAAAAACATGCGACCGTCAACATTCAAAAACATCTTTTTAAACACTAAGATTACGGGGGCATATAGCAGTAATAATAAAATTTATGATTACACCCCATTATTACCCATATTAATTTTTTTTTATACATAAAAAAGGTAATTTTGAAAGTGAATGCTGCTCCCTCAGCATATTAAATACATCGATAACACTAAGACATTTAGAGGCGTAATATTTATTTTACACGATGAGATTTACTTTAGAATAAGATTTTATACACAAATCATACTGGCCTAAAAGATCTTTGCAAAATAACACAAATATAAGATTTAAGCGCCTTGGACGGGAAGTTCTTTGTCTTACAATATTGTTATTTAGATATACATATATTATTATTTAGACACCGTAAGAGCAACAATGATTTTTTTCCTCTAAAAGGGTAGGTACGCGTATCCTAAACTAATTTTCACAGCCGAAACGAATAATGATTATGACATTATGTATTCGAAATAAGAATAGGTGTTAGAACATTAAATTGACACAAGAAACAATTGTGACTACTTGTAATGCAATTATTTATATATTTTTTTTATTGTAAAAGTTTTAAAACAAATTTGCTGATATTATATCAAGAATCAATTTTTACCGTTCGCGCGTAATGTAACACATCGGTAATTGGTATTATATGGGGGAACACATTTAGATGTATCATTTGTAACGCGGGTATATGCTCACGTAATATGAATTATTACATTACATGAGCATATTTGTAGTCAATATTTGCTTTCACACGAAACGACAAAATTCTGAACAATGATATTTATGTCCATAAGTTATATACAGGGTAAAATTGGTAGCGGTCGTAAAACAAAATTTGTTAAATAAAAAAATTCCCATTGTGTCCCACAAATAAAAAAAAGAACGTCTTCAATTGTGACAAGACCAGTTATTTTGATCTAAAAACAAAACTACTGAAGTAACTCTATAAATTAAGGATTAAAGATGTTCTTAAAGATTAAAAGAATTTTCCAAATCGGTTTAGAACTGACGGAGTTATAATGTAACAAACGACAAAAAAATACAGCCGATATGAGAATCTCCTTTTTGAAGTCGGTTGAAAACATAAAAAAAAATCGAATCCCCATCAACAGCTGCACCGTGTTAGTATGATAGTTTTAAAATCTTTTGTCGTTTTTTTAAACATATTTGTTTGATGATAGTGTACAATTTCGCTGGTAGAATGCTGCCTTCAACGGATGGTCACGATTTTGATTTCACCCTGTATATTTACCAGGTATCGTCATATTTATCTTCGCAATTTGCTTCAATTTTCTCAGAACACAATTACATTCAACAGTGATTTTTTTATAAAACGAAATTATTATATGAGTTAATACTAAAAAAAAAAGTTATTTTTTTTTAGTTCTCATAAAATCGGTAATTTTTACTTCCATATTATAAGAAAGCAATAAATGTTTAATACTTATTTTATTAAATAAAGTAAATCTAAATATTATAAATTTATATATTCTGGCTAGTCAGACATTTTATTATTTATTTTCTATTGACGCTTAACATGGAAACGTTACCAGTCTTGTTTATCGAGTGAGATATATGGGGGGTAGAGTTAAGGAAAACTATTCCATATGAGGGACCAGTAGTAAGTGTCCCATTATAACTTATAACAGTTCCAAACATCTCCAAAATGGCACTAAAGTAGCAACAGAGTAAGAATTTAGCCGCTGTGAATGGATTGAGAGGGAAAATTTCATATTGTTTACTATTTAATGCATAATTAAAAATTTTACAACAATATTTAACATTAATTATATATCAATGATGTTCTATTTTAGAGGTTTCTTTAGAAAAAAAAAAAATACAACACTAAAATGCATAAGTGATATCCTTATTTACTTCTTTAAAATTTACCCACATGCTACTTTAACACCACCTTCATTTTTTATAATTTTACATTGTATTACAAAGTGCCATTCTGAAATAGTACCATACCTACCTGCAAAAGAAAATTAAAGAATCGATCGCTGTCCATTTCCTTTTGTCAAGACTAGTTTTGCCCAAAGACAGTATTAGTCTCATGCTCCTTACTTATATAATATAGTAAATAGATTACATAACATTAAAAAAAGCAAATGAAAACATATTAAAAAAGATTCTAAAAGAATGCCTGGAAAAAATTGATATTGAGACTGAAAACTTGCGTGGTATCAATAAAACTTAAAGTACATATTCAATATAGATAAGACGAATAGAGTTAGAATAGATAAGAGTTATTGGATTTATATATAGAAGTATATATAGAAGTATATATAAAAGTATAAAAACAAACAAAAATAGATAAAAATAGTATACACAATAAAACCATTTTTCATCTCACTTTAAACATACACACACACTGTTCACCTTCTCTCACACTACACGCTGAACGTGGCTCCTTTTTATACAGAGATTTTCCTTAGCTCGTCCCTCCATAGTAAGATAGATATAAAAAATATAATAATATGCCACAAGTCAAATCCTTTCAAGAACATAATTGTATCCAAATTATTTTTCTATGGGTTGATTAATCAAAATAATTACCGATTAACGTTTAAACAAACAAATAAAATTACAAATATGCAAGGTTCATTAATCACTCGTAGATATATGTTTCTATTCATTTCTAGTTTAAAATTTCATAATAATAAAAAAAAAAAAAACTAAAATTGATGTGAATATAAATATATGTATATTTCAAAGGTATCAAATATCTTGTATAAACGACTACTGTAGCATTTGTAACGAAAATCACGTGTTAATTATGTGATAGTATATTTTGTACAACATATTTAGGTATGTCTGTCACCAACTATTCTAAACAACTTGAGTCATATAAAAAATCGTATATTTTAATTACATAAAAACATATCATACCTTTTATTGGTTTGTGAACGTGCATTTAACATTACAAATAATATTGATATGATTCTTTTATATTATAAAGATTGTAGTAAACTTTTTCGTTGCAGCAGTGAGTTCCAGTACGCATCATCTTCATTATTATTATATTATTATTCTTTTTTAGTGACAATGGCATGTCTCCTTTAAAAAATAAAATTCTCCTCTCCTTGGATATATGCCATGCATCGCTACATTGTACTGCACTTTATAAATTCTTTAACAAGTCATGTAATTTTGATGCAATAAAGTCTTAAATAAATAAATAATTTTAGTTTTATACATTATTTTATCATTTCCTGTTAAATATTTCATATACGCTCAAATACTACTGTTTTACACCTCTGTCACGAGACACAGTTATTGATTATCTACCACTTCGTCACTTTGTCAAGTACTCAGTCACAAACGTGTCCCTATGTAAATAAAAGTTTAAAGTAATATATGATTGTGTGAAGTGGAATATTTAATAAAATATTCCACTATTAAATACTAATCACAGAAGTTCTTAACCAGAAATTTAAATAATTTTTTTGACATATTGCATAATATTTTAAAGTTTGTTGTCTTATCAAGTAATGTGACACAGTGGTATTAAATAATATTTTTAAATGGTTATAATTAGAATTTCGTTATATCGAGTTATATACAAATAAATGTTATTATTTTAGTCAAGTAAAGTAATAAAAAAATTAATATTAGTTTTTGCTTGACAACTAATAAATTAAAACATTATTGCGACTGAGGTGTTTATTTTTGGTTAATATTCCGACGAAAGCAGAAGTTTAATAAAAAATATGAAATAATAATTCGCTGCATTATGTTTACAAATCTACAGTATCTACGCAATAAATTAATAAAATGTATTTTACATTATAATTAAAAAAAAAAATTTATAACAAATCTAAAAATTTATCACGCAGACTGTCGATAGAAAAGAAGAATGTTAGAATATTATTATTATGGCATTAGATTTGCAGTAAATAGCCAATAATAGCATTACCTATGTATACATACGTAAAACTTTGCTGCTTTGTCCATTAAAATTAAAAAAAACATCATTTTTAGTGAGAGTACCTTTTACGATGCTTGAACGATTCACAAAAATTTGTTTAGTGGAGTAATTAATTAAATTATTCTAATAAACAAATTAGTCGGTAGTAGTCGGTTATTATTTTGTCGGTTATTCTTATTAATTTGATACCTTTGACTCGCATAACTATATTGTGATGGTGTGTTTTGGAATGTATACTATACACATATGTACTTATAAACAATGTTAGTATGAAAAGTCTAATTTATATATATCATAGCTTTCGATTAAACACTACCGGAATTAATTGATAACAAATTACTACGCGACAATCGCTGTATTTTACATTAAACTTATATATTAAACCTCGAAAACTTTTTATAACATTTTCACAACATTTGCACTCCAAATAACGTAATATATTAATGACTTAAGAAATTACATACTCGCTAATATATTATGTAAATTAAAATTAATACATAGATTCATTGTAACATTGAGCTGGGTAGATATTACAAATTTTAATATTCAATTTCGCTTGGTAAATGTTACGCATTCTAAGCCCACCTAAAAAAAAATAACCATTTGTTTCCTTTTTATGGCAACATATAATCATACCAATATGAAAAAATAACAAACGACGCTAAGCGTCAATGTTGCCAGTAAAAGAAATGATTACCGAGAAAATTGGCTTTGTAGTTATTAACTTTTCAGTCGGGCTTATAACTATTGCGTACCAGCTTTGTTCCAACATATTAGGGTCAACGTATGGACGAAGTTTTCATCGATGCGTTGGTCCGAGACCATGCAATGTGGGGCAAAGCTTGAATACATAACATTTAACACACACAGGAAACTCCTAATAGTCATATTACCAATAATAATGTTACTAATTCCCAATTACCACATCTTACTTAAGTATATTTACACAAGAGTAATACCAGTCGTGCCTTTGACAATATGAACATTTCAACTGACAAGTAAATACAGTATAACAACTTGTCTTGTAGTACATATCGTGGCGTGTTATGTTAAAGTAAATTGACATTACTAACAATGCAATAAATACCTTTAAGAGAGAAAAAAGAGCAAAACAAAAGAGAAAGAAACATTTTGATAAATTCATCACGTCAAAGAAATTTTTACTAAACTAATTTAAAATTAACTGTAATGCCAAATTTCATTCGATTTAACTCTTATTAAAACTAAAATTAAGCCGCCGGCATTTTCAAATAGTATCACATCATTGAACTCAACAATTAAATATAAAAACTATAAAATTACAAATTCACAAATAATGAAACTATAAAACAGTAATTATTGTTTCATAGCTATCATTATGTCTAGATCTGCCACACTCAAAGTTTTTTTGGATCACTTAAGTATTCAAAACTGTGTTTGTGGGGCATTATTTTTAATATTTTTAAATGTATGTGTGAGAAAAAATTGGAATTTTTTTAAATTCAGACAATGGAATACAAACAATGGTCGGGAACATGGAAGCCTAAGAGTATGACGGATCTAGAACATTCTAATTTACACATTCCAATGTGGGAAAAATAAGGGGAGGAACAAGAGTGGGATTAACAGAACGGTGGGGAGGCCTAAATGGGTGTAGCCCTACGATTGATCGTTAGGGGTCGTCAAGGATGCGTCAGATTCGGGTGCAGGGACCGATTCAGGGGCGGAGCCGGATCCGGCTATGGCGGCGAGCTGGTGCGCGGCGAGGGCGATCTGCGCGCGCAGGTCCCTAGCGGGAGCCGCAGACGCGGCGGGCGGGGGCTCCTCGTCGGGGGAGTCGTCCAGGTCGGCCGCGATGTCGTCCAGGGGCTCCTCCGCCTCGCTGCCCTCCGGCGTGTGGCAGCGTACCGGCTCCGTCGCAGTCTCGGACGTCGTTTCCGGCTCTGACGTCTCTTCCTCTGATTAATGAATAATTTTTATGAAGGACCTCACTAAAAAATATTAATCTTATTCTGACTCTCATAAAGATATCCCTTACTGTTACTGTACATATAAACCGTATGTACAGTAACATCCTAACCAAATTTACATAGTGAATAAATTCAATATTTCGTCAAAATATTTATTTTCATGGTTTACGATGACTTCGGTTTGAAGGGTTGGATATGGCGTGAATTTACAGGGTACAGAGGAATAACACCTGAGTCCTCAGGAATGGCAACGCATGGGGGGTATCATGGGCGAAACAGTATGTGTGTGTACTGTTACGTCTGTGGTACTGCTCATGTCTATAGGCGACAGTACCACTTTCAATCAGGTGGGCCGTCAGCCTGTTTGCCATTCTAAGTCGTATAAAAAAAAAGACTAAATCACAAATGAAATAATCATCATTGTTATCATCGCAATTAAATAACATCGAAATAATGCAGCGTGTGAAGCATGTGTATGTGGTAACCGTACGCGGGACTCACCGTTGGTGTGGTGCAGCCGCTGCTGAGCGGCTTGCGCGGCGCGAAGCAGGGCGGGCGCGGCAGGGGGCGCGGCGGGCGCGGAGGACGCAGCGGCGGGGCGCGGCCGCGACGCCAGCACGCACAGCGCCCGCAGCGGCGCCAGCAGCGCGCCCAGCGGCCCGCGCGCCGCCGCGCCGCACACCTCCTCCGCCAGCGCCTCCGCCGCGCCGGACGCGCCGGACGCGCCGCCGCCGCACACCTGCCCGCCACATTCACACGAATTAAAAAACTCCCACATACCACTCGTTCAACGGACGCGTCTACACTGAACAATGCGTGCCAAATTCTCACACTGTGACGTCACATTATTATTTTATATAAGTAAATCGATGGCTAGATTGTAACATTTAAAGAACATTTAATACATATTTTAAAATTAATCCAAAAAGTCCTCATTCCACCTAAAAGACATAATGGGAAAAGGCCATACCATTTCCATAAAAAATTATTTCTTTAAAACAAGTAAAAAACAAAAACTACACATACCTTACAATTATGCCCCCCCCCCTCCTCCCCGACATAGAGGATAATGAAAAATTACTAAGCTACTTCCCTATTTTCAAAGCCAAATAATTAAGATAAAACATTTACTTCTAAGAACTAATTTCAAATCAAACAACTACTAAAGAACAAAGATCATAAAAATTCTGTCGTACCTTTGGGTAATAGTGTAGCATAAACTGATATATTATGGGGTCCTCGAGCGAATCTCGCTCGTCAAGTAACACCGCGTCCATGTATTCTGTCACCACACTGCACTCTAACAGCATCTCTTCTAATTTGGAATCCGCCTGAAATATAATAATTATGATATCAGCTTTTAACTATCACACAGCTGTACATAGACCTTCTCCTATAAGAGAAGTGTTGCCACATTTGGCGGGCGGGTTGGTAACCACAGCAGCTTTTATGATGTTTTAAGAGAGACACTGCTGCCCATCCCTTAACCATTTAGTTCCTTTGATCGCCTCTTACAACATCCACAGGAAAAGTATGGATGGCCAATTCTATGCCGGGACTACACGGCGATAATTATTGGTATTTAAACAAAGGGGTCGAGCTCCTAATCATTGAAAAATGAGACCAACAAGGTTGTCTGTGTCTGAACACATGTTCAGTCAAAACACAAACAATTGGGATTGGGAAACACAAATATTAAGAACATTATAGTATGTATAGGATATAATGTAATTATATTGTAGCGCTTTTGTTGCACTCTACAAATGAAATGTGTACTCACTGGTGAAGCAGCGACGTCCCGCCAGAAGGCGGCGAAGTAGTTGAACCGCAGCGGAACCGCCTCCAGTGCGCACAGCGCCGACAGCAGCACCAGCTGTTCCGACATGCAGCGCTGGCTTCTCGCCACGCGGCAACATGTGTCTGCGCACACGTACACACACACACATATATATATATATATATATATATATATATATATATATATATATATATATATATATATATATATATATATATATATATATATATATATATATATATATATATATATATATATATATATATATTTAAGTGGACACCCCTTCACTTGCGTACACGTATATTATAATAGGTAGATAGGTATGTAAATGTATTTAGTTCTTTTTCAATCGTATATTTTGTTCTTACAAGCATCTTTGCAGCATTAAAAATAGTGTAGGTAAAATTAATTAATGATCAAGATAGTTCATTATGATGTAACACAAGCTACATTAGCTGAGTTATGAGTATTTTCATTTTTTAGTTCAAATTCAATAAACTTGTTAAGAAGCACTTTATTTTTTTTTATTAATGTTGTGTTCGGCAAGTTGTTATTTACTGAAAAATCCACAAGAAACTGAACAGTTTTAAATTTCTGTTAACGTTATGTATATCTATTTAAATGCACTATGTCTAAAATGACTAGTTTAAAATTCAACAAGCTCGTAAATACTTATGATAATACATTTATCTATATCTTGAGAATGCTTACGGAATCGGTAAATAAAAATATAATAAAGGTCAGATTAAACATTTCTAAGCGTTCTAAATGCACCCGACACCTTACAGAATAAACTGCTATTCTGCTATTCATCATAATCATCATATTAGCTTTTAACTGTCTACTGCTGAACACAAGCCTCTCCCTTAGGGGGTTTTGCCAGTAGCTGCCACGCTTGGCAGTCGGATTGGCAACTATAGTCAGGATTTAGAAATGTTTTAAAAAAGACGCTGCTGCTTAATCCTTGTCCTCCCTTAGTCGCCTGCTACAACACCCACGCGAAAGCAAGAGGTGGTCTATTTTTTTTAATGGATGATAATGGAATGGTGACCCCGCTTGGGCTAACAATATAGACTGGCGGAGCACCAGTGAGAGTTGATAGATGAGAATGAAAATCAGTTAGTCCATTGTGATGAATACACTTGGAATTCGGCACGATGGTTTCTAGGGGGGACCACGGAGAGGTCGACAGAATCCTTAATAGGTCAATAGGATCCTTAGTCTCCATTACTAACAATCCTTTCCCCCCTGGGGTGGTCTATTGTATTATAGTACATTACTGCAGCAGCCAGCAACTGAGGCATTGATGGACGAACGTGCAAATGTGGGCCGAGGCGTAGCCGAGGCACACATACGTGAGTCCATCAATGCCTAGTTATGGCGAAGGCTTGTATAGTACTTTTCTCAAACAATGCGCGGAAATCAAAAATACAATTTTACTTTTTAAGTTCAATGACAAATAACGAAAAATTAAAATTTTTCACGCGCTATAATGTTCCTTTGTTTTTTTTTTTTCAATAAACAGCTTTCTATTTGCAAGACAGTTTAAAATTTAAATAAAACCTTGTATTAGTTATCTTCTTGGTAGCCATGTTTCGAAGTAAAAGGTCATTCCATTTTTAAATTACAGGACAGATATGAGTTTACATAGTAATTTATCTGGCCGCAAAACACGACAGATATGGATTTTCATACAACTTTTGCCGGCCGCTGCCCGCTTGTATCTGCCCAGTATGGTAATTTTGATTTATCTCTAAGAAGATAAAATAATACTCACATTTCCAAGCATGTTTGAGAAATAGTATATTACAGTATAATATAATATATTGTACCTATTGTATTGCAAGGTACTCCGCTATTGGGGGGGAAGGGATTGTTAATAATGGAGACTAAGGATCCCTTTGCTAGCAATATACCCAAACAGGTCCACCTCCACGTGGTCTCGCCTGGAAAACATCGTGCTGAATTCCAAGTGTATTCAATACAATGGGCTAACTGAGCTGTCTTTTTATTCTCACCTAACATCACTCACTGGTGCGCCGCCAGCGTATACCGATAGCGCAGACGGGGTTACCATTCCATCATCACACGTTAAAAAAAAACTCTGCTATTGTTACCTATGAACTTGTGGTAGGGGCGGTAGGCGGGCGCGGCGGGCGGCGGCGCGGGCGGCGGGGCGCGTGCGCCGCACAGGTGCAGGTGCGCGCGCGCACGCGGCGAGCCGCGCGCCGCGCCGCGAGCCGCGCCCGCCGCGCCGCCGCCCGCCGCGCCCGCCGCACCCGCCGCCAGCGGCACCAGCGCACCCAGCGCCGCGCTGCCGCCGATCATCACCAGCTCGCGCAGCACGCCTGCACACACATCAAACACGTGTCAAAACAAGGAGAAATTAATATTTATTTGGCGCACATATCGATAACGGTTACAACTAAAACAATTATAAGGTTAAAAAAAGGAGATACAAAAATAAACTTATATCTAATTAAGAATTATGCGCCTAAACACAATTTTCTGTGAAACCAATGGGATTGGTAGACGGCGCTACTGAGTAGAAATTACTGAGTATATACTTACTATTACAATTTAAAATAGAGCATACAACATAATCCTATTAAATTAATATTCTAAATCCGAAATTGTTTGCTAAGCTTTCAGGTCTAAACCGTTAAATCGATGATAGTAAAATTTGGTACAGAGATAGAACTTGAAGACGGTTATAGACTTTTTTTTCTAATCAGTATATATTTCTCGGTCACGCAAACGAAGTCATGAATAGAAGCTTGTATACCATATTCCTTTATTACCATATTACAATCATATACCAGTTAGGAATAAATTTATTATTGAATCATAGTGCTAATTATGTTGAATTTTAAAATATTGTCATCAATTGTAAACTTGAGCTTTTTAAATAATCAATATTTCGACGCGACTGAATCGCCGTAGAGAAGCGAGTTGGACGCGTGCAGGAGAGGAGGACATCGGCGGTCGTACCGAGCGCGGCGTCGCGCAGGTGCGTGAGGCGGTGGTGCAGGTTGAGCATGGTGAGCAGGCGGCGCGCACACTCGGGCCAGTCCTTGCAGGCGAGCAGCAGCGCGCGCGCCTCCTTGGCGTCGCGGCGGCGGCGCAGCGAGCGGCACAGCGCGCGCGCCCAGCGCAGCGCCGCCGTCAGCTCCGCGCGCACCGCGCCCGCGCCGCCGCTGCCGCCGCCGCCGCCCCCGCCGCCTCCGCCGCCGCCGCCCTCCACGTACACCGCGTGCAGGCTGTGCAGCGCCTGCGCACGCACCGACACGATATTGTTAATAGATTACAGGAATAATCGTGATTAATTTTTAATGATCACTATAGCCAATGACTATGGACCAACAAATTTCATGGCTCACCTATCTCCCTCACAGGATTAAGTAAGTTAGGTTACAATTATTTTGATAATAATGATGAACATTCTATAGTAAATGTATACATTCACTTTGCATTTTAATATTCACAATGTTTAGTGCTCTTTCCTCGTGAGGATAATCCAGCGACGAATGAGAATACATACTTTATATCTAAAATTGTAACAATACTATACTGGGAATTATTTGTTTTACATTGAACACATTTATTTTATATAAATTTCAGTCACACTTTTCACTTACTTCGAAAGTCATTTGTAATCCTCCATTGTACACCACGTACAATCTGTCGTCCTCGTTCTCGACCAGCGTGCAAAACGCCGATATCAAAGTCGTCCAACACGTCCTACCGTTTAAGCCTATAAACAAACAAAAAATTTATATAAATGTACCTATTCTAAGAAATAATTAAACATAAAAAGTAGAAATCATATCTATACTACTATTCATATTGCCATTAGCTAGATTAAAATATAACTAAAATAGATAGGCCGTGTGGTCCCAGCAAATAATAGGCCACCCGTTCCTTTCCCGTGGTCGTCGTAAGAGATGACTAAGGGAATCGAAAGTCGAGGGATGGGCAATAGCATGCCTCTTAAAACATCCCCAAAGGCCTAACTGCAGTTGCCAATCCGCCTCTCAAGCGCAACTACTGACAAAAAAAAGGCTCATATTCAGCAATGGACAGTAAAGGGTGATATGATGGGTAATTATTCATAAATATTTCGTTAAAATTAATTTATCGACACGAAAAGTAAAAACTTTTGGAGAAATCACATTTCACATTTTTCTTTTCAATGGACGAATACATATTTAATTAAATGACGAAGTACCTTGTAAGTAAGCGGAAAGCGTACTCCGTCTGAACGCCACAGCCTCCCTGCCGTCTGGGGCCTCTGTGCCGCTGCCACCACTACTGCTACTGTTCGCTGTACTATTATTGCTGCCGCCTCGAGCTGCCAGGATGCGTGCTAGCCTACAAATAGGTATTTAAAAATTGTTTTATGTAAATCCATAATCATAAATATATATTGATGTCAATTAGGAGGAAATTGTTACTGGCAACATCGGCATTCAAACATTTTTCTTGGTATTTTCATATACAATTTTTATCATATATTTTTTATCTGTTAATGACAGATTTCCCCATAATACTTTCAATATATATATCAGAGGTTGTTACAAACTTGCCGTTTTACCAATTCAATCGTCAATTTTAGGCTGAAAGTATTGGAAGAGATAGAGAGGATATGCTTTATTGCACCACATATAACGTTTGAATATAACGTTATATAAGTTAACGTATAAAATAACAATACCACGTTTATATATAGACCAGTTCGTATGAGCGTAACAGTTCCGCCTTATTGCTAAAAGCAATGAAAAAAGATAGAAGCGGATTTTGTATAAGGATGCGAGCGCACACTCTCCGACCCTCTTCCCTTTTGATAAATCTTTTAGATATAACTCTTCCACTCTACTACCCACACACTTACGAAAATTCTAAAAAAATTGCTGAGCATAAAGCCGAAGCAACGATATCACGTAGCACACTAACTTGACGTTCTAGAATTTTATTATTTCATAATTTTATCATGTTGTCCACTCGTGTCGATTTCAAGTCAAGCATCAAACCACGACAAAGATGAATAGAAGGACAAATTTAAATGTCAAAAATAAACAATAAATATATACCTAAGCAACTCGTCGGCAGCAGCGGGGTATAGGTGTGCGTGAGGCGCGATGTTCCTGAAGGCCCAATGTATGTTCTGGTGCTGCGCGAGCGCACGCGCGAAGGCGCTAGAGCGGCGGCAGCACAGCCGCAGCAGCGCGTAGTACGGCGGCAGCATCGCGCGGTTGTACGCCACCACCTCGCCGTCCTCGTGGTCCGCTCTGAGCACAAAATGTAAATTATCCATTAAACCTTGATACGACTGACGTCACTTAATTCACAAGAGAAGCAGTGTATATGGGGGGAGAAGAGATTGTTAATAATGGTGTTTAGTAGCACCATTGCTAGCAATATACCCTGTCAGATCGACCTCCTCGTGGTTCCCCCTGGAAACCATCGTGCTAAATTCCAGGCGTATTCATCGCGATGGGCTAACTGGCCTACCTTTTCATTCTCATCTATCATCCCTCACTGGTGCCCCACCAGCGTATACTGTTAGCGCTGGTGGGGTTACCATTATCACTCATTGAAAAAAAAACTATTGCTCCAATGAGACGACTGTTAAACAGCTGATAGTCAATATCTAGGATTAAGAGGGCGTGTTGGAGTTTTAATACTGGCTGTTGACACTGAAGTTTTTTAGAACATGTATTGTGTTTTATTTGATCTGTGTCAATCTTTTATAAAATGTCTTGTGGTTTTTTCACTAAATTGAATATTTTATATTACAAATACATATAGATTTTACTACTACATTGTGCCGTTTACATCTCCTATCACTCCTTAGTGGTGTCCCATTAATAAAGAAAATAAACTAGACATTAGAAAGAACATTATAATTTTTTTTTTATTACATCACTTTACTATTCATATTTTACCATAATATACAATGTCAGTCAGTTGTTGCAGAAACTTATTACAATTACAATAGTTCTGTAATAGTTGAACACTTACAATATATAATTGAATGCGATGTGCTTGATGAGCCGCTGGTTGGAGACGGCGAGCTGCACGTTCTCCGGGCAGTCGACGGACACCGCGTGCCAGAACGTGAGCAGCGCCTGCTTATTAGGATGCACCGCCACCGACGGTTCGGATATTGCCGGGTGGTATAGATCCCACAGGTCATTGAAATATTGACCAAACTGAAAACAGAGATAAACTAACCTTAGTTTCAAAACATTAAAATAATTTATTCAGTTCATCATACATATTCCAACCGAGAATATATATATATAAAAAAGTAACTACGAGCAAGCAACAGGCATAGGTGGTAGAGTCAGCAATTTTTTTTTTTTTATAATATCAAAATTAGTCATCAAGAGCGACGCGAGTATCCACTCGTTAAAGCAATAGTTTTTCAACAAAATATAATAAATTTAATATAAATTAATCATTTATTTACATAAACATAAGTGCAGTTATAAGTATGATGCTGCAGAATACGTAGTGCGCTATATTTTACCTACAAATACTAATATTCCTTAATGTCCCTTAAATTATGATTTTTAATAAAACAATTACACAATAAATAACTTATGTCAATTCAAGTACAATTTCAATAAGGTTGTATCCTTTTAACAAGTTTTAGTTCCACTATACCCCAAACACTTAATGAATACATAAAATATTCTACAACATACTCCGTAATATTCCGTAATTTTATCATTTATAAATCCTCATTTATTTTATTTTTGTTTATTACGTTCTAATTATAATTGCATGTTTATATACTTTCTTTCTTTATATAGCAATCAGTAGTTAACGTTGTTTATTTTATTTATTTATTTACACTTTATTGCACCAAGTAAAAAGGGAAATTACAAATACAGTAAATATTAATGAGAAGTGATACAAAAGGCGGCCTTATCGTTAAGCAATCTCTTTCAGACAACCTTTAGGTAGAGGACATTGAGAAAAAGACAAAGAGTAGGTGGCGCACTATTATATAATTTGTTGTTGTCAATACTATTAATTATATTTAAATGTAAACTTATTATAATTATATATTGTATTACTGTTTGTTAACTTTAATAAAATAAAATAAAAAAATGTTAATTATAAAATGGGCTCACCATAAGTTTTTCGACTCGGCTTACGACACAGTAGGACATAACGCCGAAGTACGCGGTCAGTTTCATAGTACCGTGTACTGCGATATCGGTGTATTTGCGCGCTGCTTTTAATTTGCTGAGCAGCATCGTGTAAACCTGTATGACGTATGAAAGTTTCATTACTAATAACCGAATTAAAGGACCATGTGTGTACTAATATACATAAAAAGTTCTTCAAAAAGGGGATAAAGTGGTTGATTCAGAGCCGTCTAATGCTCCTGGTATTGCAGGTGTTCATAGGCTACGGTAACCGCTAACCATTAGCTAGCCCGTATGCTTGTTTGCCACCTCAGTAATGTGAAAAAATATATAAAAAAAGGGGGGAAACGATTAAACATAACAAAGAAAAACATTCATTTTAATCAAATTTAAAGCTTACTCTATTCATTCGACAACAATAATAATAAAAAATATTATTGGAAAAAAAGAATGTTCCAATGATTGGATGAATGGAATTTAACATCGTAATTTGACATTATACTCCTAGATCCCCCCACAGATGAAAAACAAAAACTACAAAAATATAAATAACGAATAGGGTACTGCCGTAATAAATAAGCAGAACAACTTTTTTGTTTTTTTTATTGTGACGAATGAAGATTATTAATTAGTCTGAAAGTAATGCTAGGAAATGTGTTTAAAAATAGACCACCATATTGTACAAAATTTGTTTGAACTTTGTGGTGATAAATGTAAGGTGGTGTGGTAGTGAGAGGGTTGGGAGATTGCAAGTTTTAATTAATTTTTTTTAAATAATTGTAAGTTATTTTAACCGTTCCACCACCACTGAAGTGGAAACCACTGTGATAAATTCTTGATGCTTCATTATGAAGAGTCAAATAACCTGGTAGTGTAGTGTAACCTGGTAGTAACAAATAGCCGTGTGGTCCCGGCATAAATGGGCCACTCCAATACCAATCCGCCTGCCAAGCGTGGCAACTACAGATAAACCCCTCTTTGTGGGGGAGACATATATACAGTAGTGGACAGATAACAACTGATATGGTAATGATGAAGTAACTTGGCTTCATTCTCACCTATGTGCCGTCATCATTGTCTTGTCAGTGTCATACCAATAGCGCAGGCGGAGTCGTCATTACTATGTATAAGAAGTGAGGTGACCTGGTGCAGCGTGTGATGCGCGGTGTCGGGCAGCTTGGCGAGGTGGTGCGGCGGCGCGGGCAGCGGGCGCGCGCGCGCGTAGCCGGCGCGGAAGTGTTGCGACGGCACCAGCGCCACCAGCAGCAGCGCGGCCGCCGCGCGCACCCGCGCCGCCGCCGCCGCCAGCAGCTGCGCCTCCACCCAGCGCTCGGCCGTGCGCAGCGCCCACGCGTGCGCCGCCTTGTTGCGCGGCACCTGCGCACGCGCACCCACACACGCTCACACACATCGCCATCACTGCCTGTGCCAGCCCGGCCGTCTTAAATATTACCACTATACCTAACCGATGATTTGGTTAAACTCATAATAGTTATTATTTTAGCTTAATTTTTCACCTGCTAATTGAAATAGGTAGTAGATTTATAAAAAAAAAAAAAAAAACACTTTTCAATAATTTAACAGTGTAGTCCACAAAATAAATATTTTTATTCAAAAACTAAACTACTGAACTGATTATGATAAAATTTCTGTAGAACTAATATGAAAGTATATCGTTTCAAGATAAAAAAAATTGTAATTTTCAAAAACGATATTAATCGTTAATTTATTAAAATTACGAAGTTATGATATAACAAACACTAAAAAAATACAACCAAAATGAGAACCTAGTCTTCAGGAACGTATGAATTGAAAGATATTCACGAGCGATGTCCATGGTAGGTACTGTTCGTATCTATAGGCGACAATTATCCACTTTCTATACAAAGTCATAACTCATTTGCTATTCAAGTTAGCATAAAACGATAGGCCGTAATAATAACACATAAGCATCTGTCACGTCTATACGGACTAAAACGGAATACCAAAATAAATAACGAAAAATAAAAAAACATTTTTAGTCTAAACGGCTTAACATGAACGCTACTTAATTATACAAGTTTATTTTAATAAATACATGTTCCAGTAATATTTTCTTAGTCTGAAAATGCACATAATATTAATAACGCACCTGCAGCGCGAGCCACTCGAGTGCGGCGTGAGGACATACGTCGGCGACGTCCCAGAGGCGAGCCAGCACGAGCTGCGTGAAGCACGGCAGGCCACCGGACGCGCCCGTACCGCCGCCGCTGCCCTCCGCCAGCAGCGTTAGCAACTTAAAAAACGGCCCGCACGTCTGCCGCGCGCGCGTATATTACATTCTCTGATCCGGCTCGTAGGACCATTTTAGTATATACTTTAGATCTATGATGAGCAACACTATTCTTCATAAATATTATCATCATTATTCTAGTTGTTTATTGCCCTCTGTCGATCATAATAATTTGTTCGAGTAAAAAAATTTAATATATTGTTACCGTAAGTCATGTGATAATAAAATTATATAGTCATTTATATAGTAATCATTTTCATTCATTTATTTAAACTTTATTGACGAATTTAATGTGTATGTATGGCTGTGACTTAATAATATAGATATTCAATAATAGTATATACATAGAAATAGGCTTCTATTTCTAATTTATATTTTACTGTAATATGGAAAAGTATACAAATAAATTTTAGATACATAAATTAATTTGTTATATATGTAACAAATCAATATATGTATGTAATAAATGTATATACATTTCTTTTTTTTTTTTTTCATTTTCGTTTTGTTATTTAATCTGTGTATACTATTTTTATAATAATACAACAACTGCCATATTCCATTGATATAATTAAATTATCAATTCACGACTCACCTCGGAATGTTTGGCGATGGCCTGAAATATCATGTTGACGATCTTCTGTGCGAGCGACTCGTTCCATCGGCATAAAGCGAATATAAGTGATCGTGTTTGCTGCAAGTTGAGGCAGTCGCGGGTTTGCTGATAGATAAACGGGAATCCCTGTTCAAACAAACATTACTAAATTGAGACTTATTGGTTTTATTTATAGTTTTCAACTAATGATAAACATTATAACCATACAATGGTTAACCATTTTTTATACATGGTTTGTACTTTTTGTTGATTCTGCTTCGTACACTGAACAAATACGGGGTAATTTACGTATATGACAACGTTTGTGGGCGCTCTACGCTACCTTACTACACTCTGAATGTTTATGCATACATTTTACTTTGCTACATGCGCATCTGTGGCATTCCCTCTAATAAATAAAAAACTACACATCAAAACGATTAGTCTTATGAAAATTAGATTCATTCATGCTGATATTATATGATGACATGATTCATATTACACGGCGTTAGTAGACTGGCGGGGTCCCGCGACCGCTCCACCAGGCCGGTCAACAGCTGGCTGTACTGTGTGTACTGTATGCTTTATATTGAGTACTGTACAGTGTGCGTAGTGACCTTAGCGTGCAGCAGCGCGCGCGCGTCCGGCTCGTGCAGCGCCAGCAGGCCGGCGGCGTCTCGCGACCGCTCCACCAGACCGGCCACCAGCGCCACCATCTTGTCTAGCGCGCCGGGCCGTAACTTGTCACCAGCGCTCTCGACCGCGCCGCTCCCGCTGCCGCTACCGCTTCCACTTCCGCTCGCTTCCTCCGTTGGAGACTCCACCTTAGTTTTCATATTTTCATTAGTAACACTACTCATTTATATGCTGTTTTATTTAGATTTCTACAACCCCTTTCAAATCTCACGCTGTTAAGAGCAAACAGCAATTTGACTAAATCGTTTCATTATAGAAGCAACACTGCAAAATCAATATGAAATGAAATATGTACATTCAAATTAAGCAAAGGAGTCAAACGGTTAAGTCTAGAATACATAAAAGTAGTCTATCTTATCTAAGGCAAATATTATAAATGTCTTACCACGGCTGAGTTTTGTCCTAGATAAAAGTTCACCATCATAGAGATGGCGTTAATACGCAGCATAAACTTGCCCTCTTCCTCGCCCATCTTGCTAAACTCGTACAGTAAACTAAAATATTCCGTTAGGTGACGCAGATGGGACCGAGCACCATTTTCCATCTAGACAAACATCATAATTTCATCAGAATATACATACCTAATGTGGCCCTTATTTTCAATGAACAAAACCTTCTTTATAAACCCATTTTTATCACCAAAAATAAATAACTTACCAATGATAATAACATCCTTATAAACCTAGTAACACAACTTGCTTCCCCTAACTTGTTATTATCCTCTCCATCCTCCATACCCTGAAGGTATAAGGCACAATGACTAGATCTGAAACAAAACATATATTTGTGAAATTATTTTTTTAATGTTGTAAAACATTGTAAGACAATTTATCCTATTTGTACTCGTATCACATTTTAATGACATTTTAAACGACACAGTTACTCCTATAGGTCCTACTATTACTCATTATTACTTAATTGTGAGTGTAAAAATTGATTTTTTTTGTATGCCATTATATCCTCGATTATCATGTACATGTAAATGTGTTCAATACAACAAATATATAAACAATGTATCAAAGTGAAAAATATATTGAAATTTGGTTAATAAGTACATACCTGAGCCTTTGTATAACATGCATACAAAGACGTTGAAACATTTGCCGAACCATCTGATTCGGGCATTTTATTAGAACCTGTAATAAAAATAAAATGTACACACATTGATATAACATTAAAAGAATTAAAAACATTTTAATATTAATCATTTACATTACGTCAAGCGATTAAACTGATGAGTACAGTAATAAAAACATTATTATTTGTACCTGCATAGGCCACCATGTGTCGTCGGCCATGTGTCCAAGGAACCACTCCGACGCCGCTGCGGAGGCGTTGAACTGCTTCGTTACCAGCTCCACCCACGATACCATCGTCGGCTGTACATTTGACATATTATATAAACACATATAGAAAGTAATAACTCTAACTGATCTCGTTGTTCCTTGTTCCATCCAAACAATTACTGTATAATACTCAACAAATTTATAAAAAAAAACCCACAGAGGAAACAATTGGCATCCACATAAATAGTTACTAAAAATACTCACTTTCTCTTTAGCATGTATGAAAGTTTCAATGAAGAACGAAGTGGATAGCCTCGCAGCCACCTCGGTAACCTCTGGCCGCAACGTCAGCAGCGACTGAGGTACTGAACTGCACATCTGACCCATGAAACTAGAACAATTTGTTGTATATTACAATTAATACATATAATTATGATTTTATTAGCTGCAAACTATTCTCACCTCTACATCCGAAATCAAAGAAGAAGAAATTATGATTGAATCTTGTCTTTGTGAAAATTGCTTACAAATTTATTAAGAATCCAAGTGTGCTGAGACAATAATGTTAAGTAATTTCATAATAAATAATATTGCATATATTTTATTTATTTATTTCTTTATTATTATAATGCATTCATGTACATAATATAGAGTTGTTACAATGTTCTTATGATGAGTAAGTATATGAAACTCTGTTTGGGTGTAGCAAAATTATATTGATTATCTATCAGCTAATTTTAAAATATAACAGCTACTTAATTATATACTTTAAAATACTACCGTTTTTTGATATTGCGAATGTACACAATATAACATTCTCGTCGACGGAAAATTCAGGATATAAAGGAATATTTATTTATTCCTAATTCTACACTAATTATAGTAATTCTGATTTTCATGTCCATAATTTTCAGTGGCACCAATTTGTTGAAAAGAGAGAGGACCACTTAAAATCAAACAAATAGCGTCCTCATACATTTTACTATCTAATTGTTGCTTATATCGAGTTGTGCTATGATAAATTATTTATTTAGTAGTATAGTATTATCTGTGATGGCAGTAACACATACGTGAAGTACGCATGCTGGAAGATGTTCTTGTCGTGCAGGAAGTGCATGTTGTCATCCCAGATCCACTGCAGCAGATCATGCGGCAGCTCCACCGGCTCCTCTCCGCCCTCCCCCTCGCTGCGGCCCTCCCGCGCCGCCGACCCGCACTCCTCCGCCGTCGACGACTGTAACACGGCAAGCGCCCGTGCATACACATGAAAATTCACACCATACCAATAGGTACAGTGACGTGATATACTGGTACGAAGTCTGTGATCGAGGCAGTAGCTCGCACATATAGAGAAAAAAACATGGAAAGGAAGAATTTCTCCCCAAATTTGAATAACATTAAAAATAACGCAACAAATCTTTCAATTTCTCGAAAATTGTCGTCGGATCACGATGAATGTCAACTCAATACTTACTGACTGACAAGTAGTAAGTTCAGTATAATTCTGTTTATGTACCACAATTTTTTAATAATATTTACATTTTATGTTAATTTTATCTGAATTTGTTCAGTAATATAACGAACAGTTACGTAACAATATAAAAAAAGAAACAAAGAGATTCACTTTCGCTTCATCTTTCTACATCTATAGGATAAGTAAAGTCATAGTAAAAGTTTTCCTCAATACCTGTGCTTCCTCCTGCTGGCCGCAGTCGGAGCCGCGCTGGCTCCGAGGCGGACTCAATTCGTAGAACAACATGTATGCACTGTTCGTTTTCTCGAATGAGAAATCCATAAACTTCTCCGTCACTGAATCATAGGTTTTACTCTAAAATACAAAATAAATCAAAAGTTTAATAAGCATTTAATAAACATACAGGTATATAATAAAATTATACATAAATTGTGGACAGTGTAATCATTCCACCAATATTATAAATGTATGTATGTATGAGACATAAATACATGGGGCAGAGAAAGGAACCACTTAGTGTCATATCGTATACAGAGAAATACACAGAATACAAACAAACATACTTATAAATACAAATGTTTAGTTAAACCGCTACATAATCATCAAAGACGTCAACTCAAAATGAATCAATTCATCTATCTAAATTCATATATTTATTTATTTAAATTCATTTTAAATAAATAAATGCATTAAGTTAGCAAGAAAACAAGTGGGGAAGGACTCACAGTCATCTCGCCCCCGAAGCATTCGGCGGCGATGTGCGCGGGGTCGAACGGTTTGACCTCTGCATCATTAAACAGCAGCCACCGATCGCGGTGTTCGTGCTCGCGGTCACGGATGAACGAGTAGTAGTGTCCACCGTCCGCCGTGCCCGTGTGCACCGTTACACCGATTAATTCGTACCTATTTGTATACATAAAAATGTTTTAGTACAGATTTTTTTAAAACTAAAAAAATAAAGGTATGTTTACATTCTGCGGATATTGGGCAAGGATGCGTAAGAGTTTGCACGTTCTGGTTGAGAAAGATAAAATTTTCTTTTATGCATTAAAAACTTAATAAATATTTTCCTATTTGCATAGGCTAATATTTAGCAAGTTTGCAAGGCATACGTGTTTGTAGACGTAAAAAATTTATGTATGCCTAAAAAATTTATAATTCAATAAATTTTTTATGATTAAATTAAAATTGATGTCGATAAAATAAGAAATATGAGTTTTCACAGAATTTTATATCAAATCTCTGGCATAATTTTAAGATTAATGTCAAATTTGTATGACGTTGATACATCTATTACATACTACATATTGAGAGTCCAAAAAAAGTACTTACTCATAATGTTCTTCGAATTCCGAATTATCTTCAGGTTCTGTAGTCGGGCTCGATTCTCCATCTTTCTTCCCTTCAGATGACTTTCTTTTTTCTTCTATAAAAATTATAAATACCAAATTATAATATATATATTATTGTTAAGGCTCATACTTATTTCCTCTCAATTAAAAATATATCATTAGAAGAAGAAAAATACTTCAATCAGTGAAATATATTTATAATATTTCAGTGATATATAAAAGAAGCTTTTTGTACAAAATATTGACAGTGTAAGTACATAGAATTGGTTGTAATACCTTGATACTGCGCTGGCATAAGGTGTTTCTCGACATATCCGGACATGTCAAGGCGCATCGGAAACGAAAAATGCGTGTTGACCTTCTCCTTCAGCATAGTGAGCATATTAAACGTATACCGCATTGTGTTGAAGCACAGTATACGCGGTAGTTTCTTGAAACATGCCCTAAAACATTGTACAGTTTGTTAAAGGTTGCTTTGGATATGACAATGACATAATTAAACAAACAAGGAAACGGCAAGGGTGTGGGGACCTCAAATCGAGTGGAGGTATATATATATATATATATATATTCATCACGATGGGCCTGCTTTTTCATTATCCACCTATCATCTCGCTAGCAATGAAGCTCTTAATAAAAAACCTCTACTCCCTTAGTATATTTCCACTATAGTTTGTCAACTTCGTGTATGAGACTCGTGAGGTAATCAAACTTACGAGATGATGAGGTGGGGTATATTATGTATGACCCTACACGTTATATTGTTTTTACGCTGCTCATTTTGTCTTATATTTCAAATAAATAATAATTAAAAAACATTATAAATAAATGAATACTATATTTAATGGTAGGTGGTACCGTTTCTCGGCTCGCACTTTAGCGGCGCACTGTGAGCAGGTGTAGCAGTTGTCGCCCTCGAGCGTGTCCTTGACAGTGACTTCGTCGAGGCTCTGATGCAGGTTGCGCATGTCCGCCACCTGGCACCGCACCGTGTAAAACTCCTCCAGCGTCCGCGATACGTGTGGACAGTCCTTCAAAATAAATGAATTATAATCAAATATGGATCATTTAGAATCATTGAAAGTAATGCAATAGGACGAGAGGAGGATGTGATTTTTACAAATGGTTAAACAATAGTATCATCACACGTTTCGCCTTAACTCTTAACATAATTTTTACAGTCTTATATTTTTACGAGTTTAATAACTAGCAATATAGCCTGTCAAGTCAACTTCTTCGTGATCCCCTTTGGAGACTCATAGTTACATTTTGGTGCGTTCTCACGATGGGCCTTCTAATCCGCTTTCATCCTAAACTATCATCCTTCACTAATACTCCATCAGAATCTAACGATAATAAAGGTGACATACTATTATCATTACAAAATAACTATTATAATCGTCTAAGTAAACACACACCCCATTCTCAATTTTCTGGTTAAGCTATTTACTAAAGCTGCCGATTAAATAACATATTTAAATATATATAAATGAATCTGGAAAGAGAAGCAATTGGTCAGTTCTCACTTAGGTTTGTAAAAATATAAAAAAAAAAATACAATTTATATTATATAGTTAAGCTTTAACTTACCAATGAAACTACGTTATTACTCAAAACACCGCAGAACAGTGTCTTCACGAGTTTCTTAAGCTCTGGCGTCATCTCTTCGAGTTTTGAAACGAGGTCTATGAAAAACTCCGCCATGTCTTTTTGTTCGCCGGTGTTCAGTGGCTGATGATCCATTTGGTATACTTTGCAAAAACTACGTGGGTTGTAGGCTTTCCTTTCACTTTCCTGTTGCAGACAAAAGCTATGATATAAAAGGTATGCTTAAAAGATGGCTTAATATTTAGTATTGCGTAATATAGTCGTAAAAGCAGATTTCAATTATATTGGTCAACTTTTATAACAAAAAGATACTACTTCAATTTTCTTTAAATTAATACTGAAATTAATTATTGCGTTCAAAAATTTTACATAGGGAAGATATTTTACTTTAAATACTGTCCAAAAAAAATCTTTTTAAGATTGTCTCTTCACTCTAAGAAATTAAACAGACAATAAATAATAACTTCATCTAGTATGTTTGAAAAATAAATTCATGTGGATATTAATCATATACATTTAACAGTGAAATAAAACTATAAAATATATCTTACTAATTCTAATGTATTATAAATATTAAAGTTGTTAAAATAACACGTGGGTTAATTGATTTTTTTATACAACTTAGAATGGCCAACAAGCTGACAGCCCACCTGATGGAAAGTGGTAACCGTCGCCTATAGACATGAGCAGTACCATGGACATAACAGAGTGTACTGTTTAGCCCATGATACCCTCCTTGATCTTCATCAGGTGAATAACAGTGATTTCTGATATATTGCGTAATGTAATAAGACCTCAAAAGTTGCAAGCTATTATGAGACTAGAAAGAGTGCACGTACCATGAGGTATGCGAACATGCGCTGCATCTCGTGCAGCGTAGGCGCATGGCGACTTGCAGCGACGTCGGCGCGGAGAACGGCGGCGCGCGCCTGTGGCATCATGTACAGGTGTTGCATGCACGACGCCATGTAGCAAGTGGCGCCCAGGTTCGTCAGCCCCACATACCCGCACTCCGACCTCGACTCCTCCGCCGGCCAGTAGTCCCATGGATAAACTGACGATCCGCCTACCAAACGACCGCTATTTAGTATCCGGAACGAAGGACCACAACGATGTGTGTTACGATAACGTACTGTGCAATTTCAGAAGAATATCCTCTAGCGACCGCACAAATTACAGAAAGAGATTCCTGTGTATAGGCTTCTTTAAAAAGCATGTTAGAGTTTCTTTAGAATCAGTAATGCTCATATTTTAACCTTTTAGCATTAGTTGCTACAAAACAGTATAAAAATATAAATAAAGTAGTATAGTAAATCTTCACTGCGAGAATAGAATTGTAAAAACATATATTATATTTAAGTATTATGATAATCCATCGAAAAAATAAGAGGAAGGGAAGGCAATTATGTGTTATCAACCCAGTTTCCTACTCAATCTTCGTTGAATAAAAATAATAATATGAAAAAAAAAAAAGATTACAAAAAAGTTTATACTGACCAGGTTTATGATGTTCCATCAACTTATGGTGTAACACCATATAGTTATCAGGTGCCCCGCGCACCAACTCCACTAATAAGTCATAAGCGGCTGCTCGGGACTTCTGCGATTTGCACTTTGGCAGATTACGTCTTTCGGGGTTAGGAACATCGAATAAAAATCCAAATACCTGAATAGAATAAAAAATACGTTATAAACACTAACGCACTAACGCACTAATAAGGGACGTAAAAATCAAATGCATAAACCATAACATTTATTACTTATTAAAAGTAATAAAAACATAATAGTAAAACAGTGACAACATATTCTGTATCTAAACATCGCATTATCTATCAGAACCTTCTTTTTTCATTTTCTAATTTATTTTATTTATTTATTTTATTATATAATCTATTTTATTTATTTAAGAACTTAATCGTGAATTTAAAGAAGCACTCAAGAACTACTTACCATTTCTAATGTCCTAGTACCCTGCTCAGAAGTTTTAAACCTAAGAGGATGTTTCAGCAGGTGAGTCAACAGACTCAACTGTCCGTAGAGGCCATCATCTGGCGTGCACGGCTCAGTGCGTCGCTCGATAATCTCACGTTTCTCCAAAGACGCTCGGATCTGCTCGCACAATTCGTTTAAGTCCGGGGCCCCGCTGTCTTCGGATGTGGCGCCTTCTGGTGGAAGGCATAAAATAGCTTTTAATTTTCACATTTTTAATTTTAAAGGACTTTGGTGACGGAATAAGACCACAATAACGCCACTCTTTCTCGTTTAAGATGACATAAGAGAAGAGCAATGAAGGAGGTTGATAAAGAGTGAAACACACTCGTTGATGATTGTAAACAGGTGTATTTCAGATTTACATGAAGAATACTCTGATCATAACTAATTACAATATTATTTTATATTAATTCTTAAGTACTGATATGCGATACGCACAACGGCCCAAATAAGACGCTAAGCGCGGAAAATAGTCTTTTTCACATAAGTGCTGATATGAAATATAATGTTAGGAACTTATTTAACATTTCATGCATTCATGTTTCATGGAACATGCCATAGACTAAATTATCATATCACAGGTAATTGCAATTTAACGAATAAATACTTATTGCCTCATATATAGTACTGCTAAACTGATCTATTTTGTTACTATTTTTAAGAACCTGTTAGTGGCTTAATTTGTAATCCTAGACTATTTCTATTTATATTAATATAACGTGATATTACTAGTATAACATAGTACAAATGAGAGGCTAAGCGCGGAAAATAGAGTCCAATTTACATTACATTTACAATTTACAACCCTGGGATTATGATTATCGTAATTAAAATTCTCAGTTATTATTTATGATTTATAGAAACACACATTTTTAAGATACAAAAAGTTACCTTTAAAAAACTCCTCAGGCAGGCCATCTATCAGTCTGCAAACAAGCCAAAAATAATCCCGACAAGCGGGACCATATGGTTCCTTGCCTTCTTCTGCGTGATGATGCACCACCTGTGAAATTAGAATTGACCAACAATTATAGCCTGCCTTTTATATTTATGAAGGAAAAATAAAATAGAATGTTCCTTAAAAATTTCATACATTTTTGTTTTTTTATTTCTTACCTCGTCCTAACCATGCAGAAAATTGAAATTGATTTAAAAAAAAATAGTGTCTCCAACTTATATTTGTTCCAACACTGATATGTTTAGAAAGAGTAATATCTCTTGAATTATCATATAGGGGAGCACGGGGGAATTGGCGCCACTTAAGCTAAAACTTAAATAACTTTTTGTATAAATCACTTTTTATTTTAATTTTTTCTTTTAATTATAATGTAACTAATCAGGCTTAGGATAAGCTATAAGATATAGTTAATATAGAAATTAAAAAAAACCTACTTAAAATGAAAATAATTCTTACTTAAAAAAAAAGTAACATTGGCTCCCATTGCCAAGAGTACGGGGTAATTAGAACCAGAAATAGGGGCAATAAGATCCATCGGGGTAATGGTAACCACAATAACAATATGTAACAAAATATTGTATAATTATACATTTTCCTCATGTGTTTATAAACTAAACTTATTCTCATTCAAAATACAATTATATTATCTTTAGGAACATGCAAAATTATAGATAATTATATGTAATTAAAAACAATTATCGCCTCATACAAAAATCACAAACATAATTTTTGGCAGAATCACTATCTGAATATTGGGCATGTGCATATCATACACTGTGATTTTAATCATATTTTTTGATTTGAGATATAGGTCACATTTGTGATTGTATGCTTTTTTTAGAGGACCAAAAAATGTTATATCTAGGGGCTGCAAACGATGCGAGGAGTGTGGTGGTGTAGACAACATGTTGATGTAGTTAGCTTTGCAAAATTCATATGCTTCTAAAGTAGAGTGGCTGTTATTATTATCTAGAATAAGCAATATTTTGTTTTCCTTACTCGGTTTTACAAACATTTTGAAATGTTGCAACCATTTAAAAAATAGATTTTCATTTGTCCATCCATTTTTTGAACAATCGTAAATTGCACCCGGAGGACCATCTTTCTCTAAAAGAGGAGAATGACGTTGTCTCGGATATATAAACATAGGAGGCACATAAACGCCAGAAGCACTCATTGCACAAACAACAGTGACTGTCTTTCCTCTCTCCCAAGAAGTGACAGTACCAACTCGTTTTTGACCTGTTTTTGCTAAAATTGTTCCTGGTTTCTGCACTGTAGACACTCCCGTCTCATCTACATTAAATATTTGGTGCGCTGCATTATTATTTTTTATCATTAGTTCCTCAAGATTTTTGTAAAATAATTCTACTTCTACTCTGTTAAATCCCTCAATTCTGTTAATACTAGTTGACTCAGGTTTGCGAACACTGATATTAGTATTTCTTTTTAAAAATCCTTTAAGCCAGTCTGGTCCCGCACATTTAAGTTCCTTATTAAAATTATGAGATATCTTTAACTGTTCAGCACACTCTTATGCAAATTTTCTAAATTTCATGGAGTCTAAGCCGTAAAAAAGATTCGACATGTGAATGAGATGATACGCCAAAATTTGTTTTTGAGTTGGAGAAAATATTGGTTTCCTTCCGAGACGAGGATTGGTTTGTACTGCTCTGCGATACCTTTTTTGCAAAGTACTATATGGAATATTAAACTCTTGGGCAGCCTTCTGCAGAGATATTCCATCTTCATTGACTCTCTTGATAGCAAGGTGTAGTAACCAGATTCCACTGATATTTATCCGTAATCCTATCTTGTTTTCAAGGCATCTGAAAAAAAACTACAAGAAATGAAGTGGGTAATGAGAGCCATTCGACTCCCATTTCCCCAAATACTCATTTTTAGGTTTTCATATAATTGTCAAAATACAATTGCTTATTTACATAAATTAACCTTTTTATACGATACTCTAATGATAAATCTATAAGATAAAAGAAGCAATACTAATAATAAAATAAATTAAAAACTCACAATTTGTCCTTGAATGTTGTCAAAAATTAGATGAATAGCTTAAAAAACTGACGTGCTATTTATTTGTGTACTAAAAGTCAACTAAACGGTGACACAACGAGGCATATGCACCCCTCCCGCGTCCTTTTGTAATACGTTAAAACAAAACAGGGTCTAAATTGTCAAGAAGCATGTAAACTAGAGTAACTCCCATTACCCTGTGGCTCTGATTCCCCCGTGCTCCCCTAATTCCAGCCTAAGGCTGGTTGGATTACTACACAATAAAAATTGTATATGCCGAAGGCTGGTTCATCACTGCTTGTTCCTTACACTGAGGCTGCCATATGATAAGGGCACACAGACCTCGTGGTGATGATAATGGTGGTGGTGGTGGTGCGGGCGCATGTCCGCGGCACGTGGTAGATGTTCGAGCAGCAGCTGCAGTAGCGGCGCTAGGACTGCCACTTCACCGCCCGCACACAGCCGGTACAGCGCGCTGCCCGCCTCACGACGTACCTGCACCCCACAACCCAACCCAAGATTTTGTAGTCCTGAATACTTAAGCTTAGGATACAATAATTTTACTCTTTACGGAGTTTGTCTTCTTTACAATTTTTTTATTTTTTAAAAGGAGACTATGAAACTTCATAATATTAACTATTTGAAAAAAATTACAAAAAAAGAAAAGAAAAAAAAAATCTACTTTAATACAGAGTACTGAATATACATCCGGATATAATATAATAAATATCCAGATCAAACCGCGTAAAATAGTCCCCCCCGTTATTTAAAATGCCAGTAGAGACATAGGAGAGGGCGCAGTACCGCCGGGTCGGCGTCGTCCAGCAGCAGACGCGGCGCGGCGCGACGCAGCGACCAGGCCAGTGCCACCGCGTCTCCGCCGCCCCGCGCCCACCACACGCACACCCGCATCGCGTGCTGCACCACCTGCGACGATACAGTACAAACACGCTGCAAGCATTCACTTTTTAAAATTAAACAATAGAACAGGAGTTCCTAAACTTAAGATAACGGAACGTCCACCAAATACCTTTTATTTTATGGAACCTCATAAAATAAAACGTATTTGATGTGTAACAAGTGACGAGCGTCTTCGTTAGATAGCTATTGCATACTAGTGAAGGAAGACCAGAATACTCCAATGTTGCCACACTTCAATATGAAGACTCTTAAATCAGAACTAATCATTATGGTGCCGAAATTATCTGACTGATAATTCCGGCACTTTAAAAGATTTTTAATATTTTCAAATGACTAAAAAAAATGCTCCAATAGCAAACAAATGTCAAAATTAATAAATACCTAAATGTTAGAGAAGTTACCTGTGCCCGACCCCAAAATCCAGTCTTGTATGTAGTGGGTTCCTTAAGAGCTGCCGCTTCACAAAGTATTGATATTAACCGCTCCGTCGTCTCCTCTACGTTCATCAGAGACAACAATGCCTATAAAATAAAAATTTTAATTATTATATGTATAAAAAACCCATATCATGACTTTCATTTCTGCTAATCACTGACATCGCTCAACTGAATTTAATGAAATTTTGTAAATGGATGTTTGCTCTAAATTAAAAGATATTTTTCAAACAAATAAGAATAAATCAACATGTGATGATAACTTACACTTGAACTGTCTTCACACTTGAATTTTATTCATTAAATGTCTTAAGTGATTTTATTCCCAAGTAAGAAGAAAATTTGTACATATCAATAAAATTATTTTTTTTTAACAGGTTTACTAACCGGATGCAATTTGGGTGTTTGTGCAGGATCCGAGGACGGTAGAGTGCCAATGCGACAGAGTAATTGTAGTAGTAATGCAAGGCAGTCCTGCCTCCATTCGCTGTCATCGCTTCTTTGTAATACACCTGCAACAGTGTGCCTTATAATAAATAAAGATAATAATACCCTTGGACATGTTACACAGCGACATCTAGTCCCCTAAACTAAAATGAACGTATTATTTACATGTAATTGATAATAAAATTTTGCTCGATTGTGGATCACGAGAATATTGATCACACTTCATTCTCGTCATTGACAGATAACTAAACAGAAACATGGTTATGTTAATCCCTTTTATAATTTCAAAAAGTGAATACACATTCATTGAATGTTTTTTAAATTATTAGGGAAATAAAAAAAATATTATTATGGGTGAAATTATTCAAGGCATATTTCATAATATTTTTAAATATACATTAACACATTTCAACAATTGTAGCAAGATGACGATATAACTTTTTTAACAAATAATAGAACTGTTTAAAAATTCAAAGACAAGGTTTTAAAAATGTATTATGTGACTGTAGTTTTTTTTCAATCACTGACTATCATACTCACCAGACATCATTATGTCATAAAGTAATCTCAATCCGCCCTTCTTTATAAATAACTCATTCCAATTCTCAACTGACATTTTATCTTCCTCATTCTTTTCAGCACTGCCAGAAGCTTCCTTGACATTTGAACTATTATTATTTGAACTCAATTTGTCTATAATGTGTAAAGAATACATAAGCTTTTGTGGACTGGTTGGATCTAATAGTTCCGGTAGTTTGCTCTCAGCTGGGTTCTGGAACGCTTCCAGGAGGGTAGGGTTTAATGGTACAGCCTGTAAAATATCCCATACTCGTCGCGATAGAAGCTGAGCTTTCGTATGGGCTACTGGTTCCTGTAAAAATATTGGCCACATATCGAACAGTTCTCATAAACTTAGTTTTCTAACAATTTGAAACATTTTATTGATTAAAATAAGTTTAACAAAGTTATTTATTAAAAAAAAATCAATATCGTTTTTGTTATTATTGAATATTTAAGAATTGTATAGTATTTATTAAAGTAATAATTATATATAAGAGATATATATTACTATAAGACCTGTTTATAATCTCGTGAAGACATTACAACTGAGAAAATAAACTTTTAATCTTTAAGAATTCTATAATTTATAAAGTCTACAATGCACACACAAATTACATTGTTATAAAATCAATATAATTGACATTATACTGAACCTATTTACTTATAAAATATGATTATTACCAAATAAGTATTAAAATGAGAATGTTGGAATGAAATGTTTAAGAAAGAGATATGGACTGACCCCATTGGCACCGGGCTCCTTCATGCGGCCGAGTGCCTGCATCAGCGTGAACAAATGGTGGAAGTAAGTGGGGTCGAGCAGCAGCAGCGTGGGCAGCCGCGCCCGCGCCGGCGCCGGCTGCGCCGACGGCCACTCCGCCCACGCGCCGCGCCCGCCCACGCCCACCGACACGAACACCAGCTGCCGGCACATGGCGGAATGTGGAAATCTGGTCTTAAGTACTCGTTACTCGACTAATATGCAAAGTAACGAGAAAAAAAGAAAAATGTGCTCTCACTTTCCTCTCTAATATAAATTCCATGATTAACCTTTGTCAATAATTCATCAAAAGTGACAATCTCTCTCGAACAATACAGAGATTTCCCTCCCTGTAATTTCTACATTTGGATTTTTATATTTACCATTCACCATTCAACATGGCATGATAATTATCGACATTTACATCATACACTGAACTATTTCATTGCAGCATATTCTGATTATTCAAGCAAGTGTTTTGTAACACATATTATCAAAACATAAAGATAGATGTTTCATATACATAACAAAAAGTGAAAAAATTTCAAATTATTTACCTGGTTGTCTTTAAACCCCATATCATATAAGGTCCGCTCGTCATAGTCAATTGTGAGCTCCTGGCCTTGCGTTATCATACGGAGTGGCCCGTCAGTGGACAACGCCGTAACACCGTCTTCGCCTTGTATCTGTTTCTCCCACCAGACGTGTACGTGAGCGCGCAGGTGTGCAACCAAGTCGGTCTGGTGGAGCGTGAGCGTGGCGCGGGGCCCGGCGCCGGCGGGCTGCAGCGTGAGCCGCACCGTGCCCCCGCCCGCCGCGCCGCCGCCGCCACCCCCGCCGCCACCACCGCCGCCGCCTGCTGCCGTCGTGCCCTCCCACGCCCCTGACTCCGCTAGTGCCCACCGCCGTAAGTGGTACGCATATCTGCATCACATACACAAACAATAAAGATCTTCAAGGTGTTCAAAATACAATAATTTACAAAATTATATTACCTGTCAATTACATTATATTACTGTCCCATTCATGTTTTAACCGTGAAGCAGTTGTGTTTGCATGGCTGTGTTTCGGTTTGAACGGCGTGAATTTACTGAGTACAGAGAAGTAACACCTGAGTCCTCAGGAATGGCAACGCATGGGGGGTATCATGGGCGAAACAGTATACTATGTTATGTCCATGGTACTGCTCATGTCTACAAGCGACGGTTACCACTTTCCATCAAGTGGGCCGCAAGCTTGTTTGACATTCTAAGTTGTATAAAAAAAAAACTAAGATAGTCATCACACTAACCGCAACCTTGATTCCAATAGACCCTTGATAGATTTATTATACTATGAAAAAAATTAGAGCAATGCAGCCTAGATTGAAACAATCATCTTAAATTTACCTTCTTTTAAATGTGTCTAAATGTGTTTTCAACAACAAAAGTGCTCTTTGTATGCATTGCAAAGCCGCCTCTTCTGTCATGTGCTCGTAAATATTTTGTTTATCAGATGTCTTCTCTGCTTCTTTCATCTCCTGCTTCTCTGGAGTAATCGAACTCTCGTCATCCTGTTCTTTCGATATGAGCCTCTCGGCAGCGGAAGAGAGATGGAACATACACTTAGAGACAAAATCATCTTCTTGCTGTAACTGCTGTCCCATGTAATAGCTATTTAGGTACTGGATTGCCCCCATGGATACATCTGGAATTATATAAATCAATAGAACAATTCTATTTTATAATGGCAAAAGCCATTTGTGTAAGGCGGGAAGTAGTGCTAGTGAGTAAAACGGTATTTTAATTTGAAATATGATATTCATATTTTAATAATATTTATATCGATTATTTCACTTACCAGTACTGTTAGCCCTAAGAGCGATCTTCCACAGATGGTCCATAGCGAGTGCGTGTGGGTGCGGTGAGTTGCGGGGGTCACGTGAGTCGTGAGAGTCGCGCCCGTCGCCCGCGCCTAGCGCCATGCGGGCCAGGTTGCACAGCTGCTGGTACAGGCTCAAACCCATTATGCTTATCGTCTGCAACAAATGGAAACGGTAAACTGCTTGCCGACTGCTCAATTCGATAGCTATACAATGTAACACGTCATAATACAATATCTGACATATGCCGATATGAGATTACTCTCATTTAGGCCTCCTTCATTAAGCAATGCACAGTTCATCCTCAATATATCAATTGGCGATATTTATTTAAATAGAATGAGTAGCAAGCTCATTGCCCAATCTTAATAAAACACAGTCAAAGATTTCAATCGAATGTTGCTGTTAGAATCACTCGATTTGTCCAAATTTCATTAAGCGTATTTAAAAGCAATGCGACAACATAACATAAGAACACGGGCTACAGCCATCTTCTGTTTTTTTTTTTTTTATCTGAAATAAGATTACTTGTGTCGCACAATACTCACTTCAGGATCTAAAGTAGGCATCTTCTCAACATACAAGAACCGTAACGCGTCCAATCCGAGAGCGTGCTGCTCTGGTGACTTGGTGTGCGAGAGTAGCCACGAGTAAAGACAGTCCGCGCACTCGCCACTGCCTCGCACCACTAGGCATTGCCACAATTCTTCTACTTGTTCAACTGTTAATCTGTACGATATATAAACATACATATTAGCAAACTCTATATAAAAACAAATTTCAAATACAAATTATTTGGACTTACAACTTACAAAGACGGGACATTTGTAATATCAGACCCCATAATGATTAGTCTCTGAACAATATTCAATACTACCTATTTATATTCAATACAATATTTAATCTGTTATGTACACCAAATGAAATTAAGAAAATCTGTTACAATTATTTAAGAATTTTTTTTTTATCTAGTGAAACGAGCTGCATAGCTTTAGCTTATCGATATATTTTTCTCTAACAAAACCAGTTATTTTAATCTTTATAAAATTAAGATACAACTTCTTTAATAATAACACTAATTATAAATAACCGACCACACCGAGGCTGTGTACCCAAGATACTGGAGGCATTACTTCTTTAGATTGCTAATTTTATCTTTTGCGCAAAGTAATTGCCAGCTTTCGGGTCACCAGTAACCTCGAGGAGACGCGCTGCGATCGTCCGATAAAAATTCTTTACATAGGCATCCATTTTCTCTTGTATTTTAAAAGATGTAAAATAGTAGTAATGATATAGTGGCAACAGCGACTGACCTGAAGTGCTGCGGTGAGCCGACGGGCGAGAAGATGGCGGTGAGGAAGTGCAGGCGCACGGTGAGCTCGGTGATGTGCGCGTAGTGCGCGTGCTCGGCGCCGCGGCCGCCGCCCGCCGCGCCGCTCGCCGCGCCGCTCGCCGCGCCGCCCGCCGCGCCGCCCGCCTGCGCCGTGTAGTGCCGCAGGTCCTCCAGGAACAGCCGCATCATGCCGCGCTCGCGCTCCGCCCACATCACCACCTGCCGTGCCAGACACCCACATCTTGTATCAATGTCTTACATTCGCATATTTAGGACACACACTTTTAATTTAAAAGTAGATTTCATAGACGCGAGGACTCTATCTTCGTCTATTAAAAGAAGAACTTACTAGTTCTTCTATTAATAATATAAATTAAATTAATAATAAATAATAGTCAAATCAAAATTACATATTTGTAGTTTTGATTTGATGCCAAAGTATAGCAATATCTGACTTATCAGAATAATTTTCAATATTTAAGTATCTAAGTAATTTGAAAAGTGCTCTGGTAGCTAAATTATTATTTAAAAATATACCAGAGCTTATTTTTAATAAACATTTAAATCTTAAACAGAAAAGAAATTAAATAAGTAATGCAAATATTACCTAACTAGACTGTCTATCCAGAATAAAAGCAGTTGACATGTTAATCGGTACCTGATGCATATCCATGCCGCGAAGTTGTTGAAAGGAAGAGAATAGCTTTGGCAGGAGGCGAAGCGACACTGCTACAGATCTGAAAAAATACAATAAAGACTTGATCAATATAGCAAAACCAATAATTTCATACAATTTAACATTTTATATTTATTTATAATTGACCAAGTATTTATTTATTTACACTGTATTGCACCATTCATAAAAATAATAAATACCGAAAATTTTAATGAGAAACAATTCAAAAGGCCGTCTTATTGCTAATAATTAATTTTTATAAAGGTAAAGATAAATATTGTATGGAAGAACCTCTTAATCATGAAAGAATCATTTACAAAAAAAAAAAAAAAAGAATTTACCAAATAGGTTTTTATATTATGGAGTTATGAGGTAACAAATATAAAAAATACAAGTTACTCCTTTTTTTATAATACAAAAACATTAAATAATATTACATGATATTACCTGTGATTAGCGAGGTTATCCAGGCACCCTTCAATAAATTTTATCCGTATAAATTTATCAGTACTGAAGCACAGTAAGGCGCACAACGCTTTCTCTGCCTCTAGCGCTAAACCTTCTCCTAGTTGTTCCTGCAAAAAAACACTCATTTATAACTTTTCAATGAAATTGTTCAACGACTTATTCCTATCATAAAATAATAACTGGGAAAGCACAAAACATTGGACTAAGAGAAACAAAAACTAAAACAAACCCTCATACCTATGGCCAGTATTGTAATAGTAAGTTCCATATCATCTAGTCACGAGGAGATCTGTGCTCGGTGGTAAAATAGGTAACGATTTGTTATGGTTTTACCAACATAGCCAAGGAATGGTCCGGAAACATGTTAAGAGTGTTCATAACAAAGTTCACCAAAGCATGGCAATATTGTAATTATTCATGTATTTTCACAAACAATTGAACAATTGTAAATATTTCTGATTTTAAAAGAAACTGTAATTACAATATCAAACATTTTCTAAGGTTCTTATTAAGAATTAGGATTTTGATTGTACAAAATCACTTGTTAATTTTATAAAAAAAAAAATACAGTACATACAAAATTTCTGGAGTGCAAAATGGTATATGCAACTTATTTTATAATAATCAACTTATTTTGCTATTAGAGCACTTTTCAAATAATCAATCTGAAACACTGAAACTTGTTCAATTATTTTAGTGGGTGTCATAAGAATCGACTAAGGGAGGGCGAGAGATGGGTAGCCAGCATGCCTCTTAACATCTTTAAAGCCTAACTGCAGTTGCCAATCCTGTTTAATTACTTTTGGAAACTGGCAGAAAACTTAGAGGTATCCCTACTTTGATATCAACGTTCTTATACAAGTGTGCGTAGTAGCGGTGCTCATACAACTCACAATGGCGCCGTCCTGCAGCAGGTCCCACAGCAGCGTGTGTCCGGGCCGGCACACGTCGTCGGCGCAGCAGGCGGCCGGCGCCGCGGGCGACGGTGGCCGCGCGCCGCTCACGCCGCCCGCGCCGCCGCCCACGCCCGCCGCCGACTGGTACTCCGTTAGGCACTGCGCCTGCATATTCACAATGCAACTTACATATTAAGCCTTGCAGAACCACAGTTACTGACACAATGAGAGGAACGTTTGTTAGCAGCGAGAACTAGCTTATATGCAACATGTAATAATAACTAATTAAAATATTAATAAAGCCTGTTGTGTAATTGTCACCTGTGCAGCCAATCTCGCCAGTTCCTCTTCGCACGCGGAATCATCTTCATCGAGATCTCCAAGATGGGGGTGCGAGTGTGGAGAGATAGCGGACGAAGCGCTGCCTTCCTCCTCCTCGCCGTCGCCGCCACGCCGCTTGTAGCTCTCCAATAGCCGCAGCTCCATTAACCTCCTAAATTGTAATGTTCCAATAAACATCTTAAACAAAATGCAGTAGATGCTTTTGCATATAACATTTTTAGTGTATTAAGGATACTCAAGTTATTTAGCAATAGTACATTACTGCAGCGGCCGGCAAGAGAGGCATTGATGGACGAACGTGTGAATGTGGGCCGAGGGGAACCCGAGGCACACATACGTGAGTCCATCAATGCCTAGTTGCGGCCAAGGCTTGTATAGTACTTTTCTCAAATAATGCGCGGAAATTATTCAAATTCACGTTATGTTTCATTAAAATTGTGCATTTTAGCATTGAATAGATGACCCAAAGCGTTGTAGGCTTCACTTTTTTGGCGAGTTCGCCGAAATAAGCCAGAAAAACATTTTCGGATAAGGATTTAGATTTTCTTTCATTCTTCCATTGAACAAAATTTTCATAAATTTTCAAATATTTTTCTTTAGATTTTGGCGGCAACAAGTTTTCTACTACGGCTCTTGCTGCCTCTTGAATTTCAGGTGGCGTTAAAATAATTTCATTACACTCATTGTCTTCACTTGAACTCATTTTGTCAAATACAAAAGTATTTAAAACCAATGACGAAGTTAACGAACAACTAATAACAATAGTTTTTTACGCGCCAAAATATTTTTTTTTTTTTTCACTAAACAGCTTTCTATGTGCAAGCCAGTTCGAAATTTAAATTAAACCTTTGATAAGTTACCTCTTTGTTCGCCATGTTGCGTAGTAGAAGATCGTTTCATTTTTAAATTACACGACAAATATGATTTTACATAGTAATTTATTTGGCCGCTAAACACGACAGATATGGATTTTCATACAACTATTGCCGGCCGCTGCTCAACTAGTACCGCAAGTTCGATTTATCTCGAAGAAGGTTGTCAAAATAATGCTCAAATTTCCAAGCATGTTTGAGAAAAATACATTTATTGTACCTATTTGCAAAGGGAGATTACATACTAAGTCTCCAGAAAGGATACAAGATTTAATATAAGTACAATGGCGGACTTATCCCATAAAGGGATCTCTTACAGTCAACCTATTTATTATATTGTTTACATGTTAGAAATTTAAAACACATGCAACACTAATATAAAATAAAGTTGTTGTTAGTGTTGCAAGAGTTTATAAAAAGTATCACTGCATAACACAATGAAATTTCACGACTTTGTTGATATGTGGTATATTAGAAACAAGTACCGCCTAAATTATTAAGGTGCGATTGAAAATAAAATATATAAATATCTTTACAATCTTTCTCAGTTATATTAATATGACAAAAACATACAAACCTAGCATCTACGTTATCACATAGCAGTTGGCAGTGCGCAGTGTCGCTACCCGATGACTCTTCTTCCACTTCAGACACAGATTCCGCCAGGTCGACGGACTTCAGTTGCGTCGCTACTAAAATTTATAATTTAATCACCTAAGTACCTTATATTTTTGTACATTTCCTTATTCTTCCATCACCACATTAACAATAAGTGTTGTTTAATAAAAAAAAATTAAAAAAAAAATAGTTATTTAGATGTGATTTTATTTGCGTGACCCGGTTATATGTCCTTTTATATTTCAAGTAACAGTTCTTTGGTCTACACTTAGTATATAAAAGATAATTAAAAGATAATTTGTTTAACTGCTAAGACGCCAAGAAATAAAAAATGAATAAAAGTACCCATTTTCGCCTTTATAATATTTGTAAGTATAAGAAACTAATCAACTAATCAATGTACAACGAAAACTTGCTGGGTTTAGAAACATGAAATTTTGGTTTTACTTTAACAACTTCAAGTAAGAATCCACATCAATTTTGCGCGGACTAAATAGCGGAAACGTTAGTAATTTTCATATATTCGTAGTATAGAATGTTAGATGTAAGCAAATATATGGACCATGCACTCACGGAAATGCCTCGTTTTGTTGGGCTTGTGACGTTTCTTGTAAAGTTTCTTCTTACGTGGCCGCAACAGCTCCTCCGCACCGCTGCTGGCGCTGCCGCTGCTACCTGCACGCTTGTTGCGTCTATCACATAGACATTAGTTTTGTTATTAGTTATTTTAAACAAAGACGTACAACAAGCGAGCTCAGCTCTGTAAGAATTCAATTCTAGTAAACCAAGAGAGGAAAGGAGCATTAATTACCAACGATTTACAACTTTACGTTACTACATGTTCCTAGTGATTTTTGTTATGATTTACTTAATAAAGTTTGATAAAATGATTTTTTGAACTGAGTGCACCTCCACAGCAATAAGAGAACAATCTTCTACTCGTATCGTACTTTTTCCCCCATTTAAATTACTTCTGCTAATAAGTTTATGTTACTCATGTTAACATCGAGGTTAAAAAAAAAATACATTACATGAATCATAGTAAGACTCAATTTGTATAAACCTCTATTTTATTATAAATAATCGAAAAATTGCATTGACATATATATTAACGACTAGTACTGTCTAATCAGCGTGTTCACCTCATATACGTAGTATAACATACTACGTACTGACAGACTGGCAATGCAATCACAAATACGAGACAACAAAATGATTATACTAGGTGCGTGTTTTGTAAATGTGTACACACAACACATTTGAATTTGTATGGAATAACAATAATTCACGTATTTGTTATAATTTTAATTTCGATTCAAGGACGGTCAGAACTTTAGGATTAAATTATATATTTTCTTCTACCAAAATATTTCTGATTGTTCTAGAATATTGCTTTTAAAGGTACATTTAGTGTAATTACATGAATAATGTGTAATTTAGTGATTTATTTTCCTGATTTATGTTATATTCAGGTACAGCAAACTTAATTGTAGTAAACTACATTCACTTCATTCATTTAGAATTAATTCCACTTCGAAACTAAAAAAAATATTCGAAATTATTTTGTTCATATTTCTGCCAAATCAGCTTCAAAAATTTATTGTACAATGTTCTATTGTCTATCTCAGTCTAACATATAGACTATTACATTTTCTCTCTTTTACATTGCCAATCTATATACTCCAAAACCTAAGGTTCACCTTCACTACAAAAAAAAAACGCCGGAAGCGGTCTTTATGTGAACCTTAGCGGCACACAGCAGCAGAAGCACAAATACAATTACAATTCGCAATCTCGCTCAAGTAAGTAAAATAAACATACAATTTATTTATATATGGATGGATTATAATGATGCATTTCCAAATTTTTGTTATTAGTTTTATGAAGAAACTAATTTGAATGATTTTGGTAAGAATTGTATAAAAATAAATAATATAGTGTATAGGTATTCGAAGTATCATAAAATTGAATGAAAATTTGTACCACAGATAATATTCATACATGTGAATCTGTTCGTAAACATTTAAAAAAATAAATACAGACAGTTTAATGTATAAATAAATTGTAGAGTATATAATGATGAAACAGTTGCATACACCTTATATAATTGTAATATATACATTGCAATATTTATTAAACATCACTTACTTTTGACAGGATTTGAGTGCAGGACACTCTTTTTTAGAGAGCTCTTCTCCTTCACGAAGCCACTCTTGTTCAGCTAAAACAAATCAACAAAGTCATATAACATTTAAATTTGTTATAAATATAACAATCACAACAATTATTGCAGAATAATAATAATAACATACCTGTAAGTTCTCGTTGATGTTTACTTTGTTTACGTGGTGTAGGACCAGCTTCTTCTCCAGATGTACTGAGCTCTTCACACTAAAAAAATAAACTTTAGTCAGTTAATAATTTTCTATGACTGTATGTGTTCTAAAATCCATTTTTTTATAAGTTTTTTGTCATTGAGAAATTAGTCCAAAAGAAAACAAATAAACAATAGCTTTAACAATAAAATAATAACTAAAATAAATTTGTTACACACTTTTATACACATATTTTATACATTACTATTGTCCAAAACCAAATTTTATAAAAATATACGAACAGGGTCATCATCGGAGTTGGTCTGGTCCATGCTGACGCTGGCCTCCGAGGAGGAGTTATGATGCGGCTTGCATGCGGCTTGCGACTGCCGCAGCGGCGGCTCGTCCGGCAGCGGCGGCGGCGTGCTCAGGGCCGCGCCGCTCGCGCCGCCCGCGCCGCCGCCCGCCCCGCCGCCGCGCGACCACATCGCGCGCATCAACGCTGACGCCAGGTACAAGCTCTGCAATAATCACATTCCACAGTATAATGTAGTGTATCACAATTTCAAAACTATCAAATTCATATGTGTCAAAAATAGACTTTGATATAGCTAGAAAATAGAAAAATGTATACATTTATAAATCTTAAAATATTAAATTGAAAGATTCCATCATCATACAAGTTAATTAAATGCTAGGTATTAGAACTCAACTCGAAATTCTTTCGACAGAATTCATATTATATATTTCTAGTACCACAATATAATTAAATTTTACATTACGAAACTTTACTTGCCCACTGTATATAAATTTTGGTAACAAGTGTAATCACATTAGCATAATATCATAGCATAAATTAATAAACAATTCTTATGATAAAATTAATCTCCAGTTTAATAAAGATATTAACCTGTTCAGTGTGTTCTTTGGGTGGGAGTGCACATAGTAAACTATAAAGATGTGCACAAGGTTTTGGGGCCAAAGCTCTAATGAAGCCTGGCAGTAGATCATACACTTGACGACCACAGTGTTTCAATTGTGCTGCCGCCCACACTAGCTCCACATGCTCAGGAGTCACCCGTCCCTCAACAGCCAAAAATTTTAGGATCATATGAGACTGTTTTATCACCTGCAAGAAAATAAGTCTACATTAAAAAAAAGACACATTACACAAATTTGTACTTAAGTCTTGTAGGTCATTAAAAAAAAATTATATCCCAGGATGTAAATAAATTTGTAAATTTTCACTGGAACTCATTTTCCTGCATTTTATTCCTTTGAAAGCACATAGTTTTAACCATATTCCATCATCTTGAATCTTGTAGATAAAACAGAAGGAATTAATTTTATTTACCTCTACATGTAGATTAGGCCCAAAAAGATGTTCAATGATGTTGTTATTCGTCAACCAAGTTGCCAATTGTTGACCCGCCAACTCTGCTTCGGCTGCTGGTTCTCCAGCACAGAGCTCATTGTGAGCTGCTATATGAGCATTAATCTGTGCCACTCCAGCTAGCCTCATAGTCAGTGTACTGCTGTTGAAATATTTGAATGCCAGAGCAAGCCCATCAACATCAAAAGCTAGTGGGGCATCCAGAGGTTCTTTTGCTGCACCCCACATAAAATCTATAAGGACAAAGTGAATACATTACATTTTTATTATCTATATTATTCACCTATTGAAATTCAAAGTAAAAAAAAAAGTTTTGCTAATTGGAAGGGCAAACAAGCTGATCTACCTGATGGAAAGTGATGTTTACAGCCCATAGACACAGTACCAAGATCATTACAGAAAACACTGTGACAATTCATATATTATCACTGCTGAAGATTATGTATCCATACCCTGTAACTTTACTGCCATATCTCAACTTTCAAACTGAAACAGTCTTGTGATTGTGAAAGGCCATCTGCGGCCAACAGCAAAAAACAGATAAATAAAAAACACTGTCTACTCATTTTTCAGTTTGTCTAATGGTTGACTGTAGAAAACACCATATGGTATTAATATGCTAAATATACATAGAATTTCGCTCTGCATTAAAGTTTAATGAATAACATAAATTATATCATATTCTTAAAGTTGTTATTAACTATCAGAATATCTAATAGATTAAAAAAAGTTCTCACCTGCCATTGATTTAACTGCAGGTACCCTAAGATCTTTGTCCTCTAGGCTACACATATATTTCAGAATTTTACCCCTTAATGGCATAAACAATTGTGCAACAGCTCTAAAATTAAGCCAAAGCTTCAAATTCCCAACAGCTGCCACTATAGCATGAGCCATAGACAATGGTAAAGAGCTTGGTGTGGCTTGTTCAAAAACAGAAGTCATAGCACACACACCTCCAAGCTTGCAAAATAAACTAACATTGCGTAATAGGTATGCTGGGATCTCCGTATCATGAAGATCACAATATGAACTTAAGTTTGATATCTCTTGAGCAGAAAGATCATCTAAACGGCTCAATGCGGAATGTTTACAAGCTAAATAAAGGGGAAAATTGAGTAGAAATATCTTGGAGACAATGTGCATAAGTTTCTCTTTTTGCTGTAAGGGCCACACCTCTGTATCATCATTTGATGTTGATAGTTTCTCTTTAATTTTATCATCTTTAAGCTTATTTTTTGATTCAGGTTCAGTTTTATCTGGCTTTTCCAATTCTGGAAGGGTCTCTTTGTCAGTTTTTTCATCATCATTTAGTGGTCTTGTAGCATTAGGAGATTTAGTTTCATTAGAATCATCAGATGTAGATTTAGCTGCTTCTATTAATTCATCTTTGAGCTGTTTCAATTGACACACTGATAAGCAAAGTATGCTTTGAACTACTAAATAAAATCTCTCAAAATTCTTCACGTCTCTATAGCAGCACATACATTGTCTAAAAAATAAACAAGGTTATTATATATTAAGTACAATTACATTGTCAGATAATAATACTATTAAAATATTTATATATCTGACAATCTTTACGTTTTTGAGATATTATCACAGATCTGCTTATAATCATGTAAATAAACTGCAAATTTTATACTATTAATAATTTCATTTATTTCAGTGATGTGAAAGCATGTTAATAAATTTAGGGTTTAGTTCAAACCACTTTTAATATTGTATATAGATATTTTTTATTGCTCTATTAATCAAATTGAAATTAATTACAGTATACCATACTGGAAACAAAGAATTGTAGGTAATATGCATACTAGAAACTATTATTAATAAGTATATATTTATTCCAATCGAATTTGTTAAATTTATATAAATTTTAATTATGTTACCTTTGTGGCCATGAGAGTATGTAATTCAACACAGTCTCTAGTTCAGATTGACTTATTGTTGGGTATTGGGAAACATCGTCGGTTAGCCTAGCCTCACCTAAAAAATACCCGAAATTAAATTACAAATAGTGCACCAATATTAAATTAAATAATTTGTTGGTAATATGTGACAAAAAATAATCATAAATAAAATAAGTTAACTGAAAAGAAGGCACGCAGCAAGCAAATGGTACCCAAAATTTCGAAACAATGTAACTTACAATTCACCAAAAGCTGTGAAAACTCCGAACAAACATCACACATTCTTATGATTTTATCTCAGTATTGAGCGAAATATTATTGCAATATTATCGCAACTACAATTTCGTATGAAATATTGATCATTATTGATATTTTTGGTATCAGAAAACGAACACTGCCCTAAAATGTCAGTCACAGAATTCGTTCCTCCATTGTTGACGATTGTTGTCAAAATACGTTTAGTTTCATGAAATCATTAACACATCGCAAATTGAGAAATTTTAATGAATTATACAATTAAAAATAAATTATATATTGTATTGATCACTAAATATAACTTTACGATACTTTACAAAATATACTATTACAAAACATTTACCTAATCAAATATTAAATTTTTGAACAAATAAACAATTAGGAATAATCAAACGAAATTTTCATCAAAAGTCTTCTAAAACCACTCTATTCTTAGTCCTTGGTCGTAGTCTAAAATCAATAACATTCTGGTACAGAATAAAGGAAATGTATCTTTTATTTATTGTATCCGTAAAAGATCTAAGTTCAAACTTTAAACTTTATAAAATCTTTTCGTCAAAGTAAAAGACAAACTAAATGGTTCTGTAATGTCTTTTAGTAATACAAATCTTTCAGTCCCATCTTCATTACTCAAAGAAAAAATCTAAATGTCAATGTCAAAGTAACATTGTAAAGTTGACATTGACATTTCGAAATATGACAGTTTTTAAGATTTTTTTGTAGCAATGGGTTGATTTATATCTGTTCAATTTTTTAATTAGAATTTAAAAGACATGGTCCAGTTAATGTATATTGTTGCCAGTTTACATGTTTTGTTATGTCCATTTACAAAAGTGGAAGAAAGTTTTAATATACAAGCTTTTCACGATATATTGTATCATAGACATAACCTATCACAGGTGGATATGAATAGTCTAATTTTGGATTCATAGATTTCTTAGTATAGGGTTTATGACAATCTATTTTTTCCAGTATGATCATAATGAGTTTCCCGGAGTGGTGCCGCGTACTTTCGTTGGACCTGTCGTAATTTCAGTGTTATCTGCACCTATTGCTGGTATTTTACATATCACTGGGTTAAACAAATTTTGGGTGCAATATGCAGGTTAGTACACCATTTTTAAGTTTATTATATATTTCTGTTTGTTAACGTTACCTTACACTAAAATAACAAAATTGTACTCATTAACTGAATTTTAAAACTGGTCTTTCTCTGCAATTTTGTCCATATTTCTAGGATATATTATGCAGGATAAAAAGTGGCTTATGTTCTACTCCATACCAAATAGTATATGTATGCCAAAATTCCTGATGATTGATTATGTCAATAAACCACCAAGGAATAACAAACAAATCTGCTCACTTTTCACATTTGTTTTTTTTATTTAACTCTATCCTATTTATTTTTTACAGTCCGTCTCACACTGGCTCTGACAGTTATAGCAACATGGAGTCGATTCCGAAATGCTCTACAGAAGCAGTTTGGAAACACATATACATGGTGGTTTACTGTAATCACTGTAACTCAGTACCACTTTATGTTTTATATGAGCCGTCCATTACCTAATATAATGGTATTGCCCCTTGGTAAGATCATATTATTCATCCTATAAAAAGTTTATTGGTTATAAATTAAAATTCTGGACTCTTATCTATTAAGCAGTAACACCTAAAATACATAGAAATAATCTGTTGAAAATGGGCATGGTGAAAAAAATACAATTATTATTATTAATTCAGCCATTAACTGTCCACTGCTGGACATAAGCCTTGCACATAAGAGGAGTTTTGAGTTCAATGACAAAATTGTAAAGTAATACATTAATCTTTATTTTTTCAGTACTATTGGCATTTGAAGGATGGCTATTAGGTAAACAAAAACAGTTTCTAATATCAGCTGGTGCCTCAATTATCTTGTTTCGATCGGAATTGGCTATGTTATTTGGTTTATTTCTCATCATCGACTTGTACTTTAAAAAGATTGATATAAAGATGTAAGTAATTTTTTTATAATCTCATATATATTACTAGGACAGAGTAAAATAACATAAAAATAAGTACATATGATCATAATTTTAATTCCTTAAGGGATAATCAGAGATATTTGTTGACCATTACATTTGTAAATATAAATCTTGGCTCAACAGATTTGAATACAACTTGGCAGTCTTGGATTTTTAGACACAACTACAAATTTTTTGTTAGGTGGTAGATTCAGCCTTAACAGTCTAAAACATAATTTTTATATGTCTAAATCCTCAAAATATAGTTAGACAACTGAACATTTTTAATACTATATTCCACTGGGATGGCCTGGCCCCTTATAATAAGTTCATATGTACTCTCAGATATATTCTCCAAGCTGTATTCAAGTCCTGGGGTTGACAGCAGGCAATTCTGAAAAGGGCATGGTCCATCAGGCCTTCCCCCTAAATTAAATATTTTTTATTTAATATTTAACTTGAAAATCATTTTAAAATAATATTCTTAATAAAAATATTTTTACCCTGTTATTTACAGGTTATTCAAGATAGTTATTCTAGCTGGTATAGGATTGGTAGCACTGACAGTGACAGTGGACTCCATATTTTGGGGACGTCTTTTATGGCCAGAGGCAGAAGTGTTCTGGTACAATACTGTCATGAACAAGAGTTCTGATTGGGGTGTATCCTTTTCAACCTTAAGAAATCATGGTATGTAAATATATAAGTAAACAATTAAAAAAAAAGGCAACAAATAAGTCTGAATAAATGTAGAAATTTTATTTTATCTGACCTGTGTTTTTAAATGTAAGGCTGACAAATGAACATGCGGTTTATTTGATGGAAAGTGATTACTGCAGTATATTGACACTAACAACACCAGGGTGGGTAACACCAACGTGTTATCGGTCTTTTAAAAATAGTATAAATGATTTTCTTGAGTCCTATGTCGATTTTTTTAATAACACAAGGGCAAACAGGCATGCGGTACCTGATGATAAGTGACAACTGTCGTCATTTGTTGAAATATAAGAGATAAATATAGAAGATGATTTTCTACTAATTATATTATATATATATATATATATATATATACGTAAATTCTATTTTAAATCTTAAATGCATCTGATGCTTCTGTATTGACACAACTAATCTGTATGCTTATAAATGTTTATTATGTTTTAAATTAATACCTAAATGTAAGAGTGGAATAAATCCGAATTAAGGTAAGAAAAGAATCAATATATCTTTTTAAAGGACTGACTATTTTTTGGCCTCTCCTATAGTGTTGTTAATGGTCCATACCCATAAAAGTTAACTAAGTGTCAAGACAAACACGAAAATATAAAAAGTTTTAAAATATATATGTGTATGTAACTGGAATATAATATATTAGGAACTTCATAAAATTCTCATTAGACATATGTATCTATAAATATTGTTAAAAAATGAACATAAGTTTTAAAATATTAATATCATTAAAAGGATTTTTATTTATTCCATTATTAAATAAATTATAAAATACAAACCTTAACAGACTTGTATACAGACATCTCCGTTTCTTTGGTACTTCTACTCAGCTCTGCCTCGCGGTCTGGGACCGAGCCTTGTTTTGATTCCCGTCGGTTTATACTTGGAAAGACGTTTAGTGCCCTTAATAGCTCCAGCGTTTGTCTACATATTATTGTATTCATTCTTGCCACATAAGGAGCTTAGATTCATAATATATGTTTTTCCTTTACTTAATATGGCATCCGCTGCAGCTTGTTCATATGTGTAAGTATTAAACAATGTTATAAATTACATTTCATCATAATTATGTCTATGCTATGTATTTATTTATTTTAATAATTCTTGTAATAAGACCTACAGGAAGTCAATATGAGTAAAATGGTTTAGTAGTAATTAGTTTTATTTATGATTTTTATTATGTACCAATCTTCTTTAGTATATCACAAGAAAATTTGAATTTAACTTAAAACTTATTAAGCTTAATCAATAATGCTGTTATACATACATATATCTCAGGGTTCTATATTTTCCCTATTGTTACCATACCGTAGATAGATAGATACTCTTTATTGTTTCCTCCAGAAGATTATAATAGTAAACTTATTCAGATGATTGAATAAATTTAAAGTGATATTGGATTAGTTTCATGTGATGAGTTTTTGATTATGCAAAAGTTGCAAATACACTATTACGTATTATTAGTAGTTACGGCCTTGATGTCTTTGATATTAATCACATTTCCACTTTTCTAGCTACGTGAGACGAACGAAGGCGCCCATTTATGAGTTACTCTTTTGGGGATCGATGGTCATCATAGTTGGCAATGTGCTAATGACGCTCGCACTTACTTTGGTTGCTATGTCTAATTATCCTGGTGGCGTGGCGATAACCAGGTATTTATTCTATCTACTTCGTTTAAATATAGAAATCACATCAAATTTATATTTCCAAAGAGCAGCATCATCAGAATCATGAATGCTACTATCAGAAGCAGATATGTCAGTCAATTTATATGAATATTAATCGTGTTACCATGGTCCCACTCGTCTTGATGTTACAAAAGCTATTTATTTAATAGCAAACCCCATATTGCAGTAAATACTTGCGAAAATAAAATTGAATATTAACCTCCTTATTCACAAAAAGTAAAATGTCCTACTTATTTTAAATATTATAATGTTTTGTCACTCTTCTCAAATTGAGAATTTAATGCAAAAGGAAATAACAAAACAATAGCTAAAATATGTATTATGAGATGTTTGACAATTTTATGTATAAGGGAGTATGTCGGATCCATTAAATCTAATTACAGAGTCACACATAATACAAATACTAACTACCAATATATAATAAGTCAGTTATGCTCTATTTTAATATTTTATTATCTATTGATAAACAAAAAGTTTAGATAACATAAGTTTTATTTTTAACAAACAAATAAATTATATTACAATAAATTTTCAACTAAAACTTTTTGGCCTATTTTTCATCAGTCTTTCCCTTTTTGTTGTAGATTTCACAAAATTATGAAAAATGAACCGTTTGTTCATTTACATATCAGCAACTTAGCTGCTCAAACTGGTGTTACACGATTCACTCAGCTTAATGATAACTGGATTTACAGCAAAAACGAATCATTGCAACCTTATGAGTTGCAGGGTTACACTCATCTTCTTGTGGAAGCCAAAAGTAAATATTCGTCGAACCTTAAGGCTTTCGCGCATACACATGTCATATTAGATAGCATTGAAACATTTTCTCAGGTAGCTATGAATTACAAATTAATTCCTCCTGTGAAAATTAAAACAAAACCAGCGTTGTTTATACTTGAGAGAAAAGACTTCCGTGAGTATCCTCAAGGGCACAAAATTGAGAAAATCGAATATATTTCAGATAAAGAAAAAGACAGTGAATCAAATCAAATCTCAGAAGAAGAAATAGATAATTTTGAAAAATTAGACATAGAAAACGAAGTGTATGAGAAAGATAATTCTTTAGATATTCAAGATGTATCAGGGAAAGATGATAATGAAAAAAGTAATAAAGACCCAATAACGGAAACAATAGTCGAACAGAATATTGCTATTGTTCAAGAAAACTCGATTTTAGAGGAAGAAGATATTGAAGGTGAAATTGAGGCAAAAGTTCCCAAAGCGAAAAAAGCATTAGATGAATTAAGAACATTGAGGCAAGAGAGAAAAAAGAAAGCTATTGCGAAAATTAAATCTGAAACACGCAAAGAAGTTGTAGCGTCAGCTAAAGAAAAACTGAGAGATATAATGAAACGACATAAACATATAGCTAATGAACTATCTGGAAGTATTGTATCCGACAAAGAGGATGTTGTAGAAGAAGACGGTAGAGGTGATATTCCTGAATCAAATATCGAAATGGAAGTAGAAAACCCGCCAACAATAGTGGAAGGCACTGAAAATAATGAGACAGAAGTACAAAATCAAGACATATTTGAAGATATCATTCACTCAGGTGATACAGCCCAAACAAATGCAAACATTGACACTATTGTTGAAGAAGTCATAGTTAGATTAATAGATAGAAAAATTTATGATGATAAAACAAAACCTGAGGACATAAAAGCCGAAGATAGGCTGATCATTCAAAAAATTGTAGAAGAAGTCCTTTCAGAAAGAATGAATTACTCTAATATAGATAATAAATAATTTTATATGTGACAACATATATTTAGATAATACATCATCCATGTGCCAATTTGTTGTTGTTGCTAGTATAATTGTGCCTTTGAACCTAAATTTTAAACATATTTATAATGTATAAATTTAATGCAGTGTGCATTGAATTTTTACATTAATAAAATTCATTACACAGTCATAATAGTTATATGTTAGTAAATTAATTTTGTGATAAATTGGAACCTGCAATTCAAAGTGGATTAATTGTTGCATTTTTTCACATTATGCACTTATTTGATGGTTGTTATTAAGTATATTTTTAAGCCAACTTTAATATCTTTAAGGGAATTTGTTGTGGCATTTTAGAGGACGACTATTCTTTCTATGCGAACACAATACTTTACTGAGGAAATTTATGAACTCAAGGTTCACCTAAAATGTGTCTTGATGTATAATATATAAAGTTCATATTTTATCACCTCAATCACACGGAAAAGTAAGTCGAAATTTTGCCACTGGCTAGTGGCAGATTACATACTACCGAACTTTTACTTAAAATTTTACGATTTAAGAATAATTTTTGTAATTTTTTATACTTATTGTATCAATGTACGTGCTGCTTTGCGGACATTTGAGTATGTTTTTTCTTAGTGATTAATTCTATTTATCTAGTTCCTTTATACTACACCAATGAATAAAACATATCTTTTTAAATTTTGTCGCAAACTATTATGTTTAGTAGAATTGAATCGTTTTTTAACAATTTATTATAAATTGAGTTCTACCACTCTGTTAAAAAAATGAGCAAATGTAATGGTATACACAATAAGCTCACGGTTGTGAACATATTTTGTTCTCGTTATTAAACTACTAACAACAAATGGTAATATGTAATTTCCCTTACCTTATTACCACACGAAACAGCAATGCATGTGTTGTATTTCAATTTGATGGGTAAAGTAGCTGAAAGGTAGCAAGATTTAGATCTTAGTCCAGATGTGATAAATGCGATAAAACAAATGAATACAGTTTAAAATCTTACATTTATGTTTTCGATTTACAAATGTGTGATTATTATACCATCTCATTAATTAAATAATTATAATTTCACTGTAATACAGTGATAGTAAATTAAAATTTTAATTTTTCGTCGTCAGAGATGGGATGCGTCAAAATCTTACCTAGCGGCGTCATGTAGGCTAAGGTCCTAGCTTTAGAGACTAGTGCTTCAGAATCGACCACAATATAATCTGTGTGTGACGAATTCAATGTCGTGATCAGCCATTCTCACTTTTGCCCTTCAGCTACATAGTCACTACTGCTACGGTCGCAGTAATCTAGGTAACATATATTAAACGACAATAAACCGCAGCATTTGAAATTAAGTATTTATTTAAAAAGTAATGTGTTTTCATTATAAAATCCCGTAAAAGTATCTAGCTGCCCAATTTTCTAAATAAAATACTACTATTAGTCTAAAATACTGAACTAGACTCCAGTCCGCTTAGAAACAACTAAGTATAATTGGTCTAAAAGTTATCTCTTTTTTTTTGGTTAGTCATACGTTTTACCACACTAAAAAAAAAAAAATAAAAGCAAATATACAGGGTTAAAATCTCATAGGACCTAAGAAACTGGTATGTATGTATATTTATTTTCATTTGTATGTTAAATTTCCTAAATTATCTATATCATATTTTAGAAAAAAATACAGGAGACGTTATGTCTATGCACTTACTAAAAGCATTTCTATTGTACCTACCTAATTTTATTATTACTGGTTTGACACATATCTTTGTATGTATCAAGATTTTTCTAGTCATAAGTTTTAAAATGTTATATACGTGGCGCGTAATTGCAATAATAATTTTACTAAAATAATTGTGTATTTTTATTTTCGGTTTGAAAAACTAACGACATTTTACATATAACAACTTGACAGGCTCCACGATTGTAGTTCTTATTTAGAGCTCTCTTGGTATCGTCTCTTGACGGAGAGTCGATATTAGAGATACTAAGGTGGTCAGTCATTTTCTCATTTTCCTCGAAATCATATTTTATGGTTTAATTGCTAAATGGAAGGTTGTAGGTACTGGGGGAGAATAAATTAATTACTAATAATGAGATAGACAATCTGAGGAGGAAGTCAAGTGTGGTGTGCGTTTGTATGTATGTAAGAGACGAGTTATAAAAGTAAATTTGAGATACGAAAGAAATATATATGATTTTCGGTATTTGATTATCTGTCTACCTTGGAAGAGACGTAGCGTGAAGATAGATAACATATTAGTAATAGATTAATAGAGAAAATCTAATGCTTCGAGTTATTTATTACTAGTTATTATTATCGTGTGCTTAGATACTGCAAGTACGTTATATAGTCTATGATCTTGAGCCAATTGAATGTATTGCTAAAATAAATTAATCGCTTCCCTGCAATACAGATAAATAACAAACACATTTATTTTCCACAGATTTTTATTTCATTGCCAATTATAAAATTACTTAAATGTAAGTGCACACATAAATTTATCAGTCTAGTAAGGCATACATAATGTAAGGTACTACAAACAGGTACAGCTGCAATTAAAACACAAAAGTATAATTTATTCATTATTGACAACACCGCCAGATATATCGTTTAGTATCGACAAATTGTTGTTCTTCATACTGCGTTATTAAATTATTTAATAATACTAAATACCATGCTGAAGTATGAAATTTACATATATCTACAAATTAATAGTTTATTAAACTATTTAGTAATTGACGCAACATTATTTAACTATTATTATTAAATGGGTTGGGGGGGAGAGGACAGTAACGGTAGGTTCATGCTCGCCCCAGAAACCGAGCGAAGCTTCATCTTACGCAGACGTCTGATCATGGCATATACGTCTTTTTTAAGGGGCCAGCTCCCTCGTCCCTTTGAAAGTTAAATACGCCAATGATCTGTGTTCCAATTGACTTGATAAATTTATAATTTGACTATATATATATATATATATATATATATATATATATAATACAGTAATTTTGTTAAATTGTCACTATGGTGGTGTCGTCGATATTGAACGGTGTGATATTAACAACGACCTATATTAATACTAAATTTTTATAATATGAACGCGCTATACTACGACTACAATCCCTCTAGTACTATCTACCCCTTTAGGTAAACGAAGACACCTATCGCCAGAATCGTTCCGGTTAGCGCTCGCATAAAGAAAAATAAGACCCCGATTGAATTTTTGTAACTTTAAACAAATTTGAAATATTTTTCTTCAAGGTACTTAAAAATGTAAATAAACAATTTCATATCTTATTGATAATTATTATATATTTTTATAATATTCGAGTTAATTAAATACCTATAGAATATTATTTTTATTTGTATATATTTTATATTTTTAAGGCTTTTTAAAAGGAACATAAATCACAGCAAAACTGCAGCAATTAAAGCAGTTTTAAAATATTAATAGTTTTTATTAAATTGATTTTCTGAATATAAAGCACATTTGTTAAAAATATTGTCAGCCGTAGATACAGCGGGAATGGCTTTTGTCCTCTTTGTCTTTCACTACCCATAATTCGCAACTGTAACCGCGTGTTAGGACATTAATAATTTTGGTTATTCAAGATAATTGTAGTTTATCTATATACCAAATTGGGGGTGAAAGGAATGTTAGTAATGAGGTCTAACAGCCCTATTGCTAGTAATAGATATCAGGTCGACCTCCACACGGTTCCCCCTGGAAACCATCGTGACCTGCTTTTATCGTCACCTATCATTACACACTGGTGTCCTGTTAGCATATACCGATAGCGCAGGCAGGGTCACCATTTCATTATCACACATTAAAAATTTCATTCAAATTGCTGAATTAAGTAATAAATATAAAAATCTCAAAATTTTTCACTCACTAAAATTTTAAACATTCGTAAAAATGAATGACTCGAAGGATTTAAATAAAATTTGATACAAAGATATTATTTATTTGCATTCAGTCGGACAAAACCGTGAGATACAGCTAGGTTAAACATCAGTTGGATAAAAGTAATTTTTAAATAAATCTAAGTTTACAAACTAAAAAATAAACTAATTTTTCACATGTTAGCCAATACTAGCATTCAAATACAATATCTCAAAATTTAAAAGATATAATGACACCACGTTTAGAAAAAAACAAGTTCGTCACCTGGTTTAGATAAATTTAAAATTCTAGGATGCTATTTTATAATTTTCTTTTATAATGTATAATTACCTACCTAAACGTATGATTTGCAGTAATAACTCAATCAGTGTAAAATTAAATATCACAAATATAATAATAATGATCAAAGCGATTTCATAACATATATTCAACATTAACCGATATTATATATTGGATAATTTGAAAAAAAAAATGTTCGAGAAACTATGACAATGATTCGGTCACGGGCTATGCGCATACACATGGTGTTTAAATTATTACAATAACTTATAGATACGCAAGAACGTTAATGGCGCCTCTATTTTTTTCTAATTCTATTTTTATCCACGATTTCTTGCTATATTACATTTATATTAGACAATTTATTTTATACATCCAATAATAATCTCCAGTCATATCTGCCTGAACTGGAGTTTATCGACGGTGGACATGGAGGGCATACTACCTCCCAGGGTTTATTCTTTACGGCTCCGAGGGCGCAGTATGGAACCCGGAGTAGGTGTTTGCTCAGTTGGTAGGGAACATACTCGGACTTATTTTGTTCCAGCCGCTTCAAAGCAAACACCATTATGTCTAACATAACAGCGTGGCCTACGAACATAACGTTGCCAACTGCGAACAAATTTATTAAACTTACACTTTATGTCTGTGACTTCCTTAGAGTGCAATAAATAGTATATCAATAGTAATGCCAGAAGGGATTGTTGGCAAATTCAAATAGACTTGTTTACTAGCATTTTAATTTTTTTTTAATCTACTGCAGGGTTCGGAAGGTTGTTATCTATTGAGAAGAGCCCGCAGGAAACTCAACAATTACGCTTTTAAATCTCTATGAAGGTGAGTGGCCCCATTGCTAGTAAAATACACTTTATACACTATGAGCAAACTAACATGTTTTATTTTTCACTGGTGCTCCGCTAGCGTATACCGTTAGCGTAAGTAAGTCTCAAATATTCCATTTACATTCCATCCATTATAAAAAAAATACGCTCCTAGTGTGAACCGTGTACATTTTTCACTCCGTAGGAAGTACAGAAATGTTAATAATTGATGGGCTATACTAATATAAATTCAAATATGTTTCATGTCAGTGAAAGAAATTCAGCAATCATTAATTTATTTAGTTCTAATTTACTATCAACGTTGAAATACACTTACCATCAGCGTCTGTGTCTTTGACTACCGAGTGAATAACTTTCTCATGCCTGTCGTAAAATTCTTCTATAGTCTCCGGCGTATCTACATCTAGATCTACATACGGCTTGTAACTGTAACAAGATTGGTATTTTATTAAAATACTAGCTTTCACCCGCGACCTCGTCCACATGACCGGTATAACAAGTAGCCATCTCCATCCCGTATAATATCTGTATATTACCTTTCATAGTAATTGGTTAAATCATTAAAGCACTAAGTGGTAACAAGCTCACTTTCTTATTTATAATATTATATAGATAGATAGATACCCTTTATTGTTTCCTCTAAAAGATTACAATAGTAAACTTATTATAAATACAATTACAAGAAATTATCACACTAAAACAACAATGGGCGGCTTTATAGCGCGCTAATAGCGATCTCTTTCTGGAAATTGTTGTTGAATAGTAAATATTCTACTCTATATAGTACAGCTATTTCTTACCTCTCTCGAGTTTTCAATTCTTTGTTTATTACATGTTTGCTTTAACAGTTTAACTTAACTAATCATCTTGGTATACACATAGTATTTAAAAAAGAGAAAATTATACTTATGTTTAACGTGATAAATCAACATAACTCGCCATGAAAACGATGTCGTAGGCGCAGTTGGTTTGGACTACTCTGTGTAATTGAGTTATGAAGATTTATTATGACAAAAAGTAATCATAGAGTAAAAAAAATTGCGAAACTTACTTGAGATCAATACTAAATCCTGCTTTGTGGAGTTCAAGAGGTGTCATGAAGGGCGCTAGGCCCTTTGCGCTATGCCACACTTTATATTCAAAAAGACCTGGCTCCACCCTAATTTTGACCGTTGGGTCTTGTAAACCTGAAATAGTTTATTATTTAAACTACATGATCAGCTGATAGTGTTGGCTCTATTAAATTCTTCAAAATCGGTGATAGTTAAGATGATGGAAGGATGGACTGCGGTTTGAAAATCTTATCCTAATCAAATGCCGAGACCAAACACCAGCCCGAATTAATTAAATAAATATTAAATTTTGTAATAAATTTATTATTTTTTTTTAATGTGATTTGAATCCTTTGATCATTTGAGGATTTAGAAAACTCTACTCGGTGTGAGCATGGTCTAAAGGTATGCAAGACCTCGATCTGTTAAGTATTTCCTGTCCTTCTGTAATTCCGAATTTAAAAGTTATCCTCTGTACGATATTTTAATGCAATAAATGTCTTACAGTAACCCTTACCTCGATATCTATTTTTCTTTATCTTTTATAATTAAAATAAAACAGTAATTACACATTTATCTATACCTAATTTACAATTTAAATGCCTTTACCTAATATTATTATTTTATACATAATATATACTTACACCTATACAATACGTCTATAAGTATATTATGTGACCATGGGCAGAGGTGCTATCTACATCTATAGGTAACAGTTACTGTTTATCATAAGGTGTGGCGTATGCTTGTTTGCAATTTCCAGTGGTAAAAAATCCAGACTCACCTCTGAGAAGCTCCTGTGCAGTCTCCACGCAGCGAAGCGCAGCGGAGGCGTACACGTATCTTAGTGAGATGCCCGCCAGCCGCAGCCCCTCACCCACAAGCTGAGCTTGCAAGCGTCCTACACGCGTCAGTGGCGTGTCTTTAGCGTACGAATCTTTTCCGCCGGCTCTGAAATTATTTATTTATTTACCTTCATATACATTTATACACTGAGGTACATATATCGAACATAACACTTACAGGCGTTCTCTACCAGTTAAGAACATTTATTATTAACTAAAGACGTCGTTCTATCAAAAGTGACGTCAGTTTTATTGAAATGCTTGAATTGGCAGTTAAAAACAATTTGTATAGAAAAAAAAAGTAATGTTGTTGTTTTACGGATAATTTTTTCAATTTTTTTCTTTATAAAAACCTTCCTCGGACTAATAGTGTCGTTAAAAAAAAATATCCGAATTGGTGCAACCGTTCTCGACTTTTGCGCTTAGTAACCGATTTAATGATCCATGTTTATTTATATATATTAATTACATATATCATTAGTAGGTATTTAAGGCTAGCGCAAATGATATACCTATTGTCTACGTTGGTACAAAGCTAAAATTGTTTTCAATAGGATAAGTTAGTTTTTTCAAAAATGTTTTTTAAAATTGTGTAACCTCTTTTATGTACTTTCTTTTTGTTTTTTTTTTTTATATATTTTGTTTTATTTCTTTACATATGTACCAGTAGCTAATGTTATTTGTGTGCTGTAAGTGACGCAAATAAATTATATATCTATCTATCTTTTGCACCAACGACAGAATTATTGCGGTATTTATTTTTTTGGCTATAGCCCGAGTAAAAAAAATTATGGCCGATTAATATCACAATTTAAAAACCTATATAAAAATTATTTGTGCTATTTACACCATGACTATTGAGTCTTTTGGTATGGGTATTGTATTATATTGTATTGTAAAATCTTTATTGTACATAATTTATTGGATACATCAAAAAATTTAATATACAATGAGTATTTGGGTAGAGTATCGGGTACGTAATTTAAGTTGCCGAAATATCCATTCAGAATGACGAAAAATTTATTTAAAATATAATAGGTTTTTATGTATTCCTTTCATTTATATTAAAGTTAATCCGTACGAATTTTGTTGGTTGGTATGAATCATACACTCACCGTTCAGGAAGGCTCAGGGGCATATTCAAGTCCTTCCTAACATAGGTGCCATTTTCGTCAAAACAATATGGTACCCACTGCCCGTATGTAAGGTCTACCCGCTCGCCGTGTCGCATTGCAAAATACCAGCGTCGATCCGTATTTTGCCCATTTGTTGCATTCTGTACAAAAAAAATATAATAATAAATAAAAAATAGTGAACAACTAGGCATATCATACAGCACCATCTAATCCCAAACTAAGCTGAGCATAAAAACATTGGCGTATTTAAGATTATTTTTCAGGAGAAGCCTGGCACATTATTAAACGCATATATGTAATTTTAGACATGTTTTTATAAAGCTTCTCTCGCATACTGGGGTGGGCACCAGCCGAATCTGACGCTGGCACAGCCCACCCGGCCCCTTCAGGACAATTTATTCACTTACAGTTTTTTTTTTATAAACAAACTTCCAAAAAATAATATAAATAACTTAATTTAATGCGAGTATTGATATTATTATTAATTATTAAATAATCAGTGATTAAATACTAATATAGGTTTTATATATACGCAGTAAAAATAGACTAAGTTGTTTGAAATTAATAAATACAAATTAATAAAAAACGAACCCGCAACCTCTACACCGGATAGGTCAATTCGTACCTATATTATATGCCAAATTAGTATATCTTGATTAATTAAAAAACTATTAATCATTATATAAATAAAAATAAGTTGCCAAATGATTGAAAGTGGTAATCGACTTAATTGGAACATCTGAGGACCTATGTAATACTATTGACATTAAATCCATCTTCTGTATTCTATTTTCATTTTGTCAATAAAATTGAATAAATAAAACATTAGTGAATGTCCTCGTTTCTTTACCCTACAGATAAAAATATTTTAAATTACCATTTAGTATTACATTAATTGTTATTTATACAAATATATGATGATATATGTATATAAGATAACATACTTTACTGCATAATTTGGATTCGGCGTCTCCGTTTCTTGAAGAACTGCTGGTCTTGTGATCATCGGCAGCTGGAGGTATAATGATGATATGAACACAAATATTCTTTACTCGTTCTCATCTCACTCACACGTATTTCAGAATTTATATAAAACTAGCTGTAATCGATAACTTTGTCTGTGTCAATTAAAATAATAATATCCTATAATTAATCTAGGATAATATTTATTTATTAAATCTTAATACACGTATATAGCGTAAATGATGAACGTAACACCATATGGCGTTATCTACTAGTCGACCGCAGACAAGAAAAACTATAATTAATAACAAAAAGAAAAAAAAAAATAAGTACAATGAAATATTGTGTAATTAATACAAAATTTATTTATCTCTGTCCCATCTTACTTAAATGGAATTCGAGTAACATATATATTTAAATGTCAAATATCTTTGTTTACAAAATTTTGCATTTATAATATTAGTCGATTAAGTGTATTTATTATCCATAATAATTTGTATTGAATAAAAAAAATATATTATCTTGATAAATCTATTTGTAAATACTTTTCAATACATTATACACTAATACGTATTACAATATTGTAAACCAGTGGACCCGGCAAACGTTATTTTGTTAAATTGCCTGAAACGTTTTTCTTTATGATATTTTTTCCAATTTTTCTCTTCATAAGAACTTATCTCAGACTTCAACGCATATTTGAAAAAAAAAACCGATTTAACGTTCTACAATTTTGCACTTAGAAACACATTTAGCGATTTATATTTATTTGTTTAAAAGAAAATTACTTACTTGAAGTCAATACGTCGGGAGATGTTTGGGCTACTTGTGCTTCCCAAAACTTGGCCCATTCGGTATAGCTCTCTTCCGACTTTTCGAAACCGAGTTGTGAAGCGTCTTCATGTGGGTAACTCCTCGCCATTTCTAAGTTTGAGTCCGATTCTGATTTATTATCTGTGCCTGTAAAACAGACTATTATAAGTAAATATAAATATTTGTAAACATGCATTGTAATGTATATAAGTGGACGTTAATTGGATATAAATGGACAGAAAATGGTGATAATTATACACGGTCAAGTATCGTATCAACGTATCGTGTTTTTACTGACGATGAAATAGAAACAGGATTAACAAAAGGAACAGGTCCTACACTTTCACTTAACGAGACAGCATTGTCTTATGTCTCATTCCAATGCATGGATTTGTTAGCGATAACGAACCCTTCGATGTATTTGTTTCCCACTTCTTTAGGGTGGCTGTATTATATTAAACTACGCTTCCCTAAGCGATCTTATAGTCCGATACTCTTCGCGGCAAAAAAAAAAAAACTTGCGCCGTCCAATCAGAGAGCCGAACGCGGGTAGCATCGGTGGCGCAGATGGCGAATTAAAAGAAGCGCTCTGATTGACTAGCGGCGTCCTTGAACCGGAAGGATGATCGCACGCAATTCAAATGTGTCATTTTTATAACTCGACGCGATACAACGATACATTATTGTTATAACTTACTGGTTTCATCTCTATTAATACAAAGAGATAAAAAATATTCATATGAGATTCAGTAATTGTACAGTATCTTAAATATATATAATATATCTTTATATTATCAAACCATCTATTCAAAAATAGTTATAAAGTAAAACTCGACATTGAAAATATTTTTTTTTATTTCGCTGTAATATTATTATCTGTATGTAACATAGGTATTATGTACACTATTATACCTAATCTATAAGGAAATTATATATTCGTCTAATATTAACGCTCCATTATGATCGATTTTGTGTTGCAAAATGTTCAACTGTAAATTTCAGCGCCGCAATTAAGCATAGACTACATAGGCTATAGACTAGGGCCTTGCATTATAGACCTCCGCTACAAACGTTTTAAATTCGAATATATATTGCAGTTCAATATATATTTTGTTTTAATGTTTTTTTATTTCAGGTGTGTATTGACTGGGTATGGACACTATATATTCTTAAAACATCCTCTTTATTTCTTTGTCTTCGACCTGTATAATCTGGTTCGAAGATACAGAATTAACAATTTTATATCTTTCTGTTTAGTTACGTTACGTTATAATCATAAAGAGAGCATTGTACTAGGCACGTCATGTATCATGACCTTGACGGTAAGCCTGATTTTTTATCAGCAATAACATGAATCTGCAATTTATGTACAGTGGTATAAACTTTAGAAATAGCATTTCATTGCGGCACACTGTAGCAGATCGCGGTTGAATCGTGGCTTAAGTTGTACAATTTTGTATGCAATCCACAATCTTTGGAAACAACACGACGCAGTGCTATATTGTTCCTAGCAGGATACGATATAGGGATTGCCAGTTAGAGAAATACATAGGGACGGTCAAACTAAATTCTAAAGGGCGACAAATAGTATTTCTTTCCAAAGCGATAAAATACCTCAATCGGACCCTGTCGACTAGTATATAAAATATCGAGGCACTGCGCCTCGCGTCTTATTGTGAATAACCAAATTATAGAAAACAATAGTTGGAAAGCTTTCTTTTCATAATGACACTTTTATGTAATTTAAAGATATGGTAGGGATATATTTTTTTTAATAGGTATATAAGTGGCATTCTTGTAGTATTTACATATACACACTTAATCAACCACATTACATTTAAATGTTTTCAACATTCAATAAACCAGATGAACCAATGGGTACAATACACTTGCACCAAATAGACACCCTGTCTGCCAGCCGATTTTGCAAATTACGGTGTACCACTGCACCGCGCCGCATGTTAATCGCTTTAGTATTATTTAATTAGTATTTATCCTTGCTGCATATTACCTTGCACGAAGGCAAGAGAACAAGTTCTGTTCTTTTTGTTTCTGTTTTAGGTCACAACAATGCAACAAAATATAACAGATAAAAAAACATGTTTTATTTGTGTCAAATAAAAAACTGATCAAAATCAGTCATAATGTAAATAAAAAATTACTTATAAGAATATTATTTAATATTTCGAAAACTAAAAACAAAAAAATAATCTCCCTCTAAAAATAGACTCTCGATATCGCGATGCAATGCAAGTGTTCTTTTTCGTTTTAACTTGTTAATAATGTATTTAATATTTGCGTGCAGTCAATTTACATAATAAACACACTACTTATTAATATAATGAAAACTTAACATCCATCAAATAATTACATATTACACGAATCATTTACAAGTTTTGTAGAAAGAGTAGAACTTAATTTACTTTGAAAATTTGTAATATAACTGTGTACAAAAAATACGAGTCCTGTTCAACAAAGCATTTTTTACAACTTAAAAAAAAGAGCGTCTACTAACGCGTTTCTATTAAATAGTTTAATAATCATTAGAATCATCGGCTATGATAATTATTTTGAATATTAAATGTTTTGGTACAGTAAATGTTTAAAAGTTGAATTAATAGCAATAAGTTTCAAACTCACTGTTGTTTCCAAGCGAAATGGCCCTATGTAGAGTCCAAGCGTCCGACTCAGCCGTACGCCGGGTGTACACTGCTGGAAGGCAACCGCTGACACCTAAAACAACAATGGAATCGATGTTTAATAAAATTCAATGTTGTATCGGGTGAAATGAAAAGTTAAGTCAGCGGCGTAGAATTCGTTTGAAAAACGTTTACATGTAAATATAGAATTAGGAGTAGTTTAATTATAATAATAAATACACAAACATTGGTTATAATACTGGAGTGCTCATACAGGTAAATATAATACTGTGTATAAGAAATAATATTTAGTTAATAGTTTGCATAACATATTCAAACCTAAAACATAAAAATACCTATAAGAACATTAATAAATTTTTTACCCAAATTATTATTTATTGAAGTTCAACTCTATTTTCTCTGCCTACGCGAAAAATACGTGACATGAAAATAGTCAGAATCCAAGATCAAATAATTATTGAACATTTTTCTGATTATTCTTTTTCTACCATCAGAACTTTTCCAGATAAAAACCCATCCACTTTTACCCCTAATCTTTGTAATTTATAAATACAATAAAGTACATATAATACTCTCTACCATTTAGAAAATAAAAGAAAACGAACGTGCATAGACAAAATAATACACGTAAATGAGAGTTTAAATATTAAAAAAAAAAACTTGAACAGATAGGTACGCTAAGCTATTTATATACTCAGTAACACAAGTTCCAGGTCGTTTATTTATTCGGAAACTGCGAAAAAGTTCAAGATCATAAGCAGCTATTTACTAAAAAAGTGACGTTATTTCCTTTAAAAATTTTACCATGCATACAAAAAGATACTTACTTCTGCAGTACAAAAAGAATTTCTAAAATTAGCCTCACAATGACAACAGACTTATGTAATTCACCGCTGTACTGACTTTTGCACACATATTAACAATACTAACCTCCAATTTTCAAGTTCAATAGACGTAAGCACTTCATAGTTTGAATGAACCTTGCATACTGAGTACAGTATTGATAAGATAAGGAGGTTTGTTTTCAACGTACAGTTTAGCTCATTTACCTGTCAGCCACGACGTGCCGTGCACCCAGCCGTCGGAGGAACTGTCAAACTCCTTTTCATCAATATAAATATAATCTCCTAGAACTAGTTCAAGTTCATCGCTAGCTTTCGGAGTATAACCTTGCATGACCTTATATACCTATAAAATAACAGAACTATATGTAGTAAGTTATGTAAATAATACAATATATTACGGATTGGAATTTTTATTTTTTTTAAATGCTTTTAAATAACTAAGTCATCTCAGATCTCTCTTTAAAACCTTTGTATTTATTTTGTATTTTTTTTCTGGGAACCTTAATAACAATGCATCTTGTTTTATATTTCGTTATTAAAATAAATTATTTCTAGGTATAGAATTATTTAAGATATCAAATTCATTTCGGCCGTCAAATGTCTACTGCTGACCTAACCTGACACAAGCCATGTTCCTGAACTGATTACATTCACCTAGCAATTTTTTGTTGTCACTTCATCTATATTGTACATCAGTGGAGGGATTGTACTATACTACGTTTACGTTTACAGAAAATTAATTTCTTCATTTTTTTTCTATGGCTGTGGAAAAAATGTTGCCGCGATGACGTCATTTTCATGACCTTCATCAACAATCAACTATTTATAGTCTAACGCTGAAAATAGGAGCTCGACGTCATTTTGCTAATTACAAATCAATTGCTAATATGCCAGTACAGCAACAGTAATTTCCAATTATGCGTTCATCTATATTCTACATGATTAACTTCTTGATTTAATTATTTATTAACATTATTTATTAGTATACACAATTGGCTTATTTATTTCATACTGATTACCATAACGATACAAACACAATACCCGACCGATGTAAAATTATCTTGTAAAAAGTATCTATTAGGTTTTATGCAGTTTGTTCTTAGCAAATAACAATATTCCGAATTCAGTAGTACAATCATAAAAGAATGACGATTTAGAAGGGCTTGTATACAACTTATAATGTTTATATATGATTATTTTATGAGATTATAATGTTTACGTAACATCTCGTTACGTCGATGCGTGGTAGGTTTAATTTCATTTTAAGGCAAGTTTACTTGTCGATATGAACATTGTTGCAGTTAAATTCGATGTTTATATATCATCATCAGCATATCAGAAAAAAAAAAACAGCCTAAAACTGTCCATTGCTGAACATAAGCCATCCCTTGGGGGTTTAGCCAGTAGTTGTTTATATATATATATATAAAAATTTTGCAACCAAGTATTTTTAAGATAAATTTATATGCAACTTATTTTTTGGTATTAGAAAATTGACAAATCTAATATGTAGTTAAGCGCTTCCTATACATTACCATGCATATAATAAAAAAAATTACTAAACAACAAAGAACACTGTGATTGAATGATGTTTATCATTTCATTTATCATTTCAATGTAGACAGTGATGGATAACTTATAATAATATATGGACTTTGCAATATCTATATAAATTTCTAAGTTATCATGATTCTATTTACTGAAGTATTTGATTGTGGTTCTTGGAAAGTATATTTTTAAAAATCCACCAAAAAATAAACACTTTTAACGCTGTAATCTCAAGTGGAGCATTCGTTGACAGATCCAGTGAATCTAAGAAGTAATCCATGGCGAACATAAGTGTAACAATCAACTTGCCCTCTTTCACTAAACAAATATGTATTATAAATATAATAATAAGATTATTCGTTTATTTATTATCTCTTGGCATCTAACTCAAGCAATCATCAAAAAATACTTAATCACGTTGATCACACTGACGAAATTGCAGCATTGTATCTATTTTATAAGACATAAATAAATAACAAAGAAAGAAGAATATAGTGAAATCAATGCCGCAACAATATCTTTCCTTTTTGTTGGCAATAGTAAAAAAATAAACAACGAATTTGTATTATGCTTTAAACGGCGTGATAATAGATAATAATGTCTATATACTCGTACGTTTCTGTATTCCGAGTTTCATCTATGTCAAGTTAAAAACTTTATAAGAGAAGCAAAATTGAATCGTAAAGTAAAAGTATCGATTTGGTGTTAAAGTTTCAAACTTATTATTGAATAAAAAGAAGGGTGAAAGACAAGCCTGGTTTACGTAGTCCCCGCGTGTAGGTCTTTTTATACGTGATCTTTACTATAAATTACTGAACACTTTTGTTGTTTTGCTGATGTTCCACAGTATGGTGCGCAGAGGTCGCGGCTGATTAATTTGTATGCGACTTGCGGAGATTTATTTGTGATCTTATCTATCTATATCTATACAATATCTGTAGAGAGGTCAATTCTGTACATGAAATATATTTCCAAAATAACTACTAGCTGCAGAAGCGTTTACGTCTTATATACCTAGTCCAGCCATAAGTTCTGTTACAAATAAAAATGCATTTTTTTATGAAGTGATGTAATATTACTAAAATTTATACCTACATATTAAAGTCTCAGTAAAAAATAAAAAAAAAAAAATTATATTCATAATGGTCACCTTTGGCTTTTATAAGGACCTTTTATTTGTCTAGCCATGAATCTATGAATTTACGCACTGTTTCCAAGAAAAATTTCGCCACTACTTGCTCCAAAGATTTTTTAAGAGACTCAATGTCGCTGTATCGTTTAGAGTAGGCCATATCCTCTAAAACTGACCATAATTTGAAGTCTAAAGGATTGAGGTCTGGGCTATATGAGGGCCAATCTACAGCTCTTATAATGTCCGGAACGTTGGTGTCAAGCCAGGATTAGGTAGTTCGTGCCTTGTGATCAGGTGCAGAGTCCTACTGAAAAGTCCACGGTATATTTTTAAAAAGTGTATTGAGAGGTTTTACAACACGATCCAAGACTGTATCTTGATACACTTTAGCTGAAGTTCTCACCCCTTTTTTACAAAAATGTAGTTTTTTGACTTCTTGACAAGACACGCCCTATCAAACCATCACTGACGCAGGATGATGTATCTTTCCGACCACTTGAGCAGCTTCTTTAGAACTGTGAGCATACACTTTATCATTTTGCTTATAGTATTGCTAGTAGTGTTCTTCAATCGTGAGATAAATTTTTTCATCGGTAAAGAGGATATTTCTGTGCCTTTCACATGCGTATCATGACAGAAGGCCTTTTGATCGATCCACTCTCTTTAATTGTAAAGATTCATTCAAGGCATGTCATGTATATCGACGATAAGCACCAAGCTTCAGGTCTTGTTTTATAATACGCAACAGAGTCCTAGCGTGAATTTTCATTTCTCGCAATAAGATTTTTTGCTTCCTGATGGGGTGTCAACGAATTCTGGATTTAACAGCATTAACAGCCTTTGTAGTTCTAACAGCACGAGGCCGCCCCGATCTTTTCTGATCTTCGACAAAGGAAGCGTTGTTGTATCTGTTGATAGTACGACATACGAACAAACGACTGATACCAAGCTTTTGAAGTGTCTGGAATATGACCGACGACCCCATACCCACTTTGTGCAAGGCGATCACTGCAATTCTATTTTCTTTAACATCGCGTGAAATCAAAAGAAGTTTTTAAAATAATAAACGTGTTCCAAATTCAAAATAATTAAAAAGTTAAATAAAAAAGAAAAGTTTTTATTTAACAGTATATATGGCCAGACCAGTTAGTATTCAATAAGGCGCCCTATCTACATACATAAGCGTAAATTTTCATGAAGCTAGCTAAAAGTGACATACCTGGTGATTAGCAAAACGAGGATCCCTCGAGTACAGTCTCAGTTCCCAGCTCGATTGTTCAAACGGTTGCAACTCGTCAACAAGTGATTTAAGCTCATCGTATACCGCCACGTCGAAATGATATGCTAACGTTATATGCAACGAGTTCACATGCGCTTCCAGGTTTATGGCTGCTTTTCGAAAAAAAAATATATATAAGAAATAATATTTTCTTTCAATGTTACTTATTTATAAATAAACATAAATACTACAATAAAATACTATAATGAAGTAGAGATTAAAAACATATCTATCAATCAAATGGTATTTGATTTTTTTATACTTTTTCTTAATATGGGTATATCATAATGATTCAATATTTTTCCTATAAGTATTAGAATTGTATTTCCTTGGCTGATTTCTTTATAAAGTAATTATGAATTCTTAACCATAAACATATTTATTATTGGAATCACAGTTGCGAGAATATATAGATGAGGTTTTTGATTAAATTAAATTCATATTACATTTCATTAATGTCACAAAAAAGTAAACCTGAAATATACACAATGTTAACAAAATCTATTCCTTAAAACTATTGTTTTCGAGTTTAGATCAAGTGAGGTTGTTTAGTTTCATAATAAATGCAATGTAATAATAAAAAATATATAGTTATATATAAAATAACATTACTCGTATAAATAAAAAGTGTTTTTATGTTATATAAAAGACGGTATGCATAAACGAGAGAAAAGAGCCCGAAAATGACCGTTGACAAGGATTTATGGAAGAAGACAGTGCACCGACAAATAAGTTGAAAAAGGCAAGGCAATGATGATGATGATGATAATTCTTTTTATGCAAACAAGCTGACGGCCCACCTGATGGAAAGTGGTAACCGTCGCCTATAGATATGAATAATACCATGGACATAACAGAGTATACTGTGTCGCCCATGTTACTCTTTATGCATTGCCTTTCCTGGGGGCTAAAATGTTATGCAAAATGCAACTAATTTGGCGTTAGGTGCATCGTTATCAAAAGAAGCAATCGATAGTATGGTTTATCGGCTCACCCTAAGTCATCAAAAAATAAAAAAGAACCAAACTGGTTTACAACTGACAGAATTAGAAAGTAACACATAAAAACTATAACTGAATTAAGAAGAAGAAGAAGAAATAAGAAGTTCTTATTAGTCGTTTGAAAAATTTACTACTAACTTCAATTGACGAATTCCTTTTTAATTGCTGAACAGCAAAGAATAAAAGCTAAACATGTAAATTTTTTTTAGAAATAAACGCAACTAATAAATAATTTAAATTATAAATCGATTTATTGCAACTAGAACAACAACGCTGCCTCGATGTGGTGCGTTGGGAGATTATTTATAATTAGTATTAGTATTTAAGAAATTTTATATTAACTTTAATTTATTGTTGTATTGTTTTTATATAATTATCGTAATATTAATGATAGGTAAATATATTTTGAACAACAAAATTACTCGGTAGATACATCATAACAAAATGTAACTTAGAAAATCTTAAAATGCTTGCGTTGCATGGGATTTTTAATTATCAAATGATGTTTAGTAAACATTAATTAATTAAAAAAAACCAATAGCCCCTCTCGGTTGCTTATTGACAGTTTATAATACGAATGCACATTAGTTTACAATACGTACAAATTACCAATTATACATATAAAAGTCGTGATTTACCTTATATATATTTATATTACTAACACAACAATTAATAAACACTTTAAAATGTAACTGGTGGATAATCAACGAATGATGAACGTTAGAAGATTGATGTAATGATGTGAATTCATTATTTAAAATATCGCATTAAACTGGTACAGACGAAATAGAATCCTTGTTATAAATGGAGAATTGTGTTATAATTGTTTTTTAATATATTTTATAATATTTTATATTTTATTATAAAATATATTAAAAAACAATTACAACACAATTATATATAATTAATTGTGTTTTAATTAATATTATATATAGATACTGCAGTGAGTTAGGGTATTTACTAAACTCAGTCACCAACTTTGTTCGAAAAAAGATTCTGATGAATCTCACAGTTGAAAGATAGTAGGAAGCAAGAAATCACCAAACGATAATAACATTTAAACAGAATTTAATATTATACATTTGGTAGGAACGAAAAGATAGAAATAATGAACTTTACTTTCTTCATCCTTTCTGTCTTTCCGATCCTAAAAGCTTTCCGAGCTAAAAGTAAAACATCACTTTTTTTCTTATCGATGAGAACTATTTTTTTTTATACAACTTATAATGGCAAACAAGCTGACGGCCCACCTGATGGAAAGTGGTAACCGTCGCCTTTAGACATGAGCAGTACCATGGACATAACAGAGTATTCTGTTTCACCCATGATACCCCCCATGCGTTGCCATTCCTGGGGACTCAGATGTTATTCCTCTGTACCCTGTAAATTCACGCCATATTCTACCCTTCAAACCGAAACACAGCCATGCAAACACAACTGCTTTACGGTAGAAACACGAATGGGACAGAGGTACTCAAGCAAAGTATAATAGGTACTAAATAGAATCTTAATATTAAACTGACAAAAATTTTTTTGGCGTGGTCTAAAAGAGCAGAATAGGTCGCTACATATATACATACACAGGTTGTAATTTATTTTTTGGTAATATAAAGATTTCTTTTAGGAAGAAATTATGAATACTGACTCTAATATTGAGGAATGGATTATGTTAATTAACATGCTGTATATGTACATGTATATTTTAATCACATACTGAGAATAGCAATCAAGTTTATGTCCCACTTATGGCAGATATAGGTAAATGATAAATGTCCCTATAGACATGATAAAAACAATAGATATCACAGGAAAGGCAATCGATAAGGCGCACTTGCTTGTCTAATGTGTTCGGAGGTGTTGAACTGTAAATATCACTCAGTAAACCAAATTATAATAATACTGAATTACATGAATTAGAGTAAAATCGTAATCATTACCTAGCTTCTTTTTAAGGGCGTACTTTCTATACTACTAAAGAAACTGAAATTTTCTCTATTTCCCAAAAAACATGGGCCAAAAACAACAACTTACTTCCATACCAACCGCATTTGTACTGGTTAGAGTTAGACGCGTAAAAGAAGCTGGGGGGAGATATTGTTAGTTACGGGGACTAGCAATTAATTCTGTCAGGTTGACCTCCTCATGGTCCCCCTGGAAACCATCATGTTTAATTCCAGATGAATTTATCACGATGTGCTGAATTTATAACTGACCTGTCTTTTTATCCACACCTATCATCCCTCACTGATGCCCCGCTAACGTATACCGTTAGCGAAGCCAGGCTTACCATTTCATTATCACCTATTAAGTATGGGAGGCTTAAAACTGGTAGAACAAGGATACTATAAATTACGATTTTACTCCTTATATACATTATATATATGTAATGCATTAACATAACGATGAAGGAAAATAATATTTTAATGCGTGTTCAAATGTGGCATGTGTGTTCAAAAATTTTCAATGAATATACATCATTCCATAAATATTTTTTACACAATAGAACAGTAGCATATCCATGTAACAGTGATTTAAAAGAAATTAAAAAAAAAAAGTGAAAAACTAAGCTATTATAAATATTAAAATCTAAGCAACAAATACAGGATTACTATAAATATAACAGTAAGTTTATACGTAATTGAAGTTGAAAAAAAAACTATCATTTTTTTAAATCATATTTTTTAGGTCTAGATGTCAATGTCCGATGCATGCAATGTTTAAGATTCTTATGAAATATTAAATTTAAATGGCACTGATGTCAGTGATTTACTTCAACTAGTAACAAATTATGATACTATGAAAATAAAATTCATATCGAGTATGTGAAAAAATGATCTCACACGTCTAATTTAAATAGTCTAAAATGAGAATGACCAAACAACAAAGGAACTTCTTAAACAGGGCCACTTTAACCATTTGGTATCATAATAAAGGTTTTTGATTGATGCTAACAAGGCTCTCTTCAGTTTTCTTTTAATTTCTTCTTACCTTAGCTTGTTCGTATTTTGATTATACTTGATTGTCATATTCCATAGTATCATAATTTTGATTTCGTTAAGTACTATACAAATCAACATGCACCAAAACTGAGATAACAATAGACCGATCTAAAATATATAGGTATATTGGACACACCTGAGTTCAAAACAATCCTGTATAAGTACTTTATCATAATATATACAAAAATTAAATAATATTAAAAAGCATTTACCTTCACAAAACAGTTCATGCTCAAGATAATCTTCTATAATACCATCTGTCTAGCTCATAGCTGATAAAAAGAAATGTGCATTAGCATGATATTTAAATAAGCAGGTATATGTACATATACTACTCTTACATTTAATAGGTTTTTCTTGCGGCATCGTGCACCAAGGAAAACATGTTCCCAAGGCATCCAAGTGTTCATAAGTATCCACCATAACCCCCACTGTATAAATGTTATAAATATATATATTATAGATATATTTTTGAGGTACACTAAGCAAACTATATTGGGTAAACTATAACTACAATAACATTATAATTAATAATTTATTTGAGGGATTTATGAAACTAGAAAAATATTAAATAACAGTATATTTAGTATGAATAATGCACATATGATGAAAATTAATATCCAATAAAAATGTAGTTTCACATTTTATCAAATAAATAAAAAAAAATATCTTTTAAATTCTCCAAAATAAATGAGAAAATCGCAAAAATATTTATTTATTTAGACTTTATTGTGCAATAAAGTCTACTTATAAAAATAATAAATATCGTGATTTGATTACAGTTTCTGCAATTGTTCTTTTTCTTTTATGTTTTTTATTGTTCTTAAAATAATTATTAAAAAATAATATTAAAAAGAGAATCTTTGATTTAAGTTGACAGATTGATTAGACATTTCTATTTGTAATAAAATTCTAACGTCATAAACATGTGGCTTATATATATATATATATATATATATATATATATATATATATATATATATATATTCAAGCCACATGTTTATGGTATATATAACAAATGGCTTAACCAATCAATTATGATATATATTTACTGTATAGGATAGAGAAGAATATAGGCTATTTTTTAATCCTGTCAGTAAACATATCCTGGTTATGCGGTCGGAAGTCGCAGGTAAAAGCTAGTTTAATATAAAAATGAGAAACTACACAATATACAGTCACATGCAATAATAATATTATGTTACAAAGTAAGGTACCAGTCCTATAAACCAATTTTAGCTCAATTTCTAAATTGGTGACCATATCTAAAATTTAAAGATATAAACATTTAGAAATTGTCACCAATAATAAGGAGTCTCTATCATTGCATATGAATGTACCAAGAACAATAAATGGAAAAAAAATAATGATCTTATATAAATATATAAAAAAAAATACTAAATTATAGATAAACCAGATTTTATTATTTATTTATTTATTTATTTATTTATTACATCCACTGGGTGAGCCTTACAGTCTCCCAATACGCCCACCCAGGAAAGCATGAATACAACAACATATAAAAAAAGGAATATTACATATATACAACAAGAATAATATAAAAAGACTTAAACAAAAACGTCTGAACACAAATACTCTGTGGTCACCCGACGAAACTCCAGCAAGTTGGAGGCAAATACATCCAATTGCGGATACTGGCTCAAAACATCATTGAGTAGTTTCAATGCAAGAGATAGGGGAGCCTGCTTAGCGAACTCTGTTCTTCGTAATGGAACATCGAATAAGTGCCGTCGACGTGCTCGCACGTAGTTACTGGGCGCTCCTATTGATATTGATTCCAGTACAGTTTGGTTACACTTTTCCCCCCGCACTAATTTTACCACATATTCAATTAAATTTAGCTTTCGTCTTACTTCAAGTGTATTATAGCCCACCATACCTAACAAAAACATACTCGGGTATATATGGGGATAAGACACCTTGAAACCATACTGTTTTTGGTACATATTTAGACTCATGTGGGTTCCAAATAATTGCGTTATTTTCTAATTTACTACGAACAAAAGCATTATATAGCAATTTAATAGCTTGTATGCAATCCAATTGTTGCGCTTGTCGCAATACAAATCCGAGAGTTCTGAATGCTTGAGTACACAGTTCGACAATATGCGTTCTAAAAGTAAGCTCTTCACACGTCAAAACCCCCAGATCTCTCAACGAACTTACCCTACTTATCAATGAGCTACCCAATTGATAATTATAGGTAATCTTGTTAACACTTCTAGTAAAGGTTATAATGGAGCATTTGTTGTTATTGAATATCAAGTGATTTTTTTCACTCCAATTAAGGATATTTGCAACATCTCGTTGAAGGAGCTCACAGTCTGAGGAACTGGTAATTTTAAGAAATAACTTCAAGTCATCCGCAAACAACAGACAACAGGCTGTATCAACTACCTCCGGCAAATCATTCACAAAAATTAAAAATTCCAACGGACCCAAATTACTGCCCTGGCTTACCCCGGAATATGTGTAATATGAGTCTGAGTAATTATCTATGAACTGCACATACTGCCTTCGATTGCGAAGGTAGCTGGAGAAAAATTTAATTAATTTGGGAGAAAATCCGACAGCTGAAAATTTCTGGAGAAGTATGTCATTATCTACACTATCGAATGCCTTTTTAATATCAAAGTAAGCTGCATCCACCTGACAGCCTGAATCCACAGCCTCTGTGACATATGTCCAAAAAGACAACAAATTAGTAGCCGTCGAACGACCTGGCCGAAAACCATGCTGAGATTCATTAAGGCGCCCGTCAAGCTGCCCACTAATTCGATAGTGTAGAACCGATTCAAATAACTTTCCGAAGGCAGACAACACAGCCACCGGTCTATAGTCGCTTACCTCTGACTTGCAGTTACCCTTAGGTATAGGAACTACGCGTGAGATTTTCCACACTTCAGGATAGACACACTCCTTAAGACACAAATTAATGAGATAGTGAATAGGCTTTTTAAATACAGAACTACAGTCTCTTATTACATAAGGAGGAATACCATCCGGACCCGCAGAGCGTTTTGGCTTAAGTCGTCTGAATGCGAATTCCACATCATCAAGAGTAACGGTGTCGATATGTATGCGTGCACCCTCCGACCCTGCCATTGCAATAGCTTTCTCCGCATCCAAACTAGGAGGTGTTTTCGCATAGACCGAATGAAAATATTCGGCAAATGCTCGCACCTCTTCATTCTTAGGTACAAGCATTCCCCCAGAAAATATTTCCCTAGGTTTTTTAATTTGACGCTTAGAAGCCACATATTGCCAAAAAGTTGATGGATCTCTTTTTACATTACGTTCCATATCGTTTTTGTAGCGTTCAAAATCCTCCTTAATATTCAATTTCACCATTGCTCTCAGCCTCATGAATTCTTGCCTATTATTTACACTACCATTTTTTTTAAAGCGACGATGGTGATACGCCTTCAGTTTAATGTTGCGTTTAGTACGATCAGAGTACCACACAGGATATATATACCGAGGTGGCTCTGAAAAACGCATTTTAATTGGTACGCAATTATTTATACACTCATTAACAATATTATAAAAAAAGGAAACAGCGGCCTCGGGTTCAGAAATTTTGTATAAGGCATCCCAGCTTGTATTTTCAAATGATTGATACAGCTTGTAAAAATCTGCTTTTTTGAAGTTCCAATTAGTACAGGTATCAATATCAATATTTAATCCCGTGCACTTATTACGAATAAACATGTTACTTACCTGTATGTCCAATGGCGGATGATACATATCAGGTGGCACTAACCAATCCTTCTCCTCCTGCACCAAAACATGACCCAATGACGCACTCACAATTACCAAATCCAACATTCCATCTGAACTATTAGTTACACAGTTTACTTGCTGGAGATCGCCGAACGACAACAGATATTCAAATCCATTACGCGTAGTAATATTTGCGGAATTTAAATTAAAATCGCCACATATTAATATTTTTTCATATTTTAACAATACGCTTTCTATTACACTGAAAACAATTTCATACATTTCATCATTTGTATTTGGTGGAATATAAACACAGAGAACTACCATCAATATATTATTATTGTGGTACAATCCCGCACAAACAAGTTCACATCCCGAATCTGTAATCTGTGACGGTATATCAATTTTACGTAGAGCGTACCGTGGCGCGGCCGCGACGGCCACTCCGCCGCCTCGCCGCGTACCTGATCGGTCCATTCGTATAATTGTATAACCAGGTGGTACAACCTCCGAATCGTTAATACTTGTAGTTAGCCAAGTTTCAGTTATTAGGAACACGTCTGCCATTGCTGTCGCCATTGCTGCTGAAATATTGTGTAACTTAGTACGTAAACCACGGACATTTTGGTAGTATAAAGATATTGACCTCGAAGTGTTCCGTGAACTATCATACTGTTTTCTGTGTTCCTGTTTACGACTTTCGTTTACTTTCTCGCCTACGAAACCACTCATTAAATTCTGTGTTAGGTGGCCAATTCTCTGGAGACATAAAAAAGCTGAATTTGCTTTCCGGTACAGCGACAACAAATGACGCGTAGTCTCTGTGCTTCAGTTCCAGTTTTTCAACTTTATATTCATTATAATCTTGCAACGGATTTTTTTTATTCATATAATTTTTTATTTGTTCAACAGTTGTATTAGAACGCATTGACCATAAATGTATTTGTCTAGTTTTTTCTATGGCGGATATCTCTGCGTCCAAATCTCCAGTACCCCTAATTATAGGTCTTCGACGGCGCTGGCGCCGTTGCACAGTGTGCCATTCATTTGTACTCCTACCGTCTTGTACAGCGTTTTCACCGTCCAGTGAACGCTGCGCCGATATTCTCTCCTCGCTATGATTCACACTAGAGGTGTGTCGAATATTCGTAGTGGGAGGCATGAGTGTCGAGTCCGCCGACGACGGAGGAGGCTGCGCGCGGTTGGGGGGCGGCAGTGGTGCAGTAAGAGGAGTCTTTGCTCGCTGCTTTCGCGTCATCACGTGAGGCCGTTCGGTTCGATTGGTTGTTGGAGATGGAGCATGCGTTATTAAATTTTCACATACCTCCATTTCAGTTGGTTTTTGTTCCATCATACCCTCTGAAGCCGCTGCTGTAATGGCACTCTGTACTGTTTCCATTCTACATATTTTTGCCTGTAGCTTATCCAGGGAGTCGCAGATTTCGTCCATTTTCAACTTCAAAGGTCGTAAACATCGTTGCACAACTTCTTCCATATTGGATATTGACAATTTCGACATTTTCACAACAAAAAAGAATTTAAAATACGGAGCCTATTTTAAACCGTCCGACTACCGCGGGGGGTGCGGGATAAATAATCAAACTGATTTAAATTAATCAAACTGATTTAAATTAATCAAACTGATTTAAAATAATCAAACTGATTTAAAATAATCAATCTGATTTAAAATAATCAAACTGATTCAATTTAATCAAACTGATTTAAAATAATCAAACTGATTTAAAATAATCAAACTGATTTAACTTAATCAAACTGATTTAAAATAATCAAACTGGTTTAAAATAATCAAACTGATTTAAAATAATCAATCTGATTTAAAATAATCAAACTGATTTAACTTAATCAAACTGATTTAAAATAATCAAACTGATTTAAAATAATCAAACCGATTTAAAATAATCAAACTGATTTAAAATAATCAAACTGATTCAATTTAATCAAACTGATTTAAAATAATCAAACTGATTCAATTTAATCAAACTGATTTAACTTAATCAAACTGATTTAAATTAATCAAACTGACTTAAAATAATCAAACTGATTTAAAATAATCAAACTGATTTAACTTAATCAAACTGATTTAAAACAATCAAATGGATATAAATAATCAAACTGATTTAAAATAATCAGACTGATTTAAAATAATCAAACTGATTCAACTTAATCAAACTGATTCAACTTAATCAAACTGATTCAATTTAATCAAACTGATTTAAAATAATCAAACTGATTTAAAATAATCAAACTGATTCAATTTAATCAAACTGATTTAACTTATTCAAACTGATTTAAAATAATCAAACCGATTTAAAATAATCAAACTGATTTAAAATAATCAAACTGATTCAATTTAATCAAACTGATTTAAAATAATCAAACTGATTCAATTTAATCAAACTGATTTAACTTAGTCAAACTGATTCAACTTAATCAAACTGATTTAAAATAATCAAACTGATTTAAAATAATCAAACTGATTCAATTTAATCAAACTGATTTAACTTAATCAAACTGATTTAAAACAATCAAATGGATATAAATAATCAAACTGATTTAAAATAATCAGACTGATTTAAAATAATCAAACTGATTTAAAATAATCAAACTGATTCAACTTAATCAAACTGATTCAACTTAATCAAACTGATTCAATTTAATCAAACTGATTTAAAATAATCAAACTGATTTAAAATAATCAAACTGATTTAAAATAATCAAACTGATTCAATTTAATCAAAGTGATTTAAATTAATCAAACTGATTTAAATTAATCAAACTGATTCAACTTAATCAAACTGATTCAACTTAATCAAACTGATTCGATTTAATCAAACTGATTTAAAATAATCAAACTGATTTAAAATAATTAAAACCGATTTAAAATAATCAAACTGATTTAAAATAATCAAACTGATTTAACTTAATGAAACTGATTTAAAACAATCAAATGGATATAAATAATCAAACTGATTTAAAATAATCAGACTGATTTAAAATAATCAAACTGATTCAACTTAATCAAACTGATTCAACTTAATCAAACTGATTCAATTTAATCAAACTGATTTAAAATAATCAAACTGATTTAAAATAATCAAACTGATTTAAAATAATCAAACTGATTTAAAATAATCAAACTGATTCAATTTAATCAAACTGATTTAAATTAATCAAACTGATTTAAATTAATCAAACTGATTTAAATTAATCAAACTGATTCAACTTAATCAAACTGATTCAACTTAATCAAACTGATTCGATTTAATCAAACTGATTTAAAATAATCAAACTGATTTAAAATAATTAAAACCGATTTAAAATAATCAAACTGATTTAAAATAATCAAACTGATTCAATTTAATCAAACTGATTTAAAATAATCAAACTGATTAAATTTAATCAAACTGATTTAAAATAATCAAACTGATTCAATTTAATCAAACTGATTTAACTTAATCAAACTCAGTTAATCAAACTGATTTAACTCAATCAATTATAAACTCAAAGCTTTGCTCCTTTGGGATAGGCAGAGTTCATCATAGATTGACAAACCAATTAACAAAACCTAATTTGTATTTTCAATAGACATCATTCATAAACAATCATTTTATTGATTTTGACCTCTGCAACATATTTGAAATAAGTTTGGCATGTCAAAAGCACTAAGAAGTAATAAATCACTTACAAGCTGATGACACCTGTTTAACATATTGCACTGCAATTTTTTTCAAATAATCAGCATGCTCCTCAGATACAAAGAGCCCCATGAAATTTTGGGATATATAAGGCTCCAATTTTAATGGGCTGTTTGGTGGATCTCCTACATTTTCTACAACTTGCTTTACTGCTCGTGCTAGTTGAAGGGATGTCTCATCAGGAGCCTAAAATAATAAAGATTGTTTCCATTAAACATTCCCTAAACAATTAACATATTGTAACAATTTGTTTTCTTTTTTCTTACTTTTGTGTAAAATTATTTAAATATTTTTATTTTATTATCTTTATTATTCATTAATTTAATATAAATAAAAAAATTATACTCTGCATGCTCAATTAATACAGAAAATTAAAAGGTGACTATAAAATAGCTAATTGTAAATTATTTGCAAATCTGTGGTAGAGGATTATTACATTTATTGGATAATTTCCAAAAAATTATAAAGCTATGATATACTTTAAACAAACAACAATATTTTAAAAATAAATGAGGAAAAAATATAAATTTTAGTATAGGTATATTATAACTGACAGTATATTTTTTATAAATCCATAACTCTTACTAGTTACTTTCTTAGTGACTAACCTTAAAAAATGACACCAATGTTATATGGGGTGGATAATTGTGTGCTCCATTCCAGCCAATATTTGTTTTTGATTTCTCCCAGAAATCTAGTAATTGTGAAAGTAAGGGTCCAGTGGGGCTAGCATAGAATATATACTCTCGTGGCTCATCTACATCAATTGATGTATCATTTACATGGGTAAGCAGCCAGTCAGATGCTAACTGAACACTGCGATTGCCTGTGGCCGCCAATGCTTTCAATCTGTATTAATAAAAAAATGTTCTAATTTTTTTTATTAAAGTATAACATGTGACCACACCAACCTGAGCTAACACAGAGATAATATGGTCCATAAATATGATCAACCAAAAAGAAAATGTTTTACTCATAATGGTTGACTATGCTATTTCACTAAGTGCTTTTCAGACTACATTAGAAAGATCTAAAATTATAGAATAAAGGAAACATATCTCGGGAAAAGCCATTCTACATTGAACAATGTATGGTTTAAGCAAGAGTTTGCAAAATTATATTTATACAAGCATAGGTAGTCTACCATATATGGATGTAGTCGCTAATCCATTCTCATAATACAATATCAGAAAGGGGAAGGTGGAATAAGAATTAAATAATATCTTTTTAAACCTTCAATCTAAATTAAAAAAAAAAAAATCAAATCTAAAGGCATTCATATATTTTTTCATTTACCAAATAGAAACATTAAACAAGCAAGCAACATCAGCAACATGATTAATATCAGTACAAGCACCAGCAATTGAGTATCCATTTAATTAATGTTATTTACAAAATTATTTTAATACTAAAATATTAATGTGTTTATTAAACTATCATTTGTTAATATTTTCATGTTTATCAAACTTTGTTTACAGTTGTTTAATGTATTTATTAAATAAATGAGTTTTTTGTTGTCTATATCTAATGAATATGTGACAAATATGCAAATAAATTGGAGCTAATAGTTTTTTTTTTTATATAAAAATAACATTTAGTCATTTATTATCATCATTATTAATAAAATGTGTAGATACATAATAAGCAGAGTAAAAAAAATACCTTTAGTATCAGTAACAAAATCTTACATACAAGAGCTTTTTAAAAGTGTATGAATCTAACAAGTCTTTTAATAAGTAATAATTATGGGGTTATTTGCTTTTTTATGCAATTTAGAATGGCAAACAGAGCTGACAACCCACCTGATGGAAAGTAGTAAGCGTCGCCTATAGACATTAACATAACATTTTAATAATAATTTAATAAAAGACAAATTTGAGAGTTACTTATTGATTTAGAAAACATGACAACAACAACTCACGCCCGGTGTTTTGGAAATCCCATTTGCAGTAAAATTTGAAGTGGGGTCGTATCTTGTTTAGATGATTTATGTGACAAACAAACTTTACGCGGTGGAAGATTAGACATCCTAGGTAATTGATGAAGTAAACCAGACCAAACACGCTTCATAAAAGTGTATAATTAATAAACATAATCCTTTTCAGTATTAACTCCCTGATCTGTAGGCAAACTTTCATTTAATAGTAAATACCACAATAATTTTAGTAAGCTTCATTATATGCTTAAATTGGTTGTGTTGAATTTATTACCGCAGAAAAGAAAGATAAACAATTTTATAAATTAAATAATATTACAATAACAACTTTATTGCGTATCAAATGTCAAATTTGTTTGATAGTTGATATTGACAGTTGACTTATCCACAGAAGACTATTTTTTAAGTATTTAAGGCCAAAGACTACGAAAACCACAGATAGATTTCGGATTATGTCAGTTGTTCTTAATCTCTATTAAAACTTTTTGGATTTTTCCAAATTTTAATAGCTTCACTTACTATCTAAGGATATTAATGACGTTCGATAGATAAAATCTTCGAGTCATGCGCTCAATCCATTGATTAGTAGAGCTGTTGAATAATATTCTACAATCGCCGATTTATTTATTTGCCTATTTTTAACTGCCGCTATATATTTTTAACCTTTTCCTGTTCACAGCCACAGTCTATCTTGTAAATGACTAGTGTTCAGTATAAAATCTTATTCTTAAGTGAGGGCAGAAATTATGCGATTTTTGTGAGGGGTACAGTATTTATTTAATGACACTCCAATTTTGTCTGTCACTCTTTTAAAGTAGGACAAAAAAGGGTTATGCGGCCATATAATCCTACCAAATTCAGATACAACCTACTTGCATACTTTCTACATAAACTCTGTCGAATATATAATCTAGTATTGTACGATCATATGATCTACAGTTTTTATTTTATCATTCTTTCTATGTAATTCCATGTTCTTAGCTCTGCTTTATTACTAGTCTCTCTAGGGGGAAGGGATTGTTAGTAATGGGAAGGTTAGTCACCATCGCTATCAATATACCTTATCAGGTCGACCTCCACACGGTTTCCCCTGAAAACCATTGTAACTAATTTATTGTTGAATTGGTCAGGATAGGCTAACTAACCTGCCTTTTCATCCTCACCAATCATCTCTCACTGGTGCCCCGCTAGTATATACCGATAGCACAGGCGGGATTACTATTCCATTATCATCCATAAAAAAAAAATCTAGTCTCTCTAATCTATGGCATAGTCTATTTAATCTGTACTTCATTATAGTTTTTTTTTTTGTTGAAGCGAATTTAACAAAGAAGACGAGTCTTTTCCCATAATATAGAAACTAATATTATATAAAATTATCTATCAAAATGTATCTAAGATATTACTTAAATGAAAATGGTGATAGACAATACACGTTGTCGGTATGTTTGTAATAGTTTCCTAACCTAACCTAAAATATTTATTGTATTTTTTCCATAAACATTTTCCATTTTGTTATTGTTTACAGACTATTGATCCTCAGGGTAAACCTACTTTATCAGCACACCCTGGTATGTATTGTTTTATTACTATTGATATAACTGTAGTTTATTTTGTCATATCGATTTATCAATTTTTTTCACAATACAATTTTCAAATTGTATTTGTAGAGAATGATTCTTAATTTTATTTATTAAGAAAGCAGACTACTATATAATGTTTTATAATTCTTACTTAATTTTATGACATTTGAGCCATCAAGGTTTCAATACCTAACCAATGAACAAACACACTTCTGCTTTTGTAATTTTACTCCCTGTATCCTGCTGTTTTGCTTGTGTGAATCAATATATAAAGTATTCTATATGTTAAGTTGGGATATAACCAATCTGTGTACCGAATTTAATTCAAATCTGTTCAGTAGAAAGAGTAACTTCCATTCACATACTTTACAAACTTTGATGCTTATAATAGTAGTAGGATTAAAAATTATTATTCTATTATAAATTAATATTATTAAATTTCAGCTCGATTCTCCCCAGAAGATAAATATTCAAGACAAAGAATAACAATCAAAAAAAGATTTGGACTATTACTAACGCAGCAGCCAGAGCCTATTCATTAATGATATTTATATAATTTTCTCTGTGAACTAATAATATAGTTACATTCAGAAAATCTGTGCTTATAATAAAAGTTTAAGTTTAAACCACATCTAAAACTCTTTTTAATTCAAAACAATATAAGTTACCTAACTGAAACCATTTTAAAATTTGAATGTGTTATTAATATTATATGATATTAATACATTAAGATCCTAAGAACAAGGACTTTTTAAATGGATGAATATGGAATGGTAATCCCATCTGCGCTATTGGTATACGCTGGCGGGGCACCAGTGGAAGATGATAGGTGAGAATGAATGCGGGTTTGTTGGACCACTATGATGAATTCAACAAGAATTATCCATGACCATTTTCAGGGGGAAGTGCTTGGAGGTTGAGCTGAAAGGGTATATTGGTAGCAATGGGGCTATTAGTTATCATTACTTACAAACCCTTTCCCCCCAGAAGAAGGACTATCTGCATAGCAAGTAATCACTATATTATAAAACTACCAACAATTCTTTTTTTATAGGAGCTAAGCGATCACAATCCACCTGATGATAAGCAGGTAATTTGTTAGATAAGCAATCGTTCTAAATGCTCTTAAATCTATTATAAATTTAGTTCGTAATAGCTAATCATATGAAATGAAGTTTAGATTTTAGAGGTGGATGTAGAGAATGACAGGGATAGACAATGTTACAGGATCGGAATATCTGTGACGCCTGTGACAGATTGTTTTTTTAATTTTATATTTATTTATTTAAACTTTAATGGATAGTAAAATTCTATGTACATTTGGTGCACTTAACACCGAACAGTGTTCTCTACCAGTCCACCTTTGGGCAAACCGAGAAATACGGGGGGGGGGAAGGGATTGTTAGTAATGTAGACTGAGAATCCCATTACTAGCAATTAAAAAATTAAAAATGTTCATTAAAAATTAAAAATCATTCTCATCTATCACCCTTCACTGGTGCTCCGCCAGCATTCCCGTAAGCGCAGGCGGGGTTACCATACCATTATCACCCATAAAAAAAAAACCGGGAAATACGTAGGCGGTGCATTTTTGAATACAGGAAAAATAAAACAATACTTGATATATTCGTATAATATAAACATACACATATTAATAAATATATACATACATAAATAAATAAATACATAAATTATTACTATAAGAAATAAATAAAACAATTACAGTAGAAGAGCAAATAGTAATCTATAACTCAGAGTAAACAGCAGAAGCTTAAAGGTAAGAAATAAGTGCGCAATTAGTGTTTAAAAGATAGCTTGCTTAGTGTAGATCTTATGTCAAGCGAGAGTGTGTTCTAGTGTTCAATAGATTGAACAGTGAAGGAATAAGAAATGAAGCCAATACAATGAACAGGAATATGAAGAAGATTCCAGCACGGACGAAGATAACGATTGGTAATGTCCACATGAAATTGAAAATTTACAATTAAGACGGGAGAATTTGGATCGAAAAAATCAAAATAAAATTATATATATATATATATATTTTTTTTTGTTATCCTAAATATTTATTTACAAATAACAAGAAAATTATATTATTATGTGATTACGATTCAAATTTATGATAATATAAAAAAAAAATAGGGCAATGTCAGATATCTCTAAACCGACATTCCAAGGCCAATAAACATTTTAAAGCAAGGCAATCATTTATGGTATAGTGTAAAGCTAAGAACATGAATTACATAGGAGTGATAAAATTGTCAATTCATAGCAGTCTAGTGTATAGAAAAAGTTTCTATACGTTTCTATACTCTGTGCATTGTCTCTACTGTCTTTTTCTATACATAGTGTTTACAAATTTTTCGTTTTAAATTAATTCGATGTAAATTAATTTTATTTCAATACTAGTGTTTTACATATTAAACATACAAATTATAATACTATTGTTAAAAGATGTCGTACAAAACAGGCGATTTAAAAGTTTATTGGAATAGAATAAATTATGCTTTTCCTATTTTGAACGATACAATCTCTAGTGAATGTACAGCCGCCGAATATGAAGAAATTCAACAAATAATTGTCGGTTTGGGTATTCAAGTTAGAATTCGAGATCTCGTACTCGTCCATATCGAGAAATATCTTCGGCAACGTGTAATACCCCCTTTTTGGTCTAAATTTATGAAAATAGAAGAGGAAATCAAAGGTTTCCAGTTGTTTAAATCTGCTGTGAACGATCTATATGAGGCTGTTTCTAAGTTTTACGATATGCTACGACAGCTAACTATACTTAATAGCAGCTGTGGAGATAACAAACCTGTATTTGGTGAAAAAAATGTCATATTAGGATTCAAACAGCTTGTGCGGGCTACCCTATTGTCACAACTGCCTTTAAATTACCAAGTAATCATAAACCACTTTTATAAAGTATCTTTCAATGTGTTTGATAATGAGTATGAAAATTCCGATATGGGAGAAGATGTTATGTGTTCTGGTTGTTGGAATGAATACTCTGATTGCAATTGTGCATACATTGTAAAAGTTTTTCATGATACTAATAGGAAATTGATGGAGCTTAATTTATTGGAGAGGCTGACTGGACAAGTATTAACAAACTTCATACAATTACGAATAGAGTCTCACATACAAAAACTATGTAATGGAACATTTGATGTTTCTCACATAGCCTTCTTAGAAAATTGGCTTGATACCACTGTCATGTCATGGTTAACAAGAATATATTGTGCAGGATCATCAAAACCTCCTCCAGATGATAAAAATATTCAAAATGCCATTGAGAAGTTCAAGCAGAAACTTAGCTATTATTTATACCATAGTTACACTAAACTGAGAATTGATCAGCTTTTTAATATAATTATTGATTATCCAGATTCACAACCTGCAGTGGATGATATAAAATTATGTTTAGAGAAAACTGACTTGAGGGCAACTCTTTGTAGGAAGTTACAGGTGGCTTTGGAAACAAGACTATTACATCATGGAGTGAATACAACTGACATACTCACTGCTTATGTCTCAACCATAAGAGCATTGCGTCATCTTGATCCATCAGGAGTCATACTAGACACTGTGACCAAACCTGTACGCAGCTACTTGAGGAACAGAGAGGATACTGTGCGTAGTGTAGTGAGCAGCCTCACCGAGGATGGTGCTGGTAGTGAATTAGCTGAAGAACTTGCTAAGTTTGCAGCAGAAACTGATGGAGACAGTGATAAAGATGAAGCATGGGATGAGTGGAATCCTGATCCAGTAGATGCAGATCCTAAAGTTAATGCTGCTGATAGAAAAGCAAGTGATATTATTTCAATGCTAGTCAATGTGTATGGTAGCAAGGAACTATTTGTTAATGAATACAGAACTTTGCTAGCAGATAGATTACTAGCGCAGAGTGTAATAAACACAGAAAAAGAAATAAGATATTTAGAACTATTGAAATTGAGGTTTGGAGAATCACAATTGCATTTTTGTGAAGTGATGCTTAAAGATATATCAGATTCTAAACGCATTAATGCACTTATACAACAAGATAAAGAGTTTGAAGCAGCCAATAAGTTCACTTCAAATGCTATGATTTTATCAGCACAATTCTGGCCTCCTTTCAAAGATGAAACTTTAGAGTTACCAGAAGAAATAAAAAATCATTTTAAAGCTTATACAAAATCCTATGAAGCGTTAAAAGGAAATAGAACATTAGATTGGAAACCTCATCTTGGCAATGTTAATATTGAAATTGAAATAGGAAACAAAAAACTGGATTTAACAGTTTCTCCCTTTAATGCTACTTTAATTATGCATTTTGAAACTAAACCAGAGTGGTCACTTGATGATCTTCATCAAGTAATGAAAGTACCTGTAACTATATTGAGAAGAAAAATAACATATTGGCAGTCAATGGGCCTAATTTCAGAGAAAAGTTCTGATATTTATGTTTTGGTAGATGATTCTGATGCAGGTAAAGCAAATGTTGCTACAAATCAAGTCCAGGAAATGATTTGTGAAGATGATGAGGCAGAGAGTGTTATGGCATCAGCACATGATCAAAGAGAGAGGGATCTTCAAGTTTTCTGGTCTTATATTTTTGCAATGCTCACTAATTTAAATTCATTACCATTAGATCGCATTCATCAAATGTTAAAGATGTTTGCTCCAGGAACTGAATGCAGTCTTCAGGAACTGAGACAATTTTTAGATACAAAAGTAAGAACTCATCAGCTTGTTTTACAAGTTGGTATGTATATGTTGCCTAAAACATAATTTCGATATAATTAAATATGATAGATTTTATGAAAGGTATTAAAATAAAATTTAGAAAAAAGTTTTAACAACTTTATTTTTCATCCTTGTATAATATAAAAAATTTGGTTACATTACATAATGTCTGTGGGTTAATATCCAGTTTATTATTTAATAAAGCGACAATTATTCTGTGAAGCTATTGTTTTGATCAACAAATTATTATCAAATTAATTATATTAAGATATATTTCCACCACATTATTTAATAAAATATGAATAATAATTTAATACTTAGTGATCTCAATATATAATCTTGTGTCAGTCTTAACATCTATAAAAATACTGATTAAAATTAAATATGTTTTTACCAATAAATATAAGTTAATGTGAGGTGTTTAAAAAATACAGTTTATTTAAAAAACATTTTCAATGGAATGCGTAATTATTGAGGGTAAATAATAAAGGATAGAATATTAATGTAAATGCAAAGGACATCCTTGATTGTGTTGTAATTACATAAATGAAACAATGGACTGTATTTATAAGCAGCATTTCAAATTTCATTACCTAAACAGTACATAGTAACATTATCATGGAATGTAGATTTATAGAATTTCGTTTTATAAGCACCATTTGTTCGGATTTACTGACAAATATGATAATATGCAAAACCAACAACATGCAATAATGCAACTTTGGGTTTACATAGATTCGTTAAGTTGCATACAACGATTGTGTAGGCAAGTTACGTTAAAAACAATGTTTCACTAACGAGGAAATAAAATATTTGAAAACAGCGAAAATAATGGCGTTTTTATCTATGTGCAAATAAGATTTTTTTTTATTTAATACGCTTACAGTATAAATTCAACTACGACAGTTAAAGCTCTACAACTAGTTTACATATTTACAAGAAACATAGATGAAATGTTAAATGTTTATTCAATATTAAAATAAAATCAAATTATTCGTATAACTAATAATATAGCAACAAACCAATACTTTAAATAATACGCATGAATGTTTATTTAAACGTTAGGCATTTAGCAAACTTTAACACAACATTTTAAATGCAAGACTAAAGTAAAAGTCTTAAAAATAATTAAGTACATGTAATTATTAAGTTTACTGTCCTACCTAGTACTAAGAATCTCTCATTGGACGAATGTAATAAATAATTGTAAGTATACATACATAAACACATCCAACAAAAACTTATTTATTAAGTAAATTAATACCATTTTCATGAATGATACAGAAAGAATAAAGTACATTATTACTTCTTTTTCCTTTTCTAGTAGACAATAGGGGAATAAAGCACAATATATCAGTGAGGTGTGAAGAAAAACTCAAAACAAAACCCTATACAATGCTACGTGATTAGGGCGGTTATATTAGGCTATATCATTCTCATATAGGGAGAGGCTTGTAATTATATAAAGTGACAGTAGTTTTCCATAAAAAAAGTACTCTGATGATGATACAAGTACACATCTTAGAATTAGAACATTGTATAAAGAAGTAGCTTTCTAATTAAAAAAAAATATTGTAAAACTACTAATAAATTAAAAAATATTTCCACTGATTATACAGTTCGCATAAACAATATGCATATAACCGCCAAGTGACACATTAATGTTCTGACCTTGTTTCCATGACCGTAGGACAGTTCATCAATATATGTTTTAGGTCTACAAAATAAAACTTGTAAAGCCATGCGTTGATGGCAAATCATCACCTTACAGAACAAAGTATTTATGGGAATTAATTTGTTAATACTAAATACTAGTTTTCAAACATATTTAAAAATTTTACTTCATATTTTTTGGCTTACTAAGTTGCTGTTCATTGCTGTAAAATGTATGTATAATTACTTGACACTATAATTATTATATTTTGACTTCATATACCATTTTAATACTAAAATAAACATACTCAACATAAACATACTTTACCTATGTTTATGTAAAAATATTGGGACAAATTTATTACCTACTTATTTGGACAAAATTAAAAATCTGAAAAATAATACTTTATGTATATTAAAAAAAAAAAAAGTACAGTTTTGTATATATAAAATATCATTAAAACATAAAATCATACTGTAATGTTTTGTGTGATTCAAATATACTTTTTTTTACAAAAAAAAAAAAATTGTTTTCATGTGTGACATTTTAAAAGCAACTTACTATTTTGCTCTCTTTTGAATTTTAGTATTGGCAACCATTACATAGGCTCCATAATGTTGACTGGTGATTAATAAATGTAGCCTTTTACATGGTCTGTATTAAATTTATTTATCACAAATTGTTCACTGATAGTGTGTTTATTTAAAAAATGTATGTATTTTTTTTATAAAATCACACTACAGTTTATTATTGAGAAGAAATGTTATATAAAATTAACTATCTTACTTAGGCCTCCTTGTTCACAACTGATCCATGTTGATCAGAGTTCATACTATTGTAAAAAGAAAGAAAAATTGAGAGATCTTAATCAGGTCTTAGAGAGATTTATTCTATATTTGGACTGTAAAGCCAATATTGAGGAATAAAAGCGCATTTTATGTTAAGTATGATAAGTATCATCACTTATTTCATAACCATTGAATATAGAGCTTATTCTGTGACGTCATTTTTCTAATCATTTCTCTTAACGTAATTTTTTAATTTGACTATTTCACAAAATTACTGTTTTATGAGCCATCACATTCTAAATTTATAATAATTTTGACTTAAATCTATTAGAAATTTAGTTTACTTCGTCCTAAGACTAAAGATTTTGTTATATCAAACTGAAATTTTAATTTTAGAGATAAGTTTAGAGAAATGGCGCCTCAGAATCGACCGCAATAAATCAACAATCTCCAGAACATCTGTAGGTGCCATTTAAACCGATAGTTAACTTGTTACATATAAGGAGAGTAAAGAGTGGTTCACCGGTTGCGGCGAGGAGCGGGAGCGGGCGCGGGCGCGATAGCGGTAGCGGCAGACGTTGCGGGCGCGGTAGGGGCGGTATGTAGCGGCAGTAGCGGGTTTGAGTGCGACAGATGCGGCGGCGCTGTGGCGGGCGCGGAGAGCGGCGCCGGCGATCGCTTAAACGGCCCGAGTCGCTTCGTCGGCCGCGGCGACACCGAGTGCCCGTCCGTACTCGCACCCCATGCGTTAGCGCCGTGATCCAGCAGCGCCGCCGCTAGCCGGCTGCTGGCTTGCTCTGTATTGCATACACATCATAATAATAAGAACAAATATGCACACAAATGCCAATCGGATGGTCAGAGACATTTATCAACCTACTGTGTTGCAGTGAACACATTGAACGTTTATTATTATAATAAACATATATGTTATGAAATATTGGGTGTATCTGGATAAATAAACCGTTTCATATTAATTATCCGCATGTGCAGAAAATATAACAATGTATGCAAGGACCTTGATATTTGCCAACAATCCTTGCAATGTTACATTAAGGCTGCCAATTTGTTACTTTAAATTTATAGCCGTCATTCTTTTAATATATATAATCGAATCGAATCGAATGTTATGCAGAGCAGTTATTGGAGTGCAAATTTAATGCTAATTTATGTAATATTTATATTATTAATGTATTAATTTGTAATCTGTTGCCTTGCTATAAATAAATAAATATGTTGTAAGTTTAAAAGTATCAATGTGGGTGTGAGCACTGCTTATTTACTGCTGTATGTACCGGTGTGTGAGGGCGGCACGGGCGGCACTGGCTCGCGCACGCGCTGCACGAAGTGCTCGAAGGTGGCGGGCTGCGTGTGGTTGTGCACGAGCGCGTGCAGGCTGCGCGCGCGCTCGCTGTAGGCGTGCTGGTACAGCGGCATGGTGGCGCGCACGGCGCGGCCGCCCGCCGCCGCCGCGCACCGCGCCAGCGCCGCGCCGCACTCCACGCGCACCACCATCTCCTCCCACAGCGGCCCGAACACGCCCACCTGCAGCGCACCACCACGCACCACTCCGTGACAAATACAATATTACACCTCGTTACTTCAAGTACTAAGTACTTCAGGTCACAAGCTCAAATATTTGTTTGACTATACAGTATTATAAAATTACGTGTTTGTCATTCTGTCGCATGAATATCTACTAGTGTACTATGCAGATAAGACGCACCGCCCGCTGAGTTTTTTTTTTTTTTTTTTACGACAGGGGGCAAACGAGCATGCGGCTCACCTGATGGTAAGTGACTACCGCCGCCCATGATCACCCACAACACCAGCGGCATTGCAGGTGTGCTGCCGGCCTTTTAAAAAGGAATATACTCTTTTCTTGAAGGTTATGTTGTCGTATCGGTTCGGAAATACTGCTGCTGGAAGTTGATTCCAAAGAATGGTTGTGCGTGGAAGAAAGTGCCTTGAAAAACGCACGGTGGAAGACCGCCACTCGTCCAGATGATTGGGATGAAACTTTAGTTTGTGGCGGGTTGTACGGTGGTGAAAATCAGCAGCAGGTATCAATCCGAACAATTCCTCAGAACACTCCCCATGATAAATTCGGTAGAAGATGCACAGAGATGCAACATCTCTGCGCAGTTTCAGTGGATCAAGTCGGACAGTAAGGCGTTGACTATCGATAATATATATATATGTGGCGCGTTATATAAGATAACGTGCAATGTTGGCGAGAACTTCCGCTGACCGAATATGGTCGCACGAACGATCAACCAAACCTGAGTTTCCATAGAGTTATGTCGACATAAGGATTGATCTTGTGCACAGCCGAGACTAACATCTTATAGGCAATTTTATTATTGGTATTCCTTAGCAAATGGTCGGTTATCGAAGATCGACCTAATATAACGTTAGCTTAAAAATATTATAAAACGTAGCCTTAATAATTTTTTTTCAATAAGCCGTAAAGGGGGGGAAGGGATTGTTAGTAATGGGGTCTAATGAACCCATTGCTAGCAATACACTATCAGGTCGACCTCCACGTGGTTCCCCCTGGAAACCATCGTGAACAATTCTTGTTGAATTCGTCACGATGGGCTAACTGACCTGCTTCATCCTCATATATCATCCTTCACTGGTGCCCCGCCAGTGTATACCGATAGCGCGGGCGGGGTTACCATTCCATTATCACCCATTAAAAAAAAAATAAGCCGTAAAGTCAATACCATTAAGTTCAAATTTGATCCTTAAACTATGGATAAAATGTACAGCACAAAGTGTAGTTACATACATCTGGTTTCCTAGAGACAGTGCAGCGGAGAAGACCACCGGGCAGCGGGTACAGCACAATTAGCACGTCGCAGAACTGCGTAGGCAGCGTATCGCGCTTATACGGCCGCCAGTGCTCACTCCACACCACGTGTACCTCGTCATTGCCCAGGTGGCGGGTCTACGATATTGGAATAAAATCAATAATAATAAAGTTCTTTTTCCAAACAACTTGGAATGACAGGCTGAGAATATATTATATTATATAAGGCTGGTGTCAATAATTTGTAGTACATTTATATTTTTTTCTTATTTATGGAAGACTTTCTATTCAATCGACTGATTATCTATCTGGCAGACTACAAGATTACAAATAATTTGGAATTAAATAGCCTAGGTACGGGAGATAAGAGAAAATATTACATATGTTTAATGGACCAACGGCTTTGTTATGTAACAAATGATTATATAACAAGTTGTGACGCAAAATCAATACTCCGTGTAAGTGTCTATTGGGCGAGTTATAATATCCCGTGAATGTGGTGGTCACCTTGTTGAGTATAGCGTCGGGTGTGTCTGCGGGCATGCGCGTGGCGACGTGGAACAGTGCCTCCATGGTGAGCGTGGCCACGTAGGGCGCGCTCACGCCGCCGCCGCCGCCGCCGCGCAGCCCGCCCGCGAACCCCACGTGGCTCTCCAGCTCCACCTATGGTGCATTTCATTTTTACATAACATAGAGTGGCTCCCTATATATATATATATATGTCACCAAAACACATTAGCTTTTTTATAATTAATACTAAGTTTGTGGGAGAAATTTATATTATAAAGTTAATTTGAAAAATACAAATTATACAACATTTTTATGAATATATATGAAAGAACAAGACTAATTGTTCATAATGATTCGTAATAATGCTTTACTGAATACTTTGATTTATATTTGAATATAGACATAAAGTATGTTTTCGTTTTTCAATAATTGAAAATGGCTGTTATTTTATTTATTATATGTATATTAATTTATAAGCAATATGTTACATATGTAAAAGTTCTAAATTCAAATTAAAAAATTGAACTGATCTGAGGAATTTTTAATCCCCTTAAGTAATAGGAACACTAAGAACACTGAACAAAAAGCATATAAAAATAATTTTGTCATCAAATTAGCTGACTTAATGTTGACACATTTTTGATACTCTTTTTGATACATTTTGATTGCTCTTTCTATATTTAATTGAGATATAATTCTGTATCTCTAATATTGGTGTAATAACGGTGGAACAATTTTTCGGTCGTGAATCTGATTTTTTAAATTTTATCATTTTTAATAATAATAAAACAAGTGGATGTAATAAAATAATAAAAACACCCAATAGTTATGTATGAAGTTTTTGAGGGTTTATGGCCGCCATATTTATATTGTCACTATATAGTCTGTAGCATTCTCAGAATTAGAAGGAATCTCTGACATTCCATTTATCAAAAAATATACATATGAATTTAGTGATTAGTAAAATATAAAATCGTCCTATTATTTTTAAAAATGAAAAAAAAATCTTATTTATAAATAGGCAGTATACATTACCTCCCAAGCTAAAGCGGCCAGGAAAGCTTCATAAGCGGGACTACCGCAACGGTTGGATAGTATTTCATTACGCGTCTCTTGCCCTTTTCCTACGTATATAACGGCGATTTTGTGGGTTTCCCGGCATCTAAAAAATATTAACATTTGAATAAACGTTATTCATAGATAACAATGTCTGAAATCAAAATGAGAAATTTAAATTTGGAAGAAAGATATTACATTCTAAATTATGTATCATGAAATAACCTCGTAATTAATTGTAGAAGGCTAATGACACATATAAAATGTGTATCTTTTCGCGGAAGTATTAGAAGGAGACGGTATGAGTGTGGTGTGGGTGTGGCGAGCGATGTCGTCAGGAGGGCGTGTGCGTGCGTGCGTGTGTTGTGCGTGTGTAGAGGCGGTACCTCTGCGCGTCGAGGTTGCGCAGCTCGCGCAGCAGGCGGTCGGAGCGGCGCAGCAGCTGCGCGTGCGCGCGGCGCGCGGGCGCCAGCGTGCCCAGCTGCGCCACGAGCCGCCGGCTCTGCGCGAACGGGTGCGGCGCCTCGCTCTCGCACACCTCGCTCGCCTCCGTCTCTTCCCAGCTGCCGCCCGTAACAAAAGTAACACTCCTAATTCTCTGTGTGCTCATTCTATCTAATTTCTATTCGCTTTGAGCACTAAAATTTTTCATTTATTTGTCTATTCTCGTTATAGCTACTTTTTTTATTAAATCTAAAAATCATCTTAAAATTGTTGTATTTATTTGACTAATATTGTATATACTCTCAAAAAATAAAATTTTTTTAGAATGAATGAATGAATTAATATTTATTAACTAGCAAAAGAAATATTTGAGTGATTTACGTGTCGTTTTATATATATGAAATTTGGTGCATACATTTTTCTTTTTTTTTTTTATACAACTTAGAATGGCAAACAAGCTAACGGTCCACCTGATGGAAAGTAACAGCGTGTAAACGTATGCAAGGCACTGACCTGTCCCTGCCGGCGAGGTAGTGGCGCTCAGCGTTGCGGTGCGCGACGAGCGCGGCCACGAGCTCGTGCTCGGCGCCGGGCGGCAGCGGCGACGGGCCGCACGCGTCCAGCCGCCGTCCGCACGACACCTCCGGCGACGTATGCCCGATGTACGCTAGTACCTACACACAACGCATTTCATAAACTGATTTAACTAAATATCACATTTTCCTTGGCAATCAAGTTTACATTTGTCTATATTTTTAGCAGCTGGGAGTCAAGTACATATATAGTTTTTCTTAACAAATTAAAATGGAATATTTGTTTTAGATATACGTCGGCAAGGCTGATGCCTTGGCGACAGTTACAGTAAGGAATGATAGGTGAGGATGACAATAGGTTAGTTTATCTATTGTGATGAATTAATTAAGATTTAATCACAATGGTTTCCAGATGGATCTAGTGCAGATATTGCAATAGGGCTGTATCTCAGTAACTAACAATTCCGTTCATGGCAAGCGCTTAAACAGTGGTAACAGTAATAGTGTAAATAATTACACTATAATTATTTAAATATTACTTCAGTGCAGTGTAGATCCTGAAGACTTCATATAAAAACTGTGTGTTCAATAATTACTACTAGCAGTAGTCTTCCACAGGGTTGGTAGGGAGATCTGAATGTTTACATTTACTCTTGTTAGCATTAGTGAATATACTCACGTGATCTAACTGATGTTTATCAGGCGGCGAATTTTTATAATCCGGCAACAAGTCAGGAGGTAGGGGCGGTGGTAACGATGACAGTGTGTTATCTCTAGGACTGTCGATACTGTAATGAAAAATTTGTTACATTTATTTAAAATTTAACAGTGTAAATATATGTATATTTAGCGGACTTAATATTGAAAGGTGTTCTTTCCTAATTAACAAAGACAGTAGGGCAATCAGAGAATATATTCCGATTATTTTCAATATTTATTATGTAATTTTTAGCTTTGCAAAACTCTTACTATTACTTGTATTGGTGTTAATTGTTAGTTGCTTAGAATTATTTTGTATAATTTCGCTATCTTTAGTATGCATGAGACTGACAACACTCGAAGATTGACTACCATTGTTATTATTAGAAGTTCTACAACCTTCCATATAAGCCATCAATCTCTGACTGCCATTTAGTCCACGCATGTTTTGTGACATGTATTTCACATCTACAAGAGGCATCTTCAGGAAAATTAATAAACTTCTGCTCGGAGTCTGGTGTTAATGTTTTTTACAAATAAAAAAGTTTACCAGTCGGGCAGCGGCAGTGGTTCGAGTGGTTCCTCGGCCGAGCTGGACGGGTCGTAGTAGAGCGCGGACGCGTCCCAACACGCCTTGCCGGCAATGTCGCGCAGCAACACTCGCACCTGGCGATCGGATGTCGCTAAACCTGAATGACATAAAATAGTAATATAGTATTAGAAGTAGTATTAGTACTCGGTATTTATATTGCGGTTTCATTGTATATAACATCAAAAATAAAGTATTAATTTCCTATACTTGTATGTTTGTATTATATTATTTATACAAGACGCAATGAATCACATATCTTACGCAATACTTTAGAATTTTGTGATTTTAATGTATTATTTTAAAATCTCATCCATAATTAGAGCTTGTCCATTCGAAGTTGCGGCAATAAGAACGCAGCTGCCTTACTAGATATTCGAGAATGTTAGCGTGGTACGTTTATAGAATAGGGATCTTTTACTAGCAGAGTTCTGAATCTAGCTGTAAATATGATTCGTTCGATCATTCTATGACGGACGACAGTCATTGAATAAAATGCAATCAATGGTAGCGCTGTGCCGCAAGTACTGTAAAGAAGCCCTTGAACTAAACTCGTGCGCTAAAATGATAATCTAAAAAGATTCCTAATAGACAACAAAATTATAAGTGCATCAGTCTTTAGAGTATGTTACTGCAGTTAGAGTTCTCATCATCTGTGTAGCTAAAGTAATTTCTGATAAATCCGTCTTGATGGGCCAACCGATCTGCTTTCATTCTCACCTATCATTCCCCAGTACTGTTCCGTCAGCATACACCAATAGCACAGGCGGGGTTACTGCTTTTCATTTTAAGCACGTAGTTACCGGGCGTGGTGGCGGCGGCGCCGGCGGGCATGTCGAGCGCGGGCAGCTCGACAAAGGATGCGAGCGTGGATTCGCTGAGCCGCAGCAGCTGCACGTGCGGCGCGCTCAGCACCGCCGGGCCCAGCTCGCCGCCCAGCGCCGGGCTGTCGTGCTGCTCGCACACGCTGGCCGACACCTGGCACCCGCTCCACAGCGGCCAGTGCCCCAGGAATAGTACCAGCTGCGTGCATATCTGCCACCAAGTAGACTCACATCAACGCCAATACACTTTGTACCGGTAACTAGTATGTTTTGTTAAAAAAAAAAAACGATTTCACAGACAACATAACACACAAGAAAACACACACAGCGATGCACAAAATGTATTATAGACGTGTCAGATTTAAAATGTTTGAAATTAGAACATTGATTCGGTGCCTTCAAATGATAAATTAAGAACCTTCAAAGAAGTAATTCACAAAAAAAAAAAAAACTAGTTTCAATTGGTACGAATTGATATGAAATCAACACCTCTCGTGTTGATAGAACGATTATAGTTAAAATCGATTTAAAATTAGAGACGTAATCGTATAAACAAGACCTCGTTTTAACGCCACTTATAATTTTCAATATTTAAATAATAATTTGACGACACTTGCGGTAGAAAAAGACATTCATTCATTTTTAAAATGAATTGATATTGATGAAAATAGAAGAAAAGCAAAAGTTTTGGTATATTCGATAGTTGGTAGGAAATTGGGTGGACATAATATAAAACCTAGCTGTAGGTACAAACTATAATCCTTACCGTTTGCGCCCATAACTTGACGTCAATCGTGGAAGCAGGAGATGTTTTAGGCCCTAAATTGTCCAATTGAATATTTGGGTCAAAGTCCTCGTCAACGGGTAGTGATAGGCCTTCTATTTCCGATCCATTTGACCCTTTCATCACCGCGTGTAGCACCTGTAAGTTAATATGTCCAATGGGGTCAATTTTATTAGCTTGCAATCGAGATTTTAGTATATCTCATATAAAAGTATATTATGTAATGATTATTGTAGTACACGTCTTTGTCATTAGCACTATATTACGTGTACAAATGCATCAGCGAACGTAGGTTTTGTCATCGATTAGGGTGCGTATTTAAAACGGCCGCCGTCGCCATAATATTCATAGTCAGCGGGTGCCTTCTCTCACAGTTACACCTTGTGTAAACAACTCGATTTGAAAATGCATAAATCCGTAAGTAGTTGGAATTAAGGCTTCTATTGAAACAAGGATTAACATGCGTCTACTGGGTACCTTTTTCTATAAAGAAATGATATTAGGCACATTGGCCAAGTGGCTTGGTACAGAGTTTTGACTTTTCTTTCTCTTGGATATTGTGTGTCTTGTGTCAGTCACCTTTAACGATATCGTGGTGATGAAAAGGAGTGATGACATATTATATTTTTATTCCATCATCGCCCAAAGATGGTTTAAGTCTTACATGGTATTTTAAATTGTACTGACAAGACTACTTTAAATTAATTCAATGTAATTAAAAATATAATCTTTGACGTGTTATTTTTGTTCTATTAATCATGTTTCAATACAGTAACATGAGTAACTTCTGATCCAAAAATTGTAATAATTGAAATATTGTTTACAGGTGTTATTAGCTCTTGCTTTTGTGGCCGCTGCTCTAGCTGTACCACAACATGATCAAAACCCGGTTTACATCCTGAAGCAAGCGGCCGATGTCAACCCAGAGGGCTACCAGTTCGAGTAAGAATGACGATAATATTTTTACATTCAAATTGGAAGATTGTGTTGCTCATTATAATAATTATTATTAATAAAAAAATATTTTGAATAATCACATGTCCAAATTCACTTATGTATTAAGAGCTATGCCAGAAGAGTCATATTTCAGAATAATTAGGTTAAATGTTCATCATTTTATTTATTACATAATTAATATGTACAAAAAAATACGACGTCTATTCAATGCAGATATAATACGGTTAAACGATTTGAAATCTCAAATAAGATTTAATAATTTAAAATTACGACCAAACAATATTTACTCAACATATGTTTGTATGTAATTCAACTTATGTGTACATATAATATAATATTACCACTAAGTTGTGTAAGATTTTTATTATATCAATTTTTTCGTATCAGGTTTGAAACAAGCGACGGAACATCTCGTCAGGAGCAAGGTACCCTAAAACAAGTAAGCGAGGACCACAAGGCGATCGAAGTGTCCGGCAGCTATAAGTATGTCGCGCCCGACGGTGTCACTTACACTATCACCTACACGGCCGACGAGCGTGGTTTCCAGCCACAGGAGCATGTTGAACACCAGGGCAATCAACAATACCAGCAGTAAACCAAATCGTTCAATAAACAAATGTCTAGACTGTGACACCAGCTGATCCAAATATCGAGTCATTAGATGAATTTGTGCTAATACTTCTATCAATATTTGGGAGCGTTAGCACAATTATTATTATTGTAATGTTTGCTCGTCGTTTGTGTAGGTTTTACTACACTGCTATGTCTGATACTGTTATGTAAATAACACGATTATGTGAAGCGCAAAGGTTAAACACGTAATTGCATAATTGTTTTTTTTTTTGCGAAAGTCTATGAGCAAATATACTTGAGTTCTAAAATGAGTGTTCAGCGTTGCAGACGTTTGTGCACGGATATGCAATCACGTGTTTAATTTAAAAAGTGAAACTGGAATTTCACTACTACATAGAATTATGATTGTTGTGTTTTTGTATGTTTTGTATATTTTTGTACATATTAAATAAATGTTTGTTTTGTAAATGAAGCTGTAGTATATTTTCAATTATTTCCACAAGCGTGACACTTAGACAGAAACACGTGTTTGAATATATTTAAAATTTTAAATTTATTTTTTATACGTATTTTCAGAATGTTATTATAAAGCACTTAGGTAAAAAATTTACTTCTCAAATTTGCGCTACTTGTGTACGACTACTTTCCTTCACGTTACTTTCTTCGTACTGTTTAGTTAAAATAAAATACAGCCCATGTTACTTGAAGAAAATGTAACTTTTATAAATAATTTTTAAAATCGGTTAAGTATTGAGTTTACCCATTACAAACAACAATCTTTCCTCTTTTTAACATTAAAATATATTATTAGAATACCAAGCAAATTTACATATTCACTAATGTATTTTTAATGGGCAAACAGAGGACTAATTTTAGAAGAGTATAAAAACATGGGCATATTTAATTAAAAAATATGACTATTATATTGATGCTGGAGATTGTTGGTACTTACAAAGATGAAAAATAATAAATACTATAAAATCGGTCTCAAATTGAAGAAAATTATAACACACACAAAAAATATAGTTAAATGCAAACAATATTGCCTATTAAAATAATATTACCTTGAATATAAGTAGGAGTAGAGTTTGGTCTCCATCCTTCTCCTGCATAAGGTAGGTGGGGCCGCAGCGCACCGCGAACTCAGCGAGGCACAGCAGCAGCGAGCCAGCGAGCGGCTTCACCGAGTCGCGCGTGCTGCTGCTAGATATCTGCGCCAGGCATGCGCATATCCCTCTGATTATTTTACCTGCAAAATTTATTGTGTATTAAAATACAAACATTTTACAGACAGAAAAAATTACATTCCAGTTCTCTACAAAACTCATCGACTTTTCATTATCTCGTTTTGTTTAGATTTTTATGTTGCAGAATAGAAAACAATATTTAAAATAATTTTATATTTGTATTTTTACAGATACTACGCATATTGATGTCCACAGTCAAGCTGGTAACAATTTTGTATATGTACTAATCAAATTTTTACATATAATTGTATTGCATCATGCATTGTATAATATTTTATTTATTTGACGAGAGAAACGAGAGAGTTTTTGTCAGTTTTTCTTGATTGTAATTTCTACAGTACCACACAAAGTCTCGTATGTGAGCAAATTCCCACAGTAATATCTATATCTATGATAAAACTTAAGGTAAGAGCCAGTCGATAGTAGCTAGCTAATGATATCACGCACATCTTGAACTGGTAAAAAAAAATTACACATTGTCCATAGTTTATATAGGCTTACTTGAATAAATATATTTATTTAAATTCAGACAAAATAGAGTTTGTGACAGGCTAGCTGTTAAGAGTTAAACATAAGTGCAGGTTTTTTGTGTCAATTAACAGAAATTAAAACATAACCTTTACATTTTAATATAACTCAGTCCAAATAAACAAAATCATGTTTTTTTTTTATTAAAGCTTATAAATATTATTTACCAGCAACTCCTGGGTATAATTCGACGATGCGATCGGTGTAATCAGCAAGCATCAAAATACAGTCGCTTACAACTTTAGCAATACTTTTATTTTTCATCTGAAATAAAAATTAAATAAATAATATTAGTTGCATTATATATTTATATATAAAAAAAAAAAAAAACTAGCTGAGTTACATGCTGTTCTGTCTTTTATTGGGCCCATTTTTTCTTATTCTGATAAAAACTACCCTATCGAGAGATACTCGAGTTACTAACAATACACATTTACTAAATTATATTAAAATAAAATAAAAAATAGTGCAAACCAACTTCAAGACACAAAATGGAATGGTAGCCCGGCCTGCGCTAACGGGATACGCTGGCGGAGCACCAGTGAAGGGTGATAGATGAGAATGAAAACAGGCCAGTTAGCCCATCATGATGAATTCATCAGGAATTAAGCATGATAGTTTCCAGGGAGAACCGCGAGGAGGTCGACCTGATGGGGTATGTTGCTAGCAATGGGATTCTCAGTCTCCATGACTAACAATCCCTTTCCCCCCAAACAGTAGTGTTGAGTAGTGTTTGAGTGAGAGTGGGGCGACAGGGCCGCCTGACCATGAGCATCTGCAGCAGGCAGGCGAGGTAGGCGGGCAGGCGCGGCGCGCGGCGGCCGGCGGCCAGCAGCTGCGCCAGGTGCGCCGCCAGCGCCGCCGCGCCCGCGCACCGCGCCGCCGCCGCGCCCTCGCGCCGGCACACGCGCACCACGATGTTCAGCACGTGCTCCTGCGCACACACCACAATCCGTATATTATTCAAAATTATAATTACAAAACTACACTTCCAGGTGAAGTCGACACGATTGTCGGAACCGACACAAAATTTCCCCGTTATACACATATATGTAGAAACTCGTATATTATCGAGGGTCAAATAGAAATCAATACATGTACAGTGAGCTGGATTATCTAGACTTTAAATGGGATGTATTAAGGTTTCAACAGGGTCGGCAACGCGCACGTTGATATACTTGGCGTTGCAGGGCCTCTAGACAAATGGCAAGAGAATTCGTCCGTCAATCCGCGAAATCCGTGAGACAGAATGAGATAGCAACGCCGGGTGACTCATTCCAACTTACGGACTCTCTAGCGTTGTCGATTCCATCGACGAATTCGCTTGCCTCTTGTCTAGAAGACCTGGTGTCAATAGATAACAGTGAGTGTTTATTATCAGACGAGTTGTATGCTTGTTTGCCACTTTCGTGGTATAAAAGAAATACGTCAGTTATACTGATTCGCAACTATCATCATAACCGTCATGAAGTAAAATTTAAAAATATTATATTCACAAATTCCCTTTTTGTGGGTTTAAATACAAATTTACTGTTATGCATAAATCCTAAAAAGAGAACCATAATAATGCCAATGTATATAAGAAATAACTATACGCGTGCAACATAAGTTGTTTTTCTGGAATTGATATTATGCAATTTTTTTACATCATTATCCCAAATATTCGATTATCAAAACAATTAGTCCATTAATTACCTCCAGTGTTTTATTTTTTTTAAATATCAAATATTACATTTATCTCTGTCTAACAACATACTCGTGATAAAAGTAAACTTGTATGAGTAAGAATTAGAATTAGCGCACCTTAAGATCAGGACACGAGACTGTGTTGTATTGGTGTGGATAGGGTTGTAACATCGGCGCGTTCATTAATTCATCAGGCAGTGAGAGCAACGAGCCGAGGAACGTCACAGCTGCGGTACGTGGACACTGGAACAAAATAAATTTCTTTGAGATTTGCATAACTCTTCACTAGTAAATTTGGAATGTGCACAATTTAACAAAATACTATTAAATTTATAATATACAGCCATTTTATATCAAATTTAATAAATATTGAGTATGTTGTGCGCAATCATAGCAATATTAAGATAAAAAAAAGATTTTCCAAATCGGTTTATAACTGATGGAGTTATGCATTACTTGTATAATAGTTTCAAGTTAACAAAAACACATACGATTGATAGGAATATTTGTCTGTAATGTATCAATGGGTGTTGTATTGTAAAATATTTATACATTGTATAAAAAACAAACGATTTGTAATATTTTGGTGTTACTATAAAAGACATGTCTTATACTGATTAAAATCTACGTAAATGAAGGCCGAAATGCTTGTACTAAGTAAAATAATGAAATGAAGGTTGTCTTACAGTAGGCCCCATGTCGGTGCAGTTGAGAACGATGGTGGAGGCATGCACGAAGTCGAGCAGCAGGAGGGAATAGCCGTCCAGCGCCAGCGACAGGTACCGCGGCGCCGCGTGCTCCACCAGCACGTCCACCACCGACCGGTCCTCGCCGGTCAGACCTGCGACATTATTTCTATAAAGTACGACCAACAAGACGACAGCTTAACACTAAACCTATCAAGCGCGGACAAATGACCGTTTTTGAAATTTAGTTCAAAAATTCTTCAGGGTCGGCAATGCGGTATTGCAGGCGTTCATAGGCTACGGTAACCGCTTACCATCAGGTGGGCCGTATGCTTGTTTGCCACCTCAGTGGTATAAAAAAAATACATACAGTAACGTGACTAACACCATGTAACTTGTTGACTTTTCCTATAATATACATACAACCCATTTTTCAATATTTACAACTTACTATTATTTACTTCTTTACTATCCAATTAGCTAAAATCTCTTTCTATATAAAGATACTTTAAAGCGGTCATTTAAACGCTCATGGTAGGATTAAGTATATATGAAATGTCGGTAGGTTTAGTGTTAATTACCTAAAAGCAGAGCAAAAAGAAGGAGATTGTCCGTAACAAATTAGTGCCTTTATTGATAGCGTTATACCCTGTCAGGTAGACCTCCATGCAGTTCCCCCGGAAAAGTATCGTTATTTGTTTCAATGATTCGAATTATTTGAGTTCTTCCTCTGGTTCCGTGGTTTTGGTGTCATTCCTTTCATTTATAAAATTTCTTGCCTTATTTTTTTTGGAATATTGTAATAAAATAATGTTTGTAAACATAGCATTTATATTAAGAACACAAATTAAAGTCAATTATTACTACTCAAATGAGTAATATGTGTGTGAAAATGAGTTTAATTGCTACTACTTGATACTAATTATAAATCTATAAACATGATAGTTCTATGAACAACCGAAATAGCGTGTTTAACCGACGTCATATAGGAATAATTCCAATCCTGTATAACTCATGTTTTTTTTATTATGTTACTCATAATAAATTGTAATTGTCGTAAATTATAATTAGTTAAGAAAAGATCCTGTACGAACGTTCATGCGTTTCGTAAACAATCACGGTATTGTCATTTTTGACATTTGTTTATGATATCGATCGTCTCACGCTTTGCTTTTGTGTCAAATCATTCTTTGAAAAATAAAGTATTCACATTAAGTACTCGTCTTTAAATATTAAATTGAAATCCAAGTGGGGGACCCAAGAAAATACGTAACAGTAATATTAGGCACACATATTAAAATATGTTTTTACTTCAAGGGATGTGCACCTGTGTTCATTACATTTTGTTAAACATTATTAATTAGTATTGGTCATGGCAATTATATATATTTATACAATTTAATTAAAAACATAAAGATACCATGATGTAAAGCTCGCTGATAGAGGTTGAGATGCGCGAGATGCAGCCGGTTGTTGCAGGAAGAAGGCGCACCAGGGCCCTGCGCCTGCGTCGATTCGCAGAGCAACCGTAGTGCAAGTAACTTCCCCGACCTGTATTTTAAATATAATTCAATAAACATAATCGCCATATGGTATATAGTTCGCCTTTTACATTGTCTAAGTTTATTAAAATTCAATAATAAAAAAGAAAAGACATTTTGAATGCGTGTAAGTACATAGACATACATGGAATGAAGATTAGAAGCGAGAGAACATATCAGAGATACACAATTCCCTGTAATATTAACTAAGTAATCTTTTCAGTAAGAAATTGCTTTAATAAAAATATTTTCTCCAAATGAGCAAGCAATTTATTGAATATATACGTAAAAAATAGGTGTACAAAATAATTAAATGTATTAACACTTTATTTTGGTTAAATTTTTTCAACATTTTTTATCAGAATCTACGTCTTGACCGTTTTCCACTAGACACTATCAAGAAACCAGTCGTCCTCACGCTCTCTGTATAGAGAGTACGAGATACGCGCGTCCTGTTTTACGTTTTAATTGTGTTCAACTAAGTTTTAAATTGTTACGTTACAGTTGTTTGGGCATGTCCAATGGATGTTTAGTTGATGGTATGCTTGTATTATGTCATTTATCTATCTCAGTAGGATTGATTCGGAGATATCATTTTAAACTTAAACTTATCACTCAAATTTCGATTTTAATATCATACTTTAGTTAAACTATTATGGTATGCACAATTGAGGATTAAATGTAAAGCATTTCTGGCGCAAATCTAAAAATGATATCACTATAATTGAAAAAGTCAATTAAAAATAATCGTCTCGATGACGATGATGTAACGTGACAGACAATTTTTTTTGCTCTTTTCTCTGTTTATATTTTATATATACTGCAGTACCTAACACAGGTGTTAGAAAACGCAATTACATAAATAAGTAATAGATTCATTATATGAACTAGGTAATAGTTTCAAGGGTAAATTAACAACGTTGGCACACGCATTATAATTTACAGTTCTTAAGTGTTTAGTTCGTTCCTAATAAGATAATTATTTTTAATTATTTATACAGATTAAAAAAATATTACGGTTTTTGGTATTCATTAATTTGTTAAAATATAAAATGGTATTTTGAACACCCATAGTTATACAAATAAAGTTGAACTTTGGACAAACGCCCATATAGTTACAAAAGATATAATATATGGTAATTAACCGATTTAAAAAAAGGAGGAGGTTCCCAATGAATAATTTTATATATAATGTCAAATTTACCGACAGACATACATTAATCACACAAAAGAAAAATCTAAGATGTATTCTATCGATAATGATGTATGTATTAGAAAAAGCGACATTGAAAAAGAGACGTATTCAATCAAATTACTAATTCATCTCATTTCACCATGATTTATTATGAAACTTCACAAATAAATTACTAGCAGATATTTATTTAGCGTTTAATAAATAATAACATTAGCTTTTTGACGGATAATACAAAATAATACAAGATTGTGTGTGTGTGTGTGTGTGTGAAATTACCTATGTATTCAGCAGAAGTGTAATAATGAAACGCATACCTGTGCGACGAAGGCAAAGACTCCGCTTCGAGACACCATCCCGCCACCAGATTGAACGGCACGTGGATCTCCGTGTTTCCATTTAGAGTTTGATTCGCGCTTATCTAAAACAACAAATATCGTATCTACAACTGGATCTGAGCACGGGGCGTCATCGTTTATTTATAAAATTATTCAACCTTTCGCTTCATTCAAGTCTTCACTTTAAAGAGTATTTTTTATTGTTCTTTATCGTAGTTCTTAGTAAACAATATAAACACGTTTTAGAAGTTGCTTTAAAATGACAAAATAGCAATTTTTTTTTTATTTTATTTACAATGCTCAGTACTAAAAATTAATTGTAAATATTTAGTGCGCAATAAAGATTTATTATTATTATTTGTTACGATCAATTTAAAAATGCGTCAGTTTACTAATCCCAACTACAAGAAAAAATTAAAATAGGCACTACCCACATAATGTTTAAATTACATTACGTATAAATAACGAGACGTAAGATTAAGGATTATGACTTTTTAAACTAAGAACGTGTTAGAACAATAAAAATTAAAATAAAAAAAATTGTTAGTAATTTTGAATGTGGACCTTTTTCCTCAGACGCCTGAGTAGCCTTCTTTTTCCTGCTCTTCTTTCGCATTGGCAATCTTTGAATAACTTCGAATTGGACAACAGTTCGCACAATTTCAATAACACCATACACGGAACTACAGCGGCCGAATGCACGCGTTTTATTAATTTATATAAACAAAATAATATAGACTAACAAAACAATAGGTGCGCGTGAGTCAGTGAGATGTGGCGGGCATTTTTCTATTGCACCATCAGCCAAACATTGAGATATCGACTGATAAATTCCACCAGCGTGTCATATTTGCGATAAACATTAACAGACGCCTATGTACCAGATGACATGATTGTATTACGCATGTGTTTATTGATACTAACGGTTTAAACTTTTTTTACAAAAGTACTTACGATGTTTTTTTGTAGGTGGTTAAACTAGGAAATGTTACAAGAAAGGTATTAGCAAGCAGTATATGTTATTAGCACATCAATACATATAATAAAATCGTAACTGGTCGCTGTCTGTACATGGAAGATATATAAGAAAAACTATATATATATATAACTAGGCTTTATGAACGCAATAAAACTCAAAACAATTAATTTTAGAATTTTGTCTGTTTGTCTGTATGTTTGTGCACGCTAATCTTAGAAACGGATAACCGATTTGAACGTGGTTTATCACTAATGCGTTGGGGTTTACTTCACTTAGCATTTTGTGTTTGTTTTATTTCAATCGGTTAATAAGTAAAAAGTTATATCATTCTAAAAAATCAAATATAAAATGCTATAATATAACCGATCAGCATTGGCTGAAACTTTATAAAGGTATTTGGTTCGTAATTATTATTTAAGTATATAATACAATATACCAAACCGGGCTCGTGAAGATGGGTTCCAACGGGAATGACCTATAAAAACTACATAGTTAAAAGCGGGCAATGCCGCGGGAAATGGCTAGTATAGAATATGTTTTTTTTATTATGTTTAGCTTTTAGCGTAATATGCACCCATATATTCTATATATTACACTTTTAAATTTTTTTTTTAGATTTCGTAGACAAGTAGCAAAAACGGAATCGTTACAATTTGGTTATGTCTATCTGTCTGTTTAGCTGCGAGTATTAATTTATTACACTACGATAAGATGCAGAAGTTTAACCTTCTAAAAAGAAAAAGCAGCATTTTTTAATAGAACCCCTTATTTTGAGTACAGATGAAAAACAATATTATATATATATATATATATATATATATTTTCCATATAAGTAGTTATGCATTACAGGTGTTTTTAAATAACCTGTAATACTTTAACATATTCTATATATTACACTTTTAATTTTTTTTTTTAGATTTCGTAGACAAGTAGCAAAAACGGAATCGTTACAATTTGGTTATGTCTATCTGTCTGTTTAGCTGCGAGTATTAATTTATTACACTACGATAAGATGCAGAAGTTTAACCTTCTAAAAAGAAAAAGCAGCATTTTTTAATAGAACCCCTTATTTTGAGTACAGATGAAAAACAATATATATATATATATATATATATATATATATTTTCCATATAAGTAGTTATGCATTACAGGTGTTTTTAAATAACCTGTAATACTTTAACTTAGTACCTAATACTACATATTTAGGTTTTATTACAATGTAAAATCGCTATAGGCCATTTGCTTTCTCGATATTATGCATTTTAAATTAATTTGGTATGCTTTAATTTCAGATTTTCTATAAGCAATCAATATCGACACGCGCGTTAATTATGAAAAAAATATATGTGTTCATTTTAGGATCTATATTCGTTATTCTAATATTTTCTAATCAAATTATAATTGAGGGAAAGGGATTGTTAGTAATGGGGAGGTTAGTCCCCATTACTATCAATATAGTCTGTCAGGTAGACCTCTACGCGGTTGCCTCTGGAATCCATTGTGACTAATTTATCGTTGAATTCGTCGCGATGGGCTAATTTGTTTGCCTTTTCATCCTCACAAATCATCTCTCACTGGTGCCCCGCCAGCGTATACAGATAGCGCAGACCATTTCATTATTATGTATTAAAAAAAAATCAAATTATAATAGGTTATCTGAATATCATCATCTTCCTATCCTTATCCCAATTATTATTTGGGGTCGGCGTAATCTGGTTTTATCAATATTACTAAAGGATTTGGCTTATAGTTTTATGACCGGCCGCCTGTCTGACGTCAACCCTTTTTGGGAATAGGTTATCTGAATATATGGTAAATAATAATGTATATTTTAACTAGAATAAAAAAAGCTGTTGTTCGTTACATGAATATATTTAAATCTAGTTGAACTAATAATTAAATCTGACACTTAACTGATAATAATTTAATTTCCACAAATAGATGCAGTTTAAATATAAATAAGTTAAAGGGTCAACTTTGCATTACATTCACAAAAATCAGACTTCAATGTTGCCAAAATTACTATGGGGTTAACATTGAAGTAAAAGTTAACTATATAATTAAAAGAAAAAACTTTTAAGATTGGTTTGTAATTATCAAAGATATCATGTAATACGTGCACAATAAAATATTTCAATTAGGAATTTAAATTTTCTGGAAATCGATTTAAAAGATAAAGCTGGGTTCATATAATTTTTAGGGTTCTGTACTTCTAAAGGAAAAAAACTGAACTCTTAAAGGATCATTTCGTTGTCCGTCCATCTGTTTGTCAATACCCCTTTTCTTATGAACGCGTAGAGGTATCAAGTTGAAATTAATATCATATACTCAAGTCTGCAATCTCTAAAAGCAGTGCAAAAATTAAGCTTCTAAATCGACGCAATCAAAAGATACGGTCGTTTATGTTCCATTTATCGATTGGAGCCATGAGGGTATATGGATACTGAACAAAAGACTAACACACTTATGTTTCGCAGATGATATAGTACTTCTTAGCGAATCGGTTAGCAGCCTAGAAAAAATGCTACAAGAACTAGATTTGGAAAGTAAGAAAATTGGCCTAAATATGAATGCAACCAAAACAAAGATCATGACAAACCACAGCAAAAAATTAATCAAAATAGAAGAGAACCCTATAGATTATGTGGATAGTTATGTGTACCTAGGTAAATTGGTCTCTTTCCAAACGAACAGTGGAGAAAATTAAGTTGATAGAAGAATAAACACAACATGGAAGAAATATTGGGCTCAAAAAGAAATCCTTAAAGGGAACTACAGTCTTAATTTAAAAAAGATAATTATGGATTCCTGCATCCTGCCAAGCCTAACATATGCATGCCAAACATGGACCTATACAGAAAAAATAAAGAACAAAATCCTATCATGTCAGCATGCGATGGAAAGAAGTATCTTAAAGTTAAGAAAAATACAGAAAATAAGAAACACTGATATTAGGAAGAAAACCAAAATAATAGATGCTCTTCAGTATAGTATGAAACAGAAGTGGAGATGGGCAGGTCATATAGTGTGGTACAAAGATAAAAGGTGGACTTTCCAAACAACAAAATGGCGAGGTCCAGCAGGAAAAAGAAATGTTGGAAGGCAAAGAAAGAGATGGGCAGATGACATAATAAAGATAGCAGGAAAAAATTTGACAAGTATTGCTATAGATAAGGAGAAGTGGAAAAAGATGGAGGAGGCTTTTACCCTTGGGGACCACGGAAGTGGATAAAAAGCTATAATAATAATAATAATGTTCCATTTATATCGCATATTTTAACATTCGCAAAGGGAATCAAAACCTATAGGGTACTCCCCGTTGACCTAGAATCATGAAATTTGGCAAGAAACAATATCATGTAGCAAAAGTAAAGGAAAAAATCCGAAAACCCTAAATTTATAGTTATTTCACAAAAAAAAAATTAAACATAATGATTTTGTACAGAACCCTCGTTGCGCGAATCCAATTCGCACTTGACCGGCTTTTTTCTGTTTGACTATGGCTATTTCTTAAAGCAGTCTTTCATTATTTGTGTGTTATGTTATACAATATAATTGCCACGTCTATATGTATAGGTACAATTTAAATCTTAGATTATTAAGCATATAGATTGGTAATCTAAAAAAGAAAAACACTAAAGTCACAGCGAGACAAAAAAATAGGACATTCATCTATATAAGCTTGAAGCTCATTTAACAGAAGTATTACCAAGTTCTAATTATTTTTACGTTTTAAAACAGAATTAGTTTTAAGTGGATGTAATGGCTAAAATTAACTGTTTAATGGCATATCTTTATGCAACTATGCATTAAACATTTATCTCTTCACATGCAATATTATAGAATAATCAGAAACATTTTGTATAAGAATTAGTAGAAAAACATATACATAATTTAAACCCAACTAAAGTTCTGAACATCCATGAATTTAAACAAATACGTAAATTTTTGCTGCTTCAATTCTATGTAAATTTACAGCTGTTAATATGCAATCATTTATAGAACACACACACTATTATACTATTTTGTCTCTCGTTTTTGTGATTGCACTGCCAGTGGTAGTGTAATATAACGTAGTACGTTATATTACATTTATGATCAATAATGGCTGTGAGTTCTCACCTTAAGCAGCGTGGAGTTGAGATGTATGAGGTACTTGAAGAACTGCGCGTGTGCCTGCGGATCCCGCAGCGCGTTAGGGTCACCGAGCGCGGCCAGCATGCGGCGCCACATCACCGCCGCCACGTCGGGCAGCCAGCCGCGAGCGCTGCCGCCCAGCACCACGCCTACGCCCGCCCCCGCCTCGCCCTCCGCTCCCGGCCCCGCGCCGCCCACGCCCGCTATACTACCCACGCCGCCACTATCCGTCTCTGGCCATTCTGTTGTAACAGTTTCTCAAAATTACTACAAGTTGTGTGTTGCAGTGAAAAAATCTAGTATCTTTCAGCTCATACTAATACTCAGGATACATGTTTTTAACACATTTTTAAATTATTACAAATTTTGAATAGTACCATATAAAATATTACTTACCTACATTACCTCCATCTGATGCTAAATCGATCTGCAATGGTGAATCTTTGATCGAAGTGCTCTCTACTCCACTAGATGGAGCGGGTGAAGGTGAACGAGAACCTAAAATTGATAATAATGATTCATGAGAAAATAATCAAAATGTGATTAAATAGATATTCACATAAATTGGATACAAACCACTGGCTGAGTCCCGCTCTTCATGATGCCCCGAGTTTCTTAAGGAATCCAGAGAATACCATCTCCTCGATTTGGTGCTAATAAGTTCTTTGGTATCTTCTGTTATATAATTAAATAAAGACATATATTAACAATTAAGTCGCAATAAAAACTCACAATTTATAATATTGATTTTTTTACATATTAAGTAAACAATCTATCTAAAATCTTTTAAAATATTTGGCATTGATTAAATTTGTATTATTGTAAATGTTTATTTTTTGTTGTTATTATTTTTAAATGTTCAATATTGATAAAACAGTTTACCAAATATACCAAGAACAAATAGATTATAATATATTATAAGAAAGATACAGTACCGGTATGGTGTGAGTGCGAGGGTGATGGTGCGTGTGCGTGTGCGTGTGCGTGTCCGTGCACGGGTGTGTGCGCGCGCGCAGCCAGGTGCGGCTCGCTGCGGCAGCGCGCCAGCTGTCTGCGTACGGCCGCCGCCTCTTTTCGCGGGTGCGTCTCGTGATACACTTTCGGCGATTTGCCTGCATAATAAGATAAATATTATACGCGATCAAAACCTACTCATGGGCATACATAAAGTTCTATTGTAAATTTGGAGTTCAGTGATTTTTTAAATGTCTGGTGTTTATTAATTAGGAGAAGTACTTGTACAGAGTGTAAGGAGCAGGTTGATAAAAACGGAAATAGTGAATTTAGACCATTAGTCTAAACTAAAAACAAGTAGAAATTCTTTTCGGAAAGTTTCAAATTATTATTGTTTTTTTTTTCTGTCTGTATCTATGATATTATGTCATAATATAAAGAAGTAATATTTTATAGTTATACTATGAAATACCAAAAAATAGTAATGTAATATTTGTATTAAAATCTTACTACGACGCGCGGAATCAGCTGTGTAAGGTCAATGACACAAGCGTATGAAAACTACCTACGAAGAAACGCAATGACCTCGCGCTATAACCATCTCATGTCGTGTGGATCATAAAATTACAAATATATTGCGTGGCGTCAAAACTAAGAATTGTTCATTATTATTAGTGTATGATATTATTTTTATGTAACTTGGAATGACAATTAAGCTATCGGTCCATCTGATATAAAATAGTATACGTAACGTAAAGACATTAGACAAGAGTGTAGCGACTGAGAGGTGTATGTACCGGGCGTGGCGGTGTGGTGTGCGGCGGGCGGCGGCAGCGGCGCGGGGCGCGGCAGGGGAGCGGCGGCGGGCGCGGGGGTGCCGCGCCGGCCGCCGCGCCGCGAGTCGCCGCCGGCGCCGCCGCCGCTTGCGGCCTCCGACAGGTCCAGCGAGTACACGTGCCGGGCCAGCACGCGGGTCAATGTCTCCATCGTTTTCTACACATACATATTATTACACGAATTGATATACATGTATTTTAAACGTACAAATTATCTATAAGAACATGTTTAGAAGAAGGTATGTATATAATTATTAGATCTACAATATAGTAGAGCCATTTTATACAAATTTCTAAGATTAGCGCCGCATTCAGTGTATTTTCGGTAGGATTTACCAGTATTCGCAATCAACACCGGCTGTTGACAAAATGTAGCGTATGACTTAAGACAAGAAAACGTGCAACGCGACATTGTCGATTTTCAGTCGATGGAAGAATCGGCATTACGTCGACGTAATGGCTGACTGATCTTTTGCATAATATGACTGAGAATAGCCAAATTGTATGCAATTTGATATACTGGCGTTCTGTCATGGATAATCCGTAATCATAAATGCCCCTGAATGAGGGACTACCATAATTAATGTTAGTCTCATAATAATCCAACAAAAATATAATAATAAAAAAATATATTAATTACACATGTTTTTTTATAAGATGACTTAAAACTTAATTTGATAATATTGTCTTCAAAATAAATTTGGAGATAGGTTTGAGAAAACAAATTTTAGAGTCTGGATAAGTTTTTAAATAAATCACTGATACTAACCGCCCATTCTGTTATAAGTTCCTCCCAGTGAGTGAGTCGAGTAAGTAGCTCCATAAAATTCTGCCAAAGTTCTGGCTTGACTGCCACATTCAAATTAGCTTTTATCCATGTCACTATTAGGGTTTGAAATAAAGCTGGTGCCAGGAAACCACCTGAAAATAATAAAAGTTGATCTTTTTCTTTATTGATATGTATTAAATATACCCTAATATGCCCTCAATGCGAGTTAATATACATTCTAGTGTTCTCGTAAGAATCACAAATATATACTTTGCTAAATATTTAGACTTACTGAAGTAACAAATAGTGTATATTACCTAGTGATTCCTGTTTTCTTTTCGGTGGTACTTTGGTTAATACAAGTGATGTGATTTGAAGCAAAACCAATAATAATTGTTCCCTGAAAAAGAAAAATACAAATGTATATTGAATGTTGAGGTGATTACGCATGAGAAAGAACAAGCGGTAGGGCATTATACAAATTTTAAATTTTTTTTTTATTTAATTTGCAATCTTATTCTATCTCACGCGTGCGTTATAAGTATTTACAGATTTGTGAAATTGACTTTGGTGGGAAGGGTGGAAAATACGAGGTCTGTTCGGAAAGTTCGTATAAAAGTGTTCTGGAATGCGAGAAAGAGGAGTGGGGAGGCCAGGTAAGCGCAGGACCCCTTCCTTATGTCCCTAACAATGCTTCAGTTCTGGTCTGACCGCCGTGCGGTGCGAACTGGCTTGTCACGCCATCTGTGAAGTTACCTCTTAACGAAACCCCGTCGGCATGGAGCCCGCTTCCGTTGAAGAGCAGCGCGTCGTAATCAAGTTTCTCTCGAAACTCGGCAAGAATGGCCGTGAAATTTTTGCCGATCTCAGAACAGTTTATGGGGATGATGCTGTGAAGGAACCAACCGTCCACAAGTGGCTAAAAAGATTCAGAGAGGGCCGAGACAATGTTGATTGTTTTTTTCGATGTTCGGGGGATTGTCCATCAAGAATTCGTCCCTCCAGGCCAGACAGTTGATGGAAAATTCTACGTCGATGTGCTCAGACGCCTCAAAGCTCGTGTGGCACGAGTTCGTCCAGAATTGGCGCGAGAGGGGCGTTGGATTCTTCACCACGACAATGCCCCTGCCCACACCTCTCTTGTTGTCCGTGAGTTTTTGAGTAAAAATTCCATTACGGTGACCGAACACCCCCCTATTCGCCGGATTTGGCCCCGTGTGACTTCTTCTTGTTCCCAAAAACCAAATTGGTACTTCGGGGGCGGCATTTGGGGGACATAAATGAGATAAAAAAAGCTACGACGGGGCAGCTGAGAAACCTACAACCAGAGGACTTTCAAGGAGCCTTCTCACAGTGGAAACGGCGTTGGCACAAGTGCATTATGTCACAGGGGGAGTACTTTGAAGGGGATAAAATTGATTTACCTGAATAATTGTAAAATAAAATTTTTAAAAAACTTTTATACGTACTTTCCGGACAAACCTCGTATATAGCAATATCTATATATTGTAGTTAAAATATCTGTACATATATTAGCCCAATAACAGTTATATTAACTATCGGTTATCCAATATATAATATTAAAAAAAAAACCCTCTCATAATGAATATAGATATACAACTGGTATAGACGGGAGGGAAAGAGATTGTTAGTAATGGAGACTGAGAATCCCATTGCTAGCAATATACCTAACCAGGTCGACCTCCTCGCGGTTCTCACTGGAAAATATCATGCTTAATTATTGATGAATTCATCATGATGGGCTAACTGACCTGTTTTCATTCTCATCTATCACCCTTCACTGGTGCTGCGCCAGCGTATCCCGTTAGCTTAGATGGGGTTACCATAACATTTTCACCCATAAGATAAAATTGGTATAGACGATATCGCAATGGGTGGTTATGAGGGTTCAGAAGAACTCAATATACAGATATTGGATATTACTCAACTTTACTTGGTGGTGTAGATTATAGTGATTCACAGGAACTCAGCTGAGCAGAGACACGCTGCAAACTAGAGTACGTACCACGAGTTGGCGTCCATAGCAACGTGCATAACCAAGTATCTGTATATGTTGAGGACGCGCTTGCACGTATCAGTCTGTTCGTCGAGCAGCTGTTGCTGCGTCAGCGCGCCGCCGCCCGCCGCCGCCACTGGTGACCCGCCTGCCAGGAACACATTCGCCGCTTGCGTCATGAACACTTGCAGAACGTTCTGTTTAGAAAATTGGAATTAATTAAGAAAAAAAATTATGACTAGTTCACAGGACTGATATGGTCTTGTCAAAATATATGTTTGAATTGACAGTTAATAACATTTTTTTTTGGAAAAAGAAAAATAGGTGTTGTACGTTTTTTTACAATTTTTCTAATCTTCGTTTTCATAAATACCTTTATCGAACTGTAAGATATTTTATGGTAAAATTGTTTTCACTAAGTGTGATTAAAACAGATATTAGTGTGATTTCATTTAAGGTAGGTATATATGTAGATATGTAATGTGTACGTATGTACCTGCATGCCGGCGCGCACCATGACGTTGTCGCGACCAACAGCACCGAGGTAGGAATCGTTCCTCAACCGCCGTGGTGGTGCCAACGGCTCCCCACTGCCAGCCATCTGTTGCTCGTACGTGTTCTCCACAAGAAATGGTGGAATCTCGGCTACCTGGATTTAACAAAGGGACATTATAAAATTGCGTACTTGCAGATCTCACTAATGTCTGTCTCAATTAGTAACTGTTTTTACATAGCTGTGTTTTAGTTTGAAGGCCAAGATAATGGCAAAGAAAAAGGTATAACAAACATGAAGCGGTACAATAGATATTGTACTAAAATAAGGTTGCCCGATTTCCCCGAAATTGCTAGAACTGAAATGATCGTGTACAGTACGGTTTCAGAGTTTTCTCTCGCAAACGCTCAGGATGTGGATTGATCTCCCTGCTGGATTTTTTTCTACAGATTAAAGTATCGGGTTCTTCAAAAAGTAACCGTTTACCATCAGATAAGCTGTATGTTTGCTTGCTACCTTCGTGGTATAAAAAATAAACTCTGTAACATGGTACAAACAGTTAATGTTTACGATTAGATGGCATATGGGTTGAAACAACAAAGAATTATGACATACGTTCATCTGTATCCAATCTTTATACAGCGCGATGACCCGCCTAGTTGCGGCGGCGTGTGAAAATGGCAGCAAGAATGCTTGCCGTAACACTTCTATAGTGAAATCAACATGTTCGCGCGACCAGCAGCACAGTACATCGCGGACGACTTGCTCGGAGCTTAATTCCTCCACAATACTGCTTCCTGCATACATACAAGAAACAATTACTAGTCACAAAATAATTCAGTGTATATCTATACTTTTCATCGACAACTGTAATTTAATTGAAGTTGTATGACTTCAGCACATGACTGATTATCATCATCATCAAATCAGCCCTTAACCATCCATTGCTAAACATAAGCCACCACATATACACAAACAACTACTGGCAACCCCCAAGGTCTCTCTTTGGGGGGTTTTGCCAGTAGCTGTTACACTTTGCAGGCGGATCGGCAACCGCAGTCAGGCTTTAGAGATGTTTTAAGAGGGATGCTGCTGCCCATCTCTCGCTGTCCCTTAGTTGACTTTTACGACACCCACGGGAAAGGAAGGTATTCAATGCCAGGACCACATGGTCAGGCGACTGAGTATAGCGTGATATTATAAAAGAAATTACAGTTTTAAATAAATTTATATTTATTTTCATATTTGTGAATACCTATCCACATTTCTTTTTGTCTTTTATCTATAATGATAGTGTAAAAACACTGAATTACAAAATAAATTTCATACCTGATTCCAAACTAGGGTGTGGAGTATTAAATGCGGTTTCGTGAGGTGATGCTCTACAAGAGTCTACTGGTTGTCCAACAGTGAATGAGGTCTCTTCCTCATGATACATAGAGGTAGCTGGTGTGAGCGTATTAGAATGAGGAAGGTGGGAACCGATACTAGTCATTGACGAGGGTTGCCCAACATCACTACCTTGTTTCTTCATGAAATGAGCATAGTTAGCTACCCATTTGATTAATATTACTCGACATAATACATTATCATCTTCTAGTATAGTATGCTGTACAGGTAGTTCTGAAAAAGGAATATCAAATTTAAAAATATGAGCACACTGTTAAGTATCCACACTTTCATGAATACAGCAATATTTCTTTTTAATAATATTCAAGGCTAGCTATGTATACCTACCAAGGTTTGGTTTATATAATGAGTTCTTGTGATTGAATTGAGGACAAATAACTGGTAAATAATACATTTTGAATCTTTCTAATAAAAATGCAAAACATCTCATAGCTTTGGCATGTGATCGATCTCTCCAATGTATCTTAGTGACGGACGAAGCCATGGCTTCAAGCAAAGTATCAAAGAAATATTTGGTTTCATTTTCAACTGCTTTCTCATTGGCACTTGCTGGCAATAGTGGTTGAATTTCAACAGTTTGCACAGGATTCAAAGCATTTGTGTCATGAAATATAGAAGCTGATACATTCACAATTTTGCCCATTATGCCTGAGGATGTTTGCTCCACTACTACTTTTTTGGCGTTATCTGTGGTCGAGAAGTTTGGATGGTGCAATATATCTTCCATGCTGAAATCGCCAGACTCATTGCACGCGTTAGAGTTATCGTCAAATGTTTTACATTTGAGTGGTGAAGTGCTGCGCAACATATTAGGCTCTGGCAATCCGGGCACCAGTGTCGCAAACATCCTGTGTACTTCGAGTGGTGCATTATCTCCCAAAGCTTGATACCATAGAAGAAAATATCTAAAAATATAAAATGTATAAATATGTGGTATTAATTTCAAAAATATTGAACAATTTAAAAATAAATAAATAAATAAAGCATATATAAACACCTGATAGCTTCAGCTCTTAATTTTAGTGAATTCCATCTATGGAGGAGTTTTGAAAATATTCTCGTAAGAGAGTGCAGCTGCCATCTTTTTCCAATAAGCTCTGGTAAGAGACATAATACCTTTTCCAATAATGATAAAGCTCCTTCTAATTCTTCTCTGCCAGCTTTGTGAACTAAAACATAATATATCTGAGTGAGTTTCTTAAAAGTATATAACAATTTACAAGTTAGTGTTAAATGAAGCGTATTGAAATGTTGTTTAGTGAGATAATTAAAAAACCATTAAGATTAAGGATATTAGGTGACTATCACCTCAGTGAGTTAGCTCCTGCTATCATGCCATATATCCTGGTAACCAGTACAGAAAACACTAAATAATGATCTAGTTTTAGTCTTTTTTATATAATAAAAATTAAGATCAAAACATGAAGGTGGTTGATTTTTTAATGGTACATGTATTTGGTACTATTTAAGGAAAAAAAAAAGAACAACTAGGGGCCATATACACTTATGATCATGATTTAATAAATGGATAAAATAGGAGATATATGTAAACTTTTTATTCAATAATACTAGCAGTAGATAGACTGCTGTAGCTGTTTCAAGATTGGATAAGAACCGAAAAATGCATAAAGTTTGGAATAATGTGTTATTGATACATCATTAAATCATAATATGAAATTCATTTCACAATGTAAAATATTATCATATTCACTGTCAATTCTTACAATTTATGAATATATTATTTAAGTAGTTACCACTGATGGATGCGGACTACATAGCTACAAAAAATTATAGCACAATGCTTATATAATTTTTTTTTATGCAATTGTATGTATGATAGCACAGAGTATTAATACCACTCTGTGTGTTTATCACCTAACTAGCCATTTCCAAATTGTATGTAATCATTAGACTCATGTATATTAGTTAACATGACTTTCAAGGTAGTAACATTACTGTTAATTAGCATAAATAAAATGCCCAATTTGTTTGCAGTCTAACCAAGTAAATATTATTTTGGATGATTTTGATGGAATGAGTGTAATTAGTTGTTTATGGTACGGACAGCATGAAAAGTTGATGAACATAATAAGATTTTTTACTTTATACTACATATGGCATTGTATAGTCTAATTTTGTTTTACACAATGTTCATTTTTAGCACTAACTTTGATGAGCTACTATTTATGCAATATTGTTTACATATTTTTTAATTTTTAAGTGTTCATCGGCTTTTGACGCTAATTACACAAGTGTATGGATCAGACATTATTATTAAAATAAAATTAATGCAATACTAAGTAATACAATACAAAAATCATTTTTTGTGTTGAATCAGAAGAGGAATGATGGTAAAACAGCAATAGTAAAAAAAATCAAATAACATCGATCTAAAATCAATCATAAAATCAAAGCATGTGCTAGCAATAACATGATAACATTCATAATGATTAATGCAAAGCATTATTTTAGGCAGGATTATGGTTTATGGTATGTCTGTCAAAGTCATAAACAACTCACCAAGATGAAACGGAAGTTCTGTATGGCAAAAACAGAAAAATATTTAAATATATAAGTAAGAAAATGTGGGTTATAATAAGTATTTAATAGTTCGGGATTAACATAATGTAATAATAAAATTATTATGTAGTAAATTTCTCTGTAGCAATATAATTTATTAATGTTGGATGGATAGTTAATTTTCTAACTTATGGAATGTATTAAAGGACAGATATTGATTTAAAAATTCAGAGTAACATTTGTGCCTCTATTATTGCCACAAATCAATGATTGTAAACTAAAAAACCTGACACTATATTTCAATATATACAACACAAATAGAAATTTTAACTTCATACACTTTATTCAATATATTCATTAAAATTATATTTTTTTTCTGTTATTTAAAAAATGTGCCATTATTTGCATATTAAATTTATAATTTATTACATTTATAATAAACATGCATATTAGAAATAACACTAAATCATTCAGGTTTAAGGCAATAGGCATAGATTTTACTAAACAATTTAGACTAATATAAAAATTGAACACTATTCAAGAATAATTATTTCTAATAGTGATCAAGACAAATATTTTTTAAATTTAATATTAAATCAGTAACAAATAAGTAATAATAATAAACCACAATTGAGATTTAAAAGTAAATTAGGTAATTAAAATTATAATTTATACATGACATTGATGACAAATTATTATTATTAATAGTGTTGAATTAAAGAGTATGAAAGATTACATACCTCTTTGCCGCAGGTTATTTTCTGCTTGTATAAAGTTGTCATACAAAATAAAGTACACATGACTAAAGTTATTTTCGAAGTACGTCTTTGCCTCTTCAGCATCAAAATGTTCTGAAAGTTAATATAATCAAAGCAAATAAGTATTTAATATAAAGAACTTAAGTTTAGAAAATATGTATAAGTTTAATGCATAGGTATAACGAAAGTTTTTTCATTAATACATATACAATATTTACAACATACTCAAAAATATAAAAAAATAAACAGTTAATAATAGAACATAAACAATAGCGATTCCGAGTAAGTACAGCCAATAATACAGTTATTTTCTACATATTAACATGTTACACATTTCGGTGATTTCTGTTACAGAAATTTATAATATCATTTAGAGAGTGAGAGTAAACCTTCGTAAGGCTTTTAATATTATATAGATGTAAATAAAAGCTTACCTAGAACAATTTTTAAATGCTTTAGACGAGTCGCAGAATCCTTCTTGGAATCTTGTATTTTAACTGTTGACTTTTTAACATCTTGGTGAGATTTTTTGGTAAACATGTCGGCAATAATATTATAAAGTCATAACGTAGATTTATTACATTATTGAAGGGAGTTTTATAATAATTTTACATTGTTTTCTTCAGTTTTCACTCCCATTTTGACATTTCGTCTACTTAAAAATTTCAAGTTGACGTAAACAGATACTGTTCTTTTTTAAGAGCAAAGGAAACAAAGTGAATTATTTTATATTTAGATATTGATTTATTATAATTGAATTAGTGTATTTGTATAATATTGCAAATATTTAACAAAAACATTAGGCCTTATTTTCAAAATAGATAAGAGCTGATTTTTTATTTAATTAACAAATTAGTGAAGTGTATAGAAATCACTACTTAGTTTGTGGTACTGACCGTGGTTTCGAGAGAGACATCGTATGAACGTGATATCTCTGTCGCGCAGTTTGCCTTTATGCGTAGCATAGATTAAAGTTAGTACCGCAACTATTTTCTACTGTAAAAATAATATTAATGAAGACTTTTATTTTCATGCTTTTATGATACATAGTACGTAAAGTTGCCGTTGTTAAATTATTTAAGAATTATTTCTTTTAATTTGTAAAATAACACCTAATTCAGTAAATAATTAGATAAAACCTGTATATTATTAATTTTTATCTGTGCCCATAGATTAAGAATAGTATTTGATACTGTTCTACATATAAATTATATCTATAGGTACATATGAAACCTTTACAGTAAGGTTGATTCTGAAGGGCCATTTCTCTAAACCTTATTTTGAATTTGATATCACAGAAAAATCTTTATTGTAAGGATAAATATGAACAAATTTTCCAATAAATTTAAGTAAAAATTATTATAAATCTGATTTGAGATAATCCAATAAACAGTAATTTCGCGAAACTATTAAATTAAAATATTAAGTAAAGAGATAAGTTTAAAAGATAAATTGCACCTCAGAATCGACCCCATTGTTTCCGAAGATTAAAATAATAATTGATATTATCTGAATTTAAATTTAAGTTTTATGCTGTTACTTTAAAAAATGTGAAAACAGCTACAGTTTAAATTTCTTTTTAGGTATTAACAGATTATAAAAGTTGATAAATATTTCTTTATACTTAATTATGACAAACATTTAAAAAAAGAAATAAAATTCGTTAATAATTTAATCGTGTAATAAAAAATAGACATTGTTGTAGGTAAAAGTTAGTACATATAAATAGTAATTTAATAATTTTACTGTAAAACTGAAATAAAATAGTAAATTATGTTAAGGCCAGCTTTACCTTACCTGACATCGATACTTTTAAACAAGGGTTGTTGAGTGAGTTGATAAAGACAATTTATCTTTGTAGTACAATCCCCGTTAGTACCGATGTTCAGTTTAAAAAGGGGTAAAGAGGTTTTTTCAGGTTCGATAACGCGCGTGTATTGCAGGCGTTTATAGGCTACGGTAACCGCTTACCATTAGGTGGGCCGTATGCTTGTTTGCCACCTCAATGGTATAAAAGGAAAGTTAAAAGTACACGTTAAATTTATTGCGACTTTACTGGAACATCGCTTTTGGCACTTCTCTTGGGTCCCAGTGTCCCCGGACCAGTGGCGTAGCTGCGAACGAAGAACCTCTTACCGCAAAAATAAATTATAGAGGATGCAATTTTTTAAAAAAGTTTCGTGCTTGTCGAAAAATATAAAATTGTATTAATTTTATGATTAGTTGCGTTTAATGGTAAGTAGTTGGTGATTTTTATCACACGAACTGTAATTCTTTTTTTTAATTATATTATCTATATATGGGGAGGCCTATGTTCAGCAGTGGATCGAAAATGGCTGAGCTGGTGATGATGATGATGATGATAGTAATGGCATTCCTTATTATTAAATTAAGGTAATTCCTTAATACTATATTATGTTACACTCAATAATACTTAAAAGAAAAAATGTATTTCTAAAGTATGATTAAATTTTACAGTTAATAAATTGTATCAATCTAATTACTTCGCCATTTGATCTCTCAAACAATTGATTTTCTTTCATTACGTAATGAACCCTTAATGTTTATACGGTCGCGAGACTCGCACAGATTTGTTTTATCGAAAACTTGTTTCAATTTGTAAAGATGACGTCGTGCGGTCATAATTATAAACATGATCATTCACATTAAACATCTCTAGTCCGATCCGAACTGAGCGTTTACTCGCTCGTGTACCACACAATCGAGGTGTGTGTTTAATTATTTTTTTTCTAGTCAACTACTACTGATTCGAAGTTCTTAGTGTCAAGGTGATTTATATGTTAGGCGTTACAGACTCTTTTAAATTTAAGAAATGTGTGTTTTTAAATTAAACAGTTTTACGATCGCGTGTTTGTTATTTGTCACACTGAACGCACAAAATTATACGAATACAGACTTGTTTGGATTCCCCGAAGTTGAGGAAGTTGAGCACTCAAAAAACAAAGAGGTATCTACTATAATCACCATAATTATTTATTTTAGTTCGCTATTATGTGCAGTAGTTACGAGTACCTACCTGTACGCTCGTTGAGTTTTGTCGTACTCTTGTAGGTGTACCTAGTATTTTGTGGGTAGTTTTGTAGTATCTATTTATAGTCTGTAACTAAATTTAACTTTAGGTAACTAAATTTTATAATTAAATCAAATTTATAACAAATGGAAACATTAAATCTATTAATGGATTTTTATCAATACTATTATTGGACATCAGCAGACTGTCTTATAATTAGTTGAAATTATTCGTTGTTTTATTTTTTCATTATGTTTTGTTGAAACAAAATATCGGGAAAGATACAAGATACAAACTGTGGTTTTTACCCAGGTACCAAAATATTCTTATATATTGTTTTAATGTCATCTACTATATTACTTTATTGACATACTTTTATTAGTATTTATTTATGAAACCTGTTCTATCTTTAAAGTTAAAAATGATATTAACGTTCTTAAAATTGTCATAATATCACGAATTAAATAAATTCACTACTCTTCAGTATCATCACAGATATTATCTAGTAAAGCTAGTTATACAGAGAACCTAGGCTGTTTTTATCTCATGGCCGTTTTCTGTATTTGAATAGGTACAGTTTTTAAAGTTTTACGATGTTTTTTATGATTTAACTTGTAAATAATAATGCCTAAAATGTAACTAAACTTTGATCATAAAGTTTATGTTAAGTTTATTTCCATATATTATTACATTAAATACTTAAATATTTACAGCCAAAGAAAAAGTTTGACCATTGTTTGATAGCCTAAAACGTATGTACGTATAGCATATAGCTATACGTACATAGTAACTACTTATAATTTATTTATTTAATATGGTTTTAAAACGCCTGAAGCCGATATTAAAAGAAAAAAAAAATACATTCGAAGTATTATGAAAGCAGTTAACAGTTTGAAAAAGTCTCTTTATGTAAAAATGGTCTTTACTGAAATTTTGACTGAAATTAAATTTAAGAGTCGCATCACACACACACACATCATCACACACACCTACGAAACACACGAAAATTACAATAGAACGACATACCTAATACTCTTTTTAGTCCTTGATTATGAATTGGATACAACTAAAGTAATCACCATTTCCTCGTTACATGAAGAAGACGAAAACAAAAATGTTGTTGAAAGTAACAATTCTGATACGACTCTAAAGATTCAAACAATTACAGCTGAAATACATATTGCACTAAAACAACCAAAGTCTCAACGTCTTATATATCAAAAATAAGTATCAGCAATCGAAGTTTAGCACCTTCTAAGATTGAAACAGAAAAACATACTGTTAAACACATCCTGTTAAAATTACACCGGGCATGATGGATGTGGAATCTCAGATAGAAAATTTTGCAGCCGTAGATCGAACAAAGTCTGCTGAATGTGGCGACCTACTATTTGCATATATATGAAACGACGATGAGAAACATTGTCTGTGTTAAGTGTATAAGATGGTAGCACCAGAAATGCATGCAATTTGTAGAATTAACCCAAGTAGTAATTATTCGTCATATGGACGTCGATTTTCACTTACTGACCTTAAAATGATTTAAAACTGGCGTCTTATTTGAGTTGCAAACGTCACCTTGTTACATGGGAACTTATTTAGAGGTCAACGGCAAGTTTTCTGAACATAACTTTTGTGATTAATTAAAATTTTTGAGACTATAATTATACCATATCTAATAATGTTACGATTCAAAGTTCCTTTTAGTAGTTAGGATTATACAAAGCTAATTTGTAGTGATTATATATATTATTATTTCTCGTGATTTAATAGTAAAATTAACAAAACCAATCATCGTTAATTTTTAAAGATTTCATCAATATGATATTATTTTTTATTCAAAACTAGTGTTAAAACATTTTTATTTTCTTCTTTAAACTTGCCAACTCCACTAATTGGATGCAAACAGTTGAAATGACTCTACATTCCTTACTCGTTAGAGAATAACATGAATTTCAGAGAATGCACATTTTTACTATTGCTACTATGATTATTAAACATTCTTTTATCTCAATATTGACCTTACATGGTCAAGTGCTACTGAACATAGTGGTAAACAATTGATAAGTGATAATAGCTAATAACAGCCTCGTTAATGATGTACAGTCATCGTGTCGCACGCTTAGTATAGAAGTACATCGTAGTTCCCAGTCATAATTATTATCGTGATTGCTTGAACATCACAATAATAACAGCAATTTTTCTAAGAGCAATTTTCTAGTTCATCTCTGTATATTGTTAAATGAGTATGCTTATAGCTATACGATAAAATGTGCAGTCAATTGATTATCCGTGAGTTCGCTTACAGTTTTAGACAGTACCTTTATTGCATTTTTATATGACATAATCACATAATAGATTTTATTAGTGATACTGCCCTTCGTAAGTACTTGTTTTGGGTCATAATTGTAGTTAAAAACTGGATTGCATAACTAAACTTGTTGTTGAAGGTTTTTTAATATTTTTTATTTAAAATAGTGGTTATTAGAAACATTGTTATTTTTTTATCGTACCCTGCGTCTTGCGTCTAAGCCAGGGGGTCTGAAAGTTTAGGTAGTGTCTCAATGTAAATTAATGTTATGTATAAAGAGAAAAGATGATTGATTTTTTGTTTGTTACGATTTAACTCAAAAACTACTTAACCAATTTTACCGAAAGCTACATCTCCTCGGAGTAACATAGGCTATTATATATTTTCTGTAAAAAACCCATGCAAAGCTGTGGCGGATTGCTAGTAACTTATAAATATTTCAGATTTTTCGTTTCAGTAGGGAGGGAAGGACTTTTTGTCACATTGTTTATTAAAATTAAAAAACAACGCACCATAAAAATAAATAAAAATCTGTTTTAAAATGAACAAATGAAGCCCTTTCATATGATAGTATCTACTTGAAAAAGTAGTTCAATTTAGAAATTTTGAAATAAATGAAAAAAATAAAATAAAATATTTTTTTATTATTTGAATTGCAAAATATGCGGGTCAATGATATGTTAAACTATTCCAAATTTTAAATTGACAGAATTTGTAGTTGCTGAAGATATTACGCTGTGACAAACGAATGGACGGAAAATTTCACCATTAGGGTTCTTTTGTACTTTTGGCATGAAACCCTGAAAACAACAATAAATTCTTAGAATAATCCACAGAAATAAGTGTTAATTAAATAATAAATAATTAAATTTAGATACCGTACTATTTAGTGTAAGCACAGCTCGTATTATAGGTACTAGAAAACAGAGAAATATTACCATACTTTTCGTCAATACATACACTTACAAAACTACCAACCATACTTATAAATATGGATATTTGTATTCCCTCCTGAAAACCATCGTGCTAAATTAATGGTGTATTCATCACGACGGGCTAACTGACATGTCTTTTAATTTACACCTATCATCATCACTCACTGGTGCCCCGCAGCGTATACCGGTAGCGCAGGAGTACAGTACTAACAATCAAGTATTTTTTAAGATGTCTCGAAGATTTATTCTGCGGTTTTGCCTTACCTAGACGTTCTAAAGTTTTAAATGATAATGTATTTCAGAATCGGCAACCGGTATTCCTGCCGACTGTATGTCCAGACAACGAGTTGTACTACCCAGGAGACCAAAAAGATGATTGGATATGTGATTGTAGACCAGGTAGCTATTTTTTATATTCAGATACATTGTAATATTGGTTGACTAATTTGTATCATGACTTTCTGCTCGTAATCGGGGTATACGTGTATTAAGTTATTGGTGGAAAAGTTGCCTATGCCATTTCTTCCTAAATTAGTATTTGTATGCTCATATACTAAGTTTCATTATGTAGGATTTAACTGTAAAGGTGCCAAGAAATGAACGGTGCCAAAAAAGAATGTAACAAACAAATAAACTCACTTTCACACTTATATTATTAGTAATGAATAATAGAAATAGGTACACAACAACTAAACAACTCGATTTAGAAATCTCTATATAATGCAAATGAACATTAGAGTTCGTTATACTTTTTTTTTAAATATATGCAGGAATAAATACGAGTAGTAATGCTCTCTACGTATAGAAGTCGCGTAGTTTTCTTAGGCCAATATTTTACCTTGTCCTTTATATTTATTATTACTTGTTCTACTTTAATGTAATCTTAACTAAATCTTTCTTTAACCTTAAATCAAATTAAGTACCCGAAGTGCTCCCACTGGAAATTAGCGCTGTAGTTTCTCGGCTGCAGCATAACGCTAAGCAGGGACCGGTAAACATTACCTAACATTTTCACCTATACATGTTATGTCACTCCATATGAACCTCTTTTGCAAAGGTAACAATGCTTGCTTCATAAACTATTATTATTATTTTCGAAAGAATTTTAATAAGTAATATATCTATCCGAAGAAAATGTATTCATCAAAAGAGGAAGTTTAAAATTACCTACGGTTTTTTTAATGGGTGAAAATAGTATAGTAACTCCGCCTGCGCAAACGGGATACGCTGGCGGAGCACCAGTGAAGGGTGATAGATGAGAATGAAAACAGGCCAGTTAGCCCATCATGATGAATTCATCAGGAATTAACCATGATAGTTTCCAGGGGGAACCGCGAGGAGGTCGACTTGATTGGGTCGATGCTAGCAATGGGATTCTCAGTCTCCAGTACTAACAATCCCTTTCCCCCCAATTACCTACGGTTATTTTTTATTATTAGGTACCTATCATTCATTGTTATTTTGATTGTAGAATGTCTTATACAATTTGGATTTGTTATCAAATTGATGAATAGATATCCATCCCATCTGATAGAAAGTGGTAACTGCGTCGTTTGGGGGGAAGAACTTTTAAATAATGAGGTCTAATTGTCCCCTTGCTAGCAATATGTCCTACCAGATCGACATCCACGTGGTTGCCCCTGCAAACTCACGTGGTTAATAATTATTGAATTCGTCGCGATAGGCTAATTGACTTGCTTTTATCCTCACCTATCATCATTCATCGTTAATTTCTTTAAATACCTAGTTCATTTTTTTTATAAAATTGATTGGTCTGACTACTATTTATGGTATATTTTGCATAATTCTATGTATTTAATAAATTTATTCATAGGTTGCAAAGAAACCCTTGATTAATAAAAACAGAGAGATACGTACTTAGTGTTATATAAAAAAATCTATCAATTAATATACAATCAAATAATGGTTAAATGTATTATGTTCTCAGGATACATCTATCATCCCACATCGGACAGGTGCTGGCCAGCTTTTCAGAGAGGACCATGTCCGACAGAACAGTACCTGATATTACCTGAGAATTCCGTGATACCAGTTTGTCGGCCAAATCCCTGCAGAGTCGACCGTTACGTAGAGTGGAATGGAAGATGCGAGCTTCTAGGGACCACGAGGCCCTGTGATAATATGTTCCCTGTGCCGGCAGCTCTAGGGGTGAATGCTACCACATTAGTCGTCAATTGTGAGAAATTAAACATAGAGCTTAGATTTGGCAATGTTGTGCCCGTGTCTTCTATAGCTAAATGTTTACCCGGTTGCAAAAGAAGTGTAAACAGAAAGTGTACCGCCTAATAAATCTGGACATTCTGTAATCAGTTATTTTATTTCGATTCTTTGTTAGCTGATAATCTGTTAGATAGAGTATCATATGCGTGTTTGCTTTCATATTTTCAATAATAACTAGTTATTATGTTTACTACTTAGATTTCTAATCTTACATACAATAAAATTGTAACTAGATGATGTCTGTACATGGGAGATATTTATGAAAAAATAATATGAAGGTCTTAATAAGAGCAAAAATGACAAAATAAATAATTTCTGACTGTTTATTCTGGCGTCACTTAAAAACTACTCCACCAAATTGGATGCGGTTCTAATAGTTGTATGAGAACCGCATCCAATTTGAGAGCATATGTTTCATCTTGATACACCATCTAGAAGTAGTCATTTTTATCGGCTTTCCTATTCTGATATTCACGCGTTCGAAGTAGCGAGCATAAAGCTAGTCATAAATACAAATACATTGTATTACTGATCAGAAATCTAAGTAATACATTATTTCTGTATACTAAATACTGTATATTATTAATATCGATAATTGAGCTATATGCTACAAACTTTGATCATTAATATCGACTAGATACACGAACTAAAACGGAACTCAAATTTGAAAATGGCCTGACACATTACATCCCTCACGCCTGTCTCCCATTGGGGTAGGCAGAAACAACAGTGTTAGAGATGCACTGCTCTTAATTACATTAAAAGATAGAGCGCAAAGTAGTGTGATTAAAAAAAGTGTGGACGGAAAGACGATGCAATGACAGAGATCTAAAAATGAATTTTGCGTTGTTTTGGCCATTTGGAGATAATGAATGAAAGAAAAATTACGGCAGAAATTTATCGAGTATGAATGAATGGAGATGTCGGTAGGGACCGTCCTAGTTGGACATATTGTTGATCAAATAGGCTGAAAAAGGGCTGAATTAAAAGTACAACATGATTTCAATGCACATTAAAACCTATTTGTAAATGATAACGCGGAATTTTGTTTTTGTTAAAATAAATCAAAGTAATCCAAAATAAGATACCACTCTGCAAATGAATGGGCATTATTCGCTTGTTCGTTTTTGATATTTTGAACGAACATTTAGTAATATTGATGAGTGATGGTCTTAAAGTTGTTAAAGGTTGTGTAACCTTGCACAGCGTGGCACACGAGCGCTTCTGACTTCTAGGCGCCACCATGGAAACTGCTATAGCGTCCTGTACTGTAACCATGGCAACTAGCCGACTATAAGTCACAGTTTTAACGTGTCATTAACGTTTATTTACCATCAATTCTATCGGACACCGAGTTGATTGTCCACACGCTTTCAAATATCGATATCTGGATTAGATAATAATCATTATTGTGTATAGTTGTGTTGGAGTTTGTGGATTTTTTATTATTCGATCTAGAAGAGTCGTAGAGTTTGGAAGGTTAAGGTCGATTAATAAATTTATTAAAGTTTGTAACGGTATATCTAATCGATGTAAAGTGTGTGTTTGTTAAACAAGTAACTATGTGTGGTAAGTTTGCTCATAAAATTATTGCAACTTATATTTTCATTTATTAATACATCTTTAAACGTTGATAAAATTTTATTAGATACACATGTGTTCTTCAGAATTGTTTATAATATGAATTAAAATTTGTGAATTTACCATTAGATTGATATTAATATTAGCTTTTTTACTTTAAAATAAAATAACATAATCAATGTAAATAAATTAGGTACCTAATGTACATATTTAGTACATATCAGTTGAGACTTGATGCTGTGTACTGGGTACAGGTTTTAACTTATTTTAGACACCAGCTCCTCACACCAGTGTACCAGTAGTGAGATGATGATGATAATGTAGCATTGACCTTATATCATTGTTGCTACCTGTGTATACAAAAAATGTTGGATAAAATAGCAAACCCGTATTAAAGAAAATCACGGATCACTAGTGTTAAGAAAATATCAAATAAAAGATGACTTCGTGAACTTCGTATAATTACAATATTATCTATTAAAAGTAATCCGGAGTAGCGATTTCTATACAAAATTAGTTATTTTTTCGAATTTTTAGCATAACTTTTTTTTATACAACTAAGCTTACAATGACAAATAAGCTTACGGCCTATCTAATTGAAAGTAGTAATCGTCGCCTATAGACATGAGCAGTACCATGGAAATAACAGAGTATACTGTTTCGTCCATTATAACCCCATGCGTTGCCATTTATTTATTTATTCATTAGTACAAATATGTGTACATGGCGGACTTAATGCTAAAAACATTCTCTCCCAGTCAACCATAGGGAAGTGTCAGAATACTCGAATGCGGTACTACTAATTATTGATATACATACATACTAAAATTACATATATAAACGAATAAATATATATGAATAACAAATATACTTACACATATATGATATATACTATATTATACACGAATTTGGGAATAATATAAAGCACTTACTGCTCGGATAAAGATAAAAAGTGAGCGTGAACGCTTTTTTTGAAAGACGGTTTAGTCGGTAGTCTCTTAATGGCATCAGGAAGCGCGTTCCAGAGTCGTGAAGAATGTAGGAGAAAAGAGTTTGAAGCGTAACTAGTACGGTGAGAGGGGAAAGATAATTGGAGAGTATTATCGGAACGAAGGTTACGTTCGTAAGTTTCAAAAAGATAATGGAATTTACTCCTTAAGTAGTTAGGAGACTGGGGGTTTCGAAGAAGAGTGTAGAGGATACAAAGAGTTCTAACGTTTCTGCGTTGACGAATGGAAAGCCACTTGAGCTGAGACCGATATAAAGAAATGTGATCGAACTTCCGGAGGTTGAAGATAAAGCATATGGCTTGGTTGAGGAGACGGAGCTTATCGAGAAAATCTTCATTAAGATCTGGATAACACACATCAGCATAATCAATAATCGGAATAATTAGTGCGTGAACAAGATTAATTTTTGTAGCGATAAGCAAAAAGTTTTTAAAGCGGTATAAGGAGCGTAGCGTAGCAATAACTGAGCGACTCACCTCCGCAACTTAATGTGACCAGCTGAGTGATGAGTCTATGTAAAGGCCAAGATCTTTAACACAAGTTTTTAGTTTTATAACTAAATTGTTAAACTAACCATTCCTGAGAACTCAGGTGTTATTCCTCTGTACCCTGTAAATTCACGCCATAACCCACCCTTCAAACCGAAACACTTTTTTGGGTATTCCGAGTTTTTTTTATTTTGAACCATCCTCTGTGTAACAAGTATAAAACAAAAAATATTTAAATCGGTCCAGCCGTTTTTGAATTTTAATGAGACAAACAAATAGCGATTGCTTTTTATATAGATAGATTACATTTTTAAAAATACATCACATATCAACACATTTGGTGATACAAATTACTTAGAAAATACTCAATTAATTAAAAAAAAACGTATTTATTTTTCTAATTAATTGAGCAGTATTTCTATGGCCATGTACGACCACTTTATTATATATACAACAAAAGACACCACTAAAATTTATCTATATATCATTAATAGGTATCATTTATCATCAAAAAAACTACTATGGCGAGCGAACGAGCATTATAAATCGAATCAACATTATTGTCAAAAATATAAAATTTAAACCCAGAGCATATTTCTATCCAACCTCGCTATACAGCAGAATGTTAATGTCAGTATTCATTATATGAGAATGAATTGTAAAGTGCCACATGAACCCAAGAGTTTAAGTTTCAAAAAATTTATAAGTGTTTTTGTATGTATATATATATGATAATTAAATTAATAATAACATTTATGTTATAAGAATGTTGCAAAGAAATAGCAATCCACAATATTACCACGGAGTCATTTTAGTATATAATAATAATAATCTTTATTTCTATCCATATGATAGATTTACACCAAACAAAAAGACTTCATTAATACATTTTAAAAAATAGAATATACATAAATTTCCATTGGAAGTGGACAGAATTCGTACTAGGATACCTTGTGTTATAGTATTCTAGCCTCCACACACGGCCCCTGGCTATACAAAGAACAGTTAAATAAATCATAATATAAAAAGTAATTATTTAATAGAATTGTTATTATCAAGTAATTATTAATTAGACTTTTAGTCTAAAAAAATTAATGAAAAAGGTACAAAATTACAAAAATTCCAAGTACAAACATAACGTCTGGGGGGAAAAGATTGTTAGGAATGTGGACTATCAGTTACATTGCTAGCAATATATTTTATCAGGATAATTTATTATATAGAAAAGAGCCTAAAAATAATAACAATGTCATTTAACAAAAGGAGATGGTGTTACAGTTAAACACTATATTTGTTCTTTGACAATTAGCAAATATTTTAGAATCATAGGGATATTTGCATTATATTTTGCATATGACAACACAGTAAAATTTTAAGAATGAACAGTCGTCACACAGTGAGAACATCATCTCAGCATCCAAATATATTTTTGTAGTCAGATACCTATAGGGCTTATACAGCATTACTTTAAGTGTAGCTGTTTGAGTTCTTTCCACTCGCAAAATATAGTTCTTAAACGTATCACCCAAGTCTTTATGCAATAAGTTATTGAAGATTGGCATAAGGCAATGTCAGTAATTTTGAGTAATTTAAGATCAATAGCAGATCTAAGTCTTTTAAATATACATATCAATATTTGAATCCTAAAAGTTAAGACTTCTGTAGGTTTTTTTCCAAGATAGCGTTGACTCCATATGGACGCCAAGGTACTTAATATCTGCTACGAGTCCAATAGCAGCATAAGAATAAATATCCCAGCAATAATGAACCCTTCATCGCAAATGTTTTGGTTAAAGTCCGTTTATTTTAGTAAAAGCAATATATTTTGTTTTTTCTATGTTTAAATTATTGTCTTCAGAACCAATGTTATGGTATTGTCTGTTTCAACAGAACTTAATGAAAACGCCAACAAGTCAATAATTGACTCGATCATAAGACATTCTGCTTATGTCCAATAGTAATACACATAATATATCGATTAATTGATTGAAATTCAATTTGTTAGTA